ATATCTTCACTTTATCTAAGCATGTTAAAATCTTTTAATTATTATTATTATTTTATGTATTCACTATTAATTTTCTCAACTTAGTCATCATATATACTATCTTGATCTATTGATACAACTTAATTAATTATTCCAAACGATTTAATATCATTGTTAAATGAACTATCAGCATTAGTCTAAGTATTATCAAGCAAATTTTTTAAAGGGGTCTAATTTTTAAAGTTTGAGTTTTTTATAAGCTTTTTCTTAAAGACTTTTTGGTTCTTCGACTTATTTTCATCAGAAAAGGAATCATTTTTTGAAAATGTACTCTTTCTAAGCTAAACAATGCTGTTTTCTCTGCCTGGTGTATTACTCATAGAAATCTATTAAACCGGAGTATCAAGCCCCTCATAATTGAATTTATTAATAGTTTAAACGTTTTCAGAAGACTGAAAATTGATTTCTTCATTACTCCTTTTTGAGTTTAATTCTTATTAGTGTTGTTATTCTAATACAAAATCGTTATCATCTTTCTTAGGTAATTTATTATTTTCTATAGTTATGCTATTTTATAATTTATTTTAATTTTATGAGCTGTTTATTTAAATCGGTTAAGGTCTATGATTACTTAATTACGAAATTCTTCTATTATTATTTTATTTAATATCTTAATTGTCATTTAAACTTTTATTTTAGATCTAGCTATTAGATAGTTCTGCATTGATATTTTTCGGTGAGCCAACTTAATTTTAAAAGTTTTATGAACCTCTAGATTTACTTTGAATGAATATTTAATTAGAGGGTACCTAAATATCGCTCTTAGCCATTTCTTTACTGTTTTCCATTCCTATCATTTTTGAATTTTCTTTAATTTCATCATCACTTTCTTACTAAAGCCATACAAGAGAGTTATATTTATATTTATCATATATTTCTTCTATATTATCCTTATTTAAAGGAGTACGACAATAAGGACAGCTCTTTTAAATATATATAATTTATAAAACAATCAAATATTAAAATAAATACTTCATTTTTTTTCATCCAGTCAGTTAGACACTCAGAATGAAACACATGCTTGCAATAAGTAGAGCGAACATTTTCATCATCTTCAAAATCACATAGACAGACTACACAATTTCCTACATCTTACTATTTTGATACCTTTAAGAGCTAAGATTTTATTTCTTTGTATAAAACTGCAGGCATGTACTTTTTTAAATCATCCTCTCCCATAGTAGTATTTAACCTTTAGGTGTTTCTCTTTTTATAATTTATGCTATTAAATCGATTTTATTAGTAATTTATTTACCTGTCTTTGAGCTCTATTTTACTGTTAGAGGATTCGATCCCTTTTATTTAGTTTAGCTAAAAAAAATTTAAGTAAAATGCATTTATGTTAAAGGTATTTACCAATGTATATTAAAGTAAAGACAAGAAGAATGAAAACAAAACCACACACTGAAATCAAAATAATTACAATTAGTTAATTATTACTGCTGCCTTTTTTTTTTTAATGGTTTAAAAATAATTGATTAGGATAATTATTAAATGTAATATTACTAATTTATTAATTTTATTTATTGTCAATTTTAATAATCTAAAATAATAGAATCAGTAAAAAAATTAATATTACTGCCTTAATCAGTGCTATCTAAACTTATTTAAACGTTAAAAGATTGCATATTACTATTTCCTATTTTAATCAAGACTCTGTTATAATACAAAGGAGGACTTTTCAAAGCACTATTTGCTAAAATATTTAATTGAGTTTGGTTAATTCCTAAAATGGACTAGCTATTTTGTGGATAAGGAATAACAGAAGAATTCGTATTGTAATATTTTACATACAAATCAAAATTTTATTAATTATTAAAGCCAGATATTCCTAGTTGATAAGACTTGCTTTAATCAGTAGCATCAAAATAAAAAAATGAATATCCTTAAATTAAATATTGAGTTTAGCTTTAAGACAATTCTTGTGCTTACTGTTCACATCTTTATCCTATATAACCTTAAGCACATTTAGAAATCCCATGAGAATAGCAACTACAATTGCTTAAGCAAGGACAACTGTAATTAACTGTAAATAATAGATTAGTAAATCATATTGAATTAATATTAATACCAGAAGAAGATTTAGAAACTGTATAAGAATAGATGTAGCCATCATTTGGGTCTGTCAATATTACATAAATGTATCTTTATTAAAATAGAGTTTGTTTTATGATATTTAAAGATAAAATCGCTTACATCTGAGAAATGTTTGTGAGCTGTTATTTATCAATGTATAATTGCTAGGTTGATAACTAAGCTAAATAAGCTTTTTTATAAAAATCATTAAATTTGAAAATTTAATTTTTTATTAATCTACAATTCATATCGAAAGCGGAGCCTGCTGATAACAAATCGTTGAAGCTAGCAGGTAGCTAATTTTTATTTACTGTATATCCAAAAATTATATTCCTTCCTATTGTCTAAGCATCCAATTATAGGGTTACTAATAAATATTACTATTCATTGCTTAATGTTATCGTCTTTGCCTAAATATACTATTGTATATAGTTAAAAAGAAATTTTGATTGATGCAAACTATATATAAATAAAATTACTTTATAAGCAGGAAGTTATTATGCATACACTAATTCAACTATTCTAAAAAATGAGAAAATTAATAAATAATTCTAACATATTTATTTGACTATCTTATTCATTATTGTAATTATTCTTAATATAATATTTATATTACACTTTTTTACTTTTGATTTATAATCAATTTACTTAGTAATAAATTAATAATTATTTAATATCTCAAGTTTTCCACTAACTCCTTAGATAAATAAGTAAATATATAAAGGAAAGTATACAAAATAGCTTTTTAGTAATAGTTTTGATGCTACTAATAACTTCTTATTTATATTAAAAAAAAAGAATTAGCATTGAGAAGTTTGCATATTTTTTAATTAAAAATAATAATATTAACACTTTCTACCTCAATTCCTACACTTATTATAATAATTATCTTTTATTGATTAGTGTTATCTACATCATAATCATCAAAAGCCTTTTTTGGATTTAGATCTTTAAAATAAACTTATCTACTTAAAAATTAATAATATTTTGAGATTAAAACTTTCTTTTTTAATTGAATTAGTATTTTTAATGAACAAATATTGAGTCAATATAATTAATTTTTAAATATTCTTAATTTTGGATTTGTAATATTGTACTTTAATTATCAACTTAAATATTTTGCTTAACTAGAATCAATTTTACAGTAATACTTTCTAGACTTTTACAAATTATAGAAATTATTTGATTTTTTGAGTTAAAAAATAGTAATAAATAAATTTTATTTATTGTAATTATTTTTAAATTGATTGAAATATTTTTAACAATATAAACTTAAAAAAAATAAATCTATTAAATTTATAATATTTTAATTTTTATTTCTAAAAAAGTAAAAATTTCAAGTAATTATCTTTTAAATGAATAAATATATTAGCTAAGTTAAAAAATTATGATCACATACTTTGAGAAGTAATTAGATATTAGATAAAATTTTTATTCTATAAAATTGTTTATTTTTAAAACAATTGAAACAACTGTCGAAAATTTACATCACAGAGATTTAAAGCATTTATTAATAATATTTATTTTTTTTAAATTCCTTAATTTTAATATCTAAAGATATTTTGATATTTTTAAACGATTTCCAAACCAAAATTAATATTATTAAAGATATTTTGTGTGAATAATTATGTCAATAAAAAAATTTAAATACATTTTATTAAATTTTATTTAATGAAATTTAAACTTTAAAAAAAATTTGAAAAAATAATGAGAATATTTATTTTAAATAGATTTTATTTGAATACAATTTTTTAGAATAATTTATGAATATATAATTAATAACGAAACTGCAGTTAATAAAAAGTTTCAAAGTAATTGATTCTATTTTAACAATAAATATATTCAAAAGTTATTAGTATCTATTTCATCTTTAAAGTTGATTGTCTCACATTTTTCAGATTAGCATGAATTAAGAATATTTTCTTAAGATTTATCATTCCTAGTACTTTATAATCTATCTTTAACTTATTATTAAATTTTAAAGAATTAATTTGAATTATAATATGTTTAAATTTATTTACATAAAGGGCTTTAATTCGTTGTTCTTGTATAAAATGACCATTTTTTCTTTAAGGTGGACATTTCATTTAGTTTTCTTTAAGTATTTTTACTAAAAAATTGGTTGAAATTTTAAAGTGCAAATTTCGAAGTTTATAGTCGATGAGAACTACTATTATCTACTAAAGCTTTTGATAGACCAAAATGTTATTGAACACTTTGTTGATTGTAAAAATCATTATTTTTAAAATATTGTGCAAGCATATTAATTTTTCTTTTTACATTTTTTAATTTAATGAGGGATTAAATTTTTAGCTTACTTTCAATTTAAATGTTCTTAAAAAATCGAGGATATTTAACTTTTAGGTAGTAGAGAATATTATGAATTACATTTCTGTCTTTTTAGTCAAATGGAATGATTTTTATAAATAAACCTTAAACTAATTGCAAAACAAACATTAAATTAACTATGAATAAAGCCAAAGTGAAAAGTGTTCTTTAAAATAGCTAATCAGTTAACTTACTTTCTAAGATAGATATTATATTCAATGAAATCGCGCTTAAAATGGCTGATTACTATAATAAATTGTTAAAGTCTTTAACAATATACGGTTTTAATTTAAAGATTATACAAATCCACAGTAAAATAATACCGTTCATCAATGAGGTCTAAAATTAAAAAAAGAAAATATTTTAAAGAAAAAAAATTATTATAGATTATATATTTAAACTGTAAATAATTTACCTTTAATTATTAATTTTATTGCAGTAATATGGAAATTGATATTAATAATGACTTATAAAATAGTTTACCAAATTCCCAATAATAAAATTTATCTTTGAATCCAGCAAATACAAACGAATATTTAACCTCTTTGAAAATAGACCATTTTTATTTAATTCCATTTCTAACATTTCTGAATAGGAATATTGGTATTATTAAAATCCAAATTATTAGCAAAGGCAGAGAGAAATAAATTATATATGGTTTATGATATTTAGAATCCATACAGTTAATATTATAGTCAAGATCTAAATATTACTTATCACCTATTTGTATGCAATTTATAGATCTGCTTAAAAGAGTAACTACCATAGGGAAGAAGTAAAGATATGTAAAAATTAAAGCTGTTCTTAAATAATTCAGGAAAAAGTTATCTTTTTTTATCAGTTTAAAAATTAGTGCCAATAAAATATAAAAAATAAGGACTAATAAAGGTAGAGCTAATGAGAATAAGGTTTAATAGAACCATAAAGGCTGTAGAATTAAATATTTAGATATAAGGCAATCAAAAGATTTGCTTGTAATACTAAGTGAATTTCCATATAATAGAACCGGAAATTTAAAAAATATAGGTATATTTATTTAAAATGAATTCAGTAATGAAAGCATTTAAAAATGATCAGTTAATATTTTAGTAATTATTTAAGGTTTATCAGATTGTCTCACTATTCAATAAAAATTTTTTAAATTAATGATTATATAATGATATATTTTATAATTTGTTACATGTTGATCCTAAAAATAAAATTTCTGACTTGTTCACAAAATAACCAATAATCTTTGCTTGCATTTTTTAGATGATTTTAATTAAAATAATAAAAATATATAAAAAGATAAGTAAAAATATTAGAGAATTCTCAAAAGCGATAAGAAAACTACTCTCATTACAATCATAGCATACATCAGAACTAAAAATTTACGAGTATCTATTTCCCCATATTATTCCATATGAATCACACTATTAACAAAGTGGGCCTATGTATCCACGTAAACACAGGAACTATGATACAAAAATAAAAAATTATTAAAAGAAATAAATTAAAGAAAGCTATATGAAAAATTTTTATTTATAAACTTTGATTATAATTAGATTTTAAAAATTAACTAAAGGCACTCATAAAAAGTATAAAAAGTGAAAAATGAATAGAGAAAATTTTTTTTTTTCGCTTTTCTATCATCTAGGTCTAAAAATGCAAAAATAAATATCTTCAAAATTTATAATCAAAAGATCTTAATTATTTCATGCTCTATTAAAAAAGCCCTGTTTTTAAAGGAAAAAAATTTACTTTTGAATCTGGTGACTCGGCTTAACAAAATTCTGGATTTTTATTACATTATACTATTATATCAGTTTTATTATTTTCTCTCCAATATCCATTCATTAATTTTATTGTAGAACCATAGCATTCTTTAGCAGAATCTGGACACTATTTACAAGAGGTGCTGTATTAATCTAAAGAATATTTTCCTTCTGGACACTCTTAGCAAATTATAGACTCAATTTATTGCGTCGTAATTTCTCCAATAGAACAAGAAGTGAAATCAATTGTAAAATTTTTTTAAAACTAGTCTTAAAGGAAGAAAATATTCCCTTTAGAGTCAATTAATTTAGGTAAAGTATCTAAAACTATTTACAAACTCATTCTATTTTAAGGCATATACATAATCTGAGATTGTAAGTCAATTCCGTTGTTAATTACTTGTCTAGATTATACTTATCCTATCACCTGTATTTTCTTATTTGACTAATCCCAATTCAAAGATACAGATAATGACTGAACAAAGCTTTGGATATCACTACTGTAAAATTAAAATTCAGTTATATTTATATTTGAAATCTATATTGGATTATTTTCTTCATCAAGTAATTATATTCCCTCAAAAGTGATTTAATTTCCACTTTTAAATTCTCTTATTTCTATTTATCTTTTACCCAAAACTTTTACGCTTCCTTTTGGTATTTTAATATTCTATAAGTCTATATCAATTTACCTAATAGTTGAGCCTATATTATGACCAAATATTTTAGCATTATTGTTTATGATTTAATTTTTATTTTTGTCAATATTATTAGATTTTTCTAATACAAAATCTGGTATAACTTATTCATAGTAGATTCCGCCTCCTATAATCGCAGTATTAGAAGTAACATTAGAATTTTCTATTATCAAGTTTGCATATGACAAGTTAATTGCTCCACCAGTTGAAAATGCAGCTGAATTAAGTATAAATTAACACTTTTATATATATACTTAAGCAATGTTAACAAAATTCTAAATGCTAATAGCTCCACCATTTAATCTCAAGCATTTATTTTATTTAAATATGGAATTCTATATCAAAATATTCAAACAATTAAAAACATACAATGAACCTCCTAGTCCATTAAAATTAATGTTATTTTAAAATTGACTATTATTTATTGTTATATTATTACATGAGCTAACATATATTATTGATGTATAGGAATTTTCCTTTAACACATTATTTTCTATTAAAACTTCATTAAAAAGAATCGTATCTACAAAATTCAATTCAATTAGCGGTTCATTAATCTCTTAACTAGAAAGTCTTGAAAAACTCATAATAAAATAACCACCTTAATCAGGCTGCTAATTTATTGATAATACTGTTATTTAATTATTCAAAGATGTCAAGCTATTTAAGGTGCAATTTTAGAAGCCAACAATCTATAGAAATACATATTTATTATTATTAATATATTAACTATGTATTGAGGTGCTGTTTACTTGTGGTTGTACTTCTTCGATTTTAAAATTTGTAATTACTAAATTTGTAGATTATACTTAAAAGCAAGTTTTTGATATTGATGATTAATAAATATAAAAATCAGATATAGAAGTATTAGAGGCCTAAATATCAAATGAAACTTCTTTAGAATTTAAAACACTGATGTATTATATTACATCAGATAGACAAGTATACTAAACATTTTTTTCGTAATAGGGCTCTATTGTTAATATTTTAACTTAATTACTACTATTTACAGTAATTTACGAAACTTAAATTTCAGCAATCCCTTAAAGATACAATAATTAAGTAGAATTTACTTATTTTAAATAAATATTTGTGATATTTAATTTTAAGCAAAGAGAAATTTAGAAAACTGAAATCAAGATAGCATCAGATACTTAGATATCTTATATATCAATGTATTAATTGTTTTAGATCTAAAAAATGTTGTTTTTACTTAACTTATTAATGAATATTTGCTTTATGACTAAATTGACGTTATTTGATAAATAAAATGTAAGTTATTCAGTCTGAATGCTATCAATTGTAATGTTTTCAATTATTACTAATTTATTGTTAGAAATAATTATTTGATTATTTCCAAGCTTTTTGCTATTGAATTTTATATTTTAAAGATAAACCTAATCAAAATTGGAAATATTAAGAGAATTCTCAACATTTAATATTATGTCTATCATCTAGAAATTTTTCATTTAAACATTTTAGTTTAAGGCAACACTGTCAATTATATTTAAACTCATATTGTTTATAAGCACATTTCTAATGTTTTGTGAGTTAATTTGATTTTTTGACCAATAAATGTTATTAAGAATTGAGCTAGAATAGATAACTAAAGAAAGAAGTTTATTAGGATCTATATTTTTTTCTTAGATACTGTCTAAATCAATGCTTTAAATATATTATTGATCTAAGTAATTTATTTTTAAAACTGAAAGTTTTTCTTAACTATTTTATAAAGAGTTAAGAATATTACTGAGTTCAATTTGAAAATAAATGTTTTCTAAAGGTCTATTTTGCTATAAAATTTCTAGATTACAAGATTGTTTTTTAGACAAAGGTATTATCTAGTAGACTATATTTCGATAAGAAGAAAATAACATTTCCAGAAAGATGTTATTATTTGAATCTTTGTTTAATTCAACTTTAGAAAGTTGCAAACCTTCTTAATCTATAATTTAAATAAGCTCATACTAAGAATCAAAACTCAATTTTACAAGTAAAGAATTAAGTTTTTATGTGATAATAAATAAGTTATCATATTAAATATTAACTATATTTGTCACTTCTTTTAAACCTGATTGAATTTTAGGGTACTACTACTAGAAGCTTAAACCGTTATAAATTATGATATCGTTTGGACATATTGAGTAAATAAAATAGGAATCAAAAGAAATCTTAGCTTACTTTAAGCAAGAGTTTTATATTATTTTAATTAATTTTAAGCTATAATTAAATACTAGTGTCTATCCTTAGTTATTTACTAAAAATATTAATTAGCGGAAAGGATCATTGACAGCATTTGTTATTTTACTATCTTAAACTGAATAGCTGTATTTTATTTCTTAGGTATCTAATTGGGCTATAAAGATTTTAAATATATTATTTTCTATAGCTATAACACAGATAATAAGCAGTTGTTATGAGTCATTTGTGTTATACCTATCTTCGTATTCATAAGGAATATTCCACCATTGATTAGATTAATTCTAAAATTATTTAACTTGAAGTTTGAAAACAAATTAAATTTTAAGTGAATTTTAAAAAACAATTTACTTTTACTTTTGTTGAATAAAATCAAATGTGTAAATCATATAGGTTGAAGGAATTATAATATATTAATAATATACGAAAGATTGTGAAACATCTCCGTCATTAAAGTTAGCTAGATTAATTTCAGTAGAATTTTACATTTCTAAACTCAAACTGGTTAGTTGATAACTATTCTCATACAAAATTAGAACTTAATTTTGTATCTTATCATAAAAAAAGTTATCAGGTAAATTTTTTAATTTGATTTTATTAACTAAAGTTAATTTTTATTTTTCTTAATCAAATTAGATTTAATTTAAATTCTCGAATTAAATATAGATAAAACTGCTATCATTTATCTTAATTAGCTATGTTAAATATGGGTAAACGTTATAGATAGATGGCTCAAATAATAAGGTATCAATTAATTTTGCATTTTTATACAAATTTAAAGAGAGATTAACTATGTTATAATAAATTTAATATTCTCTATTTATATTTAAAGTTTATATGTTTTGATACTAAAGGAGATTTACCTCACTCGCATAAAGAACTTCTGTTAAATCGAAAGTTAAAACTTTATTTAAGGTTAAAGCAGTTAATATAGATAGATTTGTATCCAGAAACACACTTTAAATAGGAGTTAAATCTTATAGCTGTGTAAATGTTTCAATCAATCGCATTGAAGAATATTCAAAAGCTGAAATATAAAAATCTGAATATAAAAAAACTATATTTTTATATTTGTCTATTAAAATTCCTTAAGTATTTTATACTTCAATTTGATAAAGAGTTATATTTTTTGTTAAATAATTATAAAAATACATAATTGGAGTTTAATCAACTAGCAGTAAAATATTTTTCTCTTTGTAAAAGAAAAAAGCATTTTTAGAAAATTAGCTTACTGTCTAATAAGTAAATAATTAATTATCTCCAGGTATATTTATAGAATTAATTTATTTGAGTGTTCCAGTAACTCCAATTAATATATTATTATCAAAATCATAAAGCAAATTTGTTATATTTTATCTGTAATTAAACAAATAATTAACACTTGAAAAATTTCCATAATAAAATTAATTATTATTAAATTTGTAAAAAATAGCTAATAATGGACCTTAAGTATCTACTAATGGTACTATCTATTGTATATTCTTCATAAGTTGCTTTATTATTAAAAAAATTTAAGGAAGGGTTTAAAAATTATAAATTTTTTAAAGAAATATAGAATAAAACTTGATACACAAAAATAAAAATGAGAGGTTAAGGTAATTTATTTATCTTTCATGTAAGTTATTGATATAGTTTTTTTAAAATATAAAATTAAAATTATCTATTTTTATTTAATTTAAAAGCTTTATCAGAAAAAAAAAATATTTAAAAAGCTTGAAGAATATTTTTATTAATTATTTAGTTATTTTTAAACAAAAAAAAATAATATTTAGTTTGAAATTATGTAATAAGAAAAAAATAAATAAATAAATTTACCTAAGTAAACTTAGCAGATAGATTTCCAGTATTTAAATCATATATTTAAATATAAGTATAATATATTATAGCTAAACTCTGCTCACATTTTAGATTAAAAAGTAACTGTTTTTTTGGTACATCATTTTTTGGGCTTATAGGAACTGTTGTCTTATTATTAAACTAGTATTCCATAATTAAAATGATTTTAATATTGTCAAATTAAAAAAAAAATTACATTAATAGAATATAATTTGTAATCAGCTGTTTGTACTACTAATATTTGTTATTATGAGCAGTATTAATACATTATTATGTTAGATTATATCTGAGAAATAGTTTATATTTATTGACTGGCTAATTCATTAAATTAATAAATAGTGTTATTACTTATAAAAGCAAAAGATAGAGGTTCCCAGTTTAAAATAAAAATTTTAAAATCAAATTTTTAGTCAAATTTAAAGCTTCTTATTCCATTAATTTTAACTGTATTTAATAGTATTAACATTTTAGTTGAATTATCATAAATTGCTATTCGGTTTTGTTAGAGTTAAATATCTTATATTATTTGATTTTATGTGATGTTGTAAATATTAAATGGATAATTAAATAAATTTAGATGCCAAAATATTCCATTTTGAGATTAAAAAATGTGAATTAATGTATTATCATCAGTAGAAATATTTCCCAAGTAATTACTATTTTGAAGTTTATTCTTAATGGTTATCTAATTATTTACATCTAAAATACTTTCAGATTTTTTAATATACTATTTTTAATTGTCTATTGCGTAAAAGTCAATATAACCATTTTTGTAATGAGTAAAGCTAGTAATTGTTGTTATTTGAGTATATTATTTTTTTTACATATCAAACGCATAAAAGTAATTTTAATCATAATAAAACACAAATTGTTGATTAAAAATTAATGGTTAGTAGCTGGTCTAAGGACTTGGATAGGTTAGTCCTATATTAAGTAGAGTGCTTTATTATAAATCAAGAGAATATACATAAATCAGCGACTCATAAAATATAAATATTTCTCCAGTTTGTTAATAATTTATAGAGGGATATAGTTAAAATGAATCATATAAATTTACTGGTTAGTAAATAAATTATTTTTTTTTAATAGAGAATGGTTAGCAGTTAGTTCTGGTAAAATAAATATAAATAATATCGCTTTATGCAATTAATGGATAAGGATAAACAGATCCATAAATTAACCAAAAGCTTGGGCTTTGTTTTTAACTAAATGTATATATACTCTAGATTTAGTTTAATTAAAAGTCTACCATGTATAGCACATTTATATTTTTATCATTTGTAGTTAAATAGATTATTTAGTCCTCATTTAAAATAATAAAATTTTTTAAAGAAAAAAAATAATTTTATTGATTATTTATGAATTTTAATTGTGTTTTCAGATTATAAATTTGAGGAACATTTTAGACTAAAAGCATGTCCCACTTTTAGAGATAGTAGATTGAACTATATAATAAATTAGTTTTTGTATAAGTATAGTTAACAAGTAACTGTTTGTTAGATATGCTGAAAACATATTCATAAGCTGTTGAGTTTATTACTTTAGTTAAAATAAGATATTTATTGCTTACTAATTAAAGATTGTCATAATTTTAGAAATCTTTTTAGACTTAATATTAAATTTATCGATTGTTAAATCTTGGCATTTTTTATAAACTTTGCAAGTAAAATTGAAGTTTAGAAAATCTTAAAGATTACTAAGCATAGACTTGGTTACCATCAAATAAATAAAATTAATTATTTTATTGACTATTATTAATGCTAAACATTAATTAGTTTTAATTAACCACAAAATTACTTACATAGTATAATTTTTGGTATTAATTATTGTAAAAATACTTTATTTAAAAAGTATTATCTGAAAGATTGTATTACACTCTAATCTATTCATAATTATAGGAATTAGTTTATAAAATTTGAGATAAGAATATGTCTAAAATATTGTCCTCGTAAAATATTACAGTTGTCAAAGTTGATAACTAAGTAATAAAAGGAGTATCTACTGTTTTCACTAGTTATTCGAATTTTATTTATGCTTATCCATCTTATGTTATTATCCTTAAATAATCTGTCATATTAATGAATTATACTAGTTTATTTTAAATGTAAAAAATATATGTGCTATTATCCCATTAGTTTTCAAAGATGCTAATCTAATTTAATTTCTGCGAAGTTATGTTGAAATTCTTAATAATTTATTCTGAATTTGCATCTAAAATTGAAATTTTTATGCTGTAATCTGTTTAATTGTATTCTATGATTGAATTTAAATTCAAGCTATAAAGTACATTATAATTTTAAAGGGGAACTTGCTTTATTTAATAAAATTATATTTAATTATTTTCAAAAACCATTTTTTGAATAATAAATAAGCTCGATTAAACAGATTTAGAAACAGTTATTAAAAAATCTTTTTTTTATCTGAAATAGAAAAAATTAAATGAAACAGAGAGATTTAATGTACTATTTTATATTATAAAGGATCTATTTCCATTTAACAATATTTCCTATTATTTATTTTTAACAAAATTTATTTAAAACATGTTTAAAAAAATAATTCTATTATTACCTTCAATTAAGTATCTCTTGTGTAATAAGTCATATATTATTTAGTTTAAATTTAAAATAGTATATATGATGGAGATTAATCTATTAGCAGCTTACTTACTTGTGAACTAATTCCATCAAAAACAATTATTTGGTTGCAATTAGTACATGTTAAAAATACAATTTAGTTATCATTATCAATATAATTTACATTAAGATCATTCTAAAACCCTGTCTCTGAATAAACAGTTTAGAATGTAAAGAAATTCACAATAACTAAGCTGTTAAATGCTAAGCATCCACCATAATTCCCTACTATAAAGCTTTTTTATTAAACTTCTACCCCATATTACATGTAAATTTCTTCAAAATTATTTAAATTTTGTAGAATATTTGAATTGATTATCTCTAAATTTTAGTTGACCAGCGCGAATTAGCATTAATTACCTCTAATAAAGTACTAATTGCCTAAAAATGAGTTTACTTACACTATTCTTTAATTGAAATTATTAAAACTATTTTCAAAATATGGGCACTGTTGTGTTTACTCGCATTGATGAGTTTCAAAATTTTAATAAGTGAAAGAGGGGCATATTTTTTAACATTGATTTTGTGTAAAAGAGAGTTCAATAAATTCAACATTTGATTCACAAAAGTTTTATTTTAAAATGCATTTATTATTTTCTTAACTGAGTTATAAATTAACTTCACATTTTAAGCAATTTTAGCTAGCATCACATTATATACATCCTTCGACTAAGCATTAAACGCATTATTAGTTTTGTGTATTTATATAGCCTTATAGACAAGTTTAAGTACATTAAATGTTATTTTATATACTATTAAAGGTGCCAGTTTGACATTTTATACAGTTGTCCTCATTAGTATTAAAGCATTGTTAGCAATTGCTAGAACATTTCAAGCACTATTAAGACAATATATTATAAATTTCCCCATTCAAGCACTAGCATAATATCATTGAAAATACAACAGAGCATATAATGATATCATAATATATTTTCATAGTTAATTTTGTATTACGACTGTTATTTTTGTTTTTTTTTGTTTGTTAGTTTGTTTTTTTACTGTTTATTAGCTAGTTTGTTTGGTTTATCTCTACCAATAATATTAAATTTCTTAAAAAAAACTTTCACTAACTGATGTAATTTAAATGTATAAAAAATTAATTAATTAATAAATTCAAAATAAAGGAAACTGAATGATTTTTGTAGGAAATGGCTCATATTTTCAGATTTAAATTATATAAAAAATGTTAATATTTATTAATCAAAAAGAAAGGATAACTTTATTTTTAAGTCAATATTATTGGGTGTAGATAAACATTTCATTTTTAACTTAAAAATTATTTTGTTTACTTTTTGCTTGCTTATATATTTGTTTATTTATTTAATCTTTATCAGTAATTTTTAATTACTAACTGATAAAATTTAAATGTATTAAAAATCAATTAGCTAATTAGCTAATAATAAAGTATAGTGAAATATTTTTATATTGCTATTTGCAGCAAATTTTTTCTGTAGCTGAAATGCTACATGTTAAAATTAATTAAAAAATATAATAATTAATTACTTTTCAAATTTTATGTTATTTTATATTAATATATTTATTTGTTTACTTTTTAATTTAAAATAAATAATTTTAATTTTAATTTTATTTTATTAAATTTATAAAAATTTATAAAAATAATTAGAAATTTTATTTTAAATAGATTTTATTTCAATAATATATTTTTAGAAAAACTTCTGAATATATAACTAATAATGTATTTGTAGTTAATAATGTATTTCTATGTAATTGATTCTAATTTACTGATCACAAATTGACCAATAAATACATTCACAAATTAATAGAGTCAATTTCATCTTTAATGTTCATTGTCTCAAATTTTTCAAATTAGCTAGCATTAAGAGAATATTCTTAAGATTTATCATTCATTACATTTTATAATTTATATTTCACTTATTATTAAATTTTAAAAAATTAATTTGAATTTTAATATACTTAATTTAATTTACTTAAAGGGCTTTACTTCATTTTTCTTGTATAAAATGATAATTTTTTCTACAAGGTGATTATTGAATTTTGATTACTTTAACTATTTTTACTAATAACTTGGTTGAAGTTTTAATAAGTAAATTTTGAAATTTGTAATTGCGTGGTATTATCTATTGAAGCTTTTAATAGACCGAAATGCTATTGAAAACTTTCTTGATTATAAAAATCATAATTTTTAAAATATTGTACAAGCATTTTAATTTTTTTTTTTACATTTTTTAATTTAATTAGAGATTAAAATTTCAGTCTATTCTCAATTTAAATGTTTTTTAAAAGTCGTGGATATTTAACTTTTAGATAGTAGAGAATATTATGAATTATATTTCTTTTACTTTAGTCAAATGGAATGCTTGTTTAAAATTAACCTTTAGCAAATTACAAAATGAACAATAAGTTAATAAAGAACAAAATTAAAGTGAGGAAGGTTCTTTATAATAGCTAATTAGTTAACTTATTGCCTAAGATAAATATTATATTCAATGAAACCTAGCTTAAAATGGCTGATTACTATAATAAATTGTTAAAGTCTTTAACAATATAAGGTTTTAATTTAAAGACTATACAAATCCACAATAAAATAATGCCATTCAACAATGATGTCTAAATTAAAAAAAAAGAAAAAAAATTAGAGAAAAAAAATTATTTAAATTTTATATCAAAATTGTAAATTAAATTTACCTTTAATTATTCATTTTATTGAAGTAATATGGAAATTGATATTAATAGTGACTTATAAAATAGTTTACCAAATTCCCAATAATAAAATTTATCTTTGAATCCAGCAAATACAAATGAATATTTAATCTCTTTGAAAATAGACCATTTTTATTTTTTTCCATTTCTAACTTTTCTGAATAGGAATAAAGGTATAGCTAAAGTCCAAATTATTAGTAAAGGTAGAGAGAAATAAATTATATAGGGTTTATGATATTTAGAATCCATACAATGAATATTATAGTCAAGATCTAAATATTACTTATCACCTATTTGTATGCAATTTATAGATCTGCTTAAAAGAGTAACTACCATAGGGAAATAGTAAAGATATGTAAAAATTAAAGCTGTTCTTAAATAATTCAGTAAAAAGTTATCTTTTTTTATCAGTTTAAAAATCAATCCAAATAAAATATAAAAAGTAAGGACTAAAAGAGGTAGAGCTAGTGAGAATAAGGTTTAATAGAACCATAAAGGTTGTAGAATTAAATATTTGGATATAATGCAATCAAAAGATTTGCTTGTAATACTAAGTGAATTTCCATATAATAGAACAGGAAATTTAAAAAAAGTAGGTATATTTATTTAAAATGAGCTCAGTAAAGAAAGTATTTAAAAATGATCAGTTAATATTTTAGCAACTATTTAAGATTTATCTGATTGTCTTACTATTCAATAAAAATTTAAAAAATTTATGAATATATATAATGATACATTTGATAATTAGTTACATGTTGATCCTAAAAATAAGATTTCTGACTTGTTTACAAAATAACCAATAACCTTTACTTACATTTTTTAGATGATTTTAATTAAAATAATAAAAATATATAAAAAGACAAGTAAAAATGTTAGAGAATTCTCAAAAGCGATAAGTAAAACACTTTCATTACAATCATAGCATATATCTGAACTTAAAATTTAAGAGTATCTATTGCCCCATATTACTCCATATGAATCACACTATTAGCAAAGTGGGCCTATGTGTCCACGCAAACATATAAACTATCATACAAAAATAAAAAATTCAAAGAAATGAATTTAAGAAAGCTAAATGAAATATTTTTATTAATATTAATGTTTTAAAAATTAAAGAGAGGCTCTTATAAAAGTGAAAAATGAATAAAGAAAAAATTTTTTTTCAATTTTCTATCATTAAGGTCATAAAATTGCAAAAATAAATATCATCAAAAAGGAAAAAAAAATTACTTTTGAATCTGATGACTCGGCTTAACAAAATTCTGGATTTTAATTACAATATACTATTATATCAGTTGTATTATTTTCTCTCCAATATCCATTCATTAAGTTTATTGTAGAACCATAGCATTTTTTAGCAGAATCTGGACACTATTTACAATCAGTGCTATATTAATCTAAAGAATACTTTCCTTCTGGACACTCTTGGCAAATTATAGATTCAATTTATTGTGTCGTGATTTCTCCTATTGAACAAGATGTGAAATCAATTGTAAAATTTTTTTAAAACTAATTTTAAAGGAAAAAAATATTCCCTTTAGAGTCAATTAATTTAGGTAAAGTATCTAAAACTATTTATAAACTCATTCTACTTTAAGGCATATACATAATCTGAGATTGTAAATTAATTCCGTTGTTAATTACTTGTCTAGATTATACTTATCCTATCACCTGTATTTTTTTATTTGACTAATCCCAATTCAATGATACAGATAATGAATAAACAAAGTTTTGGATATCACTGCTGTAAAATTAAAATTCAGTTATATTTATATTTGATATCTTTATTGGATTATTTTCTTCATCAAGTAATTATATACCTTCAAAAGTGATTTAATTTCCACTTTTAAACTCTCTTATTTCTATTTATCTTTCACCCATAATTTTTACACTATCTCTTGGTATTTTAATATTCTATAAGTCTATATCAATTTTCCTAATAGTTGAGCCAATATTATCACCAAAAATTTTAGCATTATTATTTAGGATTTTATTTTTATTATTATCAATATTATTATTAGATTTTTCTAATACAAAATCTGGTATAACTTATTCATAGTAGATCCCGCCTCCTATAATCGCAGTATTAGAAGTAACATTAGAATTTTCAATTATCAAGTTTGCATATGATAAGTTAATTGCTCCACCAGTTGAAAATATAGCTGAATTAAATATAAATTAACACTTATATATATATACTTAAGCAATGTTAACAACATTCTAAATACTAATAGCTCCACCATTTAATCTCAAGCATTTATTTTTTATAAATATTGAATCCTATATTAAAATATGCAAACAGTTAAAAACATACAAAGAACCTCCTAGTCCATTAAAATTAGTGTTATTTTAAAATTAGCTATTATTTATTGTTATACGATTACATTAGCTTACATATACTATTGATGTTTAGGAATTTTACTTTAACACATTATTATTCATTAAAACTTCATTAAAAAGAATCGTATCTACGAAATTCAATTCAATTAACGGCTCATTAATCTCTTAACTAGAAAGTTTTGAAAAATTCATAATAAAATTACTAACAGTATCAGGTTGCTAATTTATTGATAATACTGTTATTTAATTATTTAAGGATGTTAAGTTATTTATGGTGCAATTTTAGAAGTCAAAAATCTATAGAAATACATATTTCATGTTATTAATATATTAACTCTATACTAAGGTGCCATCTAATTATGGTTGTACTTCTTAGATTTTGAAATTTGTAATTACTAAATTTGTCGATAATACTTAAAAGCAAACTTTTGATATTGATGATTAATAAATATGAATATCCGATATAAAAGTATGAGAGGCTTAAATATAAAATGAAACTTCTTTAGAATTTAAAACACTGATGTATTATATTACATCAGATAGACAAGTATACTAAATATTTTTTTATATAAAGGGTTCTATTGTTAATATTTTAATTTAATTGCTACTATTTACAACAATTTACTAAACTTAAATATCAGCTATCCCTTATAGATTCAATACTGAAGTAGAATTTACTTCTTTTAAATAAATGTTTGTTATACTTAATTTTAAGCAAAGAGAAATTTAGAAAACTGAAATCAAGCTAGTATCAGATACTTAGATGTCTTATATATTAATATTTTAATTGTTTTAGATCTAAAAAATGTTGTTTTTTCTTATCTTGTTAATGAATATTTGTTTAATGACCAAATTTACATTATTTAATAAATAAAATGTAAGTTATTCAGTTTAAACGCTATCAATTGTAATGTTTTCAATGATTACTAATTTATTGTTGGAAATAATTATTTGATTATTTCCAAGCTTTGTGCTATTAAATTTTATATTTTAAAGATAAACCTAATCAAAATTGGAAATGTTAAGATAATTCTCAATATTTAATATTATGTCAATCATCTAGAAATTTTTCATTTCAACATTTTAGTTTAAGGTAATGCTGTCAATTATATTTAAGCTCATATTATTTATTAATACATTTCTAATTTTTTGTGAGTAGGTTTGATTTTTCGACCAATAAATGTTATTAAGAATTAAGCTAGATTAGATAATTAAAGAAAGAGGTTTATTAGAATCTATATTTTTTTCTTAGATACTTTCTAAATCAATATTTTAAATATATTATTGATCTAAATAATTTATTTTAAAAACTGAAAGTTTTTGCTAACTACTTTACAAAGTATTAAGACTTTTGCTTAGTTCAACTTAAAAATAAAGGTTTTCTAAAGGTCTATTTTACTATATAATTTCTAGATTACAAGATTGTTTTTTAGACAAAGGTATTATCTAATAGACTATATTTCGATAAGAAGAAAATAGTATTTCGAGAAAGATGTTATTATCTGAACCTTTGTTTAATTCTACTTTGGAAAGTTGCATACCTTCTTAATCTATAATTTAAATTAGCTCATACTAAGAATCAAAACTCAATTTTACAAGTAAAGAATTGAGTTTTTATGTTATAATAAATAAGTTATCATATTAGATATTAACTATATTTGTCACTTCTTTTAAACCTGATTTAATTGTAGGGTACTACTACTAGAAGCTTAAACCGTTATAAATTACTATATCATTTGGACATATAGAATAAATAAAATAGGAATCAAAAGAAATTTTAGTTTACTTTAAGCAAGAGTTTTATTTTATTATAATTAATTTTAAGCTGTAATTAAATATTAGAGTCTATCCTTAGTTGTTTACTAAAAATATTAATTAGCGGAAAGGATCATTGACAGCATTTGTTATTTTACTATCTTAAATTGAATAGTTGTATTTTATTTCTTAGGTATCTAATTGGGCTATAAATACTTTAAATATATTATTTTCTTTAGCTATAACACAGATAAGAAGCTATTGTTAGGAGTCATTTGTGTTATACCTATCTTCGTATTCATAAGTGATATTCCACCATTAATTAGAATAATTCTAAAATAATTTAACTTGAAGCTTGAAAACAAATTAAATTTTAAGTGAATTCTAAAAAACAATTTACTCTTATTTTTGTTGAATAAAATCAAATGTATAAATCCTATAGGTTGAAGGAATTATAATATATTAATAATATATGAAAGATTGGGAAACATCTCCGCCATTAAAGTTAGCTAGATTAACCTCTGCACAATTTAATATTTCTAAACTCAAACTGGTTAGTTGATAGCTATTCTCATACAAAATTAGAACTTAATTTTGTATTTTATCATAAAAGAAGTTATCAGGTAAATTGCTTAATTAAATTTTTTTAACTAATATTAATTTTTATTTTTCTTAATCAAATTAAATTAAATTTAAATTTTCGAATTAAATATAGATAAAGCTGTTATCATTTATTTTAATAAGTTATGTTAAATAAGGGTAAACGTTATAGATAGATGGCTCAAATAATAAGGTATCAATTAATTTTGCGTTTATATACAAATTTAAAGAGAGATTAACTATGTTATAATAAACTTAATATTCTCTATTTAAATTTAAAGTTTAGATATTTTGATACTAAGGGAGATTTACCTCACTCGCATAAAGAACTTCAGTTAAATCAAAAGTTAAAACTTTATTTAAAGTTAAAGCTGTTAATAGAGATAGATTTGTGTCCAAAAACACACTTTAAATAGGCGTTAATTCGTATGGCTGTGTAAATGTTTCAATAAATTGCATAGAAGAATATTCAAAAGCTGAAATATAAAAATCTGAATATAAGAAAATTATATTTTTATATTTGTCTATTAAAATTCCTTAAGTATTTTATACTTCAATTTGATAAAGAGTTATATTTTTTGTTAAATAGTTATAAAAATACATAATTGGAGTTTAATCAACTAGAAGTAAAATATTTTTCTCTTGATAAAAAAAAAAAGCATTTTTAGAAAATTAGCTTCCTGTCTAATAAGTAAATAACTAATTATCTCCAGGTATATTAATAGAATTAATTTATTTGAGTGTTCCAGTAACTCCAATTAATATATTATTATCAAAATCATAAAGCAGATTAGTTACATTTTATTTGTAATCAAACAAGTAATTATAACTTGAAAAATCTCCATATTAGAATGCATTATTTAAAATTTTATAAAAAATAACTTATAATGGGCCTTAAATATCTATTAATGGTATAATCTATCCTAAATTCTTCATATGGTGCTTTATTATTAAAAAAATTTAAAAAAGGGTTTAAAAATTATTAGAAAGATTTTTCAAAATTTATTTTTTTCAAAAAAATGACGTGTTATTAGAATACACAGTATATATTATTTCAAATTTTATATTTTGCAAATTTAAAGCTTTGTAAAAACTCAAAAATAAAGCTTTTTTAAGCTTACTTAGCTTTATTTATTATGTTATTAAAATATATTACATTTCGCCTTTTGTAAATTAAATAGTCATTTCACTCTAATATTGAATCTGAAATTATGTAATAAGAAAAATAAAATGAATAAATTTACCTTCTTAAACTTATTAATTATCTCTCCAGTATTTAAATCAAATATTTAAAGATAAGTATAATATATTATAATCAAGCTCTGTTCACATTTTACATTAAATGATATCTATTTTTTTGGTGAATCATTTTATGGGCTTATATGAACTTTTTTCTTATTATTAAACTAGTATTTCATAATAAAAATGATTTAAATATTGTGAAATTAAAAAAATATTACATTAATAGAATATAATTAATAATCAACTGTTTGCACTACTATTATTTGTTATTATGAGCAGTATTCATACATTATTATGTTAGATTCTATCTGACAAATAGTTTATATTTATTGACTGATTTATTCATTAATTTAATAAATAGTGTTATTACTTATAAAAACAAAAGTTAATGATTCCCAGTTTAAAATAAAAATTTTAAAATCAAATTTTTAGTCAAATTTAAAGCTTTTTATTCCATTAATTTTAACTGTATTGTATAATATTAACATTTTATTTGAATTATCATAAATTGCTATTCGGTTATGTTATAGTTAAATATCTTATATTATTTGATTTTATGTGATGTTGTAAATATTAAATGGATAATTAAATAAATTAAGATGCCAAAATATTCCATTTTGAGATTAAAAAAAGTGGATTAATGTATTATCATCAGTAGAAATATTTCCCAAGTAATTACTATTTTCAAGTTTATTCTTAACGGTTATCTAATTATTTACATCTAAAATACTTTCAGATTTTTTTATATACTAATTTTAATTGTCTATTGGGTAAAAGTCAATATAACTATTTTTGTAAAGAGTAAAGCTAGTAATCGCTGTTATTTGAGTATATTATTTTTTTTACATATCAAATGAATAAAAGTGGTTTTGATCATAGTAAAACACAAATTGTTGATTAAAAATTAATGGTTAGTAGCCGTTATAAGGACTTGGATAGGTTAGTCCTATATTAAGTAGAGTGCTTTATTATAAATCAAGAGAATATACATATATTAGAGACTCATAAAATATAAATATTTCTCCAGTTTGTTAGTAATTTATTGAGGGATATATGTAAAATGAATCCTATAAATAAGCTGGTTAATAAATAAATTATTTGTTTTTAATAGAGAATGGTTAGCAGTTAGTTCTTGAAAAATAAATATAAATAATATCGCTTTATGCAATTAATGGATAAGGATAAACAGATCCATAAATTAACCAAAAGCTTGGGTTTTACTATTAACCAAATGTGTATAAACTCTAGATTTAGTTTAACTAAAAGTCTACCATGAAGAGCACATTTATATTTTAATCGTTTGTAGTTAAGTAGATTATTTAGTCCTCATTTAAAATAATAAAATTATCTAAAGAAAAATAATAATTATTTTGATTATTTATGAATTCTAACTGTGTTTTCAGATTATAAATTTGAGGAACATTTTAGACTAAAAGTATGTCCCACTTTTAGAGATAGTAGATTGAACTAAAAAAATAAGTTTTGCTATAGGTATAGTTAACAAGTAATTGATTGTTAGATATGCTGAAAACGTATTCATAAACTGTTGAGTTTATTTCTTTACTTAAAATAAGATATTTATTGCCTACTAATTAAAGGTTGTCATAATTTTAGAAATCTTATTAGACTTAATATTAAATTTACCTGGTGTTAAATCTTGGAATTTTTTATATACTTTGCAAATAAAATTGAACTTTAAAAAATCTTAAAGATTACGAAGCATAGACTTGGTTACCATCAAATATATAAAATTAATTATTTTATTGACTATTATCAATGCTAAACATTAATTAGTTTTAATTAACCATCAAATTATTTACATAATATAATTTTTGGTATTAATTATTATAAAAATATTTTATTTAAAATGTACTATCTGATAAATTGTATTGCACTCTAATCTATTCATAATTATAGGAATTAGTTTATAAAATTTGAGACATGAATATGTCTAATATATTGTTCTAGTAAAATATTACAGTTGTCAAAGTTGATAACTCAGTAATAAAAGGAGTATCAACTGTTTTCGCTAATTGTTCAATTTTGATTTATATTTCTCCATCTTATGCTATTATTCTTAAATAATCTGTCATATTAATGAATTATATTAGTTTATTTTAAATATAAAAAATATATGTGCTATTATCCCATTAGTTTTCAAAGATATTAATCTAATTTAATTCCTGTGAAGTTATGTTGAACTGTTTAATAATTTATTCTGAATTTGAGTCTAAAATTGAAATTTTTAAGATGCAATCTATTTAATTGTATTCTATAATCGAATTTATATTCAAGCTATAAAATACAGCATAATTATAAAGAGGAACTTGCTTTATTTAATAAAATGATGCTTAATTATTTTCAAAAACAATTTTTTGAATAATATATTATTCAGTGTAAACAGATCCAGAAATAGTTATTAAAAAATCCTTTTTTTATCTTTAATAGACAAAAAAAGATGATAAAGTGAGATCTAAAATACTATTTTTTATTATTAAGGATCTATCTTCATTTAACAATATTTCCTATTATTTATTTTTAACAAAATTTATTTAAAATATGTCTAAAAAAAAATAATTCTCTTATTACCTTCAACTAAGTATCTATAATATAATAGGTAATATTTTATTCATTTTAAATTTAAAATAGTATATTTGGTGGAGATTAATCTATTGGCAGCTTACTTACTTGTGAACTAATTCCATCAAAAACAATTATTTGGTTGTAATTAGTGCTTGTTAAAATTATAATTTAGTTATTAATGTCAATATATCCTACATTAAGATCATTCTAAAACCCTGTCTCTGAATAAACAGTTTAGAATGTAGCGAAATTCACAATAACTAAGCTCTTATTTGCTAAGCACCCACCATAATTCCCTATTATAAAACTTTTTTAATTAACTTCTACCCCATGTTGCATGTATAATTCTTCAAAATTAATTAAATTTTGTAGAATATTTGAATTGATTATCTCTAAATTTTAGTTGGCTAGTGCAAATTAGCATTAATTACCTCTAATAAAGTATTAATTACCTAAAAATGAGTTAACTTACAATATTCTTTAATTGAAATTATTAAAACTACTTTCAAAATATGGGCACTATTGTATTTACTCGCATTGATGAGTTTCAAAATTTTAATAAGCGAAAGAGGAGCATATTTTTTAGCATTAACTTTGTGTAAAAGGGGACTCAATAAACTCCGCATTTGATTCACAAAAGTTTTATTATAGAATACACTTATTATTTTCTTAACTAAGTTATAAATTAACATCACATTTTAAGCAATTTTAACTAGCATCACATTAGATACATCCTTCGACTAAGCATTAAACGCATTATTAGTTTTGTGTATTTATATAACCTTATACACAAGTTTAAGTACATTAAATGTTATTTTACATACTATTAAAGGTGCCAGTTTGACATTTTATACAGTTATCTTCATTAGTATTAAAGCATTGTTAGCAATTGCTAGAACATTTCAAGCACTATTAAGACAATATATTATAAATTTCCCCATTCAAGCACTAGCATGATATCTTTGAAAATATAACATAGCATATAATGATATTATAATCTATTTTCATAGTTAATTTTTTTGTATTGTGACTATTATTTTTGTTTTTTTTTGTTTGTTAGTTTTTTTTTTTACTGTTTATTAGCTAGTTTGTTTGGTTTATCTCTATCAATAATATTTAATTTTTTTAAAAAAACTTTCACTAACTGATGTAATTTAAATGTATTAAAAATTAATTAGTTAATTAATTCAAAAAAAAGGAAACTGAATGATTTTTGTAGGAAATAGCTCACATTTTCAGATTTAAATTATATAATCTAAAAAATGTTAATATTTATTAACCAAAAAGAAATGATAACTTTATTTTTAAGTCAATATTATTAGGTGTAAATAAACATTTCATTTTTAACTTAAAAATTATTTTGTTTACTTGTTTGCTTACTTATATATTTGTTTGTTTAATCTTTATCAGTAATATTTAATTACTCATTGATAAAATTTAAATGTATTAAAAATCAATTAGCTAATTAGCTAAAAATAAAGTATACTTAACTATTTTTGTATGAAAAAACCCACATTTTAAGATTTAAATTATAAAATCTAAAAAAAATTTTGAAACATAAAATAGAAGACACCATTTTATTATTATTTATTTATAAAAATACTTCCATTTAATTGCTTACAAAAAATTAATTGTGAAATTTTAATCCATTTTATTTTTGATTATTTTATTTCTAATTATAAAAAATAGTCATACAGAATCTTCATTATTTGAAATACTTTAAATATTGGGCTTATCTATAGAAAGAGGAGCAATTAATTTCTAAGGTTCATTTAATTAATTGTTGTGTGAGCTTTGATCTCTTTCTTATTAATTCTAAGCAATTTACCAAATAGTAATCATACTGTCTATTCCAGTAGTAACAATACTGTTATTTAAATAAGTTGCGTTTAGTATACTATCTTTATGAGCCTTTTCTACACTCTATTTTAGTTGCCTTGATGACAATTTATAAATATTTATCTTTTGATCTGCACCAACTGATACTAATAAATCTTTTCCTTCTATATAGACAACACTATTAACTTATCCATTATGATCTGAAAAAATATATTCTTATTAACCATTTCTGTTCCATAACCTGACTGTGCCATCTCCACTACAGCTTACAAGTTAATTATATTTTTTTATATAAGTCAAATTTTAGACCCAAGAGTTATGACCTTAAATTTTAAAGAAATGATTATTTTAATATTGAATAATAACTTATGAAATAAATTACCTTAAATGTCTAAAAGCATAGTCCCTTTTCTTATGTCCCAAATCATTATAGTGCAATCATCTGATCCAGAAGCTATTGTATTCTCGTCAATAACACAAACAGTTAAAATTGCGAAATGATGTTATTTTAATGTTTTTTCACATTTACCTGTGCTCCATCTCCATACTTTTATAGTGCTATCATAGCTTCCACTTACTATTAATTCATTTGAAGTTTTACATATAGAGCTTATTGTATCAGTGTGACCTAATTATTTATAATATTTTTCAATTTTATTTCTCATTTTATTAAGTTACCTTTTAGAGTTTTTATGCATGCTCCATCAGAAATATTCCATATTTTTATAGAGGCATTTTCTCCAGAACTTCCAGATGCAATCACTTTGCTTGGTATCAGTAAACATAAGGAATGTATTGAGTTACTATGCCCAATTAATACTTAAATACATTCTTTTTTATTGTCATCCATATTCCATATTCTGATTGAAGAATCATCTCCTCCTGTAGCTATAAGATAGTCGTTTACTGCCAGAACTGAATATATACCAACTACTTCTCCATCAACAATAGATTAATACTAGTTTAATAGCTATTTTTCTTTAGGCTTCGCATAGTCTATTATTTTATGATTGTTAGTACCTATTCCGTAAGGATTATAAAAATCTTGATCCTTAATTCTTCTTACCTTAATCTTAAAAATAAAAAAAAACTTCATATTTATTTTAATATATTAAATTAAAAATATACTATTGAAGTTCCTAATCTCTAATTATCATATTAAGATGAATCAATTCTTTTTGTTTTATTTATTTCATCATTTTATTTATAAGTGTTGTAAGAAATAGATAAATCTTTTTCTAAAACACTTTCAACTTAAGTTTTCTTATCAATATCTAACCCCTTACTTTTATCTGATATATTATTTGAGCTGAAACCGTCATTCATATTTGGCTCAAATTGCTTTTGATCTTTTAAATAAAATCATTTAAAATTATATATTGAAGTTTTAAAACAATAATTTATATAAATAATTAAAATAATTCAATAACTAACTACATGAAGAGATTTCATCTCCATCTGAAAATGAAGGAACTTCTATGCTTTCAAACTCTTATTTAATAGTGCTGAATTGTTAATTAATGAACTAAATATCTCCATTTGATTCTTATAAGATACTTTAAATTTCATCAAGGGCATTTTTAAATGCTTCTTGATATGATTTTGTTTATTAAGCAAACAATCTTTAGCTAGATTTTAATTGCCCTATTATTTATTTATGCTTCAGGAAGAGAATAGGATTTTTACACATTGTATAAAGATCTGCATATCCTATTCTTTCTCCTAAATTATAGTGTAGACACTGTTCTAGTATCAATATTAATCCATTTTTTTTACCTTTTACAATAAGTTTTTCTAAATTATCTTTTATAATTTCATCATTTGGACCTTCTTTCTAAACAGAAGGTAAATTTCCCAATTCTTTTTCTCTTTCTGATTACCCTAGCACCTTTTTACCTCTAAGCAATTGTAAATAAGCTAAACCTAAAACATATGAATTACTTTTTTTCATTTATAACTCAAGTGGCTATTCTGAAGTCTATTTAAATTGAATAGAATATCATTATTTCTCTAAAATAATTTATAATAATAAGTATTGCTTACTTGTGAGTGAAGTACATTTAACATTTCTGGTGAAAGAATTATATTTTTAGGCATTTCGTTTACATCTAGCTCATTTTTTTAACCTAAAAAGTCAAAAGGAATAACTTTAGCACGAGCTCTTTGTGAATCGCTATCTATGTCAATGTAGATATTCATTGGAAGTAGAATGAAATCAAGGTTTAAGTTATGAGTTCCATTATATACTGAATCCACTAAAAATAAAGATTTCGCAATATCCCTAAAAGATGTCTTTGCATGCTTTTCTCCTATTGAAAAATTGCTTCTAGAGATCAAATCCTACATATTTTATCCGAAATCTTCGAATAAAATTAAAATATAATCACTATCTTTAGAAAAGTGGTAAAACTGCATTTTTAAAAAATGCTTATTCTCTGAAAGTACCTCTAAGCAATTAAGCATATTAATAAAAGTATCTACTTTCATATTTTTTCTATTAAATCTGTATTAAATAAGATGTTTCACATTCTAATTAGGGAGAACTTCTCTTACCTTTTCAATTTAGATATCAAAGTTTTACTGGGATTATACAATTACTTTAACACTTGAGAATTATGTTATGGACTTTAAACACTTAGGATGAGATTTTACATTTTGCTAAGTAATTTTTATTTAATCTTTAATTTCACTTAAAATCATTTTAACTTTTCTTGATAATAAATAGTTAGAATAATTCTAGTTTACCAAAAAAAATAAATACAGATATAAATTTATAACAAAATAATCAAATGACAAAGATTTTTTAATTAAAGCAGATTAATCAACAACATAAGAAGAATCAAAAGAAATAAATCATTATCAATATAACTAATTCTATTGAATTTTAATTTTGTTAGTATTCCAAAAATAATTATTATAAATATAGAGAGTAATCTAAATATCCAAAGGATAATGTCAATTAATTAAAGCTATTTCTGGTAAAAATTTAATTTTTTGTTAAAAAGTATTTTTGTATTATGCTCATTACAAAATCTAATTTCGATCAATAACTTTTTAAAAGGTAATTTTATCTTTAGAAAATTATTTATTTAAATTTCCTTTAATAAGAACAAGCCCTTAACCTATATAAACAATATGATTAACACATTTAAAGTTCAGAACTTTTTACAATTAGTTGATATTCATTTTTAAAATTTGCTTTGCTTTTATATATTAAAAAGATTATTATTATACATACGAAAATCCAATAACTGTATAGTACTATTTATTAATTAAAAATTATTTAATTGGTAAAAAAATTAGATAGATTTCAATTTTTATATAAACTCTTATCAATATTGTTTAGTTAAAAATAAATAGATCATTTTCTTTAATTTAAAAACAAAGAGCTCATAAATTTTAATGAAGTTGTTAGCGGAGGCTTTAATATTTATAGGTTTTGTTTGGGTTGTTCAAGGTTAAGAAATATAGGGCGATAGAGCTCAACACTATTAAAATTATTTAAAATAATATGATTCCAAATTAGATGACTACATCAAAAGAGAATAATTTGGCAAAAGAAATTTATAAGGCACAAATTATCCTTACAAAATATAATTTGACTATACTGGGATATTAGGTTCTAACATAGGTACAAATGGATTAACGAGTAATATAAGTACATACTTGTAAAGTGTAACAAAAATGAGCTCATTTTATCTATCTAAACTAATTTACAGTGATTCTACTATTAGTAGTATAACAACAGCTAGTTGCGGAACTTATACACCTTCTCCCACTTAAACATTTAATAACATCAACATTGTAGTTATGGTCAATTTTGTAAATTTGCCTACAAGTGCTTTTCTTACATCTTCAGGTAAAAATCTTTTTTAAGTACCTAGCTTCATTATTAAGTTAAATAATTCATGTGAGTAAAAAAAATTAGCTTACAAATTTTAGGTTTAAATTTTATAAGATTTTTAACAAACTCTTTAATTTTCAAAACAATAGATACTTGCTAAAGAGATTCTACTACGTAAAGACCTATATTAGGACTTTTGACATTTAACATAGCAATACTTATACCTCTGCCTTTAAATAATAGCTATGATTTCAAATAGCATTTTAAAATGTCAACATAGGAAATTATTCGTATTTTTGGTTTTCGCTTAGATTAATTATAGTACTGGATAAACCCGATATCTACATCTACCCCTTAAAGCAGTTATGGAACAGTAGGTGTTTAGCAAAGTGTTATCTATTCTGTTATTCTTAGAGGTTTTACAAATACTTTGTTTTTATAAACTCCTTTCATTACTAAAACTGCTCAGGATTACTATAATTGCAATACAGCATAAGGCATGCAGTTAGAAAATCAAGAAAACCTATCTATTCCTAATGCAAGGTTAGATTTCGAGAGAACAATACTTTATAACGAAGCTTTAACTGCTAATATCCTAGATGGAAATTCTGTTTTTAGCATATTTACGGGTTCTCTTTTGAAGGATATGGGTTACTTTAGTCTTATAGATTTTAATTTTTTGGATGATATTATTTTTGGATAGAATGAAGGCTGTAATTTTTTGAGCAAAGTTTGTTAACCCCCATCTTCATATCCTGAATTTAATTATGGTGGAGGCCAGCAATGTGATTTTTATGGTTAAGGGATAGGGTAAAATACTGCAGATAGCTTTGTAGATCCTGGATGTGTAATAACACAAGTAAATAAATCTAATCTATGTGAAAATGCTTCTACTGATACTTCTACTAGACAAATTGGAGGCAATACCTCTAAATGCTTTAGTTCTAGTGCTGTACAATATTTATAAACATCTACTCTTCCTAATGCAAGGTGTCATGAAATGGCATGCTCATCAGATTTTAAAACAATTTTTATAAGACTTTTACCAAACTAATAACTAATACCTATCTGTACTTTAAACACATAAGGTTAGACTGTAAATTTACATGATTTTACATCTAATCTCCCAGATCAAACAGGCGGATCTCTTGCTTGTCCTAATAACTATAAAAATTTCTGTCTTTAACCATCGCGTTGTCCGAATAATTGTAGTATGAATGGGTTTTGTATAAGGGTATATTTTTTATTTAAATTAAAATTATTTTACTTTATAATTTTTTGATAAAGAATAACTGTGTTTGTTCAGACTACTACGCTGATGTTGATTGTTCACGTTCTTGTTCTTCATCAACACCTTACTGGAATGGTACTTAATGTGTAGCTAGTTGCCCCACCAATTTATATGCTAACCCGAATAATGTAAAATTAAACATAAATATATTTTTTTTATTTCTGTAAACAAAATATCATTATTAAATTAAATTACCTAAAAAATCATTTATAAATTTTTTATATAATAATACTAACTAATATGATCCAATTATAAAAATTTGATATTCATTTTATTCCTAATAAATAATTATTTTTTTAAAATAAATTTTATTTTATCAAACGAAAATATTTAATTTTAAAAATTTTTAAAGACCTGTTTATAAAGTTGTCCTGATGGATATTATATAGATTCAATTTCCAAAACTTGTAAATAATGTGATCAGTCTTGTAGAACTTGCTCAAGCTCTAATGTCTGCCTAACATGTAATTATCCTTATGTTTTAGATGTTTCAGGATCTAAATGCTAATTAATTTGCAACAGTGCTTGCTTAAAATGCTTTGGAAATAGTGTAAATTAATGTTTTTAATGTATTGATGGTTACTACCTTTAAGGATATTCTTGCCTATAATGCCAAGCACCTTGTTTAAAATGCTCAAGTTAAGTTACTTGCTTAAATTGTATTAGTAATTATACTTACAATAGTGTTAGCTAAACATGTAGTCCTAATTGTCATTCCTCATGCTTAACATGTTCATCACCTGCAGATCCTTCTCAGTGTTTAACTTGCTAATCTAATTCTTACTTAAATTTAGGATAATGTTTAAGATGCTAAAGTCCTTGTAGCTCATGCAGCGGAACCTCTACTAATTGTACATCATGCATACCTTCTTATAATTTAGTTAATGGGTATTGCTATCCTATATGTATTTCCAAGTGCTCTACTTGCTCTGATACTACTACATGTAACCAATGTTTTACAGGTTATTATTATGATACTTCTACAGCAACACCTAAATGCTCTTAATGTCCTACTAATTGTACTAGCTGCACTAGTGCTACTGTATGCACTGATTGTGTTTTTTCATATACCTTAAATAGTAGTAACTCATGTGTTGCATTAAGCCCTGCTCCAGATCCTCTCTATAATTGCTTAACTTCTTAATTGAATCCAACTAAATAATGTTTAACATGCTCCACAGGTTATTTCCTTAATAATTTAATTTGCTAAAAATGTAATTCTAATTGCTTTTCATGCTCTGGTTAAAGCAATTATTGCACTTCTTGTCCAAACGGAAGCTACCTAAACACTTTAACAAATTAATGTTAGTTTTAATGCCATCCAATATGCTAGACATGTTCCGCTGGCTTAGATCCAACAAAATGTATTACATGCCAAATAGGATATGCCTTAACTGGTTAAGCTCCTAATTCGTGTACACCTTGCTTAAATAACTGCAAAAGGTGTGTAATTATAAATACAACATAGTAATGCTTAGATTGTGTACTTAATTATCAGCTCAGTGGAACTGTTTGTAATCCAATTTGTGATAGATCTTGTCTCACATGCTCTTAGCCATACAATTCGAATGCATGCTTAAGCTGTCCTCCAGGATATTATTTAAACAGTTAGTCTTAATGCTAGCCTTGCTCTGCTCCTTGCAGCACTTGCTAAGCTTCGAGCACAAATTGTAATTCATGTATCACAAATTACAATCTAATAGGATCTTAATGCTTTCCTACTAACTGTGATTCTACTTGCTTAACATGTTCTATCCCTTAAAATCCTAATAATTGCACAAGCTGCAAAAATGGATTTTATCTCAATAGTTTTTAATAATGCAAACCTTGTGATTCCACAACCTCATTTTGTTAGACATGTGTATCTTTATCCTCATACTGTACTTCATGTATTGCAAATTATTAATTAATAGGAAGTACATGTAAACCTATTTGCGCTTTAAACTGTGCAACATGTACATTGCCTTTAAATATGGCATCTTGCACAGCTTGCTAAGATGGATACTTCTTAAATTCTGGTAATTGCACTCCATGCTAGTCACCTTGCAAAACTTGTGATTAAACCTCTGGTACCATATGCAAATCTTGTATTAATTAATATACTTTACAAGGAACTTAGTGCGTTTTGGCTTGTGATCCAAGCTGCTCTAAATGCACCTAGCCAAATAATAGTAATGCTTGTTAACAATGTTAACCAAATTACTTCTAACCTATTAATACAACTTCTTGTTAATAATGTGGAGCAAACTGTATAAAATGTCAAGATATGCCTGAAAATTGCATTACATGCTAGCCTAATTATAATACCGTTAATGGCGTTTGTGTTTTTAATTGCAGTGCAAATTGTAGAACATGTGTGGATTAATATTAATTTAAATGTTTAAGTTGCTACAATGGGTATTACTTAGATACACTTTTATAAGTATGTGTATAGTGTCCTTCTCCTTGTAATTTATGTTCTTCTGCAAATACTTGCTTGAGTTGTATACCAAACTATTAACTAAATCCAGCTACTAACTAATGCCTTCCTATTTGTGATGTCTCTTGTGCTCCAAATTAATGCTCAGTACCTCAATCTTAAATTGCTTGCACAGCTTGTAATCCTAATTATTTCTTGTAAGTAACATCTAATCCAAGTTCTCCTGGAACTAATATTTAAAAATGTATTTAATGCTCATCTCCATGCTAAAATTGTACTGGTTCAGCTACTTTTTGCACTTCTTGTGTTACTAACTATGTTTTGCAAGCTAATACTTGTGTACCGAACTGTGGAAATAATTGCTAAACTTGTATCGACCCTTCTGATTCAAATACTTGCACTTAATGTAATCAAGGTTATTATCTTTCTATTACTATGACTCCAACTAGCTTAGTTAAACAGTGTATTGCTTGTCTTTTTCCTTGCAGCAATTGTTAAGGTAGTACAACTATTTGCACTTCTTGTGTTGCAAATTACTCCCTTTATGGAAATGTTTGTATCCCTAATTGTCATTCTTCTTGTAAGACATGCTAATCACCTTTAAATAGTAACTCTTGCTTATCTTGCAATCCTGGTTTTTTCCTCTCAGGTACAGGCACAACAGGTTCTTGCTTACCATGCTAATCACCATGCTCTACTTGTGTGAGTGATCCTACAAATTGCCTTTCTTGTAACACTGATTATTATTTAAGCCCAAGACCAGTAGTAACACCGACACTTTAAAACTAATGTCTCCCTTAGTGTGATTCAACTTGCCTGACCTGTAAATTACCTAAAAATAATCAGTATTGTTAAACATGCATTGATGGTCTATATTTGTAGCTTTTAGATTCTAACAGTGGTAAATGTTTTCCTTGCAAAAGTGAATGTTTTTAATGCACTAATCCAACATAATGTACCTCATGTTAGCCCAACTACTAATTTGATGCTATCTCTTCTCAATGTCTCCCTAGTAATTGCAGTAGAACATGCTAAACTTGTTCAATCCCTTATAATGAAAATGCTTGTACCTCCTGTTACTCTGATTCATGGTTTGATTCTTCTTCAAAAAAATGTATATTTTGTAGTTTCCCTTGCAAAACATGTAATGGCTCATCTACTAACTGTTCTTCATGTTTACAAAACTACTCTCTTGTTCCTCAATCAGACGGGACAAACTTATGCAAACCAAACTGCGATCCTTCTTGCCTAACTTGCTCATAGCCATTAAATCCTAACGCCTGTTTGACTTGTAGAACACCAAGATATGTTCTAAACTCTAGCAATTAATGTGTGAGCTGTCTGCCTTAATGTATTTCATGCAGTGACACTATAGATAACTGCTAATCTTGCATAGCAGGATATTAATTATAACCTATTAATCCAAATAATCCAAATTATAAAACATGCTAAATTATCTGTAGCACAGGATGTTCCTCTTGCTTGGGAGTCTCTTCATATTGTCTTTCATGCATAAATGGATATGTTTATGACTCTAGACTAAAATTATGCAAAATAGTATGTGATCCTTCCTGTTTTATGTGCAGCTAATCTTACTCTCCAAACTCATGTACTCAATGTTGGCCAGGATATTACTTAAAAAGTAACCAATGTTTGCCTTGTCAGAAAGGAACTTATTCTAATTATAATGAATGTATTGATTGTTTGGATAACTGCGTAGAGTGCATTAATTCAACAACATGCAATAAATGTAGAGCAGGATACTCTCTAAGTTCTAATAACTAATCTTGTTTATATAATGGTGTTTAAACAATAGTAGTTACAACTGACTGCAATTATTCTTGTGCTACATGTGTTGATTAGAAATACACTTCTTGTGTTACATGTGCAGCCAACAGATAACTCTCTAATTTTTATTTTACCTCTATTGGAGCATGTATTTGTCCTCCATCATATTCAGATAATGGATAGGCATTTTGCGATTTATCATCTGCTCAGTCTTCAATCAAAGGATCCAATACAGCATTATATGCTTCTTCAATAGCAACTACTGTGATTTTATGTAATAATTATTATTTAATTTGATACTTTAGATTTATTGTTTAATTTTATTAATAGCTACTTTAGCAAGTAATCCAATTACATTCTTTGGATATTTAGAAATAACCTAATAATTAAGCTATATAACTTATGTTAACTATTAGTCTAAAATGGGTTTAGATGAAAACATGCATATTTTATATTTATCTCACATAAGCAATATATTTTCATTAAATAGTATTGGCCCAACTCAGAAAAACACGCCTCTTACAAAAAATAACTTAAGAAACCTTTAAAATAGTTAAAGAGATATCATGCTATCAGAATATGATACTGGAGTTTCTAAATCATAGTTGCAAATTAATGGAAACAGTAAGTTCTATTAAAATTAAAAAACTCCATATTTTGCTATAAACTCTATCCCTATAATTGTTATTACTGCTCTACTTTGGATTTTAAGTTTTTTGGCTTCTTTTATCAAAGCAAATTAAGACTAAGTTTGGAAATCTAAGTTAAAAAATTTGCTCTATAAATCACTTCCTACAGTATTTTTTATAATAACTTATTAAGAGTTATCACTTCTTATCTTCTTTTAGTTTGAAATTTTTAACTTTGAGACAAGCTTAGATGGGTTTAGCTCAATCTATTCTATCTTTGTCTTTTTATATTAAATTGGGTTTTTAGCTTATCTTCTTTATCTTTTAGAAATTAAAGGAATATTTAAAAATACTTTTGCAACCAAAATAATTAGTTAAGCTCAAACGAATGCTTTCCCTTCATCTAATACTATTAAGTCTTAAGAAGTAAGCCAAAATGTAATAAAAAGTAAAGTCTAGAAACTTAATTTAAAAGAATAGAGTGTTATACCACTGCAAATAGTACCTGAATACGAAGAAGTGCTAAATTAAAATATTTAAGAAATTAAAAAATCGTATTGGATCTTAGAAGAATACTTATCTCATGAGACATTTTTAAAAAGAATTTTTATTTTTGTTCTTATCCTAAATAAAACCATAAATTCAATTATCCAAGTAACTTCTTACGATGATCCTGTTTTACAATCTTCACTGATATTTGCTTTTAATTTCCTCTTTATTGTTTACTTGATTATATCAAAACCTTTTAAAAGCAGATATCATTTGATTTGCTATTTAATTTGTGAAAGTATTATATTATTAATTAATATCTTAGTATTAATACTAGTAAATACATCTGATTAAAATGCTACCTCATAAACAAATATTTGCTTGGCAATCCTCTCATTTACAATAATCTTATTGTGTTTCTATTTTTTAATTTCCATAATAACTCTTATTAAAACCATACATTTGTACTGCGTAAAAAATGATAAAATTTTAGCAAATACAAAACTTAAGTAATCTAGTATTAGTAATAGCACAAATTTAACATATAAAAGATCACAAATAGTATTATCAAATTTTAGAAATCTCGAAAATACATAATCACAATTCGAATAAAAGTAACAGATTTACAATAATCAGTAATATAAAAACGTAGCTAATGATTCAATTATGAGTTAAACAAAGTATACTTAAAATCATAATGACTCCATTTTATAAGTAGAAGAAGATTTTTAAATTGTTAATTAAAAGCCTGAGTTTAGTTCTCATTTAGATCTTAAAAAATTCATCAGTAAAAAGTAAGATATGGCAAAGCTTAGAAATAACTTTATTTTTAACAATTAAAATAATAACTAAAATGTTGAAAGAACAGTTTTACTTGATGATAATTCTAACCTTTTTCATTTTATTCCACAAAGATAAAGATATTAAATTAAACCTGTGATCGATGAATTGCTTAAAAATTGATTTATTTTTAATTAATATATTTATATTGATAAAATTTATATATTTTTTAATTTAACTAACTCTTCTAATAAATTAGCTTAAAAAATATTGCAATTTTATGAAATAATTTAAATTAATTATAATTTTTTTTTTAAAACAAATAATTATATTAATATTACTTTAAATATAATATACATCATTTTATCTTTAAATATATATCATACAACTATTTAAGTGGAATAATTTTAATTAATTATTGAGTAAGAAAATTTATTTTTTCAAAATTAAATTAAAAATTTTTTATTTTTTTTCAATTTGATGACATTTGATTGAGGGAATACAATTTGTAACAAATTATTTTAGAAATAATAAATTAAACTCCAATGATTTCTATTCAATCAATTCTCAAAAAATAAGTGTAATTTTTTATAGTTTTTTTGCTATGGAGATTTCTTTTTATTATTAAAAAAGTTAATTTACTTTTAAATTAGATTATATCTACCTATAACTTTATCATAATTATAGTAAGGATTATATCTTTTAAAAGTCTCAATTTTTTCAAAATCAAATTAAAATAAATTTTAGTTAATGTTTCTTTATTTTAGTTAATTAAATTCTATATCATAGGCATATTTATCAATTTTAATTGTTGATATTTAAGATTAACTATTTCTCCTGTCTAAATATGAAGGCTTCTAATTTTATTTTTATGCCCACAAGAACTACAAATACTTTAACCTTTTCTATTTTTACTATTCTCTAAAGAGTATCTTAGTGTAAAGGCTGCTGATTTTATCGGTTCTCTTTTTCAATCCTTAAATTGGTACATTTTATTTTAGAGGATCATTATTGATTTTCTTCTTTTATTCGATTAAAGAATTCATATTGATTAGATGCTGCTTTTATTTCGTTAACAGTCCTACATTTTTCTATATTCCAAGTCTTTCTCTAATTCTATTTTGCTTATTTTAATGCAATCTCGAAGATTTAACTCTCTCAGGATGACTATCTTTGATTAACTATTTGCTTCTTTAGGGAGTATAATTTCTTGGTTTATCATCTAATGATTCATCTATTGATTCATCTGATGATGAAGTGGTTTCTGAAGAAGATGAAGAACTTTAACTATTTTCATCAATTTTTTCTAGTGAAACCCTTTTTTAAATTTAAGTTTCAACTATTAAATCTTATTAAATTCCATCAATCCCTTTACTTACTTAATCAGAGGAGAATTCATACATCATATTTTCATCACAATTAACTATTTTTATTGGTGGCATAATCTTATAAAAATTCTCATCGCTCATTTGCAATAAATTTTCCACGTCTTAACTCATCTATGGAATTACTGCCTTTGTTAAGAAAATTCGATATTGTTTTAGTTTTAAGTTAACCTAACCTTTTTATGGTCTTGCTTTGAAAATACGTTTTTTTCTTTCAATATAAAATCTTTCTTAAGTCTCTTCAAAAAAATTCTAGTTAATTATTTTTTGTTTCGGTAATCTAAGATTGATTAGAGGGCACTCATCAAGCTCATGGTCTATGTTTTTGCATGATTTGCATTTAAAAGTTAGTTAATGCTCTTTAAGTATTAATTCATCTCTCCATTAGCAAAATGACTCATAATCTTCAGGATATTACTTTATTAATTCAAGGAATTTCTCCATCTCAAAATAAGCTAGTGTTAGCTATTCTGAGCTACTTTTTACTGAATACGATATAGGTTAATTTGTAAAAGCACTCTTTAAGCAAATATCTACACCTAATTAATAAATTATATTTAAAATTAAATTAGTAGAGACCATTAAAATTTACCTTTTGTAGTATATTTTTAGAGCACACACTCTTATTTTCTAGATGTAATAAATATATCAACTTATCCTTTAATTAAAAAGTAAACTTTTGATTGCATTTCACCTTCTTAAACAAATTGCTTTCCAGGTTGAATAATAACTTCTTCCATAGATTATGATAGTTCATTTATGAAGCTATGGCTAAGATGGTTTGGAATATATTTATTAGAAGTGAGGATTTTTCCAAAAAAATCTTAAAACAAAGATCTCCTCAAGCTTAAAGGGGCATCTTCTAATAATTTAACTGATCCTTCATCATTTTTTTATGATTTTCTAAGTAAATATTCTAAATAGTGCATCATCTAAAAAAAAATATTAAAATAAGGAAATTATTTTGAAATTTAAAAAAATTTAATTTAAATTTTTGTAAAACCATTTAAAATAGAAATATATTAAAAAATGTTTAATACACACACCTTCAAATTTACTTTCTTACAAATTAAAAAAAATAATTGTAATTTTTTTTACCTTTATTTAGTTCTTCTTTGATATGGATCTTTATATCATATAATTCATTATTTTTTATCTTTTTTAGTAAAACTCTTCTAAAGAAGCTGCATATTCTTAAAGTAAAAGACCAACTACTGTTATAAAATAGCCAAAAGAAATATATGAGCAAAGACATATCATCATTACAGTAAATCTTTCTGCATAGTTATAAGCATGAATATCACCATATATTACATTCATTAATGTAGTGAAAGCAAAATAAATACTGATATAATATCTCTCATACCACTCATTATTTATTATATCTGAGGCTTATAGCCAATTGTTAGTAGGGTTGATACTAATTTGAGATTACCCAACATAGTGGAATAAGGAGCCACCAATTTATATCTAAAGAAAGAGAATAAGCAATAGACAAAATATTTATTGTACAAATTCATTTTTACGCATAAACTAAAACTAATAGAATATTTACTTAATAATCTTTAGAACATAAGGTAATCTTAAATAGCATATGATAAGCAAAAAATTAGATAAAGTGCAAATAACTATTGCAAAATCTATCATAAATTAAAGCTTTATATATTTTCTTACTATTTTTTCAGTATCTTAAACAAGCTCTCCTTTTTCATAGTATCCTTTTATAAAACTAAGTATAATTTTTATGATAAAAATTATCATAATAACTTGATTAAACCATACAATTTCCTAATTAAAGCTGTAATAAATTGGAAGATAAAATAAATATATCAAAGTACTTAAACAGAATATAATATTCCAAATAAAAAAAAGCTTAGATTCTGGATTACTTGGAATCTTTTTGTTCAAAAAGAATACAATTTTATAAAAATTTCTTACTATTTATCTTTTATAAGAAAATGATTCTATGTTAATATCCTACTAAGATTCATATAATTTTGAAGTAGCTACATCACCAATTAAATCAAATTGAACTTTTCTCAAATGACGATAATTATACTTTTGAGAGAGTTACCTTATTTTAAGCACAAATAACTTACTTATCTTCGAAATTTACAGTCTTTAAAAAATATTTTTTTATTCATCTTATTGATCAATAGATTTGGATGGAGTATCTGATCTTTGTGGAGTAAAACTCCTTCTCAAACTATTGTTAAACTTTTTTTTTTTATGGTTGTATTTATTATTTATTGTAGGAGATATTTTATCTAACGGACTATCTAAGATGATCAATTGTTTTCTTTTCTTTTATTCATCATATGACTTAATTGGATATCTATAAAACGAAATGTATGAAGGTTCATCATCATCCTCTGTTTTAAGTTTTTTATGCTTTTTCTCATGGTATTTACGAGGCTAGTTAGTAAAAACTGTACTTGGGGGCTTCGATTAAGATTGTAAAATTGAAAGATCTTATTCTGTATTTTACTAACTTTGAAGTTCAGTTAGATCTATATTACTTTCTGTGATTAAGGAATTCATTAACAAATTTGAAAGCAATAGGTTATTATTTAGATTAATAAACTTTGATTAAAAAAAATTAGTAGTACCTTTTAATGCTGTTTTTCTAATTATTAAATTAAGTTTTTTTTTAATGTTTAATCATTTTCAACCAAAATTAAAAGATAAATTATAAATTTACTAATTAAAATGTGTTTTTATTAAATGAGCTAAAATTTAACTTCACAAATACTTTGAATTATTGAAGTGAAATAAATCTTCTTTCTTTTAATTAAAATATATTTTCTTAGTCTAAAATTAATAAACACAATTATTTAACTCTAAAAAATAAATGTTCAAAAAATAAAATTTCAATAATTTTAAAAGTTAGATTTTAAAATTAATTTTTTATTTGGATATTAATTAGATTTTTAAATAAAATGCAATGAATAAATTTTTTTTTAATTTTTATAATATATTTATTTTTATTTATTAATATTTATTTAATAAAAAATCTAATTATTTAGTTGTTAATTAAATGGTTTGAAATTTTTATCATAATTTTCAAAAATTTGCTGATAATATATTTTTATAATTATAGCAGCTTAATGGTACTAAATTATGATTATTTTTATTGTTAACTTGTATTTCTTTTCTTTAAAGAGAAGAATATTTTTAACAATCAAAAATCTTTAAATTCAAAAGAATAATGGATAAAAAAACTGGTAATTTAAATATCTAGTAATTTAATATTTAGAATTGATATAAAATGAGTAGAAATATATATCACTGAACTACATCACTTCTTATTTCTCCAGTGAGGTAATTTTTAATATAAGAATTTTATAGTATTTAATCAATAGAAAAGAAGGTAAATAGATTCTTTATCTTATGGAAATTAAGACTAATCTCTTAATGAACCTTACTCCAGAGGTAGTAATAAATAATAACTAATATCAACAGTTAAAAACTAAATAGTATGTAAAAAATTGAATATAAAACTGTTGTTTAGTTTTGAATGTTTTGCTTAACAAGGGTTAAGCAAATAGATACAGAAGCATCTAATTCTGGATTAATTTGACTTAGTGAATGAAGATTATTTTAGTCATCAAAATTTTATGCTAATTATAGAATATCACTAGAATCTTATTTCAAGAAAGTACTCAGTTGTTGGCATGTTTAAAATAAATACTGAGAAGACAAAACTAATCCCCTTTTGATTAAAAATTCATTTTCTTTTCCAGTACAATATTATGTTATATTCCCATGCGATTATAATGTAAAGTTATCTATGAGATTTAAATTGTCGTTTAATACTTAGCAACTGTCGTTTGAGAGAATATTTGAAATTATTTTGGCTTCATTTTAATCATCGCTAGCATAATTTGTCAATTGTTGTTAAAGTTGTTAAAATTAGTTATTTAAATCCTAATTTTTCTACAAAATAGAGAAAAAATCGTCAAAATATTATGATGATAAATTATATTAATTAAAAGGAGGATTATTTTTAAAGATTTTCATATTGAGGTTAAGGTACATTTCAGAATAGCTTCTGTTAATCTAGAAATTTATCTAACTAAGATTTTCAGCTAAATTTATTTAAAAAAATATTTTATTTATTTGATAGTTCCCAAAGAAGTATTATATTAAAGGCAAAACAATCAAGGCAACATAGCAAATTGTAGTTAGAACAATGATTTGTATCTTTTAAGTATTTAGGGAAATAGTCTAGCTTATAGCTCTTTTTTTCTTTTTACTTTAGTCATCTACTACTTTTGATAGCTGTTGGTTTCCATTTTAGGCTGATGTAAAAATAATCAAATCAACGAATTGCTTACCAGTTCCGAAATGAGTAGTAGCTTATCTCATTATTTAATAATCATCTTTAGTTTTGGAAAATAAATGACCATTTTCTATATAATGCTCTTTAAGAGCAAAACATGTTTCTTCTAAGTATTCATCAAGCTTGTCTCTAGGATAGGTGCAAATTAGCTTAACAAAGTCTTTTTTTTTCTTCTCTACGATTAATACAATGGGTATGACAATTAAAATAGCCAATGTAATTACTATGATATTAAAAATTAAATTATAATAAATCAAATTTACAAGTTAATTTAAACTGTTCCTAGAATCTTCTAAACTATTTTCAAAAGCTTGTTACAAAATTTATATGAATTAAATAAAGTTGCTATAGACAGGGACTTGAGCATCTGGCTCACTTGGGCTTAGTATATATTAATATCCAAAGACAAGGATTGATTATATCCATATAAAGAATGACACATCAGTCAAAATGTTATCATAATTTTTAAACTAAGATTTGAAATTGTCAATAAAATTAGCTCCATTTTCATCCTGTTTTAGACCCATTAATAAAGCAATATTTTATTTAAATTATTACAAATTATATAATTCGATTTATTAATAATTTGAGAATTCTGATTTTAAATTCAAAATATGTATACTTGTAATACCTGACTAATAAAAGCGAGTCTATTCAACTTTATGAGTGACTTAATTGGTACTGTTAATGATATCATAAAATAGCATACAGTTTTCAAATTTTAAATTTTAATTGAGCATAAAATTAACAAAGAAACCTAAAAATAAAATTGGGATGATGAGAGAAACAAACGAGCAGCTTTAACCTATCTGTATGAAGTACCTAGCAATTTTAGGAGCTCTGCTATCAAGAATCTATTTCTTTAGTTATTATTTTTCATGGTTAAGATCTTTAACTGAAGAAATTTATGACTGTTAATCTATTAAAAATATATCTCCATCCATTTATTTCATGTAATTCTTTTCATCTGCATCATCATTTCCATCATTAGACTGTGTTGATGGATTAAAGTAATTATTATTCAAGTCTTTATTAGCAAATTCTTTAACAAAAACGTCATTAAGTTAGAGATTAGATTCAGCATTTGTTAATTCTTAATCATTAAAAGATTTTAGTTTAATTTTAAATTGAAGATTTTTATAAATATTGCTGTTAGAGTATTATAAATAATCCTTCATTTATTCTCTAAACTACTCCATCCTATTAAAATAATATAAATATAAATTAATAATAGCCAATCAAATCTACTATTTTTAAACTTAAGCTATTAAGAATTTTAATTTAAAATAAAAAATATGTTTTATTTTATTAAATATTTTTATTTATAAATATTCATACGAAATTAAAAACTATATTTTAATTAATTAAACAAATATTTAAAATTTTTTGTTTTATAAAAATCTAAAAACATAATTTATAAGTTAGATTAAATAATATTATAAAATTATTTAAAATTCAATGAATATTAAATAAAAAGTGAATGAATTTTGATTAAATAAAAAAAATATAAATTCTTTACTGATTAGATGAATTTGGGATATTTGGATTTTGTCTGTTACTTAGAAGAGTAAAATTGTCTATTTGGTTAGATGAAAGAGTTGAAAGCATAGGACTTCTATAATTATCCTAAGAAAGTAATTGCTCCTCAACAATTTAATCCAATTATGTCTTAGAGTATCTAAAATATAGAAAATAATAAAAGTTAAATTTTGCTCAATTTCAAATTTATTTTATTTACTTTTGTGAATATACTTCTGGAGTTTTGCTATTCTTTGGTGTTTCAATATCTCGTGATGTAATAGATATTCTATCAGTTAACTTAAAATCAACAAACTAATTTTCAAGTGTAAAGTTATAATTAATACTATTTCTATTTAAATTAGGTGAATTTTATTTTCTTTAAGGAGAGTTGGCTGTATTAAATTAAGATTAGTAAAAATCTCTTCTATTTTAACTGATAATTGGACTAAATACTTATGAAGCGGGTTTTGTTTCGTCTAAATTAAATTAATTATTTTAGACTTAACATAAAGAATACTATTTTGTAAATTTTGATTCTGGACTTTGCTAACTTAAGTAAGAGAGAGATTAATTTATATTCAAATCCAGTTTTATGTTCAACTAATTTTAAATTTCTTTTTTAAGGTCATTTAGTTTTTCTAATATTTCTGAATACTCTCTAATTTTATTGACTTTTCTAAATTCAACAAAAATTACTGATACACCTATCGATGTATCTATTCTCTCTACTCTTAAAGATACGTTATAAAACTTAAACTAATCTAATTTTATTAAGAGCATGAACAGCTCTTCAGATTCAGATTTTAAATCTATCAGCTTTGTTTTTCTAAATTTAGAAACCAAATCGTTCTCTACAGGAACACACATAATTGTATCAACATAACCAGGCTATTTTGCATAAGAATTTTGTTGAACCATTAAGCCAACTAATGGAATGATTCTACAAGTATCTATGTTTTCTATTTTTTCTAAAAAATAGATTAAAAATTAATTATTTTAAAAATGATTTACTTTTGTTTTGCTGAAAAATATGTTAAAATCCTAGTTTAAAAATTCTTTCTGTAACATCTAAAATTCCTCCTTCAGTTTCACATAAAAAGTAATCAAAATCTTTATTGACTTCTTAAAAATATCCATTGACACCAAAATCTACTCCTTGATATATCTCTAATTTTGTTCTTGCATGAACTGGAAACATAAATCCATTCTTCCTCTTTCCAAAACCAAAAATGATACCTTTTTTTAAATTTACCATATTACCTCTTTCAACAAAGTGTCTTAAAGAATCATCATGAATTCCTGCTATGCAATCAGGCATCATCATATTACAGCTCTTTCCAATTACATCTTAAGCTCTAATTTTTTTAATAATTGTAATTGTAAAAGCAAATAATATTTTATATCAATAATTCAAAAACAAAGCATAGAAAAATGAAGGGGGACATAAGCTAATAAAAATTATAAGTATAAAAATAATTTAAAAATTTAAGGTTGATAAATTATTAAAAATATAAAAATATTTTTTGATTTGAAAACCCTAGAAAAAGTTAATCTTAAAATATTTAAATTAATAGAAAATAATCATTAATTATTTAAAAATAAATAAAATATGAGAGAAAAATTATTGATTTATATACTTAACTCCAAAAAGAATTTCAAAAGATTTAGATGCCCTCTTAATAAATCCTAAATTTTCAATCAAAGTGATGAATACCATACAAGATTTGTGATTAAATAGATCAATACCATAATCTTCTTCTTTTAAAAAAGTTTTCATAACTTATTTAGATTCTTTGATAAACTTTGAAAATTTTCTTCTTTAGATGTCAAAATTTTGTGTAAATATTTAAGCTAAACTAATCACATACTTTGAATTAGGATATATGTCAAATAAACTAGTTATCTTTAATGATAGTTTTTTTTAGTTTTCTAAGAAGTTCCAAAATTTATGAACAAGAAAATTTAAATCTATAAGATCTTAGTTCAAATAAATGAATAAGTCCCTCTTTTCAATTAAACAGTCACGAATTAAAATAGATACTTCTTCTGTTAAGTCAGAGAAATCAATTACAGACATCATATTTAGCCTTTGGTTTTAAATTGAGGATTTTTTCCAAAAAAAACTAAAAGATTGTAAGCAGGCATGATAAATCTCTTGCAGAGTATACTAATTTTTATAAATAGTGGCAGATTTATTAGATTTATTAAGCTCTTAAATTAATTCAACAAAGGATTTTGTTGGAATTTATTAAATTTCTATCAAAAAGTAAAAATAGCTAAATTTGAGCTTCTCATAGTTTCTGTTTTTATCTTGGAAGTTCTTCGCCAAAAAATTATTATACCTATTAATGAGAAAATTTATAAATGAATAAAATAATTTCTAATAATTTAATTTTTTTATTTACAATTAAGAAATAAGGAGACACAAAAACTAATTACGAGTTTGCTGATCAAAGAGAGATTGAAAATTAGATTAATCTTAATCTTTGAAATCATTGCAAAAGCATTTTTTATTGATACAGTTATTGACATGATCTGTATATATCCGGTCAAACATCATTCCTTTAGCCTCCTACAAATAATCTAGTAAATCCATGTCAATTAGATTTGAAATATGTCTACAGAAATAATCTAGATTGAAATAATCTTCTCTATTATTTTTTTTTTGTTAGCCTTTGGGTTATTAATTTATAAAATGATCCATTCCATACTTAATTATTTTTTGAACTTTTTTTTCTTGAACATATTCAGAAAGCTTCCATATTAAAGGTAGTATACATAAAATCAAAATACTTGAATCTAAAGATTAATTTAGTCTTGTATCTTCAACAAAAGTGGTACAAAACCAAAATAAAAAACAAATGATGGAATAAATGATATTCAGTCTAGATAAAAGATCATCTCTATAAGAGACAAACATAACTGAGTAAATTATTTTTTAGACTATCAGTGCTCCTATAAACCATTAAACTATGTCCACTTCTAAACCTTCAAGGAAACAGATTAGTGTTTCTTCTATAAAGTTTATCAGATAGTAAAAGCTATCTTCCCTGGCTAAATAATCTTAGTATTTAAAGGTGTAGCTGAAATCATGTAGAACTATAAAAATAGAAGTTAAAGTAGAACAAAAAAAGTTAATTAAAGCCAAATAAAGAAAAGAATTAGTTGTGTTCTCAGATTTGATTGTGTACACAATGCTAAGTGTCACTATAAAATGAAACAAATACAGGTAGCATTTTAAAAATATTGATACATATTTTGTAGCTAATATTTTTATTTGAGCAAGCAAATTACTTTTTAGATAAGATAATAGAAGTAGAAGAATTATTGTTAGTATTTGGAATCCAAGTGAAATTACAACTACATACTCATAAGGTTTTATGCCTGAGGTTTGCTTCAATTAATCAAAGTTTTAGTTTTTTATGACATTTGAACCTCTGAATTTATCAATGAATTCAAAAATATATTTCATAATAATGTCGCCTGAAATTATTTTTTGTTCATTGTTGTAATCATAAAGTAGACATAAAAACTGAAGATAATATACAGTTATTAAAATAATTGAAAAGGGCTTTGACCTTTAAAAGGAGTTAAATATTTCATTAATTTAGAACAGATATAAATTTTTTATCTAAGAAAAACACCTATTTTATTTATCCCTACTCTCCTTTCTCTAATCTGCTTGTTTATTAAATTCATTTTAAAGTTTTTTATTTTATTTTGCATTTGCTTGCTAATTCATTTGTGTATAATTTTTACTATCCTTTTTATTTCAATTCCAAAACAAAAATAGTCAATTTTTTATTTATCAATTAAAAAATTTTTTTAAACAATAAAAAAAATAATCTTCAAATTTTATTTTAGTTGTTAGGCTCAAAAATTATGACAATATTGTTAATAATACCTCATCAATAAAGCATTAATGAAAAAATATTAAAGTATTTTTTTAGGTGAAAAATTTATTTAATTTATTATTTATAAATGAGTTTGTATTTTTTGATATAAAAAAACTGAATTATTTAAATTTTTATTCAGTTAATCAAATGCAGTTTATAAATAACAGATAATTATAAATATGATTTTTATTTATTAATCACTATAATTAAATAATAAAAAACAATAATCTTTTTATTTTTACGATATAAAAGCCATTTTAATTATTTTTTCAATTTTCTTCATTTTCTTATTCATCTTTTTAAGGAGTAAAACCTGGGACAGGTTCTTCAACACTATAACCTGATTTTTCTATTTCGTCTAAATCTGCTAATTCACTACCAAAAATAACTTTAGAGCATTCATTTTTCTCTATCTTCCTTTGTACATGTTCTCTTGCAACCCTAATTATATTCTTTTAAAAATTTTAAACAAAAGAAAATGATTTTTAATTTTACCTCTCTGTTAGCATCTATTATTCCTTATCTATACTTTGCTCTTTCTATATCAGAAACTCCTATAATTAAATATAAATATAAAATTAATTTTATTTTTAGTTGGAAATTTTAAATAAATACCTTCTAAAGCATAAGAAAGGCCCTTATCTTGTGGATTTATGATCTTGTCATACTTGCTGAATAAACTTAGTTTGCTTTCTTTTAAATTCTCTTCACTTAAATTGAAAAAAAATTAATATTTTTGCTTGTATAAAATATTCAATTTACTTAAATTGTCCATCAGCAATCATTTTTACACCCTTAGCATATGCTTCAATTGTTTAAAGAATATTAGGATCTCTGTAGCTAAAGAAATTCATCACACCATCTTAAAGTTTACATCCGCTACCATAAGCTCCACCTTTTTCTCTTATTTCAGTATGAAGAACTGAAGTTGCAACTAATTCAGCTTTATTTATATATTTTAAAAATATTTATAAATTTGTTAGTATTAAAAATTTTTAATTATATTACCAAAGAGATTTAATACAGGTGTATCAGGGTGAGTATAGTGAGGAACTTCTAAAGATTGAATACAATAGTTAACTTGCATAGGTAAAGTGAAAAACTTGTTGATATACTTTCTTTAGAAAGGATTGGGATAATCCTCATCAAAGTAAAGAGGTTCATTTTTTGTTTTAAAAGCAGGATAAGCAAATGAGAAGTTGTCAACCATACGAGTTATATTGTTATAAATTTAATCAAAATTCTTTTGATCACCGTGCACAATAAACTTTATTTTGTGCTTTTTAATCATATAATCGATAATGCAGTGCATCTAGAAACAAAGATCATCCAAATATAACTTGCTTTAAGATTTGAAAAAGTTGGATGAGTAATTGCACAAAAATCTTGTCTATTTTTATAAAATTTTTTAATTTTTAAAAATATTTAAAAAATCTATTATACGTTTTTAAGCTTTTCCTTCATAAAGAAGTTTTCTCTAAGTGATGCACTACCAACACTAAATGCATATTGCATAGATTGGTCAATGATAGAATTAGCAACTTCATTACTTGTGTTTCTTAAAATTGTGCTTATATTTGTCATATCATTGAAATCAGGAGCTAAATTATTTTTTTAAAGAAAATTTCATAAATATTACTATATAATATTTAATTAAAATTTTAGTAGAAAATTTAATTTTATTATCATAAAATGAATAAATAATTTACAAGTGAGGAGTTCTTAAAGAAGTTCGAACATGTGTTCAATATTTCTGTCAATACAAGCAACATTCAAAAGAGCATAATTGAAAGGACCGTTAGGGTCATCATTATTGTTAATACGATTGCTAGATTAGAAATCAAATGAAAAATTAGTAGTGTAAAGACTCATTTATTTATGGAACTCGTCGTGTTTCATTTATTTGGTACCTATCCTAGTAATAAATGTGCAGAATAAATCAAGGTATTATCTAATGAATAAAGGCACTCTTTCTAAATCGAATTAGATTCTTAAAAATGTCAAGCCATTAGTGTTTTAATTGGTAAAGTAAATGGGGATATCTTTGTAAGTAGTTTATTTAAACTCAGTAGATTCTACTTCCCTATCAATATCAGAAACTTCCAAAGTTGGTAAACAAGAATAATCTTCATTTTTATTAGATTGTTCTTTTTCAAGAGTTTTATTGTCTTCCTTAATTTGTTAAATTTATTCTTATGTGAGCTAAGCTTGGATATTTTTTAACTTTTAAGATTCAATTTAGGCTTATTCTTGATGGTAATTTGAGTCAGCCTTCATGACAATTTTTACTTGATGTTTATTATTCAAAAAATACTTATCAATAAGTTTTTACAAATACTTCTCTTCAAATATTTTCTTTCTTAAAGTTTAAATATTTTCAGTGACTTTTAAAGCCTTAGAAACATCTCCATCGTGAATAATCTAAGTCATTAACATCTAAATTAACATAATTCCAAAGTTATCTTTAGGTATTTTAGCACCAATTTCAATTTAATGAAGAGCTCCTTCTATCATTTCTGTTTTTGAAAAAGAATTTCATTAATTTTTAAATATTTTTAATTTTCATAACATTTTAAAAAATGCTAAAGTAAATAACTAATTTTAATTATACCTTCATCAAAACCTTCTTCTGAAATTTGCTTGAGAGTATCAAAAATAATTTTTTCTACTGTCTCAGTATCTTATTCACTAATACCTTTATTTAAAATATAAAATACATTTAATAATTTTATTTTTGTAGAACAATTTACATACCCTAAACACCAAGATTAAATAAGCCTTCTCTGTAATGCATTTCAAATCCATTTCCAGGAGAGTAGCTGGGTGCAACTCCTGATTCTAAAAGTGCTTTGTATAAAGGAGAATTAGCAGTATCGCATAAGAGATAACTTAAAAGATTTAAAGCATTTCCTTCAATTTAATCTTAGGTTAAATCGTTACATAAAAAAGAAATACTCATTTTTACTTATTTATCTTTATCTAATGCTACTGGATCTTCAGGACCTTTTAAAACATATTCTTCTCTCTTTTCTAATCTTTTGGAAGGTTTGACAGAGCTGTCAAAGTTGTTAAGCTTTTAGAATTTATTAAAATAGTTTTCATTGATGTATTTAAGGTTTTCAGTGAAGTCAAGATCACCATATGAAAAAATCTTAGAATTAGTAGGATGATAGAACTTATTGTAGAAGTCTTTTATTTCTTAATAACTGAGATCAGTAATACTCTTTGGATCTCCACCATAATTGTGATTATAAACTGAATCTTTAATGCTGTGCTTTGCTAAAGATTCAGAGAAAATATTTTCTGAAGATTAATAGACACCCTTCATTTCATTAAAAACAACACCTTTGTATTATAAATCACCAGTTTCTTCATCAAAGTCATAGCGCCAACCTTCCTATTAGAAATCACTTTTTTTAAGAAGAGGACTAAAAGTGTTAGCAAGATAAACCTCCATCAAATTTTTGAAATCTTTAGAGTTTTATGAACTAAAAGGATAGCAAGTAAAGTCAGGACCTGTCCATGCATTCATATAAGTATTTAATGATCTCTTAATCATTTTAAAAAAGGGATCGCGTACAGGGTATTTCTCACCTTATTAATTAATACATTTTGTTGAATATTATACACACATATTTTAAAGGACAATCAAAAATAAGAAAAATGCTTACTTCCGCAGCATGTGAGATGCTCAAGAATATGAGGAGTACCTTTATCATCATGAGGAGTTGTTCTAAATATAACAGCTAAGCAGTTATTCTTATCTTTAGTATCGAAATGGATGAATTTTGCATCTGTTTGTAAATGGGTTAGGTAATATGCAGTAATATTGAAATCATTAATATTTTCTATTTTCTGTACTTAAAATCCATGAATTTAGTCACCCTCTTTAAGATTATATTCAGCTTTTGTTCTCTCTTTCAAGGAGCTGCTAAATTAGTTGAATATTTGCTAAGCTAACTTAGTTTATTTCTAGTTTTATTGGTAATTTAAACTCTTTTGTAAAATTCTAATCATCTCGCTATGCTTTTTGTAAATAATATTTTTTGATAATATCAAATAAAAATTGAATGTTTATTAATCTTATATGTCTAATATGAGCAAATATCAAAACTAGGACTTTCTATAGAATTTTCTTGCAAAATTAAAAACCATAAATGTAAGGAATAAATAATCTGTATCTTTAAATAATTTTATGTTGTAGATTAAATAAAAATTGATTAAAAGAATTTTTTAATACTAATTTTTAAAAGATTGTTTGTAAATAAATCGATTTTTTTTTAGAAAGAAATTATTTTTATTGAGATAAATTTGAAATAATTTAAAGTGCTTTGATATTAATAAAGCAATTAAGATATTTATTTAAATTAAGATAATTTAATAAGTGAAATTTAATAAAACTTCATTTTTAATTTGAAATTTATAATATTTAAATATTAATTTTTAGATATTTTAACTTGTTTTTAATAATTTTAAGTTAAATTGTTAAATAAATAGTATTTATTAAATTTATTAAGGAAATATATAAAACAAATTAATGTTTTTGATTAATTATAATAAAACTAAAACTTAAATTTGTTTTGTTTTATTTGACAAATAATTTTATTTTAGTTCATTTATATATTTATTTTTTAAAGCTTATTTGATTATATTTTTTTAAAATATTAACTAACCATTATGTGAATAAATAAAAATATTCTTTAATTTCTCAATTTATCATTGGTTTAAAATGTGAAGGGATTATAGACCCCCGTAGAAATTTTTTTTTTCTAGAAAAAGGGCTATGGTTTTTAAAGCTTTTTTATTGTTGAATTTTTTTAATGTTTTAATGTGTATTGTATTTTTTAATAATTGTCTCAGAATTATATTTAGGAAAGTATTTTGTGAAATTTTTTAGTGTTTCAAAATTCTAGTAAAAATAAAGTCTATGGTCAACATTATTCAGCTGAACTTCCTGCTAAAATTAATCATATGTATAAATGCCACCAATTTTTTGAGTTTATTTTCTTGGAGCTTTCATCCTCGAATGCTGACTCTCAGCTTGGATCTAAACTATTTTACCAAAAGATTGTATTGGTCTTTTTAAGTTAGAAGAATCTCCTCTATCTCTTCTACTAGATTTATTTGTTAGCTCTTTAACACTATCTTTTAGATTAGAATCTATAATAGGGTTCTCATTTTATTGCAAGATATTTTAAAAAGATGGAACTTTTATTTACGAATAATTTTAAAAATTTTGCTATTGAATAAAGTGGTTGCTGCTTTACTAAATTATTTAATTAATGTTATTTTCCATAGAATTAATATTAGAATACGCCAAAGGCATGTTGTTTTATTATGCTATTGCATCTAAATATGAGTTCATAGATTAAGAAATCTCATTGCTATGTTACTTTTCTAACTCATTCTAATATAAATTAACATTATTAAGCAGCTGATTTAACTCTATTGGAATCAAAGGATTTTCATCTTCATATTAATCTTATTTTGGTATGATAATACCATCTTAAGCAATTAATTCTGGCAATTCTTATACAAATTTTTCATCTTCGTAGGCCATGATTTAACTTTTAAATTGTTAATACTCTGGATAGTATTAAGCAGATAAAATAAATCTAAAGTTTCTAATATTTTCTTTAACATCATTCAAATAAGAACAACTAAATTTTTCTTTCTTTTTTCTAACAAATGTTTTTCTGTTTTCTTGTATCTCAATGTGGTTATATCTAAGTATAGTGTTGGCTTTCGAAATATTATTTGTAATTAATGGACAATTTTCTATAGAATGACTATATTTTTGGCAAGAATAACACTTTTGATCTAAATATTACTATCCGAAAGTAATTTCATCTTTTAATTCACAAAACTTCTCATAATCTTTCTAGTTTTTGCTTAAAATTTCTTTAAAATCCTTCATTTCAAAATAAAATAATGAGGTAGCTGTTTTTTCACTTGATTTTATATGGTAAGTGTATTCACTTTCGTTAAATGCATTTCTTAAACCAATGCATTCTCCTATTTTTAAAGTTAATTTTATTAAATATTAAATTAATTTAATCATAAAAGATTTTATTAAGAGAATTGCAGATTAATAAATTTTGAGTAACTTAATCTCAAAAGTTTTTAAATTGTAATTTAGAATTCATTTACCTTATTTTTTTATTTCCTAAAAGACTACTGGAGATCTATTTGGTGTCTCTATAATTATTTCTAGTTATCCGTAAAGCAAGAAATACACTCTTTCTTCTTGAGTTCCTTTTTAAATTAAATATTCGTTTGGATAGAGATGTTTTTCCTTTATTTTTAAGGACAATTCGTCCAAACTTTCTTTGCTAAAGTTAATGCTAAGAATTTTATTTTACTGAATAATTTTTCCAAAATATTCAATATAAATTTAATCTGTTAAATTTTTTGGGATTTGTTCAAACAAAATATCTATTGTTTGCTTATTTTTTTAATCAAGATTATATGAGAAATCTAAGTATTCTAAAACCTTTTTATATTAATTAATAATTGAAATTAAATAAAATTTTCAAAACCAAAAATATTAAATTCACTTAATTAAAATATATTTAAAAGAATATTTTTTATAGATTCTTAATATGCTAAGAAAAGGTTTTTGATTTAAGAAAATAATCTTTTGAAAAAGGTAAAATTTAAAATGATAAAAATAAATATTAGAGCTGTTTTTTTTTGTGGAAATATTTTTTACTTCTATTTATAGTGATTTATCAATGTTTCTATCATTTAAGTAAGACACTATGTCTTGCTTTCTCTTTTAGATGTTGGAGTGTTTAGTTGATCTTTCTTGCAAAATATGACCAATTGTATTCATAACATAACCAAATATAGCAGAGGAGCAAAGAGTCATAAATATAACATATATTCTTTCGTTTGAGGAAGTAGGATATATATCACCATAACCAACTGTCATCATAGTAATAAATGCAAAGTATTGGCTGGCTATATAAATAGATACCCAGTTATTATCTTGTGATAAATTAGGTAGTTATAGCCAAGTTTTAGAATCAGGATTTAATTAAAGCTCTTTATACGCTATGTAATGAAAGCCGCATCCTGTTATTTAACCTATAAGAAGTAATGTTATAAATAGCAGAGAAAGTTCATATAAAGTAGGATATTTGCGGATTATCTAAAAGTAATTGTCTGTTCTTTCAATTATTCTTTTTAGTTTTACAATGTAACCATAAAATAGCCAGCATAAAATATTATGATATTTATTAAAAATAAATATGATGAGCAAATCAAAAAATAAATAGGTCTTTGCATAATTAACAATAATTTATTTTCTGTCTAGTATTAGTATTCCTTACTAATAGTAACCCTTTATAAAGGATATAATTATATTAACTATTTAAAATAATAATATGGTATAGGTGAGAGGTAACAAATCTACGTTAAAGCTTATGTTAATTGGAATAAAAAAAAAGTATGTCAATATACTTAGTCCATAAAAAATATCCCACAAAGCGCATCCAAAAGTCTCAGGATTAAGAACTGGTATGCAACATTGTAGTTTTTTTAGCATCAGTAATTTTGAGTATATAGACATTTAATTAAAAGAAGATAATAACTTTTCTTAGTTATACTCAGATGAAGAGTAAGAAAGATCATTAACCACTTAATAATGTTTGTTTGTTAACTATTTTGTATTGTAAGTTAAAGAAAGCTAAAATAACTTCTGAAAAAATTATTTCACTAGATTCATCTTTTTTAGTTATTTATAAACATCAATAGATCCAGACTAAGTATTCATTTGAAAATTTGAGCTAACATTAATACCGTTCAAGTTAGTATTCAAGTTAAGTTAATTATTTATAAAAAACATACTTTAATTGTTGCTAAAAGGTCCTAGAGCATTAGAAAAGTTAGGATTTATGCTCAAATTATTTGATTGTTGAGACTAATCGTCTCTTATTCTGGCACTGTCAGCTCCAATACGAAACGATCCATTTCTTGTTTATTATATGCGAAATGATTTCCTCTATTCCTATTTTAAATCTTGAAATAACCTTTTATGCAAGTTGTATTCCATAGATTATTTGGCCTATTAAGGAAATTAATCGATGTACTATTACATTCCTTTAGAGTGGACATGTGCTGTAAAAAAAAAAAAATTAAAAAAAAATGATTAAGTAGAATTTATAAATTTAAATGAAAAAAAACAAATACTTTGATTTTATTTTGGCGAATTAATAACATATTATTCACTCTATTAGATGTTTATATCATTGTGATTTAAGTTGTTACGAGTGCTAAATACGTCAAGCTAATTGTTTGACAAAAAATCAATTTATTCATCATCTTTTTTGTATTTGATGCAATCAATCTCAGCATTATTTTCTTCTAAAAATAATTATTTCCTTTTATTTGCGCCTCTATTATAAAAATTCTATGAGTTTTCTTCAAATTTACTATTCTAATCCATGACACTCCCATATTTTGAATTATCAGGAAGATAGCTGTCAAACATAGATTGTGCAATTTAATTTGAAATACTAGGTTCTTACATATAAATTTATGTTTGAAAGTAATTAATTTAACAAACCAGTATGATTAAATTATTAATATAAATATTAAACACTTTTACTTTATTTTACTTTTGTTAATTGCAAGATAATATTTACAAAAGCTTCAGTCTTTGATCTTATTTTTTATTAATGTAATATACTCTAATCAAAGTTTCTTCATGCAGTTATTTAATAAAATGTAAGGGTATAAGTGAATCTTAATAAGATGCAAAATAAATCCTTTTAAAATATGTAAATGAAAAGATTTAACATATTTTAACGAAAATAAACAATAATATATCAATTTATTGTGGTATTGTACAATGTAAGATCTTTATTTAAACCATACATTTTAGGATATTTTACATTTTATTACTACATCTAACTAACTATTTTTTTAAAAAAAAATAAACAAATAATAACTAATAATAATTCAATACACATATATGATATAAATTAATAATGTTAAAGCCTTTAAATTAATAAATAAATGTTAGGTAATATATAAAAATGTTGGACAAGTAATTCAACTTAGAAAGATTAAATTAAAAAATTATTAAATACATTTTCAAAAAATATTAACTGAATTGTAAAATTATTTAAAAAAGACTAAATAACTCAATTTTTTAAGATATTAAAATTAGGTGTGAATGTTTTGAAAAAATAATACTTTTTATAAATTTGAATGAATTATTAATTTTAAAGTAAGAAAATAAATATAAATATGAATATGATTATTAAGCTATATTAAAAATAACATTATAAATTAAAATGTTTCAAAGCAATACTAAATATTTTATTAGCTTTTAAACAAAATTAAAAGAACTTTAAATTATATTTGTAAATGTGTGAACACTGTTAACAAATTATTATTTCAATTTTTATTTAAAATACTTTTTTAAACAATGACTTAAAATTATAAAATAAAATCTAATCAAAAATGTTTGCTTAAAGAAATAAGAAATAAATACAAAAAATTTATCATAAAATTGTTTTTAAAAGTCTAAGATTTTTTTTATCAGATTTTATCAAATATATATTTGTATCTTATAGAACTATAATAAAATTTATAAAATAATTAGATATTACTAAGAATACTAGAAAATATCAAAATTATTAATAAAATTAGGCAATTGAATTCTATTGATATTTATATAAAATATTCAAACTATTGCTTTTTATGAGTAATTTTATTAAATATATACCCATACCTATAGAACTATAAAATTAAAAATGAAAAAAATAATTAAATATTACTAAGAATCTCAAGAAAATATCAAAACCTTAATTAATATAGTGTAAATCCTCATTAATTAAGGTCAAAAAAATCTATTTTTTTTCACTTTGCTGCCTTAACAAAAATTTTCAAAAATTGGACCTTTATATAATGTGTCCTTAATTAATGAGGATTTATGGTATATATTAATTACAAATAAATAAAATTAGACGAATCCTATTGCTATTTGAAAATTCAAATTAGTGCATTTTATGAGTAATTTTATTAAAAATATTTATCCATACTTTATAGAACTAAAATGAAATTTATAAAATAATTAGATATTACTAAGAAAAAAAAGTAATTTATATATTAATTACAAATAAATAAAATTAGGCAATTGATCATCTTGATATTTATTAAAAAACTCAAACTAATGTTTTTATGAGTAATTTTATTAAATATATTTCCATACATAATAGAACTAAAAAATTAAAATATTAATAAAATGTTTGATATTACTAAGATGTGAATATAAGAAAATACTGAATATTATTAATTAAATTAATTTCAATCATATTCTCTAATTAATAATATTTAGTAATTTGTTCCATTAAATATTTAAGTATAAATTTAATTAATTAATTTTATTTTTTAAAGCAAATTCTTTAAGTAAATTTAAAATTTAATTTCATAATATTTTAATTTAATGAAAAAATTTAAGAGATTGCCTAAAATTTTAATTTTTAAAATAAAAATGTGTTTGATATTTAATTATTTCTATCATAAATATATCAAAATAAAGATTAAATTAATTTAAAATCTATAATATCGTTATTTAATTTTGCTTTAATAGCATTGGTAAATTAATCTTATTTATATTTAAACATAAAAGTAATTATTATATTTAAAATAAAAAAAATTTAGGATTATTTTTATTTTTATCAAGAAAAAGAAAATATTTTTAATAAATTAAAGGTATTTTTATTGTTTTTTGCTTAATCAGAAAAATATAATATACAAAGAAAAAATTTAAAAATTAAAAATGATAATTTATTTGAGAAATATTATTTAATTTCACATTTAAACTTTTGTATTTTTTTTCTTAAATCGATTTTCTAAAAATTGAATAAAATATGAACTGAAAATAAAGTTTAAATTATTTTAGCAAATTTTAATATTCATTTTTAATAGCAACAATTTTAATGACTAATGTAGAAGGACATTTTAAAAATTTTTTAATATTATTATTGATATATAAAATGATATAATTAAGTAATTAACTTAGATTGGAAAACTTCAAATTCATTTATTTATTGTCGCTTTTCTAGTTTTTTAGAAATAGTTAGATAGATAGGAATTTTCTAGAAGCTAGTCAATTGTAAATAATGTCAAAATATATTTTATAGAAAAAAAGCTAAGCTTAATTTTAGCTAGAATTCTCTGCCATAAAAAGTAATATAAAATAATAACTATAATGAGTTAAAAGCAGAATAAACAGATTCCTAGTATTTAAAGGTAAGAAATGTCATTGGATACTTATTCATAAATGACCGTTGTTATAGAAATTATTGATAAATCTATGTCTTCTTGAGCTTTAGTCATTTAATTAAAGTTGTTTAAACTATCAAATTAATATATTGATTAAGTATACTGAGAATAGTCTTGCAAAGAAAAGCTCGATATAAGGCTTTTGAATAAACTTTGCAATTTAGTTTATGTGATTATTACTCCTTGCTATAAAATAGGCTTATAGATTTCAGTATTGCAAGGAATATAGTTTTAGTCTGGCAAATTCATGTTTTAATTAGCTATATATGTTGGCAAAATAATACATAAATTGCTATTTAGTAACTAAATGAAATTTGTTCTGTCTACCTAACTAATTGATTAACAATTTTAAATTTTTTATTAAAGTGTATACATCTAGTTGTTTTACTCTTATGCTGATAAAATTAAATTATTTGTATAGTTTTACAAATTAGGAAGAGTTGTTGATGGGTAAATTTAAGAAGTTTAAGCATTTTGTTTAACTCTGATATAATTTGTTTGAATAAATAATGAAGAGAGTAATTAATTCATTAAGAGACTATCTTTGTTCAAAGTATTTAGTATTAAATAATTATCTTAAATTTAGTTTATGTAATTTTTTGTTACAATAAACATAATTGCAGGTTATATTATCAGTAAACAAAATATGAAAGTAGCCAAAATTATAGACGAAAAATTCGTTTTTTTAAGACTTGAAGTTTAACTGATTGTTTTTTTTTTAGATTTAAAGTTTACATTTAAATTTTAAGAATTTATTTGAGGAGAATCTCCATTTTTTTTGGTGTTTTATGCATACTTTACTATTTTATTGTATCTGCCGTTGTTTAGTTTATTATCTAGCATTCTAATTAGATAATTTTAATTAGCCTTAACAATAGAATCTTCAGTTAGATTTATATATTGAATCATTTTTTCAGGAGGAAAAGTGCACATTAGTTTCAGAAGATCTTCTTTTTTTGATTCTACTGAAATATTTACAGGAAGAATTATTACAATAGAAAAAAAAGATATTAGGCATGTGATAGTAAACAAAACTTCTAAGCTATTTGTCAAGGTATTTAGTGAGTCAGTCATTTCACTTTAAGATAATGATTAAAATTCTATTAAGCTATTTATCCAAGTAACAAAATTTGTATAGATTGGGCCCTAAATTTTTGAGTTGTCTTCTAAATTTAGGATATAATTAAAGGCATAATAAATAAAGAAATTCAAACTTTAAATAATAGGTTAACTGCTGTCCTAGCTTGTAAATTCACTAAACTCTCCTATAAAGGTTGTCTAAATTTATTTGGTGTTGAAAAATTCAATTCCACTTATTTCTTCATCCTAATTGTAGTATTTATTCATTGATTTTTTAAATTATTACAGATAAAACATGCTTTAGCTCTAAATTTAGGAAACGTTGAAAGTTTACAGACTAAGTTCATTTAAATTAAAACCTTTTATGTTTCTTATCAGCTCAACATTACTTACAATCTTCAAAAAGTTATTTGTAAAAGCTGCAATGCTTTATTCATTGTCATTATTTTATTCTAAAGTTTTGATTTTATTGTTTGCTAAAAAAAATTATATTATGCACATTGTCAGTAGGATTAATCCACTAATTTTTCCTATCTTTATGAAAATATCAGCAAATTTAGGAGGCTTTTTATGCATAATCTCTTCAATAATTGCTAATTTTTTAGAGTGTAATTCACTACTAGTGCTTCTTATTGAGCTTGATCCATTAAATTTCTTAGCTTCTTTTTCTTTTTCAGAATTATTAAAAATATCTTCAAACAAATTATTTTAATCTCCTTAGCCATTTAAGTAATCTTTTTATCTTTTACTACTAATCAGTCTATAAATGTTTTGTTTTCTTTAAGAGGATTAACTTATGCTTGAATCTTCATCGTTCTAAATCACTTTTTCTCTTAAGTAAACTTGCTATTCAGATTATTTAATTTATTAAATATTTAAGTGAGATTTATTTTTTTCCACAACAACAAAACCTGTTTAAATAACTTATTTATTATCAAGAGAGCTCGTGAAAGGTTGAATTTAAGAAGTTAGCATAGTTGAATTTGTTTATTTTTAATTTTTTTAAGTTGTATTTGTCTGATGGAGTCCTGAACTTTGTGAATAAATCTAATCTTATGGTTGTGTTTAATCTGAATTTTATTTTTAAAGTTATGAATTTTATTAATTGCTGTCACATTAATTTAGATTTTATTAATTGTTCTCTTCATTAAGCTTTTATTATTGCTTATTTTCTTTAGTTTATAAGTTTAATTACTCATTATTATGGTTTAAGTACTAATAAATTTCACCATAAACTTATTTTCCTTCATTTTAAAGTTAAATTATATCTTTAGTTTAATTGAAATTCACATCAAAACTCTAAAAGTTATTTGAAAAAATTTTTGAATCATCATTTGAATAAACTTTTTGATTTATTTCAGCATCATTTGGCTTTCTATTTAATATTAGTAAATTTTCTTAATTTTATTGATAATTTCTTTCAGTTTCTTTTAATGCCCTCAAAATACAATTTTCATCTCTGTTGACACTAAATAAATTTTTATCACTTTGAAAATTATCTTCATCATAAACGAATCCGTATTGCTAATCCCTGTTTGTAGAAGTAATATCTCTAATTTAGGATCTTTCTGTTATTTATTCATATTTTGGAGACTGAATACATTAAGTAATTTATAAACCATCTGTATTTTCTATCTTGTAAAATTGTTGATTTTCCTCAACTCTAGGAGACTTCATCAAATTTTGATTTGAAATTTTAATGAAGTCACTTATTTCTAATTTATTTGGAGATTGATTGCATTCTAAATTATTGCTAACATTAAAATTAAAACTAGACTTTTTAAAACATTAAACCTACTTTATCAAATCTGTTTCTATTTCTTAACTAATAGGTGATTCTTACTTGTTATTTATATTCTTAGACTGTTTAACAACTTCTTATTCTACTTCAACAATTGTTTTTTTATTCTAATTTGATGATTTGTATTTAACTGCAAAACAAATGTCCAACAACTTTGAAAGTTCTTATTTTAAAGAGTTCAGGCTTTCAATTATTTCTGGTTCTTTTCTTATTCTTCTAAAATGAGTAATTTCTACAAATTTCACAGAAGCTCCTATTGCTGTATCTATTTATTCGTAGCGCAAATTCACTTCTAAAAAAATAAATTGATTGAAGTTTTTGAATTTGCTAAGCAGATTCCCAACATCATTTGTAGGCTCTATTTTTTTTATTTTTCTAAAATGAGTCATCATTTCATTGGTAATAGGAATGCACATCAAAGTCTAATAATGTGTTGCTTGAATATGCTTGTGCTCTTAGTGGATTTAGTAAGACAGAAGAGGGATCAACTTGCATACATCTAAATTTTCTATTTTTTCTATTGTTAATTAAAATTTTGATAAGAATTAAAAAGAAAATAACAAAAATATAATTTTTTGTATTTTTGAGCTTAAAACTGATCAAAAATAAAATAAGATCGAAGTATAAATAATAATCAGTCTAAATTATTAATTTATTTTGTTTTAATTAACATTTCTAACTAACAGCATTTATCTCGATACAATTATCAAATTAAAAAAAATAAGTAACACATTAAATGTGAATTATTTAAACTGTAATCTTTTTAATTATAAAATATAATTACTCTTATCTAATTTCCAAAGATCGTAGAAGCAATAAGCAAAAATCCTTTCAGTGACATCTAATATACCTCCATCTGGATCACATAAAAAATAATCATAATCAGGGTTAACTTCTTCAAAATAGCCTGCAACTCCAAAATCATTTTGCTTATCGATAACAAGCTTAGTTCTGGCGTGAAGTGCAAACATGAATCCATTCAGTCTTTTACCAAATCCAAATATGATTCCCTTTTTTAAATTGTGAAGATTGCCTCTTTCTACAAAATATTTCAAAAAATCATCATGGATTCCTGCTATAACATCTGGCATCATAAAATTGCAGCTTTTTCCAACAGCATCATCACCCCTATAAAATAAAATAACAATTAAAATATTCTGTTCTAGCTTTGGTTTTTTCAGCTGTATTTAAATTTCTAATTAAATTCCTTTATATTAACAGATTTTATATGCATATTACTTAACAAAGAGTAATGTAAGTAAGCTAAAATAATTTGTGTAAATATCATTTAGCATTTTTATTAAAATTAGCTTTTAGATTACTTTAGAGACTAAATTATTTTTGTTGCTTAAAAATGAAAAATAATATAAACCCTCTTATTATATGCTAGAAAATAAAAAATAAATGGTTTATGCTTATTTATTTGTTTATTAAAAATTGTAATCTAATAAAGAATTATTAGATTTAATAAGCAACATTGATTAACAGTATCATTTTTGAGTTCAGTAAATATGAAAAACTTAATTAAAAAACTAATATAAAGTGTAATGTTAAAAATTTTACTTTACACCAAATAGCTATTCGAATGTATTAGAAACTCTTTTAATGTACCCAATCGGATTCAATAATGTAATATAGACCATACATGATTTTTGTCTAAATATATTAATTCCTAAATCCTCTTTTTTAAGTTACTTAAGCAATTTTAATTTTGAATTTTTTACAAAGTGACGAACCTTTCTTTGTCTAACATCAAAACTTTCACAATATATTTCAGCATAAAAATAAGATTGTCTAGATTGTGGATTGATATCAAATATTTCAGAAATTTATTTTTCTAGTAAATCTCTCTATTAAACGTATTATTACCCTTTGATTAGAAGATCATTTAGTTCTACAAAATCAGAGTTGAGAAATTAAAGTAAATCTTTCTTTGCGTAAAGTAAAAGCTTTAAATTTTTCGCTATGAGTGTATTTAAATCAGAAAATTCAATAACAGACATCATATCCAAACGCTAATTTTGTATTTCAGATTTTTCCCAAAAAGCCGAAAATTCAATACTAGCTAATCTCATTAGAGACTCAATAATATATTATTATTTAAGGGAAGCATTATTTATTCTAAGTAAATTTCTTATTGTTATTATTTCAACAAATGATTTTGTAGGTATATGCATAACTTCAATGATAAAATGCAAGTAACTATATTGTAATTTCTGTAACTATTTCATATTTCTTGAATGCTTTTTAAAGAAACTAGTATATGTTTATATAATTACAAAGCAGATAAATTCGTATCTTTTTTTTTGATCACTAAATTAAATAGAGCTTGAAAAGCTTTATTTGTCTATGGAATGTTTGTAATCATTGCAGAAGCATTATTTTTGTTCGCAATTTTGAATATGAAAAACATAAATTGTTTCAAAATTCATTCCTTGAGCATCTTTCATATACTAATATTGATCTAAATCAACTAAAGAAGCTAGATTTCTGCAATATAACTCAATGTTTTTTTAATTTACGTCTTATGTGTTTAAATTAGTTAAAGCTTATTTTACTTTTTAATCATAAAAATATTACGCGATTTTATAGGACAAGGGGAAACAACAAATAAAAATTATACCTAAATTAAAAGTTTCCTTAACTGATTTAATTTAAAAGATTACATTCAAAAACCAAAGCAATGAGTTTAATAGTATAAGCGAAAAATGGATTTTTGAAATATATGGATTGTAATAAGGTAAATAAATGATGTAATAGACTAATTTCAAGTGTATAACTATAAATAGAACATAAATATCCCAAGAAACTCCTGCTTAAGTAAGAAGACAAATAATAACTTCTAAAGCAAAATTAGCTAATTCTATTAAGCTTTCTTCTTTTGCTAAATAGTCCTTTGAGTTATAGCTGTAAGAAAAGTCATGATATGAGGCAATCATACCTATCACAACTGTGCAAGGAATATTTATTATTGCTAAAGATACATAGAATTAGCTGTATGCTCCTTTATCAAAAATAACTTTGAAGTTACTGTGTTAGAAAGGCATATGAAAGATAAAGATATAAGTAGAAATCACAAAAGAAGCATAAGTCTCGATTGTTTGGATGAAGAATTCAGATTTACTTTGATGAATTAATTGTTATTCTTAACTATTATTGGTAATTTTTCTCTAGTAATTATTCCATAATAAACTAATAAATGTTATCATAAAGATCGAAAAATTGAGGATAGCTTAAAAAATTATGATGTATTCCCAAGGCTTTTAAGAGTTGAATATGGTTTTTAAAATATTCCAGCCTTTGAATTAAGTAAATATTTATTAAATTCCATACATTAACTAGTCTTTTTCTTAAATATCATGGACTGTGTCGTCTGAGAACAATAAACTTACAATCTAAAAATTATATATAAGCAACAGAAGAACGCTAAATGCAAAAGACCTAGTAGCAGGCCCAACAATCTTATAAAAATCATTTAAATAAAATTGTTAGCAGTATTATTTCAAGCTTACTTAGTTCTCTCCCTACCTTAAAATCCTCTCCCTATTCTGGTTAGTAAAAACGCTTCGTTTATTCTACGAGTTATTATTTTAATTCATTGTTTTGATAATTATTTATGCTATTTGCTAATTTATATTTTGATAACTTTTTGTTTTTCTTAATTTATTTATTTATTTATTAAATGATTGATGAATGTAAGAATCAATATTAATAGATAAACCTAACCAACAAAGTAATATAAATAAAATATAAATTGGAAATTGCGGACCACATGAAAAGGTTATTCAATTACAAATTATTAGGATAAATCTGATAAATTTTATTAGAAGAAATTATGTCTTTTAAAAAAAAAATATCATCTTTTGTATAATTTATTATATTCGATCTAGAAACTGTGTAATTCTCCATGAAAATTGCAATCATAACTAATATTACAATTCCTAAGCATTTTTAGATAATAAATTAATCCCTTAACAAGATTTAAAACCTAAATTAAGCAAATACCAAAATTTAATTAATATTTTTATTGATTTCAGCAATTTAGAAATTAGATTTTCTTAGCTAAGTTTACATTTTTTAAGATTTAATTTTTTTAATGAATATCTCTTTGAAATAACAAATGCGTTAGAAATATTAAAGAAAGAACAGAAGTTAATCAGTATTAGAAACTTTTTATTTACCAGTAATTCATAATGATAGACAACTTTTATTCAAATTTTTAAAATCTGTAAACATCTTAACTTTTTAATAATTCTTTTATTAAATAATTGTTAAATAGAAAATTTTGATTAGACTAAGTCGAACCAGTTAACATTTTAATTATTTATTTTATTAATTTTTATTTATTGATTTATTTACTTAATAATTTAGGCTGTATCTTGATTTTTAAGATATTTTATTTATTAACAAATAAAAGGATATTCTATAAATAAGTTATTTGAAATTAATAAGATCATACATTTTTAAAACAATCAAATCAACAAAATGATTAAAATTCAATTTATTTTTTTATATGCAAAAATAATTCTAAAATATGGATTTTTACTAAATCAAAATATATAATTATTTGCTAATTATTATATTAAATATTTTTATACAAAATGAAAACTCAGATTAAATACTTATTGATAAAATTTATAATAAATACTCATTTTCCTTTAGATATAATCAATTAATTTTTCTTCAATAACGAATTTTTTATTCTTATTATTGAGTACAGGTTAAGTAAAAAAAATATTTAAATACTTAAATAAACTAATTTTTTATTATTTTTCTGTAAGTAAAGCACCTTCTATTCTAAAAATTACATAGAATTACATCATTTTACTGAGTAAAAGAAAGCAGAAAATTCACGAATCAAAAAATATAATAATAATATTTTGATGCAAAAAAATCAAGAAGAAGCTTTACTTAATTTATATATTATAGACATTTTTGAAATAGCTCCTATTACCAAATAATATTTGTAATAATAAAATGTAAATTTGTAAATTTAAATTAATTGATAATAGAGGATTAAATTATTTCTTTTAACCTTAACAATCTTTGTTTTTTCTAACGATTATCTTTATTGATAATAACTTTCATATTATTATTTATTGTACATTCTCAAATAAGACAAAAATTCAGAAGGATATGATAGATCTGATAGTTATTTTAGTTTATATAACTGAAGAATTGTATAAAATTAGCTTTTTGCTAAAAAAAATAATTATAAAATGATCTAAAATACTTAAAAAATGAAACATATTCATTTTAAAGATCTTTTTTTTAAATAATGTTTATCTTAATTTTATTTACCATATTTCTCAAGTAAATATAATAATAAGATTTTCAAAACACAAATAAGTTTTGGCTACTAAAAAATATATATTCAAGATTGTAAACATACATTTTTTGAAATAATTTGTAATTTGATTTAAATAAAAAGAATTGGAGAAAAAATAAATATATCAATTGCAAACTCATTCCTTTATTTGTTTGGTGATTCTTTAATTATTATTCAATTCTTCTTCTAAATCAATATAAAATGCTTAGTAAATTAAATTTATTTTTGCAATAATTTTTAATCAAAATGAGTTAAATTCTTTAGTGAAATGATATTTTATTTTATTAATTATTTCTTAAGGGTTTAAAACAAATAATTTTACAGTTTTTAATATTATTTTTTTAAACATCTTTAATTGAAAAAACATTACATAAAATTTGAAAATTTGGTAAATTTAAAATAACCACTTCTCATAATCAATAAATTCTTTGATATTAGGAATAATAATTGGTAAGATAAATTATGTATAAATTGATTAATACACTTTTCTTGTAAACAATAATACTCATGCTTTTCTTTTAATATCTAAGATAATTTTTTTAAATAGTAAAAAAATATTTTATTTATTAAAATTTGATAAATGGATAGATAAAGAAACATAAAAATAAATAAATTATTTCTACAAATGGTTTGGAGCAATAAATAATTAAAAAATGAATATAAATTTTATTATTGTTTATCTATTTTCGCTAATCTGAATAATCTCATTTTGTATTTAAAATTAATTACAATTTAAATGAACGAACATAGAAAAAGGTGACAATTATAAATTTTTTATTAAACCAAATAAAATGTTATTAAAATTTAATTTAAAAATCAACGAGTAAGTATGGTATCAAGCTAGTCAGTAGTAATAATATTTCCTGTTTGGAATTTGCTATAAATTAGATCACCATTTAAATATACTTCGAAGGCATCAGTTTTGTTGACAATATTACCTAAGAGCATAGATCCTCCTAAAACTACTAATAAAACCATCATTTTCTTTTCTTTCATAAAAAGATACCATGAGGGATAAGGCATTTGTAAGTAACCAAATATTTTATCTCCAAATAAATTTAAAGCTAACATAATCCAATGAACGTATTAAAGGAATTTGCTTAGAATTGCTTAAACAGGAGGAAGAGGGTAGATACTACTTTCAAAAACAATATCAGGGTAAGCACCTTAAATATAAGTTTTAATATTGTCTAAAGCTGCTTAGTGAGAGCTACAATGCTATATAACTAATGTTCCAGTTACTTGATCACTCTTTGACCCTCTAAAACTATCATCATCGGTACCTGATTCATCGAAGTTAGTTTCAGCTTGAGTTTTAGTTTCCTATCCTTATTCGTTAGCTGTTGTTTTTGGTTATTCATTTGGAGCAGTCAAAGTTTAAGTTTTAGGAGTTAAATAAACTACAGTAACTGCATCTAAAATTAATAAACCTATGAAAACCTTTAAAACTATGCTGTCGACTATTGATTTAGACATTTTCTTGCTTTTTAATTTTTAAAAATCTATAATTGCTTAAAAATTTAAATTTCTTTTTTCTTTAAAATTAATAAATAATAAAACTAATCAAAAAGAATATTCACTTAAATTTAGATTTGAAAATTTCAACATTCTATTTTTCTATCGAAAAAAATCCACGTTTTTACCTAAATTAAATTATTGTTAAATATTAGTAAAATATGCTTTTAAAAATTTATTTCGAAATCCAAAATTTATTCATTCTAACTAACTAGCATTTTAATCAATAATTTATTACATATTATTAATCAAAAATCTCATAAATCATTTATTTTTTAATATTAAGTATGTATTTGGTTTATACTTAGGTTTTATTTTTTTGGTAAATTAGAGCATATAAATAATTTGCTTATTAGCTGAGGGAGGAATTAAATAATAAAGCAAGAATACATTTTATGATTCTATGAAATGAAAAAATGTAAATAAAAAACATGCTACAAATTAAAACACATATATCAATAACATAAACAAATAAAAAATTTAATATAAAAAATGTATTAAAATTTTGATAAAACATTTATGATTTATTTATTTAAAGATAAAAACAATAATAATTTTAACTTTATTTAAAATTATAAAGTAAATATAAATAAGTAAACAAATAAACTTACCAAGTTTATTTTTCATGATAATTTAAATAAAAATAATAGATATTACAAAATAAAATTACAAATTATTTTACCATTTTTAAAATTAAATAAGTAAATGAATATTTATTATAAAAATCTATTTTAATAAGTATGAATGAATACTAATTTTTATTTTATCCTAATTAATTCAAAATAAAGTTAATTTTAATATATCAAATTAATAAAATGTGGAAGGAAATAAATATTTAAGATAATAATAAATTACATAAATAAAATGATATTTAGTATTAAGTATGATGCAATATACTTTTATATATTCAAGATAAATAAAATTTTATAAATTTATAGATAATAGTTAGATAATCAAGCATGTCTATTTATTGATTGTATATCTAAATATATCATTAAAGAATATTGTTGTGAGCAAGTCTTATTATTGACTAAATTTTAATATATTTAATTGATTTAGATTTTAATACAAATATTTTAAAAAGCTAAAATTTATCCTTTTTTGTGTAAATTAAATAAAAAATTGATTAATGTTCCTTTAAAATCTTTAATCTCTTTTTAAATTTTAGGTACTTATTTATTTGATATGAACTGAAATTTCGAAAATTTTGTATAGAAATATGTATCCATATTATTGTTTTCTTATTTCTATTTTTAGATAAATTAGTATTAAGAGATTTAAGATATAGATTCTCATATTTATTAGGAAGACTTAATTATAATATTCTCTTTTGATTTTTATACTTAAAAGAGAAAATATAAAATATAAAATGGAAAAGAATTTATCTAAATTTTAGAAAATAATTTTATCCTTTTACTTAATCAATTATTAAATAATTACACTCTATTTATGTAGATGCTGCTCCATAGAAGAAATAAAAGATAAGAACTTAATTTACTTATATATTTAAATTGGTAATTCTTTATAGTTCTTTTCTATATAATTCTGAATAGTAAGATGAAATAACAATTTTCTTAAAGCAGTCATCTTTCTATTATTAATTTATCTTTCTATATATCATAGAAAAATTGAATGCTTGGCAAATAAAGAATAAAAAAAGAAAATCTTGAATTAAGTTACTGGGTTTATTAGTCTATACTTTCTGTCTATATTAGAAAATTAAAAATATTCAAAAGAAGTATAAACATATAAAATACATATATTATGTTTTTTTATATAATAAACATTTAGATACAGATTGGGTTTTAAAAGTATTATGTAGATTGAGAGTTAATTTTTAAGTTATATATAAATAATTTAAAAATAAATTTCACTAAACTAGAAATTTAAAAAGTTAATAAGTAAGTAAAAGAGAGAAACCCAAAAAGATAAACTTTAAAATAATAATTATAAATGGAGATTGAAATAAATTTAAATGAATTTAAAAAGTTATAAGACTCTTTAACTTCAGAAAATGCTGAAGATAAATTAAAAGACGTAGAATTTCCTTTTCATGCTATTTTACCGATTAACATAGGAGGAGTTTAATGCGAAAGACCATGCTGGAACGACTTTAAAGGCTCTCCTGATCCTAAAAACGAATACTTTCTTGCTTATATTTATTGGGTTATAAATTACTTTTATGATACAACAAAAAAATTTTGTGAACAAGAAAAGGTAATGAAATTTATCGTTACAAGCATCACAGCTTAGCCAAAAATAAAACCTAACTCATGGTGTCGTTATAAAACAAAGGATTTGCTTCATCATGAGACTGGTCACTATATAATTGCATGCCTTTGCACTTTAGAATTCAAAAAAAGAGTGATGGAAAAAAATGCTTCTTTTTATACTTCCTCTCACGCAAAAGAGATAACTTAAATATTCAATGCCACAATGAAGGAATTTTGTGCTATGGAAAAGCTATATGATGAAGAAACATGTCACTATTTGAATGAATAAAAGCAGAAAGAATGGAATATTAAATTAATTTAAAAACTGCTATTTTACAAATAGCACTTCTAAATTGAATCAGTCCCTGACTCTAAAATTTTACTTGGTCAAATATAAGGTAAAATTACATTTTAAATACTTAAATTCAACAATTTTTAAAATTTAAATTGACACTAAATGTGATTTAAAACTTTATTTAATAAAATTTGCATTTTAAAGTTATTCTCAAAAGTTTTAAATTTATAAATTATTTTAAATAAATTAGGTAAATCAAATTAAATTTAGAAATTTAATAACAATTAGAAGGAATAAACCACATAAAAATATAATTATGGTGTAATTAAAGCTGTCAATTTGAATAATGATAAAAATATTATCTTTTAAAATTCTCAATAAAAACCCATTAAAGTTACTAGTAGCAATAATTTGTAGTTTTAGAATACTCAAAGAGTGCTAAACAAAATTAGAAAAAGCGAGTTTTCCTAATAAAGTATTAACAAACTAGAATTTGCTGCTAGAAATCTACCATTACAGCCTACTTCTTTTTCTGGATTACTTTAAATTTAATAATCCTAATATAAATAAGAATTAAATTTTGTTGGACTTTAAAAACCTAAAACAAATTAATCATTTTAATCCAGTTTGTAGTCTACAGCAAGCACTTTTGCTGTTTTTAAGAAAGGAGAGTAAAATGTATAAGATAATCTAAAACTTCCTAAAATCAGAAATAAAAAAAATGAAAACGACAACAAATACAATACAAAGAGCATTACCTTTTCATAGTGAAAAATGAATGCTTCTACATTAAAATTTCCATCACTTATACTTATTCATTCATATATAAATTATATATAATACTACATAACACTTTTAAATATATTATTTTTAATTGTATAAACAAACAATTTTTGTAAGCAAATATTTTTATAATATAGATTAATTGGATAGTGGTTTCGATTTCAAAACTTTTATTAAGTATGCTAACAAAAAGAAAGTAGCAGCATTTACTTTGTTGCAGATTCTTTTTATTTATTGGATAAAAAAAACTAATAAAAAATAATTAATTTCAGTTAAAATGTGCTAATATATTGCCTTGCTGTGTTCTTCTGTAGGATTTATTAGCACAAAAGTACTTAGAAACTAAATATTATTCTTTGTTTCAATATTATTATAGTTGACTTAATAAATACTACCTTTTAAATAAGTCTGATACTTTTAGATATTTACACTATTTATACTATTTATGAGACTAATTAAATTAAATATTTATTTTTGAATATACTCTAATCCAAAAATATAATAAAATTTCAATTTATTTATTTATTTATTTATTGTTTCATATTTGTTAATTTAAAAAATTAAATTTTTAGTAAAATTTAAATAAATTTATTTTTTTATTTTTAAGTTTATGAATTAATGGTTGTTATTTTTTAAGATTGTTTTTAAATGACACTTTTAAATGTAATAAAAGATTTTTTTAATTTATGATAATTCTATGAAATCACTAGACGCAATTAAAAATTGTATGATAAATTAATCATCAAGATTTTTAATTTTTCTGATAATATTTAGAAAACAATTGAAACAAAATAACTAAAAATGAGTATATTAAATTTAAATTAAGAGATACAAAATGTTTTTGATTTTATTGAAAGTCAAAGTGGTGATATTCTCACAATAAAGGGGATAACAAATTAGTTAGATCCTTATGTCTATAAATAGTTTAGTAATTTGAAGTTTAAGAAAGTTAAATTTGAAACTTAAAATTATTCGTTGAGTTAGATTCTAAGAAATTTCGTTTAATATATTTTATAATTTTCAATTCCTTGTGATTGTCTAAAATTATTTAATGTGTTTGAATATGATAAAACTAAAAAATGCATGAAATTGAGCATAAATTTCAGTTTGTATAATGGAACATTTAAAAAAACAGAAGTTGACATTCTTGAAATAGAAAAAGCTAAAATAGTCTTAAGAAAATCTGGATCCATTTTCTCACTAAAAGATATTATATAATATTTGTTATCTTTCCCTAACATTAAGTAGCTAATAATAGATTTAACTCATTTGAAATATAACTCTAATTTATTAGATTATGAAGATGCTGTAGAATTATTGAAGCCTTTGGAAAAGATTGAAGATATCTAAATTATGCAATACAAATTTAATATTTGCAAAAAAAAATAGGAAATTTTTATTCAATAAATTATATCAACACAGAAATAGAAAGTAGAGGATATAGAAAAAAAAAATGGGTTAAAGGTGGTTTAATCAATTAATAGAGTTATTGATCTTACAAACAAAAATAATGTGAATAAAGAATTACTTAAATAATGCACTTCAAATGTTGAACTGCTGGATAAGCCAAGAGTCATTAGACTCTTTGGTAACCCCTCCTTTTTCAAAGGGACAAAGACTTTATTAGAAAAATTTAAAAAGATAAACACGTTATTTGTATAATTTGATGGCTAAATAGAAGAAAAAAATTTATTAGAAAAATTAGAGGGATTCAGATAAATGTCTGAATAAATTAATTAACTAAAGCACTTTGAGGTGCTAGATAAATCTTTGTTTATAGAAAGACACAATTTGTTGATTAGAATACTTTTAGAAAAGCATTAAAATTTTAAAGTGACTTATTAAAAAAGTAATTCCTTTCTACAATATATCCCTTCATCGAAGTATCTTAAAATTCATAGCACTGAAACTAATTCAGTATCTTAAAGTGAATTATAAGAAGTATTTAAATTGTATAGGAATGCTAATAAAATCTGCTTGTATGGTGATGTTAATTTTATTTAATTTGCTATAAACATATTAGTATAATTTCCAAATATCACTTGCACGAAATTTATTTGCAATTTTACTGAAGAAAAAGAAATAGACTTCTCTCCTTTATATCACAAAAATGAGTTGCATAAAATCAAGTTCTTTTATGTATAATATATACCTCCTTTAGGAAAGTAACTCTACTTCAAATCTCTAAAAAGCCTATGCGATCATCCTACTTGCACGGTGATTAAAGGTAAAGACTTCACATTTAGCCATTCTTCTAAAAGAGCAACTTTAAAATTAGAGTCTGAAGAGTACCAATAATTATTTGAAAAAACTATCAAAAGATTTAATAAAATTAACACTGTTATCATCTTGCCCCCAATTGATAATTTAGACTTTTTATTTCTTAGCAATATTATAACCCTACCGTGTCTCTAAACAATCTTATTAAAAAATGTAATTACTTAGCTCAGTGATTTAATTGACAATCAATAAACACCTTTTAAAATCCTTTAAGATTTCAAAGTTTTTAAACTATAGACCATTTTTATGTAAAAGTATTTAAATGAATTTCTTCCTGTCTATTTACCATAAATTATGTATGATTTATATTCTTTTTGATTGTTTGTTTATTTATTTACTTTACCTGTTATTTAATAATTTTTTTCCAGAAATCCTACATATTAAATATAAAACTTTAATAACATAAACCAAAAGCAAAATACAAAACATGTAAACTTCTCTCTATTGTTAGTAAAAAAAATAAACTTATATCTCAATTGATTATTAAGTTAAATCTTAATAAATATTATTTGTGTATGCATAATTGCATAATAATTAAATCAATTATTAAGCAAATTATTTTTAAGGATTTTTTAAAGTAAATCTTTGATGAATTTATTTAATTAAGACTTAGTGTCTTTTTTATACAAAAATTATAAAAATTATGGTTTGTAAAATTAAAAGAATACTTGTAGCATTTTAAATATTTATTTATTTATAAGTAACTCATCATTTAAAATATAGTGATTTTCTAGAATTTATTCTATAATTTAGAATAGAGGAATTAATTTAAAAAATAAATATTATAAATATAATAATTTGTATTAAAATTCTTTTGATTTGATCAAATATGATAAATGTTCTATAATAAATTCTTTATTCTAAATATTGATCAAATTAGCTACATATTCTTCTGGAAGCTTTCTATTAAATACTATCAAATTAAGATATAAGTATAAAATTAATTATGCTTCAAGATTATCACAAAAATTATACAAAATTAAAATAGGTAAGGAGTAGAACCTATCAATTAAAGTGCTTAAAATTTGTCAGAAGAAATTATTAACAAAAAACTTGACAAATCTTTAATTCATTAAAAATTATATACAATATTATAAATAAGCTTAAAAAAGACAACTATTAAATAAAAATAAATATTATAGAAATGGATATCGAACAAGAAGTACACACGTACATAAATATATTCATTATTTAAAAACAAACTTAGCTCATTTAATATTTATATAAATAGTAGCTTTGAATAGGAAATTAAGAACTATTTTGACAAAAAAGGCAATGAATACTTAAAAAAACAAGAGTAACTTGAAAAAGAGCTATGGAATGACATTAACAAAGAGACAAGAAATGACGAGGAAGAACTTAAGAAGGTAATTAATTTATCTTACTCCTCTTTCAAAATTGCAATAAAAATTCAATCCTAATTTAATTTTATTTTGTATAATAGGTTTAAAACCTTATTAAAATAGAGAGGTTCTTAAAATACTACGATCTCTTAATCGCTTGCTCTGATCAAATTTTGGAATCTTTAGTGTAAAATCCTTTTTTAAATTAATTCTACTTTAAGCATTTACATGAAATACATTCAATGTTTCTACAAATGCTATTTTTACCTTTTTATGCTAAATATTCAAATTAAATCTCATACTTTTCTTTTAAAAAGCTCTAAAGACAAAAAGATCACTGAGCCTGTTGAAGAAGATTTTATTTACGGAGGCATGATCTTAGAAGAAATGGAAGATAGCAACAACACTACATTTAAAAATATAATTTAAAAGTATGGAATGAACACCAATATAGATCCCATAGTTAAAAAAGCTATTAAAGATGTAAGTTAATAAAAATCAAAGTAGAGTTTAACTAATTTTTTTAATTTTTCAAAAGAAATTCGATGCTGATGAAAAAATTGAACCTAAAGATGTAGCCGATTTTTTAAAGAGATACCAAAAGAAGTTTGGAGTGAGTAAATAATAACGATTTTAAATTTAGCATTTAAAGAAAAATGATTGAAATTGGCACAAATAGCAAATAAAAAATTAAGGTTAAAATATTTAGCTTAACTTTTTAAAATTTAAAAAAAGAAACAAACGGAGATGAAGAATAAAATAACGATGAGGAAGATCGTGAATCTAACTGGGAGAACTCAAGCAGTGTAGCAGGAGATGATATTATCGAAGTAGATGATGATTTGTTAAATGAAATGGATAAAAGTTATGATGAAGAAGGTAATGAAATTACATATGAAGAAAAGCATGAAGGAGAAGAGGAAGAAGAGGAAGAGAAAAAAGAAGATAATTAGGAAAGTGATGATACTTAAAATATTTCCAGAGAAAAAACTGTTGATATGAGCATAAAAACTTTCTTGAAGCACACTGATTTCGTTAGTTGTTTGAGCTTCCACCCCATTAATCCTGACGTTTTTATCTCTGGAGGTGGTGACGATGTCGCAAGAGTATGGAATATTACCAATAATGATAAGCCTGAAATAGAAACTCCTAAACAAAACGAAACTGTTGATTTCGCTAAGTTCAGTTTTGATGGTAAATATTTTGCTACTGGTTGTTTAGATGGTGTTGTTAAAATTTGGGATGGTACAACTGGTGAATTTAAGAGAGCTTTAGAAGGTCCTTCTGATGAAATTAGAGTAAATTTATTAAAATATTAAATTTTTTTCACTTGTAGCACAAATTAAAAATTTTAATATGAAATAAAAAAAAATATTGTTTAAGTTTTCTTGTAATGAGAAATTCAAACATAAAAAAAAAAAATCATCAAAAATTTTATCCAAATTATTAATTAAAAAAAATCTTTCATAAAAGAAAAATTTAAAGAAATAGTTTAAATTCTTTCATTAATATTTATACTTAATTACTTAAATAAAATAACTTTTATTAATAGTTCCTTGAATGGCATAGCAAAGGTAATGTTATCTTAGCAGGTAGCGCAGATAACTCAGCTTGGATGTGGAATGCAGCTAATGGTTAGTATATGGCTTCATTTAATGGTCATGAGTAACCAGTCACATGTGGTGGATTCACCCCTGATGGAAATATGGTTATAACTGGTTCTGAAGATGCTACTGTACGTATCTGGAAACCAAAATCTGGTGAACTCCATAAAAAACTTTAAGGATATGGATTCCACGAAGAAATGATTACATGCATGGCTTTCCATTAAACCTAATAAATTATAATTACTGGTTCAACAGATAAGACTGCTTGTATTAGCAACTATAGTAATGGAAAGGTAACTAATTAATTTATTTGTTTTTTTTGTAATTTAACTTTAATTCTAATATGAAGATTCTTGGAAGAACTCCTGCCCATGATGATGGTGTTGAAGCAGTTTTATTTGATTAAAAGCTTGATATTTTCCTTACTGGTTCTTTAGATGGTTTTGTCAGAATATTTGACTTAAACAGACTCACACTTAAAGATAAGATTACTGTCAATGTAAAATAAAATTAAAATAATTTTAAATTATTTTAAATAAAACACTTTTTATTAAAAGGCATCTATTACTAAAATGATTTAAATTAAAGATAAAAATCTCTTCGCTGTAGCTAATTGTCTTGGAGATATTTACTACTTTGACCATAGAGTTAAAGGTAAAATCAATAGAATAACCAGTGGTACTGATGGTATGATTCACGACTTAGCTCTTCATAAATCCAATAGATTGTTGGCATCCTTTGACGATGGCTCAATCAAATTATTTGAAGTCTAATTAGAATAATGAAATAACATATAAAAAATTAATTAAAAATGAATAAATATTATTTATGAAATAGTTAAAAAATAAATAAAAGTAATTTTAGAAAATAAGTAAAATAATTAATATAAAAATATACATAAAATTTTAAAACTAAATCATTAGTAACAAACATTCTATACTAACTAACCACACCATAATAGTTGATAGATAGTAAGCAAGCAAGCATTGAATCTTATAAAAAATTTAACTGAAGAAAATATAATTAAAAATAATGATAAAAATTTGAAAATCTAATTACTTCAAACCAACCAATCTAACTAAATAAATACATCAAATTAAAATAATTTATTCAATTTTCATATTGTGTTTTTATTTGGATTGAATTTCATGTTAGTATTTTATTTACTCTTGAGTTAAATTTTTATAAATTAGATAATTAAATATTTTACCTGGTTTTTTAAATTAATTATAAATCAGCATTTGTTTGAAATTTATCAACTTGTTTAGAAGAAAATCAAATTAATATTTATTAAATTTTTATTAGCTTTAAATACATTTGTAGAATATCATGAATTTTTTTAATAAAGTTAAATCATTAGGTGCTAATGTAGCTGAAAAATCTAAGAACTTGATTAGCAATTTATCTAAAGATATACAAGAAGTTATTCAGTAGCAGAACCAGTTAATTGAAAATTAAGAAAGCGAATCTTTTAGTAAAATAGATACCAATTAAAAGTATTCAATATGATTTTACTTTTTCTATAATTTAGAGGAAAAAAATGCACTCCTTCCTTGGGAAGGTTTAAAAGCAATTAAATCAAATTAAAATGGAAACATGATTGATTCGATAAAAGAAGAAATATTAGATTTATCTTTAGTAAATTATAATTACAGATATTAGACATTTATTCATTAGTTATTTTATCAATTAATTAATTATAATTAAAGCAAGAAGATTATTTCCTGATTGATGATGAAAATTACATGTATCCTTTTGAATTTAATATAGAAGATTATAAATACCAAGCTATTAAAATTCTTTCAGTTGATCCCAATTTAGAATTTATGAGATCTAAGTTAGTCCCTAAAAAGTAAAATAAAAAATTCCATATTAAATAAATTTATGCTTATATTTTAATTTGTTAACAAAAACAAATAAGAATCAAAGATGAAAAGTTTTGGAAAAATTATTTCTACAACGTTGAGATTATTAAAATGAAATACAACATGGCAAACAAAATAAATTAAACAGAGAGATTGGAATAAGTTGCAATTTAATTGGAAAATAATAATTCAGCTGAGTAGGCTGAAGAATAAAAGCAGCAATTATTAGAGAACAAATAAGAATAGGTACATGATGACCATTAACATGATGAAGAAGATCATCAAGTTATCCATGATGATGAAGATGATTTCAATAGCACTGTAAAACCTAAAAAGAATAGATTTGATGAAATATAAAATAAAAAAGAAAGTGGTGATGATTTTGATAGTCTTGCTTTAAATCTTAGTGATAATAACAACAAAGGAGCAGTTGAAATGCAAAACATAAATAAATGAAAAACACTTTAAATAAATAAATAAATTTTTAAATATTATTTTTTAGTTACATTTTGTTGATATTTTGCAATTATAATTATTCATTTATTTATTTTAAGAAATTAAAATAATATTTTAAAATGGTTAAAAGCAAAACAAATGAAAATAATTTTTTAATATGGGTAAAAGCTAAATAAAAAAACCTTTGTGCTATTTTTTTTGAAAGATTTTTTGTTTTTTCTAGAATATCTGTCAGGATTATCTGCTAATTTAAATTAATGAATGAAAAATATAAAAGTAAAAAGTTTGATATATTTCTATCCATCAAAGATTCAAACCAAATAAATATTAGTTAAAAATTTAATTTTTTTTCTTATTGATAGATAGGTCTTTAAAAAGGGAGTTAGTAAAAATCTCAAATTAGATAAGTTTTTAGAAATAGTATAAAGCAAAATATAAAAAATGTCAGTACCAAACAAGTTCACCTTACTCTTCTACAGAAGAATGCTTCACACTATGATGAAAGCATTCCCTGGAGACTATAACATGTTCCATAGTTGCAGAATCGAATGTCGCAAAAAAATTTTAGAAAATAAAAATGAAACAGATCCTATAAAAATTTAAGACCACATATTCTTTGGAGAAGAAATTAGAGATATGTTAGAAAATAATTTAATGCAAGTAATTTTATCATCTATTACAAGAAGTTATACCTTCATATTCAAATTAAAATAACTAAATTTTTTATTACTAGGGTAAATTATAATAAAATGGAAATTACAGATTTAAAGCAAGACCTGAGCATGCAATGGGTGAACATGTCAAGCCTATTCCTACAGACAATTGATCAGAATTTAAAATAGTAGATACTCATAAGAAAAATATTGAACAAATAATAATTACTTTATAGTTTTTATACATTCAGCTTAAAGAATAATAAATTGATCTCATTTTAGTTTAATAAATTCGCGTCACTTAATTAATAATTATCATTTAATAATTAGTGAGTTTGCATATAACTTTATTAGGGAAAATACCGAAAATATAAATTAACTAGTGTATATAATTATCATGTTTTTTTGTATTAATTTTCTTTATTTTAAAATATTTCAAAAAATAAAAATATAATTTAAGCATAAATGCAAATTAAATCAATTTTTAGCTATTTAATGTAAAATAAAACAAAATGTGTTAGTTAGTTTGTTTATTTGAGTATGTTTTTTTTTTTTTCAAAACTATTTTGTTTAAAAATCTTATGGAAAAATTAATATTTGTTACTAATCCCTCATAGTCTAGTTGGTTATGATACAAGGTTCTCACCCTTGAGACCCGGGTTCAAATCCCGGTGAGGGAGAATTTTTTATATCAAATTAAACTTGATAAAAGAATACATACAAAAAGAAATAAAAAAATTAGGTAAATAAATTAACAGCTTTTTATTCATTATTTGTTATTTAATTTGGCATTATGTGCTTCAATGCTTTCAAGTGCCATTCTTAAAACACTTTCATAAGACTTTGCTCCGCCAATGAAGCCACTATTATGGACAAATACAATATCATCGATTTTGGTTACATTTTTTAGTTCTGTCATATCTTTAATACCTCTCCACTCTTCTTTAAGACCAATTCTTAAATCATAAGTACCTATTTTTATAATATTTATAAATAACTCTAAAATTTATGTAATTTATTACCCCAATTTTCAGGGACTGTTGAAACTCTCCAGGCTTTTTTTGCAGAAGATTCAGGGAAAAGAACAAATTTTATTTGCTTTCCTAAATTTAATGACTTTTCTAAGTCTTCAAGATGGGACTTCCAAGGAACAACTGTTTCGAGTATAACAATTTCACCAGAAGGATGAACGTTAAATCTATTCAAAACACTCTACTTGACTATATCATAAGCAGGTAAAACAGATCTATTTTTATTATTAACAATTTGTTACAATTATATATTTAATTAAAAAATATCTATTTATTTACAAGAGTTGAATTTTAACCTACCATCTCAATTCCATGTCAGCGATTTCCATGGCACTTCTAAATCTCACATTTTCATCAGTATTCTTCTCAGTCCACAAAGGATTGAGTCTACCAATTCTCTACTAAAGCTGAGTTGGATTAGAGTAAGCTGACTTGACTTCTACAGGATATTGTTCAACTCCATTGTCAGAACCATCAACTCCTTAAATGAAACCATCATATATTCTTTAATATAAACTATCAAGAGTTTCTTGATTTAATGTTATTTCAATATTTAAGTTATCTTTATTTTCATCTATAAGAGATTATGCAACATTCTTGATAATTTCTTGGCCAAAATGTTTGTAAACTAAACCTGCACTGCTCAAACGAATATTATGTTGACTGCTGAAAGTGTCCACAAAAGATCTTTAATGGTGATCATATCTATGTTTGCTAGGATCATAAATACCACCAACCTTTTTTGAAATAAAATTAAATTTAAGTCAGCAATTAAATCTATTTTGTCTGTTGATTTGATAAAATATATTATTATTATTATGTAAGTAATTTACATCAACAATAATATTTTGCTAATCAAGAATTTCTTATTCACGAGTACGGGTAATAATGCCATCCTTAAATTCACTAGTATATTTAGAAAGCATAACACAAGCGAGAACTTCATCACAATGGAAAACGCCACTGTGTGTACCTATTTTTTTAAGAGCTACTTCAGCCATTTTGTAACTATTATTCTAATAAGTTTATTTAAAAACCAAATAAAAATTTTTTTAATGATATTTTTATAATTAGATTTGTTTATAACTTTAATATTAAATTTAGATTTATTTGATAGCACTTTTGCCAAAATTTTTTAAGTTAATCATCCTATTTTCTTAAATAAATACCTTTGATCTTTATTTTTTAAATTATAAATTATTGATAAAAAGACTGACTTTTCCTTAAAGTTTCTTATTTCATTTTATATTATAAATAAATAAAAACATCAAAAAAAAAAAATCTTATTTAATTCAGGAATATTCTAAAACATAAAACTAAAATTTAAAATAGAGGTATTCAACAAACTAAATAAATTATTTTTATATTGTATGTATTAATATTGAAACTACCACATTTGAGTATGATATGATATAATCTCTAATTTAGTTAATTACATATATATAAATTATTGTCTATCTCTTAACTTTCAAAATACTATTTGTTGGTTTTTTAAAAGAAAAAAATTTTATAATTTAACATTAAATATTTTTTAACATAAATTATATAATATTACTTATATAAAAAATAATTTATTTATTAATTTATAGCTATCTAATATTAAAATTTATCAAAAATACTTTATTAGGATTTATTGTATTTACTATTGTCTATGAGAATTAAAATAATCAAAATTAAGTGTTTAAATAAGTTAATTTTTTAGATTTTTATATCATTTGATAATTTGGTAAATTCTAAAAAAGAATTTTATAATTACAGAGCTACGACCTTCTTATATTTTTGATGAGAAACTTTAACCTAAGCAATAAAATATAATAAACTATAGATAATCTTTTTTAGCCTTTAGAGAAATCTGTTAGTTTAAGAAACTCAATTAATTAAATTAAAAGAGAGTAGTTTTATAAAATTTTAAAGTGGATTTTTAGATTTGCGAAAGTAGGCTTATTGATATTATTACTAAAGTTTATTAAATGGTTTTACAGATAATTAGTAATTATTTTTTATAAGTTAAGCGCTTAAAATAGGAGAGGTAGAATATTCTTAATGCTGGCCACTCTAATAGAAACTGTAGAAATTATTCTATCACTATTTGATGATACCTACTATCTCGTTAAATCAAAAATACCATTTATCAATTGAATTCATTAATAAATAGCTTCATTCATTTATTTAATATTGCATCTCTTTCTTTATATTATTTAATCATTCATTTAATTATTTCAGAGTATTCCTACAGTAAATAAAAATAAAATATTATTTCTTATGAATTAATTTAAAAGATAAAAAGAGTATCATTTATATGTTTGAATCACTTTTAACAATTTTTCAGTTTGTCAAATGTGTAGCTTTATAGGAATATAAATAGTAAATTATATTATTGATGAATTGACTAGATTTTTATAAAAAAATTGATCATAAATTAAAAGTAAGTAAGTAAGTATATAAAGAGCTTTAAAATATAAGTGACTTAAAGATAAATTAATAAATACTAAAGAATATGATATGAAGAAATATTATAGACTTAAAAGATAAATGATAAATTAATGGCTATTTATTTTTGTTTTATGTGTTATTGTTTTGTATGGTGTTTTGTTGTTTGCTTTGTATTAAGCTTCGGTATGTATGTATATATCAATAAATTTATGTATTATTTATGTATGATTATAGAAAATGTGTTTGTTAAAAAGATGTAAGAGAATATTTATAGCTATTAATTTCTAAATAGTTTGATAGCTTCATAATTAAATAATAATAATAATCTTTTTCTCTTTTTAAGCTGAGTGAGAATAACTAATTAGTTTGCTCTAGTTTAATAGAGTATTTACAAAAGACCTTAGTAGTTTTATCTAAGAAAAAGATTCACATTTATATATTTATTTTTTAAAAAAAGGTGGAATTCTTGCTTGCTTGATGAGAACTTATATTGATTAGTTGATGAATTTATTTATATTTTGATATATTTTTTTATCTGTAGTCCATTTATTTATTTATTCTCAGTTTAATCACTCTACAATCATTTATCCATTCATTTCATAATCTTCTTCTCCATCTTCTTCATCTATATCGTTTGCTTCTTCTGCTTCAATTTTACGTAAATTGTTAGATGAGTTCTTTATTCCTTTTCTTGAGCGAACGCTTATATTAGTTCTGCTTTTAATTGGACTATCATTGTTATCTTCACTAGAAGAGTCTTCTTGCTAATCTTACTTTTCGGGAAAGATTTTTACTGAAATATAGTTAGTCTTATATTCTCTGAAGAAAATATTGTTTATTTATTCAATATTAATATCGTTTATTTAATAGCGCTGCTTTACTTTTTCAAAGTAAACTTTGTGCTTTTAAAGCACCATATCATTTATTTCTTAATGGCAATCTTCAAAGTCTTTTCTAACAAGGAAGGGCACCATTAAACGTTTGCAATATGGGCAATTACAAATGCGATAGCTACCTTTGATAATCTTAGTTTCATATTCATCTTTTATCATTTAGACTACCTCCTTTTTCTCAATAGAGCTCATTAATTCATCAAGCTCATTGTTAGTTCTTTCTATTTTCTTAATGTGAACTTCCTACGCTCTTTGAGGGTCTTAGCTTCTCAAGATTACCTAGGGATCTATTTGAGAATAGTCTAAGTTAAAGAGCTTTTTATTCTTAGAAACTTTTTATAAATAGCTCTACTTCTACTTCTTGATTGTTTTGCTAAGTTTATTTACATTTTTTTTAATTGCATCATTTTCTGATGTTTAGTTTCCACTTCCTTCAGATTCTTTAAGTTCTTCTTCTAAATCTTCTTCATCAAATAGATTTTAATTTTCTAAGTAGAAGTAAGGATTGTAATTTTTCTTAATTCTTGAAAAATAGTCTTCTTCATTTTCATCAGCCTTAGGCTAAGTGTATTCATTGGCTTCATTTTTATTAGACCCGCTTTTCTTTCTCTAAGCTTTTCTTTTATTATCAACTTAATTAGAATTGAATGAATCGAAGGAATTATTGCTTTTTGCATCATCATTATCTTCTTCACCGTTTTCATTACCTTCCCCATCACTTCTAAAAGGTCTAGACTTTTATTTTTTTTAAATTCCATTTACGTGTCCGTTGCATTGATTGTTGATAGAGTCATCATCATCTACAAAATCTAAACCTTCGTCTTCTATTTTAATATCGTTAAATATCTCTCTTTAAAATGCAAAAATATCAGATTTCTTTAATAGTGGTTCTAAATGCTAGAATTGAGGATGTCTAACTAAATTAAGATTCAACTTTTTGCTATCAAATGCAAAAGTTAAATATTCCAAATGTAGCTAAAAATTATTTTTAAATATTTCATGTTCTGTTGCAAAATGTCTTTCTTAATTTTTGTATCTTTCATTCTACTCATTCAAACTTTCTATTTACATTTACAAAACATATTTTTAATATATAGATAGATTCCTTATTATTGTTCAAATAATTTGATTTTAGTGCTTGTAAGTAAATATTTACGTTTGAGCAACATCAACTATCTTTAGAATTTTTCATCTGACCTTTTGGGCTTGTATTCTTCTCCTGGAATTTTATGTCCTCCCTTAATTTTTTTATGAATTGTGTATTTTTAAATTGTAAGAAAGAAGTATAAATAAATATCTAATATAAAATGAAAATTACTTTTAAGACTTCTTAGATATCTCTCTTGATTGTGAGGTATTAGTCCAACTGATTAATAATAATTCAACAAAAATATTAAATACTGTCTACTTAGATATACTTTTTGGCTGAAATGGGCAAATTGCAAAAGTATATTTACATGTAAAATTATTCATATAATTCAATATAAACTGATTCAATTTAAATGTTAGAATTCAAATAATTTCGAAAAAGTTAATTTCTAATGATTATCTATTATAAAAGAGGAAAATTTAACAATATTTACTAATTCGCTTGTAATTATTTCTGCTCCCTTGATGCCCAAAACATTAGGCTTTTCCTTTAAATTTGTAAATATTTCATAACTAATCGAGTTTGTATCTTCAATAACTACTATCAAATTTATTTTTACTAAATGACTTTCCAACAGAACTCCAACATCTTTTTAAGTTAAAAAAAATTTATTCAAATTTTTATTCTTTATTTTTTTTTCTTGAGACAATATTTATTTAGCTTGTCTTTATAAAGGCATGCTCTTCGCGCCTCTTAAAGACCAAGCAAAATTTAAAATACTTGCCAACACTTTCAAAAGAACAAAAATTAAATTTTTTATTACCACAACTGGTTATAGCTACATCACTCTTGTATAAGTAAAGATCAGAGGGAAATTCACTGCCATAAATTTCTACTTTTATTTGATTTTCATAAGGCTTATGGAACAAAGGTTTAAAATAATCCTTGCTTATATTTTAAATAAAAAAAAGGTTAAAATATTTGAAAAATGCTTTGATATAAGTGTAGCTGGTCTCAGCCACCTTCTCAAATTAAAATAAAATATTAGATTTGATTTTTTATTAATTGAAAATCTTTTTTACTGTGGGCATTGAAAGATTATTCTATCAAATTTATGCTTTATCAGCGTTTCATAAGTAAGAGGATTATCAATAACTGAGAGAAGCTTATCATAAGGATGGACTCCCAAACCTATGAAAAGAGTGTTAATCTTTTTATTTTATGAATCTGAACTCATTTTATAAAATTAATTGGCAATGCTAATTTAAATCTTTGAAAATCCGCTTGTTGTCCTTTTTAAAATGTAAACCTTTTTGTACTAATCTTACAATATATATTATATATATTTCCTTTTAATTTTGTTTTTTTTCTAATTTATCCTTCTTTCTCTTTTATTTACAAACAAAAAATTTAATTTTACAGTATTTATACTTATTTATTATATAATTAATAACAAATCCTATGCTATCTATCTATCTTCTTTCATTTATTATTTAATTAACAAATTCATTTATTATCTATCTAATAATCTTATAACCATTTTTATATACAATATAATATCTCCTCTCATTCATTTCTTCTCTTCCCAATTATTATCCTATTCTATCCTTCTGGCTAGAAAAAAATGTCTAATTATTTTAAATTTTAACAAAACACAACACGCATTCCATCTTTTCTTATATCAAATTAAAGCAGTCTTTTCTAAATTAATAAATAAACTCGCTTTAAATTAGAAATTTATACTCTTTTTTACTAAAATACAAATTTATTTTTACATTATAAATCTTTATAAAAATTCTTAATAAATGCGATTGAAATTATAACCAACTAATTCATACCTAAAGTTATATAAATAATTATAATTTATTTAATCTCATAAAAATGTTAGTTGCTATGCTCTATAAATGCCTTAAATTTGCTTTTAAATGTAATAATTTAAGTTCAAAAGACTTTTTTTAATTTGGTTATCAAATTCTTAATTACTCTATGAATATATTAAATTTCTGTTATATCCTGACTCAAATTATTTAGCTTACTCTTATTTTTACTAGAAACTTTTGTTGATTAAATTATTCAAATCTTTGTAGAACTAATATTTGAAATTTAAATATTTATCTATTGGAGAGGTGTTAAAAAATTGATCAATAAACTAGAAGTACATTTAAACTATCAATTAAACAAATATTCTAATAATAAAAATATTCTATTTAAAATAAAACGATATCAAAATAATAAATTTTAATTAAATTTTTAGAAATAATAAAGTTTATTTATTTATTTTACTTTTCTGCATAGCTTAAATTAAAGTAAAAAATTTAACATAAAAACTTTTATTTTGAACAATAAAATAAAAAATTTGTAAAAACATTAAAAAAATTGTTTTAAATATTAATTGTTATTAATTAAAAAAATAATTCATAATAATTCAAAAAATAAAAATTATTTAACTTATTTTAAGCAAAATTGCTGATTTTCAATTAATTTTCCATATTTGATATTTTTTAACAAGTATATTATTGAATGACTTTAAACTAATAATTTAAAAGGACTCTTTTCTCTTTTTTGAAGCTAAATTGTAATTTATAAAAATGTATCATAAAAAATGAAAATAATTGCTTAAAATACTTGTTATATCCTTTAAAAAAATTACCAGGTATTATATTAATTAAATTTTAAATATTATTATTAAAATATATCAAATATTTATTTTTTTTTTTCATTTATTTTATATTAATTACCACAAATATTTGTAAAAAATATTATCAAAAAATAAAATAGAAATTAGTTTTTTAGAAATTAGAAATAAATTTATTAATTCTTGTTAGAGAAATAAAAATTAAAATATTTTTTATAAGTTTTGTAATTCATTCCATAATACCTTTCAAAATAAATAATGCATAATATTTTGATATGTGGAGTACTATAATTAACATATTCAAATAATTAATTAAGGTTACATTAAATATAAATAAATAAATAAATAATTTGCTTTTCATATTTATATTTTAAATCATTAATTCCATCTAGCAACAACTAAATGTTTACAATTTTTTTAAATTGATTGTTTTGTTTTAGTCTTCTATATATTAGATAGCCATGAGTATCTACAATAATTTAAAAAGAAATTAATTTTATTTTTCATTAAAATTATTACTTTAATGGCATATGAAGATAGTTTATTTTCTTATTTTTTATGGAGTCAACTATATATTCAAACTGCTAAAAATTAAACCTAAGTATTTCTAAATTTTATTAAATTTTAATAAAATCTAACAAAATTGTATATATTTACTGTAAAAATAAAGTCAAAGATTTAAGTTCAGATTAATTTTTCAGTGTGCTAATAAGATGGCTTGCTCCTTCTTTTTTGAGTAAATTATTCCTTTTTAATTTCAAAAGTTATTATTATTTTATTTTTTTATTTATTATGCTTTTATTTACCTTAAAAATAATTTTAACTATTTTAGTCTCTTGCTTTGTAAGGAGTTTTCAAGACTCTACAAAAATTAACAAGGTGTTTGGAGCCTTTGTTATTAAAAAATATTCTTCTTACTTTGAAAATCTAAAAATAATAAACAATTTACTCAACTATTAATGTTAAACTAGATAATCTTCTTAAACTATCAATAAAATTACATAGTTTATTTGAAAGATCTTAACTTATTACAAAAGAGCTTTATATTAAATAATTATTTTTTAAGATTTATGAAAATTTAATTCATATTATAATTACTTCAAAGTTAATTTTAATATTTTGATTGATTCAATATCTAAACTTTGGTTTTAAAATAAATCGATAAAGATTTTCAAATCTTCATTTTTCCTAAATATTTAAATAATATCTCAGCTCAAAAAGTGTAAGTAATTTATGTTTTATATACCTAATTTATGTCTAAAGGTTTTCTACGCTCAAGACTAAACTAAATGCTTACTATAATATTAATTTTGATTTTTCAGATATCTCAATTATATCCAAATTTAAACATCTGATCTTATTATTTTGAGATACAAACTTAGCTAATTTATAGCTTTAAAGATCATTTGAAATAACTTAACTATAATTCCTATTAGAAATATTGTTTTTATCTGAATTTTTAAATAATAATTACATAATATTCTGCTTTTGTAAATCGAATTGTGTATTTTTTATATTTTATGCCATTTCAGTTTGATTTTGATAATTTTTTATTATCTAAAATCAATTTTGTTAAAAATAACTATTTAAACTTAATTAGCTAGCTTATCTTACTGATATCTAGAAAAAAGATTTTATCAGCAATTATTTTTCTATTTAATTGTAATAAAATAGAAAGATTATTTAAAAACTACATTATACTTATGATAATAATTATTCAAATTCTATTCTCTTCTTAAGATATAAAGACAAATAAGTACTTGTCAAGATTAATTTTGTTATTGTTAACAAACCAATGATTAAATTATCATTAACTTATTCAGATTAATGTATTTATTATCAATGTATCAATTAAAAAATCTAGTTGATAAGTTAGCTCTTGTTTAAGAAAATAGAATTTTTTATTTTCAGCTATAAAAAATAAATAATTTAGAATATTAATAAAAAATAATATTTTAGATTTAAGATTTATAAAAACTGAAACCTAACTCTTTTAAAAGTTAAAGTATGCAATAAAAGTGGTTATTCACTTTGATTTTATTTAAAAATCCAAAAATATTTATATAAACTTTATATTAATTCAAATAAGTTATATTAATCAATAAAAAGGTTAATTTTTATATAAAGATATTTAAATTACAATTAAAAAAATTAACTATTCTTTTATTGAATTATCTTTCATTTAGCTATTTATTGTAATATTAAAAGGTTTTTAATTCTAAAATAGCAAATAATTTGATATTTTTGCAAATAAATTATTTTTGAGAAGGAAAAGAAAATTGATAATTATATATTATTATATAAATTAATTATATAAAATTGTTAATTTATTAATTGAAATGGATTTATAGTGCTATTTTGATACAATTTATAGTCATTCATTACTCTTTAGATTGTTGGTTTATGTTTCTTTTGTTTGTTAATTTGTATTTCCTTTTTTTTGCTTTATTTATGCTTATACTTTCATAAACAATATTTTCTTATTTTTCCAATAAGAACTATTCATCGATATTAGAGACAAAACTATAAGGACTATGTTTCCATTCACATAGATCAATATCCTATAAGTTTTCTAATTATTTTAAATTTTATCTTTCGATTTATTCATGATTATTGTGAGTTTGGTTTACATCAATTTAGTTACTACATTATATTTCTTTTAAACTAATTCTATTTTTATTTAAAAAAGTATTCATTTAAATTCCATTTTTAAACGTTAGCTCTGTTTCGTTCATATCAGGATCTGTTTTAATTTGCTTATTTGATGAAAGATTGTGTTAATTCTAAATTAATTTATTTTATTTAGAAAAGCTTTAGCTATATATTATTTATTTTTCAACTTGCTTTTTATTAGTCTTACTATCATAAAATAAATCTTTTGCATTTTAACTAATCTATTTATCCAATCTATTTCCAACATTTAATTTCTAAGCATTTAGCTAAAGATCACTTCTAATACAATAAATTAAAAAAAAAAATTTGAAATGATATTGTGAAATTTATATTAATAAATTTAAATAATTAAACTATTTATTACCTTTAATTGATGGATATATTCTTTTTTATCTAAGATTTATGCAATTTTGGAAAGGAGATAGGCAAAGCATCTAAACTAGCAGTAGAATCTTAATTTAACATCTTACTATCCTATTTTTGTTAGTCTTTAGGGTCAATTGTTAAGTATTTTATAGAGTCTTACTCTACCATTTCAATTGACTGATTATTAGGATTTGTATTAAAATTTGTAGAAGCTTTTAAAAGTGTTTTTCTATATTTAAAGTTAAAAATGTTTTTATCAGAAGACTTTTATGTTAAAGACGATAATTTTATTTCTGAAGGCTCTAAAGCAACTAATTTTTTATTTTCTTTTTCGCTTTAGTTAATATTTTTGTATTAAATATTTTTAGGTTATGAATTTTATTGCTAAATTTTTATCTTTAGGTTTCTAACATACTTTTGTAATTAGTCAGCAATATTTTTATTTTTACCACTAAAAATCTGATCATCGTTGTAGCTTTCCTCTACATAATCTATGATTTCTGACTTTTCATCTAAGTCAAAATAATTAAACTTTTCATTTTAAAACTTTGAATAGCTTTTATTTAAGCTATTATTTCCTGTATGTATTAAGTTTTGTTAATTTTAATCTGGAAATTGCTGTTTATTTGGCCTGACAATTTCTTCTTATGATTTATTTCTTTTCACAATAGAATCATCATTATCTTTGTAAATGTTCTCATTTTCTTTTTCATTATTATTTTACTAGTTATGAGGTTTTACCTTACTATAAATTATATTTTTTTTTGGCTTCTTTAAACCTTTTTAATATTCTTAAATAGTCTAAGTAGCAGCAACAATAGGATTTTAAGCTTAAATATTGTCTTAATTTGCTCTTTTATCTTAAGAAACCTTTTTATATATGCTACTTTCGTATTTTTTTTTAGAAACAAAGTTATTTCTCTCTATGAAATTTAATTATGTAATATTCATGAGGTTATTTTTTTTGTTTGTGGTAGTTGAATCAAAAATATATTAGGAATTAACATAATTACTGCAATTCTTCTGTTTACTTAGAAGGTTATTTAAATCTAATATCTTCAGTTAATTCTATAAACTTAAGTTTGTTGGGTTTTGCTAACTAATTTCATTAGTTTTTTTTGTCTGATTATTTTACAGTTCTTAAACTGTAGGCAATTGGTTTTTTAATTTAATTTTATCATGAATATCATTATTTTCGTATTAGATAGATGAATTATATTCTGTTTATAAATAATTTGCTGATGGATTTTCTAATTCTTCCTATCTTATCCTTAAAATATAGTTCATATAATTATCGCTGAGTATTTTTTCATCTTTATTTTCTGGCTATTTAATTTATTTAGAAGTTTAACTTTCCTTTTAAGTCAATATATCTAGACTTATGGAAATATTCTATTTATTATCTATAGATGAAATCAGCGAAAGGTTTTAATTTGAGTTACTTAGAGGTTTAAATTTAATCTTCAACATATCTTAGTATTTTTCCTAGAGAGAGTTTAATTATTAACTGTTACTGAGCGATTCTCTGCTATTTTATTCCTTTTTATTTGGCATAATTTTTTTTCTTATCATTGATTACTTACTACTTTCTCCGTATGAATATGAGTTATTCAATCTCTCTTAATCTGATAAACGCTAATATTTATACAAAGGGATATTGGTACTAAACGATTCAGACCCTTTAGGATTTAAAAATTTTTTCTTCACTTTAGACTGTCTTTACAAACACACTGAACAAATTGAATTATTTATCTAGCATATTTTACATTCTTAAGGATTAGCTGTTGGTATTTAGTAATAATTATCAACTCTATTTAAGAGTATGTTTTAATCTAAAATCTATCCGCTAGAGAGTTATTGATTATGAAGGGATAAAGAGGGACCTTTTGAGAAATCTTTCTTTAATAGTATTTTATTATTATGATTTGGTATAAATGAGCTATTGATATTTTATTGAGAAGTTTATAGATTTAATTAAGCAGAGCTGTTATATTATGATGCAAATCTTTTTTACCTCTCGCTCCAATCATTATAGCAATGCTTGGTACTATTTGAATCTTTATTATCCTCTTATATTCCAAGAACATTACCAAGCAGCACACTAGTCTCAGCATTAAATTTCATGATAATGCCTACTCAACAAAACTAAGAATAAATGATCTATTTTGCTTTATTTTAAATAAGTTATTATCGATTTATGTATGATTGAATTAATGTAGGTATTTTTGATTGTTTATTTATTTTTATAATATGTATGTATGTATGTATTTGATTGAATTTATTCTTATTTTATATATATCTGTTTGTGTTTGTTTTTAATAAAATTAATGATTATTTTTATTATACTTAAAATGAATTCTTTATACTTACTTACACCTTATATCTGTAAATATTTCTTATAAATTTAATAGTTCTGCCTATTCCATTCATTTATTCACTATTATTTCAAACAGAGTGTTTTCATTTTATAAACTATAATAATTTACCATGAGTTAAACTAAATATTATTTACTATTTTGAAATGCTAAATAAATTATCATAGCATAAAATTAAAAGCTTTAAAAAAGAAAAACCTCTTAAAATGAATTTTGTAAAACTTAATTGGAATCAAAACATATTTTAATAATAAAAAAATTAGTTTAATAAATTTTTAATAATAATCTAAATATTAAAAATATTTTAAATAGGACCAATTAATTCCAATTAAATTTTTAATTTGATTATAAAATATTGAAGCTATAAATTTATTTATCAATTAATAAACTTTAAGAAATATTAAAATTTACATAAATTAAATAAATTTAATTTTAAATTGTAATTATAAAAATTTAATTTGAAAAAATTCAATTTTTGTAAAAATGTTCTAATGATTTTTTTTTTATAAATCTGAAAAATTTAGGATAGCTCATCAAAATTTGATAGTTAGAATATTTTTTATTTATAACATTTTGTTTGTTTTAATAAGTAAGCCTATTAAAATAGTTGTTAAAATTATTTTTTACTTCAGAATCTATTTTTTAAAATTTAGAAAAATAAAATAAATTTTTAAAACTTTATTTTGTTTTTATTAGATAAATATAATTTATAATTTTAAAAAAAATGTTCAATTAAGTTTCTAACTTTACTTATTTTAATTATTTTATTGAATATCGTTTGTTCTATTGAAAATATTTAATAAAAAAACTTATTTTTAAAAGATTTTTATTGGCAAAACAACTTAATTTAATTTATATATAAAAGAGGTGTTAACTAAAAAATATTAAGCATAATTGAAATTTGATTATTAAGTATTCATAAGATTAGTTGTTAATTATAATAGGAAATTTGCACAAAAGAATATTTAAAATTTGTTTAAATGCAAGAAATAGAATTACATAGTTAAAAAGAAGTTAGCTATGAGCCTTAATTACAAGATTAGGAATTAGCAAATTAGTTAACAATTGAGGAAGCAATGGAAAAAGTAGGATAAAAAAATAGGTATCAAATTATTGTCACTGCACTTTCATTTTTAACTTGGTTGATAACTACTTATGGATATATGGTTCTCCCATATTTTATGAGTGCTCCTGATTTTGAATGCTTTGTTGATGGAAAATGGAGCAAATGCACGGAGGATACTGGCGCATGCGATCACAATATTAAAGTGAATATTTTAACTGAAAAATCTAGTACAATAGCAGCTGATTTTGAATTATATTGTGATAATAGATAAATTAGAGTTATTATCTAAAGTATGCCCCTCTTCGCAGGAGTTATAGGGACGTTCTTCTTTGGATTTTTTACTGATAGATATGGCATTAAATTAGCTATTAAAACATGTTGGATTTTGGGAATTTTAAGTAGCACCTTTTTTAATTTTTCAACTAATTCTATTTGTTTGCTAGTAGGATCTTTTGGAGTTGGGTTCTCAGCTTTGATTTTGTAAAATCTATTTATCATTCATATGAACGAGCTATCTGTAGGACAATTTCGTGTTATGGCTTTATTAGGAATGTACATTTTTTGGTCTATAAGTGAAATGCAATATATTTGGATGATGAAAGTTTTACCTAATTGGAGATGGAATATGTTAGCTTTTTATACAATTCCTTTTTCTTGCTGCATAATTTTTGCTTTCAAATGGATACACGATTCTCCAAGATATCTCTATTAAAAAAATCGCTCTCGTTGCTTATAAAATTTAAACTTGATTGCAACTGTAAATTAAAAAGAACAGATTAGTGATAAATAATTACAGGTTTACAAAGGAAAAATGAGCAAGCAATATAATTATTTGGATTTATTTAGCTATCCTTCTTAGAGGAGCAGCACTATTGTTATTTCAATAGTCTTCCTCTTTGTTAATTTCTTATATTAAGGTACTTAAGTAGTTTTAAATACAGTTGGATCCTCGTTTGGTGAAAACTCATTATATGTAGGAATAGGTGAGCTTTTTGGATTTGCTTTTTCAGATTTAATTTCTCATCGTATACCTCGTCGAATGGGTATTTTTTATACTCTAGGAGCTACTTGTATTATATGCATGTCTTTTTATTTTTATCCCATCCCTTAGTATTGTGAATCTGATCAAGCAACTTGCTGGTAGAAATACCTACAAGGTTTTATGGTTTCTCTAGCTAGAGCTATAACTTCTTTGACTTTTGGTTTAGAATTACTTTTATGTGGTGAACTCTATCCTTCTACTCTGAAGTCCTTAGGGTATGGTATGAATTTAGCAGTAGGCTATTTTGGAACATTTTTAGCTCCTTCCTCTATAGACTGGGCAAAAGAAAATGGTTTCACACCAATTGTTTTCATAGGATTTGTTTCGTTTGTTGGTAACTTTATAACCTTATTTTCTAAGGAAACTCTGAATATTTAAGCACCTTTAGATATTCCAGAGGAGTTATAATAAAATTATACTAACAATGATAAAAACAATCCTAACAACATTAGCAACTAGAATAATTTTAAATTTAATTAACCTTCTTCTCCAGATTAAGATGCTGAAGGTAATTCATAAGACGATGTTATAAATGAACTCCCAGAAAAAATTCAAGAATAAAAAGTTTTAAATTAAAAAAGAAATTGAAAATTTATTTATTATTTATTGAAATAAATTTAAATAGTTTTTCACTAATAATCTAAACATTTTTTTAATTATTATTATTTGCAAATTCACTGTAAAATTTATAAAACAAAAACATGTTTGTTTAATGCATTTATTCATTGAATGCTTAGTAAGTTATTCCATAATCATAAGTTAATAAATAAATAATTTTTAATTTAAAATTATTTGAAGTATAAGAATAAATGCTTCAAACTTTTACAATAAATAAATATCTATAAAATATTTAAAATATTAATTTGTTTTCTTCAAATATTGATTTAAAAGATTATATTAAAAGATCGTTTTTTAATATTATTTTGTATAATAACTTTAAAATGCATTAAATACTTTTTTTTTAAAACAAAATAAATATAAAAAAACTAATTAATTTTTAAATTTATTTTTTTAATTTTTAAATGTCTTGAGATTGAGAATTGAATTTATTTTTGTTTAATGTTAGATTAATAGAAAAGATTTTAAGAATTTTACCATAAAACTTTTTTTTTGATAGTGCTGCGATTCTCCCACAAAATATAAATTTTTATATTATTATCTACATGCTTCCGTTTTTTAGTCATCAAATTCTTGCAAAAGCTTCCAAAGTCTTCAAATTATTGACATTTTCTCTCACCCACTATTATTTATGCTAAATGAGATTCAAGAGACTAAATTTCTAACTATATTATTTAAAATAACTTTTATTAATAAACTATTATCTTAATAAAAAATTAATAAAATTAAAAATAATGTTTTAATATTTTAAATTTAATATTTGAGAGATGTTTACTATTTAAAAATTAAAAAATTTTAATTTTCTTTCATCTTATTACAATTTTACAGGTTAAATTAAAGCATAGAATTTTATAATATTTTTAGGAGTAAGAATTTAAATTTGTGAATATGGCTTTGATTAAATTTTTTGTTATTTGATTGATATTCTTTTTTATTTATTTTAATGCTTCTAGATTTTTAGATAAAAGTTTGTATCTATAAATGTTTACAGTACTAGTTGTCTATTGCAGTTTAATTTAATTTATCTGTAAAATAATAAAATAGATAAATTTGTTACACACATTCTATTATTCTTTTTATTTTTGCCTTAAAAAATTTGAAAAAAATTTCAATTTACAAATTAAATAAAATATAATAATAAAAAAAACAATAATAGAAAAAAAAAATGGATAGAAATTTAAAGGCTCTTATAATAGGATCTACAGGTGGAATTGGTAGAGAATTGGTTAAAGAACTTCTTAAATCTAATTAATGGAGTGAAGTTCATGTAATAGTTCGTAGAGAACTAGAGGCATGGAGTAAACTAAGCTATGAATAAAAAAATAAGTTGGTTATTCATAAAGTTGATGGCTTAGAAATTCTAAGAGATCAAACAAAGTTACCAAAATTTTAGGGTCTTAATGCTATTTTTTGTACATTAGGTGCAGAATAAAAAGATGGCAAAGAGAATTTTATCAAAGTCGATAAGGAGTTCCCTTTACTTTCAGCTGATCTGGCAATATAAAATAATATTCCTCAATATCATATTGTTACTTCTTAAATGTCCGATAAATCCTCTATGTTCCTTTATCTTAAAATAAAAGGAGAAGTTGAGTATGAACTTTCTTAAAAAGGTTTCTAATATTTAGGTATTTATAGACCTGGGCTTTTATTGTAGCGTGAGTAACCACGCTTAATAGAAAGATTATGCTCATATATTCCATTTATTAAAAAAGTAGATGTTCAAAATATAGCTGTAACTATGAGAAAATAAGCTGAAAAAAATATATAATTTACTTAAAATAAAACAGAATATTTTGAAAATAATGAAATAATAAACATTTCATAGAATAAAAATTGATAAATAGTAATAATAACTAAACAAAATATTTGTGATCTTGTTATTAATCTAGTGATAATTTTTCATTATGACTTAAGTTTTGTTAAATGAAAATCTACTTAATTTCAAAATTGTATCTTTTATTTTATATTTTTAAAATTTTTTGTATTAAATTTAGAATATAAAAAAACAAAATAATTTTGGATAAAATTTAAAAAAATTTATTTCAATTTTGTGTTTTATAATTTCTGGTAAGAAATTGTAAATTCCTATGATATAAATTATTTATATCAAATGAAAAAATATATTATTGATAACATTCTCAAAAAGTATTTAAATTATTTAAAAAATAGGTTAAAACTTAATTAAATAAGTAAGATAGATGATTTTATTAAAATTTAATAAATTTCACAAAACTGGAGTTAAATCAAATGCAATTAGAGAAATAATATTAATTAATAGATAAAATGAAAAAAATTCTCAAATAATATGATTTTGTTATTTATACCTGAAGAAAATATAATAGTTATTATGTGCTTATCCTTTTTCTTATTAAATCAAAATCTAAAACATAATTTTTTCAGTAAAAAAATAGCAATTTAAAAATCTTTTATTATATTAAAATAGCTTATAAACTGTAAAAAGGTTTTAACTTGATTTTTTTTGTTTGATTCATTGAAATTTCATATCAAAAATAACAATCTAAAGATAAAAGATCTTAAAAATTTCTAGAAACTTGATAGAAGTATTTTTTTATCTTTTATTTAGCTATTTTACATTTAAGAATTGTTTGGCGTTATCAAATCATAGCTTTAAATATTATAAATAAAACCAAAGCAACAAAATTAAAACAATATTTTTTAAAATTTTATAAAAATGAATAACAGCGCTTAAAATTTAAAGGCTTTAGTTGTAGGATCAACAGGAGCTATTGGATAAGAGTTAGTTAGGGAGTTAGTTGTATCCTAAAACTGGAGTGAAGTTCATGTAATTGCAAGAAAGGAGCATGAATCATGGAATCAATTTTCATAAGAATAAAGATAGAAGCTAAAAATAGTAAAGGTTGAAAACTTTGATAACTTACAAGACGCATCTCAGTTCAATAATTTTCAAAATATCAACAGCGTATTTTGCTGTCTAGGAGCAGTTTAAAAGAATGGGAAGGAAAATTTCATAAAAGTAGATCAATTTTATCCACAATATGTAGCAGATATCGCATTAAAAAATAAAATTCCTTAATACCATATTGTTACTTCATAGAAATCTGACAGGCATTCAATGTTCTTTTATTTTAGAATAAAAGGAGAAGTCGAATACTTGCTTTAATAGAAAAAATTAAATTATTTAGGTATCTATAGACCAGGATTGCTTTTAAATCGTGCTGGATAGAGATTTGTTGAAAAAGTATGTTCTTACATTCCTTTCATTAAAAAGATTGATGTTAGAGATGTTGCTACTGCTATGATAATATAGGCTGAAAAAAACTATAGCTTGCAATAGAGTATTAATAAAACTGAAATATTTGAGAACAATGATATAATTAATATTTCTGCAACTAAAAAGTGAATTATTTAAGAATTAATTGAATTATATTAGTGAAAAAAATCTCTTAGATTTCAATATAATTTATTGCTGTAATAAATATTTATTATTTATAGTTGTTGAACAGCCAAACGATTTTGAATATCTATTTTTTAATATTTTAACACTATCTATAATTTATAATAGTTATCTTAATAATTAAAAATAAAATAACAAGTATCAAATATTTAAAGCTTAAAAAAATATTTAAAAATCAATCTTGAGTAAATCTAATTTTCTTAACATTTTTAATCAATAAATTTTATCTTTATTAAGATGAAAAAATTATTAATTAATTTTTTGTAAAGAAAAAATATATATCTTAATAAAGAATTATTAAAACATAAAAAATTGTAAGTAACTAATTTTGATTATAATAATTTATTTATTGGCTTCAAAAATTTATTTTATTATTTCTAAATTTCCATATCTAAATAATTGATTTTAATAATAAATTTTTATTTAAGCACTTTAAAATTCCAATTTGTTGTTGTTTCTAAATTTGTTAAATATTTCTGTCTTTCTACAAATATTCTAAAGAATTTACATTACAGATTTATCTATATTTATTTTTGATTATTTACAAATTTATAAAAGAAAAAGGTTAAAACAATAAAAATAAATAATCTTAGTATTTAAGTAAAAGATTCAAAAATAAAAATTTAAATCTAATTATTAAAAAGATAGAAAGAAAAGCGAATATATTTTTTATTATATTTTTTTAAAAATTATAAAAAAAAATCGAATTTAATGAATTAAAGTTTTAAGTTGTAAAATAAAAAGTGAGAAGAAAAATAACAAATGGTTTTTATAAAATAAGGAATGCTAAGAATACTTACTTAATGATTAAAAATATAGATTTGAAAAGTTCAAAAAATTTAAAGAGTAAGGAATCAGAAATATTAAGTCATTTCAAAATTTGCATGATTTCAATAAATAAATATTAATTACCAAAACTATAAAAAATATTTTTATTGAGTATTTGGTTACTTAATTATTGGAATGAGTTTAGATTTATTTTATGGTTTATAAATATATATATTTAGCTGTTTTTGTAAATATCTTTTACATTGTAAAATAAAAATATTACAGGTTTTTACAGAAATTGCATTTTACATTTTTGAGATAATGTAATGGTTGAATTATAAATGGGTAGCGTATTTAGTACAATGCTTAAGTTTTAACTAGTTTCTCTATATTTTTGATAGTAGAAAGAAATCTTAATCAAATGCTAAACAAAAACAAAAAATAATCAAAAAAATTAACAAAAACAATAGATTCTTTATTATTTATAAATATTATATATATTATAGACTTAAAGTAAGGTAATCAGTCAAGAATATTTTTGATGTAAACGTAGCTAACGAAAGGATTAAAGCCATCAGATTTAGATACTAGTTACTAAAATTCTAATAATGCAGGACTAGCTACTTCTTTTCAAACTAGCGCAGATATGAGAATAACTGGGATAGATAATGAGGCAGATTATAAGCCTCCAGTGAATATGCTAAATGATTTAAATAATTCAAGAAACTCATATGAAAATTAAGCTTCATCGACACCTGCCTCCCACAGGTTTCAATTAAATAAATTATAAACTCTCTAGGATAGAATTGAAATTTAAAAGCTTAAATATATGAAATTTTCTGAACTTGCAGATTCTCTTGAAATAGAATTAGAGAATACCAAAGAATATTTTAAGCTAGCTGACCAGAATATTTATTTTTTTAATATAACATCAAAGAGATATTACGATAAAGGAAATGAGCGCTAGTGGTTGATTAGAAGGAGATATCAGGATTTAGTATAATTTGACTATAAAGTAAATATTATTTGTTTGGATTTAACAAAATTTTAGTTCATGCTTGCACTCTTTCATGCATATATACATGTTTATTGATTTATAATCTTATGAATATAATGGGTTAAAAATAGTTAGTAGTACCAATATTGTAAACATTTATTATATGAACTATTAATAGGTAAGAAAGGAGTTAAAAAAAAATAAACTTAAGAAGCAAATGCCTGATTTGCCATTTAAGAAGGAACCCTAAAATTATAAAGCAAAAGACATACTGATTTTTTTAGAGTGTTATTTGAAGGCTATGATTTAATTAGAACATGTTTGTAAGACTGTAGCACTTTGGGAATTCATAGAATTATCTGATTATACCTATGATGGTATTGTTAAAGTAAAAGAATCATTCATTAAAAAGCGTGCAGGTGGCCACTTTAAAAAAAGGAACTGCTTAGATAGCTGTATAAATCCATTTAAATTATGGAAAAAAAGATATATAGTTATTACCTCTGAAGCAATTATGTATTCAATAGGTAAAATTACTGGCATATATAATTTTATAATTAGTTAAACAAAATTTATTACTTGATTTAGCATTAAATTTACTCAATTATTTTGTGTAAACCTTAAAAGTATCAAAAATAATACTTTATCTTAAACACTACTGAGTAAGTTAAGTTCTCTAAAATCATGAAAAAATGCTTATCAATTTAATTAGATATATAAAATTTACCTATTAATTAAAGGAAATAGAGAGCCTAACTGTCAAACCAGAGAAATGCTTTTGTTTGACCACAACTTTAGTCTAAAGTATGGTAAAGCATATACTCAAAGAGATCTAGGAATTATATTAACAACTACAACCCGTCGCTTACAATTAGAGGCAGATGATTTATTTCATTTTGTTGATGTTATTGCAGGTATAAAAGATGCAATGAGACTTTCACCCTATATTGAGTTGCATAGGTACGATTCTTTTGCTCCTATTAGATAGAAATCATTTTGTTAATGGTTTATAGATGGAGAAGTAATTCTTTTATTTATTGCATTAATTGAGTTAAGTATTACAATAAAAATGATCCTTAAATAAAAATAATCTATTTATAAAATTTGAGATTATAAAAGTATTATCTGAAAAAGCAGCTGAAGTTATTCAAATATTTTTACATATTAATTCGTTCGATTGATTTTTTAGAATTATTAAAAAATTTATTCAAATACAATAAAATGTAACAAAAAGTATTACTTAGAATTAATTAAGCGTGCTAGTACCATAACATTTAATTTTAATTATTTTTTTTAATTTTAGGGATATTTCTCCTAACTGTATGAAAAATTATCTAAAGCTAGTCATGAGGTTTTCATAACTGATTGGTGGCTATCTCCTGAAATGTACCTCTAAAGACCTGTAAATTAATACACGAATTAAGAAACTCGTCTGGACAGAGTTTTAAAAAAAATAGCTGAACGAGGTGTTAAAATTTATATTATTGTTTATAGAGAACCGACTATTGCTTTAAATTTAAATTCAAATTACACTAAGTCAGCTTTATGCTCTCTTCATAAAAATATAAGAGTTATGAGACATCCCAGCACACTTATACCTTTACTTTGGTCTCATCATGAGAAAATGGTAGTGATAGATTAAATTTATGGTTTTTTAGGAGGCTTGGATTTATGTTATGGTAGATGGGATTCTTAATCTCACCCATTAGTTGATTAAAACTAAGCCAAAATTTACTTTCCAGGTAATTTTAACACAATTCACTAACATTTCAAAAATATTAACTTAACTCAAGTTGAATAATATAAAATTTTCTAAGTTTAAATTTATTGATCAAATAAGCTTTTAATTTTTATTGAAATATTTTTTATATATAAAATTATAGGTATTGATTATTCTAATGCTCGTATTAGAGACTTTAGGGATGTTAAGGAAATAGACAAATCAGAGATAAGTAGAGAGACTTAGCCTAGAATGCCTTGGCATGATATCGCTATGATGGTAGCTGGTGAACCTGTGAAAGATATGGTAAGACATTTTATTTAATACTGGAACTTCGCAAAAATGGATATTTACAGCAAAAATAACAACCAATAAATTGACCATCTAGTGCCAGGAATTGAAGACACTGAGAATACAAATAAGATGAGTAATGTTATTAGCAACTATTGGCATAAGATTCTCTCTAGATTTAAAAAAAATAAAAGAAATGATGGAGAAAGTCAATCAAAGAGTATTGATTTTGATAGAGCAGGGAGCTCAATAAACTAAATTGTAGATTCAGTTAACGGAATGAAGCGTTCAAAGACTATCAATATAAATAGAAAGGTTTAGGTGAATAGATTTTCTGCTTATCTTGATAAAATCAAAGAAGAGCAAGAAGAAAATCAATAAAATTAAACAATCATAGAGGATGATGACGATAAATCATCTTACTCGAAAAATAACACAAGCTTAAATTAAACTTTTGATATGAAAAAGTAAAATCTAGCTTTAAAAAAAGACGAATTTAATCTGACTAAATAAGGCTTTGAAGAAAAAACTATCCCAGAAGATTTTAAAAATATATTCGGTGATGTTTCAAGTATTGTATAAAAACCAACTTGTTTAATTAGTTAAAGAGAAACAGATGTAAAAAATATAAGACCTAAAAATAATTCAAATATCGAAATGAGCTTGATTAATGCAACAGCATAAACAAAATAGGATAAAGCCTTAGATACAACAGTTAATTAGAATCCAAATGAAAGCATGATACTTCCAAAGTTGCTAGGCTAAACTTATTAATTTAATTTGGGTAACGATAAGACTAACAATTCTATACATAATCACTCTCATGCTAATTAATTAAACACAAGTCATAACAACAATAATACTTCTATAATTTTAAACAATGTTTTTACCTCCAACAAAGAAGGAGGTGGAGAATAAAATAATATTGATTAAAATATTTAAGAATAGCTTATTTAAAGCAGACGCTTAAGAAAAAGTGAAATTAAAAATAGATAGACAAGATCAACTTCTGTAATAATACCTGTAACTATAAATAATAGATAAACATATAAACCATTCAGTTTAGAATATGAAGATATGCACGAGCTAAATAAATACAATTTATATGTCCCAATTGTAGAAAAACTGAAGAAAAACTACGAAGAAGCAGATGAATAAGATTAAAATTACTACATTATTTATAAAAGTTAGATTTAAAACCATGAATAAAGTACTTAAAAGAATAGTGGAATTGGAGCCAACTTTTTTAATATTTTCAAAACAAAGTCAAAAGTTGTACCTTAAAATAATAACGAGAATGTTAAAAGAACCTTTTCAGAGTAGTCGGATTATTCTTTTAATGCTTCTGCTGCCAATTATTCCAAGGAAGAAGATGATTCTTTAGATAACAGCTTTGGGCTTTTTAATAGAAAGAAAAATTTTGATCGACTCAAGCTTGAAAACAATAAATTTAAACAAAATGGAACATGCATCTGTTAAATGCTTAGATCAAGCAGCAGCTGGTCGTTAGGTTTGCAGTAAAAAAATCATGAAATGTCAATTTAATTAGCTTATATTGATTTAATTACTTCTTCTTCAAACTTCATTTACATAGAAAATTAATTCTTTATTTCTTGTTCTGCAGGCCCTAAAGTAAAGAATTTGATAGCTCAAGCTCTTATAGAGAGAATAAAAAAAGCAGCAGAAAAAGGAGAAAACTTTAAGGTTGTTGTAGTTATGCCTCTGCTTCCAGTATTTATAATTTAAAAAAAATATTTTGTGTATAAGTATAAATTATTTTTAATTTTTAGGGATTTGAAGGTGAAGTAAATGATTCAGGATCTGCAGTTATGAAATGCTAACTCCACTGGGAATATGCTACTATAAGTAGAGGGGGTTAATCTATTTTAGAAGAACTAAGGTCACATCCTAAAATAGATGATCCTTCTAAATATATTTAATTTTATGGACTCCGCCAGCATGATATTATAGATGGCAAGCCTGTAACAGAAATTATATATGTCCATAGTAAGCTAATGATTGTTGATGATAATTATGTAATTATGGGATCTGCGAATATAAATGATAGGAGTATGCTTGGAACACGTGACTCTGAAATAGCTGTAAATGAATTTTCAGTCAGTATTTTTTAATAAAGAATATTTTAAAAATTAGATGATCGTAGAAGACACAGATAAAGTGATGTCAAAATGGAATAAAACTGTTAAAAAAGTTGGTAAATTTAGTCATAGCCTCAGAGTAGCTCTATATCAAGAGCATTTTGGACTAAGTTATGATGAAGCAAGTGATCCACTCTGCGAAACAACTGACAATCTTATAATATCTAGATCTAAAGTAATCAAAATAGCTAAAAATTAAAAACATATAACTTTATTTTTTAAAAGTAAAATACTCTCATTTACAGACAAGTCTTTGCCTGCTATCCAGATGACAAAGTAGAAACCTTGAATTAGCTAGATGATTTCCAGAAATCTAAAAACCCAGATTTTTATTATTAATACAAAGATAGTATTATAGGAAATGCAGTTGAGCTACCTTTAGATTTCCTCAAAAAAGAAAACCTTAATTTTAACATTTCCCAAAAAGAGTATTTCGTTCCTGATGAAAATTTTACATGAAAATATTTTATTAAAGCTTCTTCTAAAATTTAAGACGAATTTTTATTAATTTAAATTTAAATTTAATAAAACTAGCCATTAAATTATTTCTGAGCTATTAAATTCTTAAAATATGCTCTAAAATATAACAAATAAGATACAATTAATTTAATTAATTAAATGAGTAAATAAAGTCTAATCTATTTATTTTATAAAAAATTAATAAATTTCAAATTTATAATAACAAAAATATACATACATACCAAATCGTTTTACAAATTTTATGTTAAGAGTTCTTTCTTGTATTGAATCTAAATATAATTGGAAGAATTAATATAATTAATATTAAAATAAAACTTTTTTCATTTATAATTCGCTAACAATCAATTTATTTTAATAATATCAATCAATAATGATCACTATTTTTTAATAATTTAATTTTAAATTATCTTATGAATATTATTTAAAAGGTATACAAAATATTAGTTTTAATTTTGGATAAATAGATGTAATAAATATTTAGAAAATTTATCTGATCAGCTATTTCATTTTAAAGAATACTCAATTCTTAAAAAAAAATGTTAATAATTGATTTTTAGTCATCAAAAACTCTAACAAACAAATATGCTCAAAATTATCAAGAATCAATAATTTTTTAGTTAATCATTTTAATTACAAACTGCTAAATTCAATTATTTTTATATTATTTTAATTAACCAAGCTTCAAATAGTTAAAAAAAATCTAAACGGTAGTAAAATATTAAGTTTTAATAATAAAAAACTAAATAAAACAACCTAAACTAGTAAATATTATCCTTTATTAAAAGAAATGTTTAAATATTAAATTTTGAATTAAGAAGCTTGTATTGTTAATATTTTTATATTCAAAAATCAAAACTATTTAGATTTTAGAAAAATATATATTCTTTTGTGCTATATTAAATAATAGAATAAAAGCACGTTAATTCCATGAATAGTTCCAATTCAGGTATAATTTAAGTTGATTAAAATCTATTCTAATTACAGTTATAATATAACTTTTGTAGTCTTATTCTTATCTGCTTAAATTCGAGGTATAGTACAAATGATATTTTTTATCTTTGCAAATTTTGATAGTTAATAAGATTTTAATTTATAAAAAGAATTTATTAGATAATTTATTTGCAAAAATTGTTTGGAAAAAGTCGTAAATAATTATAAATAAGGATAAAAATTATAAGCAATCAAAAGATAAATGAGCAGTATTGAGTTAACTTAGAGATAAAATAATTTTACAGAAGAGCAAGATCATGAAAATAGCTAGTTTATTAAATTTTCAAAAGAAAAGTGAGGATTTATTAAAATTTACATAATTTAAAAATATATCCATCAATAAAAATGAGATATAAATCAAATCTAAAATATTAGGCAAAAGACTCCTTAAAAAGAATTTGAAGAAAAAGTAGAAGCTGCTAAAAACTGGCTTGACTATATAAAGAATAAAGTATAACTAAAATTCTAAAAATTTAGCTTGTTTGAACGATAATTAAAAGATATGCTAATAACATTATTATAATTTAGGTTGAGTCTGCATTATGGGTGGGTGGAGCAGCAGGAATCATTTATTATTCTAATTTCTTCCACGTTTTTTTCTATCATGAAAAGATAAATATGTAATTTTATTTCAAAGGAAAGTTATTCTTAGTTTATTTTTTAAAATAATAAGACTTTTCTCTAATATTTTCCTCTTTTGTGTAGCCTTGAATGTTGTTTTTGGTTTATATGCAGCTTTTTTTATGCCTTATATCCTTAAAATAGATAAGCCTATTGACGAATATTAACCTAAAATAGTATATATTGGAGCAGCATCTGGATTTATAGGGTTTATAACGTAAATTTGTTTTAATGAATTTTGCAAATTTAGAATTAAAATTTAAAATAATATTAGTCTTGTAATAGCTATCTGGCCTGCTTTTGGCTGGTATTCTCCTGTCATGGTATTTGTAATGTTTTTAGGATATTTAAATACTTCAGCATTTCTTCCATCAAATGGAATTGGCTCTGTACTATTTGGCTTAATATTTATTGCTGCCTTTTACTCTCATTATTTTATCCCACACGACGGACATTTACATTCTAACTGATATTTTGAATTTATTTTCATTTGTAGAATTTTTAAAAAATCAAGAAGAATTTAATTATTTTATTCTGTATATAAAATCATTTGTATTTATGCATATTTTTAAAAGCCATAACATTTCATTAAAATATTAAAATTTAAAACAAATTTATAAACGCCTAAATAAATATTAAAGTCACTGTAAAAACTATTGAACTTATTTTAAAATAATGCAATTTAAATTGATTTTAGTTATTTTATTTAATTAAAAATTATTATGCACTAGTTAGCATAACTAAAAGCTATTCGATTGAGGAATAAATTTTAATAATATGTTTTAATTAGTGATATTATATATTATATGATAAGTGCGAGAAGTATATATTTATTTATCAAATAAACTTTCTAGAAACATACAGAGCAATCTTTTACTATATAAATAAATCAATCCTGATTGATTTTTTTTTTTTTAATTATTTCATTCGCTTCTTTAGGAGTCATTTCATTTATTTACTCAAGTTCATATCCTAAGTTGTAAAGTTCAATTTTCATAGCTCTTGTTACCTAATTTGATAATACAAATAAACTTTTATATTCTATTAACTAAAAAAATTACCATAAATGGAATATTTTATGATGATTCCAAATTTGGCTAGCCTTCTTTTTTATTGGCCTAAGCTTCTTTTTACTACTGCTATTATTCATTTAAATTTATTTTTTTCCCAGTCATTTATTCAAAAAGTCTTTTTTAATCCATAAGATCTTCTTCTGTATCCATTTTTTGATATTATTGTCTTATATTTTATTTATATAAATCTTCTTATGACTACTTTTATTCCTATTCATCTACTTTATCTTTTTCCAAAAAATCAGCGAAATTATTTACTCTTTTCTGTAAGTTATCTTTGATATTTTAATTATTCTGGCTATTAAAAGTTGAAGTATAATTTTTTACTATTTACTTAGCAAAATCTCTAAAATTCTTCATTTTATTAAAGCTTATATTTTGTAAATTTTTTTTTTTGATTAAATTATCAAAATAATACTGATCTTTCTTACTTTATTAAATTAAAGCTTTTATTTATTACAAATAAAAATAACATTTTAACAATCACTTTTATCTTTTAAAAATGTTTAAAATTAATTATTTTTATTAATAAAATAATAATAAGTAAATTATTAGTAAGTTTGATATATTTTTATCATTAATTTGTTGATTATTACAATGTTAATTAAACCAAAATCTACTCATATCTTGTTGAGATATAAAATATTTTGGGTTTTTGTATAAAAGACTGACTAAATTTGTTGGTTTGAATTTCTTTTAGTATCAGTTAATTATTTAGTCATTTTAATTTTTTAATATTATACTAATAATATATATTTTATTTATAAAGAATTCTACCTAAAGTTTGTACGTGTGTTAAAAATTAGAATTGATTATAGAGAATTCAATCAAAAAAGTTACGATTATCAATATTTAGAAAAAACATTGAAAATAAAAATAATTATTTAACAATAAATTCCTAAATAACCCCCAGATTTAAACAAACAAATTTTGAAAAAGATCTGAATAAAATCCTAATTTATTTAAGGAAAGGTGATATAAATAACTAACTAAATAAGCAAACAAATAAATAGCAGTTAAGCTTAAGGAATAGAAAAATAAAACTATTATATAAAATATTTTGTTTGAAAGTAAGTAGTTCATGTAGTAGAATTATATAAATTAAAATACAAATTCTGTAGATATGAATGAGCATTTATCTACTGGTACTTTAGAATAGCAAATTAAATCTTTAAGCTATAAATAAAATAATTATGGGCACTCTGGTTTAGAAGTTATTTAAGAAAGTGAGAGAAGTAGCCTTGATAATAATCAGCATCTCGAATTCAGTAAATAAATAACAAAATTTTTTTTTTTTTCATAGATTTTGTGATGAAATATAAATTTTATTTTGAAAACAATTTTAATCTATTTTTAATTTATTTTGATAGATGAAAGAAGATAAATTCTAAAAGATTCGGTTAAAGGAGAATTTTAGGGTTAGAGTTTTAGAGGAATGGAAGATGAAGGTAGTACATTCGAATATTAATAACAGAAAGTAGTTTAAGATTTAACAATGAGAATATCACAATTAGAGTCTGATTTAATTAAAGAAAGAGCAAACAATCAAATGTTAAGAAAAGAAGTAGAAAAAAGAGGAGGAAACCCTCAAGCAATAGCTGGTTCCAGTATATAAAATGATGATGCAATTTATTAAGTAGAAAGCTTAAAGTTGCAGCTTTAGCAAAAGGAAGATATCATTAATAGATAAAATCTTCAGCTTTAGATGATGTAACTTGAATTCATATAAATTTAAAAATAAATTTTAATTGAGATAATAATTATGCTTTTAAATCTTTCTTATTAAATTGATAACTAATTTTCTTAAAATTTGATAAAAAGTCAGTAATTTAATTTTTTTTGTTTCAATAGAAATACAGGATAGACATAAACATAAGATTTCCATTAAAACCTCATTGAGTTTGATAGCAAGATTTCTGGTATGGAGGAGCAGCTAGTTAAAATACAGTTAGAAAATGAGAGATTAAACTCTGTGATTAATGAAAAAAATAAAATCATTTCTATGTACAGCTAAGCAAGACAAGAAGATTTTGAGAGTATGATTAATGAACAAATTTCTAAATACCAAGGCTAAGTTGATAAAGCTCTCTAAGAAAATGAGAGTTTATTTTAGGAAATAGAAAAGCTAAACTTAATCAATTAGCAACTAGAGGAAAATAACAGAAAACTACAATTTAAGTATGAAAGTGAATAATTTCTTTTTGTATAACACTTAATTAATCTTATATAAATAGGCAGTAAGAAAAAACAGAGGAAATAAGAATTTTTTGGAAAGACCATTTTTAAAAGTCTCAACAAGAAATGCATTAGAGATTTGAAAAGGAGAAAACTGAACTCCTCAAACAAATAGATATGAAAAACCAATTGAATGTTCAATTATAACAATAATTGAGAGTAAAAATAAATCAATAAATAAAAATTGGATAAATATTTTTTTGTAAAATAATAAGGTAAATTCAGGATTTTTGGTAGAAAAAAGCTAAATGCAATCACAAATAGATACTTAGTTAATCCTTGCTAAAAATATGGACACTTAGCTTAAGGTAAATAATAATTTAAGAATTAAAACTGATAAATATTTTTTGTTATTGCTTAAAATATATTTTGTAGGATTATCAAAGTACTATTGAGCGTTAAAGAAAAGAGCTGTTTGAAAGAGAGAAGTAACTTTATAATATTTAAAGCCATGTTACTTTAGTAGAGAGAAAAGTAGTTGAGTTACAATCTATCAATAATTAACTCAATGAATAGATTAATAAATTAAATCAAATTGAAAAGCACGCTAATGATGTGATTGAAGAAAATAAAAAATTGCAAGAAATTGCATTATCTAAAGACCACCAAGCTCTAATCAGCAAATAAGAAACTGAAAACGAAAGAATTCAAAAAGAAAATATAGCATAAAAAGTCCAAGCTGAATGGGAAGATATTCTAAAAAAAGAAAAAGAATTACACTAAATCTAAATTGAAAAGTTAAATCAGGAAAAAATTAAATTGATTGAAGAAATTTCTGCCCATATAGCTTAATCTAGCGTTATTCCTGGCTTATAACAATAAATTACCATTCTAGAGGAAGATAAAGAAAAACTTTTAGTCATAGTAGCTGAAAAGGCTCAGTTAGAAGAAGAATTGTAAGTCTTGGTTGAAAGAAATACAGATCTTGAATTAAAACTTACTCAGCTTTTGGAAAACAATAAAATTCTCAACTAAAATTTGGGTTCAAGAATTAACGTAAAAATAAATATATTATCTAAAAAAGTTTGAAAATTAACTTTTATTTTTAGGAAGTTAATATATGGATGCAAAGGTTCGAGAAGGCTTAAGAGGAAAATCAAAGACTCAATGAAAAATACTAAAAATAAATTTAAGAGATTCACAAATAAACTGAAGATGAATTAAGAAGAGGAAAGGAAAAATAAGACTAGTAGATGGTTTTGATAAATAACTAGATGTCAAAGTTAGAAGAGCAGCTTAATCAATTTTAGCTTGAAAAAGCAGAAAGTGAAACTTAAATAAGAAAGGAGTGTAGGGATAAAGTAGAAAAAGTTAGAGAGAAGAATACTGAGCTCAATGAGTAAGTTACTCATCTTCAGCAGTGTATCTTAGAGTTATAATAAAAGCATGTACTTATTTAAAAGGAATAAAAAGAAAGCAGTGATTTAGAGATAGATAAGCTTAAAGAGGAAATTTACAATTAGAACTTAGAAAATTAAGAACTTAAAAGATAGCTCCAAGCATACAAATAATAGGAAGAATATTAAGAAAAGTAAAAATAATCATAAAAATAAGAGGAACCAATAGAAGGCGGTTAGTTTAATTAAAGTAAAAATTAATTTCATTTCTTTGCATTTAAAAAAGTTTCAAAATTTAATTAATAGCTGGAGAGAAGCTCGCTGAACCTAATTAGTTTGTTTTGTTTGAAAATCAGTAAACTTTAAGATAAAGAGCAAATGAAGAAGGCTAGAGATCTTAATACTAGGTACCATTCTCTCATCAATATAGCTATCAAGTATTTGATCCAAATGAGCAAAATAACAGAGCCTAATTACATCATTCACAGGTCACACAAATTGTGCCACCTCCTCCTCATTAATATCCTATAAATCCTAGTAATTCTTAAGTGTATTAAAGCTTTGGAAATGGTAATATCACATAAGAAGGATAGCAATTTAATACTTCAGATGATATGCATCAACTTAGAATTAGAGTTCAATAACTTCAATAAGAAAATAAACAGCTACTTTTAGCCAAGGTTAATGACTATAACAACTTCTAAGAATAGCTGAGATCAATAACAAACAGTGCATATTTAGGAAAATTCAATAACACAGAATTATTTTCTAAATCATAATTATATAGATAGCCACCTTATTGAATGACTGAACTTCAACTTTAAAATACATTTTCTAAATAAATGCAGAAATTAATTAAGCAAAATTAACTCATCCAATTTATTTATTTATCAGTTCATTCAAAAATTCTTTACAAAAATGATAAAATTAAAACTTTTTTTCTTTCTTTTTTTAAAAAAATTAATAAAAATTAATCTAAATAAACATTTTTTTATTAATCAATTATTTTCAAAGTATATCTATCTATCTATCCTTCCTTCTCTTATTTTATTTAGATAAATATATTTAATATATGTTAAGTCAATAATTAACTGGATCTTTTTATTTCCTTATATTATTAATTAACTTTATGGTATATTTTCTTCCAAAGTTATTTATTTTAGCAATATAAATCACAAAATTATAAAAATATCTGCAAAACTAATCAGTTTTAAAAGAATTAATAATTTTCAATAAATAATCTCATAAATTTAAAATATGTCTTCTTGTTTGTGTCTTTAACACGATAACTAATTCGTTGAGTATGTATGTTTGGACAATAAGTGTAGACAAAAGCTTCATTGCAATAAGTGTGTTAAATTTTTTGGTAAAGATCATGTTTTGATGGACATCAAAAGAGTTCAGTAATCTCTTTTAAGATTATCTCTAAATGATAAAATTGTGACTTCAAGGAACTTCGAACTTGCAGATTAAGATTTAGTTCATTTTGTTGAAGGAAATGACATAAAAGAGAAGTAAGAATAGTATATTAAAAGTATGCTTTAAGAGAGAGAGGAAATCAGAAAAAACTGCCTAAATGAGATTTAACAAAGTATCGAGTAGATAATGAAAGATAACTAAAGATCTTTGTATAACTTGTAAGAGAGTCTTAAGAAATGTTACAGCAGAAAAGTAGATGAAATAATCTCGCTGGAGTAGTTGAGGAACTAAACTTTTAAGCATAAAGCATTGCTTTAACTTTAAAATTAGTTCAAGTATAGTGAGTATGCAGAATTAAATGATAGTGTTATGAGGCTTCATTCTGGTAAATATGAGCTTATGTACGCAAAATAACTAAATAAGCAAATTTTCTTTGACATTCAGTAAAAAATAGCAACTTTTGTAAAAATACAAAATGAAATGATAAATAACTTTTGTGGGTAGTTTTAGGCTCTATTTTAGTTATAAATAGAAAATGCTTAGCATCAACAGAATAGCAGGACTACATAATTATCAAAAAGTGGTATGCTTATTAAATCTTAAAACAAATAAAACCTCGATTCATACAAAGTAAGTAACTCACCTTTAAATTTATTTAAGCCTAAAAGCGAAGTAAGTTTTTTTGGTCCATAAAATAAATTTCACTCCTCAGAACTAACCAACTTAAACAAAACTGCACTAATGCCTATAATTTAATAAAATAAATCTTCAAATATTAATTTATCAGGGATCAGGTCATCCTTACCTGAAGTCAAAAATAATGCCCCTTCGAATTCATTTGTATTGCCATCTACACTGTCTCCCGACAATAATAATCTCTCAAATATCTACCAAATTAAATCAATAGGTAATTTAGATACTAAATCAGAATACTACAAGGAGGTTGAAGCTCCTTTTAAAACAAAGAACTATTAGTCATAATCTTCTAAAACAATAAAAGTGAAATATTTAAAATTACATGATCTTTCCTTACTAATAATTCTTATTAAATAATTTTAAATATATTAATTTAGACAAATTCCACATATAACAGAGAAACAAGACAAAAGAATTCTTTTTAACTAGAAGATGATGGAAATTATCTTTTGGTTGATAAATATTCTTCTTAAATTTCTAAAAATAAAGAAAGAATTAAATAGCACAGCTCAATCAATCCTTTTGAATCAAAAATAAGCTAATAGCCATCTAGTTTTTCTTTATTGCCACAAACATCTAACTTGAATTTCTCTGTTTCTACACAACACTATTAAAGTCAATCTCTTTAAAATATAAAAACACCTATTTTTAATTAAAATTTTGAGAGATAAGTAAAATAATTTTTAATTTATCTTATTTAAATTTTTTCTTTTTAGGTAAAATCTGTAGTTTAAATTAATGAAGAAACTTTTGTTTTTGGAACTGTTGATGGTTTCATGAAAATAATGGAAATAAATAATAATGAAAAATGCATTTATGAAGTTGAAAGTTATGTGGCTCACTAAAAACTTTCTAAGCTAAAAAAATGCTGGGAAGAAAATGGAGAAATATTATTTTTTAGTAATGGCATAGACGAGCAAGGCCAGAATAGTATCAAGCTTTGGCAAATGAAAAAAGGTGTTTCTGATATTAGATAATTATTAGTTTTGCAAGATTTGCATGGAAAAAACGAAATTGACCAAGTGCTATTCTTAAAACTTGAAAAAGGATAAGAAGGTGAGTAAAAGAAAATATATTTTGCAACACTTTCCACAAGTAATAAGAAATAAGTTATTAAATTGTGTTTTGCCCAAATAGACTTTAGTTCAATAAAAAGAAAAACTCGCTCTGAAAAAGACATAACCGAAAATGAGCCATAAATTTAAGTTGTTTAGTAAGAAACAACAAGCTGCAAAGTAGAAGTTATTACTGAAATTGTTGAGGAGCTAGTAAACCAAATAAAGAAGCTTTCTTTCTTTGATGCTGAAGAAAATAAACTTTATGCCTACAGTAATAAGCAGCTAGTTTAGTATATCTTAGATGATGAAATGAAATTAAGTAAAAAACTGAACAAAATAATGGTTTAAAATAAAGTAGATAACATAAAAGCGATTATTCCTTTAAATAAATGTGTAAAAAATTAAGATGATTAGATTTTATTTTTAAATTAGTTACAAAGTAATTCTTTATAAAAACTATTTAATTATCTATTACTTTTCACACACGAAGGTATACTCAAAATTATTAATTCTAGCAATCTTTCTATTACAAAAAGCGAATTAGATTTAAGTTCTCTTGATAAAAATTATAGTTATTCATCCCAAGTTAAAAAGGTTATCCCAGGTAGAGATGGTAACTGTTTGCTCCTAATCAACAACAACGATGATTAATGCTAGCATGTTTTTGAATTAAATATTCTTAATAAAACTCTAAAACAATAACAAGGCTATTTTAAGGACAAAGTCACTAAATTTTAATTAATAAATTAAGATACATTTTTAACGATAGAAGATTATCAAGAATTATCAATATGGTAATAAGTATGAAAAAAAAATTAATTTTATTCAAAATATCTAAGTTTATTATATTTCTATGTTTATTTTATAAATAAATAGCTATTTTTTACATTATCATATATATTATAAACCAAACATTTATGATCAACTATTTCAAAATATTATTTTATTTTAAATTAATTTTTATTTTTTAAAATTTTAATAATTTAAATAAAACATTTTTAATGCATGTGCTAGTTAGTTAGTCTTTTATGTTTTCTATAAATACTAAATTACAAAAATTTAGAAAAGACAATTCAGTATATTTACTATTTGTAATAATATGAATTTTAATTTGAAAGATTGATAAAACCTAAGGATACATACATTTTTTCTATCAAAGATCTATTAGATTAGATTTTAGTTTCAATTATTAGGAAAATTAACAATATTTTAAATTGAAGTTATTATTTAAAGGTTTTTTTGATAAAGATAAAAACACATAAATAAATATAAAAAAAAATAATTAAAAATAAATAAAAATGTTTAATAAACAATTTGAAGAAAATGAAAAAATTTGGTTAGTATCTGACTAACATAAATGGATATTTTAGTAAGAATAAAATAAAATATGTAATATTGATGGATAAGAGAAGGTATTTAGTAGAATTCTTTAGTTACATTTGATAAACCATGATCAAGTTAATGTAGAATTAATAGAAACAATCAAAAGCAATGCTAAATTCTTTAGAAATCTTTAATCTCTTGTTATATGCTTTGATGGTATGAGCAACTTGTAGGAAGATGAGTAAATTATTAGCAATCTTTTTTCTGTGCTTTAGATATTTAAAAACCTTGAGGAAATAATTATTAGCTTGAATAAAGTCTAGTTAAATTCTTCCATCATTAATGCATTAGGATAACTTATTGCAAAGTAGGCCTATGCAAAATACTTAACCCTTCACTATTGTGAAAGCAATATAACGTCTTAACTACAGAAAGATTTATTAAATTACTTAGTTCCTTTACAGAATTAATTGGAGTCTATTTCATTAGATATTTCAAGCAATTAAGTTAACTAAGAAGGAGCAAAATTAATTGGTTAATTTGTCAAGTAGTGCTCTAAGTTAAGACTGTTTTAACTAATAGCAGCTAGAAATTCATTAAATGCTAAAAGCGCTAATTTACTAACAAAAGCACTTTATTATTGCACAAACCTCACTCACATTGAAATAGATATCTCATTTAATCTGCTAATTGATAATCTAGAAGTAGTATCAATAGGATAGATATTTAGCAGTTCCTAAAATTTGGAATGTTTTAAAATAAATCTCAACCACATTCATTTGCAAGACGATATTCTAAAAAAGCTCTAGTAATATATTACCTCTTATTTGAAGAAAATTCATACTATTTCGTTGTAAATGAATGATAATAGCTTCTCTCCAGATAGAATTTATCAGTTTGCTTATGCATTATCTGAGTGTAAAACTCTTAAGAACATAGATTTGATATTTAAAAATAACACATAATACTATACTTTTATTGTACTTTACTCTATTTTTAAAAATAATACAATCGATCCAAATAATCTAACAGCTTTTAGTGATTAAATCACTTTATCAAAATTAGTGTAGAATGAAACTTTAAATCTAAATTTTACTCATAGTGAATTTGGAGAAAATGGATCTGCCCTATTAAAAGTTGCATTACCACCGATTTAAAAGTTAAAATCATTCACTTTAAATTTATGCGAAACTCATATTGGAAACAAGGCAATGGTGGACATATGTTTATCATTAAAGATGGACTTCTTATATTTGTAAGTTTTAAAATTTGACTTTAGTCACAACTACATAGGCTATTAAGGTATTAATTAATTATGCTAGGTATTGTTGAATTGTGTAAATACAAAGAGCCTTTCGCTATCTTTTGAAAAAGTTGGTCTTTTTGATAATGAGATATCTCCTTTAATATATCTTTTACCTAAGCTCGTTAAATTATAGCATTTGTATTTAAATTTAAAGGATAATCCTAAGCTATCCTTAAGCATGCTTTTAAAGATCATATTACAGATTAAGAATCATAAGCAAATGAGGTATGTAGATTTGCAGTACTACTGTGCACTAAGATAAATAAATTTATTTGATCTTTAACAAAAAAAATAGATAAGTAAAGTATTAATGAAACTACTTAGATTGGTAACTTTCACCAATAAGTGATATGTAAATACATTTTAAAAGATAAAAATAATGATTTCTATTAAAAATTTTAATTAAAAAATAACTTTGCAAAATTTTAAAATAAAATTTATCACAAATATTTTAAAAATAAATTTCTATTAAAATTAAATTAATTATCAAAATCATTTGTACAAAAAAAATTATAATAAGACCCAGCAAACTATATCAAAATAATTTATTAACTAATTACTACGATTAATTTAAAAATATTAATAATTGTGTAAATATTTTAGCAAATTGTTTGTTTTTGTTTAGTTTAATGAAGAGTTTAGAAATTAAGAAAGTTTAGTTTATTATTTGAATTATATTAGATTTGTATACAAATTAATAAATAAAAATATTAAATAATTGTGTAAATAATTTAGCAAATTATTTGTTTTTATTTAGTTTAATGAAGAGTTTAGAAATAAAGAAAATTTAGTAAATTATTTTGAATTAATTATTTGAATTATATTAGATTTGTATACAAGTTACTAAATAAAAATATTAAATTAATTAAATTTGATTTGGTTTAAACACTATTTATTTTATATTTTAATTAGTTGATTTTATATTTTTTGGTGGAAATTAATTTATTTTAATTTTAATTAATGCAAGGTTTTTTATTTTTCATTTATTTTATTCTCTTATTTTAATATAATTTTATATCATTTAATTTTATTTATAAATGTATGCATAATATTATTTAGTTCTTAATTTTTTGTGCAAGAAAAGGAAACTGAGCAGATTGCTTTCTTTTTTTCAATTGTTAAAGAAATTTTAGAAAACGACTGTATTTGAATTAGCCACATTGTTGCTATTACTGGTTGTAGTATTGTGGTGATGGTTGCTGAAATATTATCTTTGAGAATTTTATTACAGTATTTATTATTCATTATAAATAGTTTCAATCATAAAGTTAACAAATTCAGTTGGAATCAAACCAAGATCTTCAATATTTTCAGGGTTGAACATTGAGTTTGTTACTATTTTAACTAATCTGATAGGAAGTTGCCAAAGCAAAGTTTTATTTTAAATATTTTTAATTTTTTTTTCAATCATAAAGAGTAACATTTATGAAGGTACTTTAAGCTCAATTGGCTAGGTTCCTTAAAGAGCTTTATTAATTAGACATTAGACATAGTTACTTGGCTTTATTTCAGCAAACCTCTTTTCAATCAAAACACAGGCTGCTTAAAGTGGTACAGTAATATCTACAGATTGTACTTATTGCAATTACTACTCTTATAAATTTATGTTGCATTAGTCATTTTAAATATTATTATTGCTATTAGAATGGTAATTCTAAAAATTATTGTAACTGTAAGCTGGTTGATTTTATTGCTAATAGTTATTAGGATTGTTGAAATTATTGCTGCTATTATCGTTTTATATTTCAGGAATTATTTCTTAGTCTTTAGAGGCACATTCTTGGAAGGGAGCACATACCGAACTAGTTAGATTTTATGAAGCCTAAATGCAATTTCCGTTGTTGTTATTTTTAATTTAGTTTTTGCAAAAAGCATTATTTTCTTTGCGTTGCTCAATTTTGATTTTAGCAACTTCAAGGAATTAGGGCTTTTAGAATTTTTTGCGAAGGGAAACCAAGTACTTACGTTAATCAATTGTTTAAACAATATGGCAAATTAATTTAGCACATGGACGGATATCTTATTCCAAATAACCAGTGATTTCGATCATGCTTTCTTTCCATGCAACATCTCTCTTTCTTATTTTATTGACTAAATATATGGCAGCAGAGGCAAGAAGACTTGGAGCATTACTGATCATTTTATACTCAAGCAGTGCAATTTCTATTAAATAGCGAGCAAGGTAGTAATTTTTCTCTCCCAATTCATCAAACTAAATAAAATAATCTAAGAAACGGAACGAAGTAACACATAAAATATTAAAGTTAAGAACTTTTAATATTGATCCTTCCATGTCAAAAATTTCTTCCTTCTTATAAGCATTATCACAAACATAGACTAAGTCACTAATATGAGGAACAGAGTATACTTCTTCGTACTTAGCTGCAATAAATAAAGAAGTTATACCAAGCAATTAGAGTCTACTACTTTCTAATGGTACTTATTCCAAATATCTATCAATAAGATTAATGGTAATAAATAAGGTTTCAGTACGAAGTTTGAATTTGAAATGAACATCAACTAACCAATCTAATAAAATTGATCTCATTCTTTCATTTATCTCTTTCTAAACAACACCCATGTATCCTCCTTTAGCACTGAAATTGTTCTATTCATATTTAAAATAAATTAATTTTATGTAAAATAATTTTTTTAATAAAATTAAGCATTTTATTTTTATTAAAAATCAACAATTTTCTTAATTTTTTATTTAAAAAAATCATCCTTAAATTTATCTTCAAAAAATTTCAATAAATTAGAATTATTGTTAACTTTTTTGTTTGTTTTAAAAAATGCATATTGCAGAGAATAGATTTAAAAATTTGATTTATTATTATCAAATAAATATTTATTTGCATTAGAATGGAATTTAAATATTTAGTCAAGCTTTAATTAAGACTTCGAAATTTTGTATCTATTTTTGTTTGTGTGTGGGTGGGGATTATTTTTAAAAATTGCAAGTTAATAAATACTTCAATATTATTTTTTATGTATTGTTTGATTAATTAATTGCTTGAAAAGTAGTCGTTAATAAAGTTTTTAATTTATTCATTCATCAATTCAATTCGTCATTTAGTTTGATTCTTTAATTTTATGGGGATTGATTTCTTTGCAAAATTTAACAGCTCTTTAAGAATATTTCCTTAAACTAAAAAATTAATCTAAAGAAACTTAAGCCTTGTTTTTTATTTTATTTTATGTATTTGTTTATAGAATTTTATTATCAGTTAAATACTGTCTTTTATGAATTTTATTCTAAAATCTCAAAATGAACAAATATCATACCTCTGTTGCTCTTAAGTGAGAAATGATTTCGCGGATATATTCTAAATGAGCTAACTTATTAGAAGAGTTGAGCTATTAGCTATCTGTTCCAGATACGCATTTTTCATTTTCTTCTTCATTTTAAATTGGCTGGACTAGAGGTAAATCTGTGATTGTTGATAAGGGCTAGTTTAACGAAGTGCTAACTGCTTAAGAAGCGAAAATATTTAAATGAGGATTTGATTTGTTATTGAAGTTGTTGTATTGAAGATTGTTGGTACTGTGAGCCAAAAAGTTGGTCTAGCATTGCATGTTTTAAATTTAATTAGATTGTTACTAAAGATGAAATTAAGCTGCATAAGAATTAGTGTTTTCTTTTTCACAAGAAAATTATTCTGGGATTCTATTCATCTAGTGATAATTGCTAGTTATTTGTGCAAAATTACCACTTTTATTCACTTTTACATTGTTATTATAGACTGGTTTATTAGAAAAAGCTCTTGCTTAGTCGTTAAATTAAAATTGTTATTATTCTTGAGTTGTATTAGCTTATATACCATCTTTTTTGCCTTTATTTCCTACAAATAGAATGCTAGAGGTAGTTCTGTTGTGAGCACGAATTTATTACAAGCTCTTTTGCATATTTATTTAATTTTTTTCATCCTAAAAGTTGCTGCTCTATTTAATAAAATAATAATTTGCTTGTCTTGCTTATTATTTGCTAACTCTACTTTGCAATTATGCAAAAATATTTCTTCAGTTAGCATAAAAAAGTTCTTTCATTTGTATAAAATAAATTATTTACAATTGCCTTTTTGATGGGTAAGTTGTTGTGCATTTGATTTTGTAGCACATTTGTAATATCCTTGCCTACTCTGCTTTGTATGTCCATTCTTTCCTGCTAATTAGGTACCAAGTTGTTATTTTATTTACAAAGACTAACAAGCAAACCACTCATGCCAAATAAATCATTATTTTCTTTAGAACTGTCAATGTCAAATTAATTATCTTGATTACCCATATCCTAGAAATGTAAAAGATAATTATAAATTAATAATAGAACTACGAATGTTATTTATTTACTGTGTAGAAGCGAAAGTTGTCTACCATTTTATTTATTGTTTCTCACTATCTAATTTTTTATCAAACAATTTCTTTGCTTTAATATTTTAATTTATTTGTTATAGTCAAATTAGAAACCAATCTGATATTAAAATGCTACTTATTTGTTTATTGAAATAATTTGCAATTAGCGTGTTTTTCTTTTTCTTGTTTTAATAATTTTTTTTTCTTTTAACTAATTTATCAAATTTTTAACAATTTTTCTAACAAATTAGAATGAATCCAATAAGCCTTAATTTATTCATATATAATTTCTTATATTAAGAAAAAAGATCATATTATGAATAGTTAATTTCTTTAGATTTGTTTGCATTATGTCAAATTTTTGTTATCAATAATTAATTAATATACTAAATAAGTATTGATTTTTATATATCTATCTAAATCAATCAATCAACGGATTATTTAATTGTTTGATAATTCAACTATTTATATGCAATAATCTATATATATTAAATCTTCAATAAATTAATTTATCAATCAAATGCGCTTTTTGTCAAAATTAACGAACATATCTCTTTTTATTTAAATTATGATGTTCTACTTTTTTCAAAAAACAAATTTCAAAGTATATTGTAGTATTAAAATAACAATGACCAATATTTTGAATTATAGTAAAAATTTTTTGAACACCTAAAACGATTAATGCTGTTAGCTGAATTAGTTTGCTCTAATATATTTAAAGAGTATTTTATAAAAATAAATTCATTATGAACAAAATTAAGAAAATTTAATGATTGATTTTTGAATTTTTTAGTTAGAAGAAATATAAGATTTAAATAATTGACCAAAAAATTAAAGTCTAAATAATCAGTGACTTATATTTAGCACCAATATTAATGAATTTATAAATATATTCTAAATTATAACTCTTATTTTATCTTTATTATTTTGAATTATAAAATATTTAATTACTTTTTTTTATATAATTTGCAAAAAAAAAACAAACAAATTTTAAAAAAGAAAAGTTTAAAATAATTTAAAAATTATGATAATTTAGAAAGAATGCTTTAATATTTTATCATTATAAATAGTGATCAATAATATATAACAAACCTAAAGAAATAAATAATAAAAAAATAATTTTTTTAGAATTACAAAATATTTTTATTAAAATAAAATTAAAACCTTTTTTTAATTTAAATATTTATTTTTATTAATTTTCTCTTTAAAAAAATTAAAAAACTTCAAAATAAAAATGTTCTATTTTATTTTTATGATTTTAAATTATTAAATTTAATAAAAAAATTAAAATTTTTTTTTTCTAAAATAATATTTAGTAATTGCATTTATTTTATTTAAAAAGCTGAAAGTTTTACAACAACATATTTAAATTTAATCAAGAAAAAATACTTAAAAATTGATAATGAAATAATTTGATTTATTTCTTATTCATTTGTTTAGTTATTTGAATTTTTAAAATCCATTTACATTTTATATTCGTTTTTTTAGAATAAACTTGCATAAACTTTTTTATTTAATCTTTTAAAATTCTGTAAATAAGCTATGTATTTATTTATATATTTATCTTACATTTTACTTTAGAATTTATAAATTGAGTTATGTCTATTACTCTGTATCAAAATAATAATTAGTCGTAAATATAAATCTTTTTATTAATATTTTTACTTTTATTATTTGATATACGGAATAACAAACTTAATTATTGCTTAATGTGAATTTTTTAGAATTTATGACTTTATTTTTGTGTTTTTAAAAAAACTCAAAACAATTTATTACAAACAAATATATATTCATTCAATTTATTTTATTAACTACTTTTATAATTTTTGAAATATATTAATTTTTTCATAAACGATCACAAGCAGCGATACCAGCTAAGTTGACATCAGAGATATCAAAACCTTAGTTAGAAGCAGCTTGTAAAGCAGAATTAATTTATTCTTGAGAAACGTTGTAGTCTCTGGCAAGGATCCAAACGTCGCTGAAACCAAGGAAACCAAGACCATTGCAACCAACAACAGTGGCGATAGAGTAGTCGTTATCAACATAAATAACTTCGTAGTTACCACCAAAAGGTTATAATTTAGAGAAAGAGACCTTGAGTTATCCAGGACCAACAATCTTAGCGGTTCCAATAGCCTTAGAAAGCTTTCCAGTCTTCTTGATAGCTTCATTATCAACCTTAACAGTTCCATCAGTGTTCAAAGAGTAGTTGGCAATGGTGCATTAGTCAGAAGGTTCAGAGAATAAGAAAGATTTGCTGACAGCAACATTGTACCATTTACCTAAGTATCTGTTCCAGTCAACATTAACATCAGTGTAGTTTCCAGTTTTGCAAGCTCCCTTGTTGCCATAAACAGCTAAAGTGCAGGCTAAATAAGCTAAAAGCAAGATTAAAATCTTTGACATTTTTTATAATTTTTATTTTTCTGTATTTTTATGTTTTGTGATTTAAATTTTTATAAATAATTACTTTGTTGAGTTGAGGGAATTTAAATAATAAATTGCACATAAAATTTTGTCTAATAGAAAGAATCTCTTTGTATAATCTTACTTAATTTAAGTTGTGACCGTAACTTGTTAATTTAATAATCAAATACCAAGTAATTTGGCTGCTCTACTGGTGAATGTTAATTACATCAATTAAATTTAATATATGCTTTAATAATAAATAGCTAATTTTTCGAGATTTTTCTGTTTTACTTATAAAGTTTTAAATATAAACCACAAAATATGCCAATATAATTAATATTCCATGATACTTAATTCAATATTCTTCCATATTACTCTCAAAAACTGGATATTATTAAATTCAGTTCTAGCTTTAGTTTAATATTTTTGCAAAAAAGCACTTTTTCAATCATATTTTATTTTATGCACTTCTTTCTAAGCAACTTATTGCTTACAAACTCAAGCTTCAATTTTTACAACAAATCAAAATAGCTAAAATATAAAATACTAACTAAGTAAATAAATTTAAAAATGGAGCAAATTTACATATAAAAACTATACTAGCCTACGCATGAATTAGATGGAGAAAAATAATTCTTTTATCCTTTTTCTCTACATCAATTTATCAAATATTTTTAATTTATCTTTAAAGATTTTAAGGCAGGCAGTATTTGTAATTAAGTGATTAATTACGACTATAAAAAAACTCAGTAACCAATTAAAAAAATTGAATAACTAGTTTCTTTTGATGCGTAGAACTATACCTTTTAAGTTATTTTAACAATGAAAAAGTATGAAACTAAATTAATCAATATTGATCTTTAAAATATTTTAAGGTATTTACTGTTTATAATGTTAGTTATTCTTTAAAATACAAGTTCATTTAATATTTTTTCTGAATAAATAAAAAGCTTCTATCTTATTAAAAGATCAATTTTAAAGATATTAGTTGAAAGGAATAAAATTTATATCCTTAATAATTATAGAAATAAATAGCAATTTTTATTCATATGTAAGAAATGATTGAAAATATATTAAAATACTATTATATCAATTTAAAATCAAAATAAAAGTCTTTGTAATTTTCATATTAAAAAATATTATTAAAAGCTGATTCCAAATCAAAATATTAATAAATAAATGTATCCGATTAATAAAAGAAATTTTCTTTTTTAGTTAGTATTTATTTGAAATTTACAAATAAATTTTAAAAAGAATAAAAATATTAGCTTTTTTTAAATAAAAACTAACTAAAGAACAAATATTCTATTACTTATCCACAAAAAATAACTTACCTCTAAAAACTTTAAAATTGACTTTGAAATTTAATTGTATTTTAATATTTATTTGTTATAAAAATATAAGTAAATTTTACTCTAAAAAAATTTCAAATTTTATCTACTCTTTAATATATTATTCATTCATATAGATCATAAAATACTAAGGTTTATTAGAAGTTAGTTTTATTCACCATATATTTTTATATATAAAAGATATTTTAATTTAATTAAATTTAAAGCAAACAAAAAATAACATTTTATTGCATTATTGATTCAAACCATATTTAATATTTTATGGTTTGTGAGTGATAAAATTCATAATTATATTGTAAAATATAATTCTAAATTTTATTAGAAAACTAAAATAATTTTTGAAAAATATTTTCAAGCTGATTGATAAAAAATTATACCAATCTTCGAAATATTATTTATTCTACTCTTAACATAATTTAAATTTTAACACAGTTTATTAGAATAAAATAATTGTTTAACCAATTTAGATTAAAAGTTTTTTTTATTTTATTAAGTTATAGATAACAGTTTATTTTAAATTTAATTTAATAATTTTTTTTGAATTATAAAATATCAAAACAAAAAATTTTTTTATTTTAAAAATTGATTTATTTTATAAAAAATTTAATTTTTGTTGAATAAAATAAATTTATATTTATCTTTTAACAATTATAGCTTTTATTTAATTGGCTATATGAGTGAGGAGAGCTATTAATTTAGCTTTCTGGTACTCGTGCAAAATTTTTTTTTCTATGATGCTAAGTAGAAGAATGGACATATTAATGTTAATAAAACCTTTTAGATTATTTAAAAACAATATGAATGTCTTTATTTTCTTGATTTTAAATTTTTGATATGAATTAATGAATTTTGAGGCTGCTAGTAAATTAGTATAAACGGAAAAGAAAAAATAACTCAAATCAATTAACTAACTACTAATTGATTATTTTGATTCATTAATTTAAAAATTATTCTTAAGTTGTTTTTTTAAATATATTAAAAGATAGAAAACTTAAAGAATTAGACTTAGCATTTATTATTACCAGAAATAGATTAAAAATAAAATAAATTTATTTTAGTTATTAAAGTAAAAAAAAGGATATTTTTGAGTTGAGAAATGATAAATGATATTAAGGATGTGCAGACTTCATATAACTTGAATCCTTAAAGATTTGGAGCTTTGAAATGTAGATCTCATCCTGACTAATTTGTAAATTGGGTAAGTTTAGAGAACGATAAGGAGGCAAAACTATTTTGTAATTCCTGCTTTGGTAAAGAAAAAGACTTTGATGTGAGCAATTAAGACAGCTTTAAGAAATAAAATCAGCTAATTGAATTTAAGACATTTTTAAAAAATCTTTATACTTATTGCACACTTGAAGATAATGATCCTGATAGATTTAGTTCTGAATATACTTAGTGCTTAGATGGCGCTAAACAGCAAGAGAAGCTCAAACTATACATGTAATCAGTTAGTTAAATTAAGAATGATCTTAAAAAGGAATTTACTAGGGATTTTATTTCGAAGATAGAAGAGTTTTAAAAAGAAATTGTTTTGCAAGTTGAAAAAGTTAAGTAGACTTTTCTCACTTTCTTTGAAGAGTAAATAGACTTACTTTTTTCTAGAGAAACTTTAGCTATTAAATAATTTAAAGAGCGTGGATGTAAAATGATATTATCAGCAGCAAAATCTGCAGGAGCTAGCACGTCTATTTAAGAAGAGATAGTTTCATTTGAAAATTTGTAGTAATCCATAAATAGAATGCATGCTGGTAAGGTGGAATTATCTTATGCTAAAGAACATAGTCTAAAGGTATTTAAGTCTTTATTATAGGAATTTGAAAAGAAAATAACTAATGAATCTCTTGAAGTGATACAGAAGAACTTTAACAAATAAGTTCCTGAAATATAATCTTAGTATTTATTTACTCCTTGGAAGAAAGGAAATTAAAATGGTAACAAAACTATCAATTTCAATTATTTGTACACAAATTCACCTTAAAATGATTTAATAAAATCAAAGAGGTAATCACTTACCTCTACTTAAGAAAATAAAATTGCCAATCTAAATTAATTGCAAACAAATCAACCCTAAACAGATTTGATTAAAAAGAAGAGGGAGTCGCTAACATCTACTTCAGAAAATGCTAAAATGGATTCAAAGCGAAATATAGCCATATAAAATCTACACAGTTAGAGCAACTCTATTGATACAAGCATAAAAAAATCTGGTTCAAATACTTTTATTATTAAACCAATACATTAAGCAAGTATTAGTTCAAGAAAAGAATCTTCAGTTTAATAAAAAACAAATAAGCAATCTGATGAAAATTACACTTTACAAATTAACTTAAAAACAGAGACAGTGGGTTTAAATGATATTATCTCGCCTAAAAATGGCTATTTAATTAATAATTAGACACCTTTTAAATTTGATACAAAATAGATAAATCAAATTTTATAGTAGCATTCTACTCCACAATCTGCTCAATTTGCTGCTTTCAGCTCTCAGAAGAATTAAAATGGGCAGCAAGAAAATATTTTCAGAGACAATAATCTTTTGCAATCTTAAAGCACAAACTTAAATAAAGATGGCAATTTCCTATAAGTCAATTTTAATAATATAAATAGCATTAATAACAATAATAAATAAGCTACTAGCTCGTCGTTATTTTAATCTTTTTCATCTACCTTAAAAACAAAATCATCGACAGTTATCCAGCCAATAGAAAATACTTAAAACTAATTACTTGTCTAAGAAAATTAAAAAAAAAAAACATAAATATAAAAAAATAACTCTTCTATAGCTTTTCCTTCAGAAAGCATTTCAGGTTTTAATTTTTAAGAATAATAAGAGATAATAGCCGGTGATAGAGAAAATAAATATTATGTATTAAAAAGCTAAAATAAAAATGATTAAATAAATATTTAGAGAAACAAAACCCCTAAAACTGGAATTTATTTATCCCCTGTCCCTAAAGAGTAATCAACATAATAATTGACAACTTATTTAAATGTGAGTGAAAGAAATAATAGCATGAATAATAATTCTCACTCTCAAATTAGAGATAACACTGAATTAGAATCTGAATATTTTCTATAAAATAAAATGGCTAACAACCAGTAAACTTTATAAAATCAAATTAAAAATGGTATTGCCCCAGTTTATACTCCATAAACGCCTACAGTAAATAAACCAAGTAGCTCTAGCGGCTCTAGAATGAAAAGCAACATAATTAAAAACGTTTTAATCACTAATTCAACTAAATAAATTAACTAAGAAGTACTCAAGCACTCCAAAGAAATAATTCAAGAAAAAGCTTTTAAGTACAACATTCTCCAAATAGTTAGAATCCCTTATCAAGCTAACGTAGGCATAAACTTCCATGACATGAGTAACTCATAATCAAATCTAAATGCTCCTCGTGCAAGAAAAATAAGCCCAGATCAATAAGCAGAAAATGGAAAGAGAAGCAATTCTAACTCACCACCAAAAGATTAAAAAGAAAGTAAATATATTAAATCATTTTTTATCCAAATAAAAATTATTTAAAAAAACAAATTAATACATTCAAATGACATAATTGTTTTAATGAAAAAAAATTTCTTAAAATCTTGAGTATCCATCGATCCTTAGCTACTCCATTTAATTTAATAAAAATAAGACATTTTAAAATGAATATTTATTTGTTAATAAACATTTAAATATTTATAAAATTAAAGTAACTTTGAAAACTAAAAAGTATTTAAATAAAATATTTCATAAATAAATACAAAATTAAATTTACTTTTTATTGTAAATTTTCAGATGCGTTTTGATTAGCTGCATTGATGTGTTACTCGCATAAAATATTAAGAAAAAATTTTTTTTAAATAAATATTCTAGATTTATTTCAAATATTTCATTTTTATTTCAATTTTTAGCTTTATATAAATAATCAATTAAATTCATAAATTATTTTAAAGATAATATGGCTTCATCGTAAGGTATTGGAAGCTATAATAAATTAGATGACTCAAGTAATTTTTTGATTGCTTAACCAGATGGATTTGTTTGCTTATATAATGTACAGGGAAGAAATATAAATTAGATATTTAAAGAAAGAACTCACACGAAATTAAATAGCTTAGCTATTGGAAGGACAGGTGGAATGTTTTTTACTGTTGGTGAATAACAGAAAAATTCTTCAATAAAATTGTGGATTTTTCATAGCCATTAGAGATTTAGTGAGCTGGTTGAACTTAAAATGGCAGATTCAAATATTAAAAAAATTTATTTTATCAAAGAAGAATATGCTTCACGTTTAAACAAACTATGTTTTGCTATTTGGACATAATAAATTGTAGAAACAGCAAAAAGCGAAAATAATAAATATACTAATAATAATTAATCATAGTAATAATTTTACACTATCAATAAACTTGGAATTTGGAAACTAGAATTTGCAGGTAAAAAATTTGAAGGTGCAAAGATGTTTAATATATCTAGCGTTGAATTACCAATAAATACTTTGGTGGTTTCAATAAAAGAAGATGAAATGATAGCATATACTAAGGATACTATTTATTTATATTCTCTAACAAACGACTATTCTTCTATTCTCAAATAAGGAAATTAAAAATTTATAAACATTATCAAAAAGGATACCTTATGTTGTGTAAGATCTTATTAGTAGTCAAGACTGACCTAAAAAAATTTTTTAGCTATTTCAGAATCTGGTGATGTATATTGTTTAAATGAGAAGCTTAATATTCTGCAAGAAAAAAGTGTTAGAGATTTAGCACAGAAGCACATTACGCTTGAAGATGCTATTGTTTATGATTAAGATTGTGATTTTCCAGAAAATAAACGCTTTTTATATTTTTTTAAAAAGACAAATACTACTTTGTATGTCTTTGATCTTGAAAATCTTAGGGTCATTGAAGAATTGTAATCTTTTGATGAAATTAAAAATATATTTTTTTATGGTGCTGGATTTTATCTTGGATTCGAATAACAATTCGTCAGAATATGGAAACCTCTACCTTAAAAGCAAGAAATATTAGCTTCAATACCAATATATGAAGAAGTATGAGCCAAAAAATAGTTAGTATTATTTGTTTTATTTAATTATTTCTACCATATTATCTGATAAATGTCAAATAAAATTTTCAATTAAATATTATTTAATTTAGAATTATTAAAGAAAAAAAACTAATATTTATTTTCTTTCATCAATTTATAATTCAATAAGATATAAATACATTATATTTTATATTGTTTATTGATTAAATTAAATTATTAATTTTTATACAATCAAAGTTTATTGTTATTATTTTTATTTATTAAAATTTTCAAAAAAATTCTATTAGTAAATTTCTTAATATAAAACCTGCACCTATAATAAATTTTCTGCATATTTAGTTTGATAAATTAATAATTTAATATTCATTTAACAATTAATTTAAAAAAATAACTAACAGACTAAACATATTTAATAATACTATTAAAAAAGAAAATAAATTGTTTAAAAATCTAGATAATTAATTTTTTTAATTTTCAAATAATTCCGTTAAAAAAAATAAGAGCAAAATGTGATTGAAAGTGTATATTTTGTTTTGATATGTTAAATTTCATCTAAATAAAAAAGATAATATTATTAACTTTACTTTGTATTTTTTTAATAAAGAGTTATAATACATAAAAAGAAGTAAAATCTCCACTGTATTTAAAAACAAAAACTTTGAATTTTAACTGATATATAAATAAAAATAAGTATTTTTTTAGATATTTTGGTGAGTGGTTTCTCAATTTGTAAAAACACTTGATTCAAATTTTTAAGATTCTTCTTGGCTGTTAAAATTCTTCATATAAAATTAATTTTGTTTTAAAAAATATAATCAAATAAATGTATTACGTTTTTATAAGACTAAAACATTTCTTTGTAATCACAGTAATCAATAAAATTTGACATGTTTGATGATTTTCTTTTAGCATGGTCTATTGTCTTCTAAGAATGAAAAAATAAATCTAAATTTGTTGGTATTTTTTAATTTTCTTCTAAAAATTATTTCTTTTTAGCTTCTACAAAATCTATTAATTATTGCTCTTTTTCACAAAACATTTTATTATCACATACAACTTATTAATGCTATTATTCTAATGATCTTGTTTTTTTGGAATTTTCTTCAGAAGAATTTCGTTTCATTTACACATCTCTCAATTCTATTTCGTTTCCAAATAAATTGTTGTTCTAATTTACCTTTGTAAAGCTAATCGAGCTTCTTTGTGGTGAATAATTTGAATTCTTTCTCACTTTAGATAGCTTTTTGTTTAGGTTATGTTCAGTAATATAAAAATACAATTTTAAATAATAATTTACAGAGCTTCTTTAAATTTACTGCTACTATTACTTATTTACATGGTTAGAAATGCTTGAATTCGATAGTTGTGTTTGATTTAGAAACGAAAATTGACTATTTTTGCATTCCTTTTAAATGTTAACTTGCGTGCCGTCGATTGAATAGCTTTGGATAAGAGGTAGAAAATTTTAAGACTTTTTAGGCAATCCTGGGAATTCTAAATCATGAAGAGGGAGTAAATTGATTGACATTTGGTTTTCAATGCTTACTCTTTAGCTTAAAATATTTTTTATATTAATATGATAATTATTAATAAGTACATTTAAGACTATAGCTCAATCAAAATAATAAATTTACTTGTAAGAAACTGAATTTATTTTGCCAATAGTTTTATCCGAATAAGATGAAGTATTTGTTTGAAAGTTTTTGTTAAGCAAGTCACAGCATTAATTTTGAAAGTTTTTTATTTATTTACAATTATAAATGTCCTCCTCTTTTATATAAGATTCTTCAATTTGAGAAGTAGAATTGTTATGAATTTTTTCCTTATTCTCAGGAGGTAGCTATGATTCTTATCTAATCATTGATCCTATAACTTAATTAAATTTAATTTTATTCATTTAGATAATTTGACATACAATTTTTAATATTTAATATACTTGGAAATGTGTTTTCATAGTCTGTTTATGTTCTGTTTGCAGTTAATTGCTTTAATTAAAAGCTTGATGGGATGTTTTTCGATACAGAGTTCACTAGTCTGCTCTACTTCGATGGCATTATCGTTTGAAAACTAATTTATTAAGTTGGAAATGTATCAAACTATTTTGTTGGATTAATGGTATTAATTATTTCGATATTAGGATGCTAATTCGCCATAGCTAAGGAGGCTTATTATTAATAATTTTTAAGAGATTAAAGGAAGTTGAATTCACTAGCTACTATAAGCTAGTACTCTTCTATAACTTTTGTGTAGTATTTGTTATAGTTATCTTAGTTTTTGAACTTTGTTTCAAAAAATTTTTATAAATAATTAGCTATGAAACTCTAAATAATTTATTATTTATCTCTAAATGAAATATTAATAAAACCTATAAATAAGCAGCTTGCATATCTTCCAATCAGTATCTCATAAACTACAATAATTAAATGGAGTATTAGTATTTAAATAAACTAATCAATCTAATTTTAATCATAAACATATTTAATTCCAAGTTAAAAAAAGGAAACTGAGATCATCATTATATTTAAAATTTAAAACAATGTAGAACATTTTTAAGCAAATTCGTAAGAAAGTAGAGGCTTAAACTATTAATTTGAATTTTTCTCTTTTTTATTTTGATGGTTAACATAGAGGCTCTTGTAAAACAAAGTAGATTTACTGTAAACAAGATATTCACAGCTTGAAAAAAAAATAGAAATGGGAGAAATAATTATTTAATTAGCAACAAAGCATATAAAAAAGATGTTAGAGTCTAGCTAATTAATAGCATCTTAGCCATATTACTGATATATTATATAATTAATAAGCAGTAAAAAAGAAAGTTAAATGATCAAGTATGAAGTGAGTTAGTGCAGCTCTACAAACCATTCAACATCTTTGTTTTTAATAACCCTTGAAAGAAAGTGATACTTCTACATTAAAAAATCTAAATACTCTTTGTAAAAAACTCTAACAGAATAAAATTTTTTAAAGAAGTTATTTTATTGCAAAAATATCCCAAGAGCATCTCCTGTGTCACTATTATTCCATGTTTTTCCTAAACTTTAAATTATTTTTTCTCTTAATTAATCAATATATTTAAATAGTTCTTAATTTGCTTTTCTTATTTGTATGTTTGTTTCTAGATTTTAATAAGACTAATCTTGATATTTATCATTTTAATTTTTAGTAATCTGCAAATAAAGGTCATTAATTTAAAGTTGAGTCACTCTTTAAGTAAATAGCGAGAGTGTTTTACCCTTAAACAAACCTAAGATAACATATGCAAAGCAATAGAAAATTAATAATACAAAAATATAGCCATTTAAACTGAAATTTATTTCTACTTCTACTTTCATTTTATTTGCTTGTATTTAGATTTTTTTTAATTTACACTTAATTAGATTTGAATACAATTTTGTTTTTTTAAGCAATTAAATTTTAAGCTTGAAATGTCTTTGGTTTTATTAACATTATTAATCTTCTTAAATTTTGTTTAATGAAAATAATAATATTTTTTTAAAACAAATACACTCAATTTAAGTTGATGATTGATTCATAAATAAACTAATTTTAAAAAAATGAATTGGAAGAAATAAAATGTGTATTCAATAGATAACTTTAAAAGATTAATAAATAAATAAATATTTTTATTTTCTCTAGAAAATTTCTAACAATATTAAATAAAATATAAATTTTTAAAAATATATATTTTCATCTCTTATTTATTAGTTTTATCATAAAAAATAAACTTTTTTCTAATTAATCTTTAAACATATTTCTAATAATTTACTTCCTTCCAGTCTCTATTAAATTTTATTTTATGCTGATTGTTATAAAATTAAGTTTGAAATTTTTACTTTAGTAAATTTAACACTCAAACAATAATATAGCTAAATAATATTCATTTTTATTGTCTTTTTAAAACATTTAATTAATTAATAAATATAATTTAATTTATTTAAATTAAAAATTATTAATTTTTTCTCTCATAAAAATAATAAATAATTTAGAGTATTATTTTCATAAAATTTCTGATAGCTTTTATTCTAAGAATATTTTAAATGAAATAAAATTATAATTAATTAACCTTAGGAAATGAGAAATATTTAAATTGAAGTTAATTATATATAAATTAACTGATATGAATTAAAATACTAAGTAAATACTCATATGTTTCAAATCTTTAATTAGAATGAGTAAAATTATAAAGCATTTAAAATTAAAAAATAAATAACTAAAAGTACTTCTATAATTTGGTTTAGAAAAGTAGTAAAATGAATTTTTGTGGTTTCTATCTTATTTTTTATTTATTTTAATAACAGCGTTAAAAATATTTGTTTTGTTACAGCTGCATAAATTGAATTAAGAAAGAGAAAATTTATTTTTATTTTTTTGAAAAAATAGCAGAAATCAAAGCTGAGAAGCTGTGATTAAATAAATACAACCAGAATGGATGAGTTAATAAATGAAAATGAATATACTCTTTAAATTTTTTCTCTGAGGAAGGTATTTTTTCTTTGTTAATCATCCTGCTTGAAATGCAATTTAGTTTATAAAAAAAAGTAATTTATATTTATTTGTATTACGAGTATTATAAAAAATATTAAAAGAAAAAAAATCAAAAAACAAATTAAGAAAGAAAGAAAGAAAAAACAATTAATAAAATAAGTTCTATCAAATAAAAGTTAGAAAAATAAATCAAGGAAAAAATGATATAAAATTAATAATCCTTGAATGAGGTAATTGAGATGCAAGAACAAATCCAAGAAACTGGAGAAATAATGGTTTATCTGACCTCAGTTTAGTAATAGAAAGATATCAGCTAAATCAACAAGTAATTCTAAGGGACTTTGATGAATAAAGTTATTCCAAGGGATCTTTATGAATTCTTTCATTCTAAAGTAAAGATGGAGAAAGAACGCTACGAAAAAGAAATATATTAGATTAACGATGCTAAAACTGAGAAAACTAAGTACATGTAAACTCTATCTGTTATTTACAAACTACTATAATAATACAATTTGGGTAGAGAGTATATCGATTTTCTCATGAATTTCATCAATAAGAGACCAGATTACACCAAAGTGAATGCTGTGACTCTCATGTATAGAATGCGTTTAACTGGCATTATAATGCTTGAGCATTATTTAAAATACAAAAATGGAAACATAAACCTATACGATTTCAACAACGTATGGAATAGCCTGTACTCTAAGATTGTAGAATTTAATAGAAAGCACTAATAGTAAAAGATTAATTTTGCTGAGCAGACATCAGTGGTTAAACGTTGTGAGAGTGTAATAAAATAATATATTGAAGAATAAAAATAGTTTGAGGAATCTCAAAATAATCACTCGATCTCTTACAAAATGCATCTTAAACCAACTGGGCTAAAAATAAACCTATAAGACTCATCTGAATAAAAGTTATCTCCAAATTAATCTCTCTAGATGATCGTGAAGGTATGCGACTTTCCTATTTTTTTAGTTGAAATTTTAAATATATTTAATTATTTCTTATTCGAAGAAACAAATTAATTTCTACTTATTTTTATTTAAATCTTTAATCTTAAAAATGCTTGTGAATAATTCAAATCGACATAAATTTATTTATTTACTTAATTATATGACTGACTACACATAATAAAAATAATCTCTTCTGATCATAAATTTTCCTCTAATTATTTTTCCTAAAATAAATGGATGCAAATTCAAAAATAAATAAAATAATTATGAATGAATAAATCAAACGCAAAGTATAAATTCTAGAATAGGCTTAAAACCGAATGAAAAGCCCCATATAAACAATATTTTTACTAAATTTATCAAGCCTGAAACAAGGAAGCAATTTTTATTTACTCTTTGATTTTAAGACTTGCTAATGATTTTTATTTCTTAAATGTAATTTTTAAAGAAAGATGAATAATTAATTAGTTTTATAATTATGTTAATGTAATTAAAAGCTAACTCTAATTTTTAGGAAAGTGTGATTTTAATTTTTTCCTCTTTTTTTATTCTTATTTTTTCACATCTAATGCAAAAATAAGTTGAAAAAAATAATAATTTTTAATCTTAAGAGATTAGTTTAAGAATACATTTCTCTCATATGAACTAAACAACTTTAGAGCTTCTTCCTCATTAACTTTTTTCAAACTATTGCATATTATTCCCATCATATAATTTAGTAGCATAGAAAGATTAGTAATTAAATTCTTGGAATAAAAGAATTTATGAATACATTTTTTTCTTAAAATATAAAAAAAGGTTTATCTGATTTTCTTAATAAAGTAAATTACAAAATTTTATAGACTTCTAATTTTATTAATATAGAGCAATTCATAAGGTCAGTAGGAACTTATAGAAAATAAATTAATATAATCAAGTATCGTTGGACAGAATAAATCTCAGATTCCTTTAAAGTAAAATGATTTTCATTTTAAAATAATTTTTTTAAAAAATATATATTGAGAATAATTTAATTAATGCTGCTAGAAATAAAAATTAGCATGTTATTAAAAAATTAAATTTTCTGAGAAAGCTTAAATCTACAGATTGTAACAAATATAAATTAGCAGTTTAAATAAAAAACCATAATTTATTTATAATTAAGATAGATCATTTGACTAATAATTAATAAAAAAAAGCAAAAATTAAATTTAGAAATATATATGCGACTTTTATATTTCTAGCAATAAATTTAAATTAATATATTTGTTTGATAATTATTTTAATAACAACAAATAACTTCTCATCATTTCATAAATTAGAAGCTCTATGTAAATGGATTTGATGGTTGAATCGACGCCTATGGAAGCGAGCAGCAGAGTTTAACAATAATTTTCTAATTATGATAGCTAGAAAGAAGTAAGATAAAATTACCTCAAAGAAATGCAAAATATTAACAATGATATTGAGCAAGAAGTATCCATCTTAATAAAAGTCCACTACATGCATCATCTAAATATAACTATACCTACCAAAGTAGTTGATTTTATGGATTAATCGAAGAAAGAAGCATATTTACAAGTCTTCTATGAATGGAGGAAAAATATCAACAAGAAGATAGAAGAAATAAGTAGAAATATGACCATGATAAGAAATATGCAAACTCAACTTTATGAGATATATAATTCGCATCCTCATACTATATCTTAGCACAAACAAAAAAATTAAAAGTCATATTTAGAATAATGCAAAAAGTTAGAAATTTCATTCCCCTTTCTTCTAGAAAAATTAGAATAATATTTGAAATAAGTATAATAATATGTTAACCATTATGATTAGTGCTTTTCTAACAGATTACAAGTAACATATCATTCTGACTCTACGCCTGTAACAGTTGATTATTAAAGCTAAAAGATTACTAATGTTGAGCTGGTTTAAGAGAGTGTAGATGAAAATGAGACAGGAATTTCATTAGAAGAAACGAAAGAAATGAGTTATCTTCATGATTTGGCCTCCTAATCTAATAAAAGTAAGTAAGCAAGTGGAAGCACTCATAACTTAAATCCAACTGAAATTATGATGACTCGCAACAAATCTAAGTAAATAAAAACTAACTCTACGCTTGATGTCAATGAAAGCAATCTAATTAATTCTACAAAAATAGAGTCAAATTCTTAAATTCTAAAATCCAAACATAGTTAAGAGCTAGAAAAAAACAAGAGCGCTCTTTTAAATAACTCTACTCTTGCATAAACGATAGTGCCAGACCCCTATCAGAACGCAAAATCTCAATATAATTAAAAAATAAAAGCCAACTCTTCATAAGATAGTTTGAAGAATGCTATCAAAGGAGATATGAAATAAATTCCTTTTAACCAGTCATCAAAAAATTCAATTATCGATAATTCGAAATATCCCTTTGAATTTAATAATAATCTAAAAAATATATTTCAGCAAGAAAGATTATTAAATTTAACAAACAATTTAATTAATGAGTCAAAATCCAAATTTAACAATGATCAACATAGCCAAGAAAAAGGCATTATTATAAAGTCTGATTATTAAGATATGTAAGATAAATTAAAATAATATCACTATTAGTTAAAGTAGTTGAATGAAAGATATAGCATACACTTATAGGAATTTGAAGATATTATTCATCATTTAAAAACCTACTTATACGCTCACTGCTTTAAACAGTAGCAAAACCCTTTTTTAGAAGTCCAAAATGCTACAGCTTCTTAAATTAAAAAATGTACTAATTTTTTAGAAGCTAATTAGAATTTTTAAAAATAAATTGATTTTATAGAAGATTAATTTCTCCATTTTCCTAGCGAGGACAATTTAAACGCTGAGTGTTATGAAGTCCTCAGAAAAAAGTTAAAAGTAAGTAAATAAATTGTATATGAATCTAACTATCAAAATAAGAATTAAGATTTGTAAAAGAAAAATAATTAATAAACAAAAAATAGGCTTGATCTTAATAATTCTATGTAGGAAGAAAGTGTCTAAATTTAAACTATAACTCCTGTTGCTGATTAATCTAATTATAATTATATTCATAATTTAAAAAGATATTATGAACCTTGCTCAAATTCTAAGCAGCTTATTTAAAAATAACATTAAAAAAATAAAGATTTCTAAACCAAATTTTATGAAGATAGTAAGCTGATATTTAATAAATTATTCGGTGATAGCGGATTAAAATCTTTAAAAACTGTAAAGCTTAATTAGTTGATAAGAAATGATGATTCTTTGAAAAAACTGTTTTCTTGCTGAATCTAAATTTATTGAAATAAAAAATAGTATTTATTGCTATGAAATTTTGAATTGAGAAGATAAATAATTAAATAAATATATTATTTGCTTGAAACTATTTAAAAACTATTCTTGAAAAAATAAATAAAAATAAACTATAAGAAATAAAACCTGAAAGCAATTTATTTTAAGCTAAAATAAATAAATAAAATCAAATTAACTAACATAAAAAATTAATAAAACAAACAAACAAACAAATTACTTTTGATAAATTTATTTAGCTTATTTTTAAGATTTCTTTATTATTAATATATGCTCAATAAATTTAAATAAATTATATTTTTATATTTGAAATAAATTGTATTTCTATTTTTCATAATTAATTGGTTTTTATATTTGTTTAATATATTTATTTTTCTTACTCACCTTTACTAATATCAATGAAAGAAAATATACTATTTTCAAAAATATAAAACTTTTTTTCAATAGTTTTACCAAAAATATAACAATTAAAAAAGTTTAAATATTTCAACTTAAAATTAATTATATTATAATGCTGCTTTAAAAGAGCTAATTAATTTTTAGTATTTGATTCAAGCTTTTGTAAGACTTTAAATTATGGCAGACCCAATACGAGGGAAAATGACTAAGTAAAATCCCATACTAGTTTATTTCATATTTTTTATTTGATATTTTTTAGAAATGGCAAAGAAGAAGCAAATTAATAAATTAATAATATCAATTTTAAAATAAATTGGCTACTTAAGAATAGGTTATCATTTTTTTGTTTAAAGTTAGTATTTTTAATTAGTTTATAAGGTCATGTAAATATTTTGATAATTAATTATTAGTTTATTTTAATTAAATCCTAGTTCTTTCTAGTGTTTTTTAAAAGCATAATTAAAAGCTCTAGTTTAAAAAAGTATTTATCAGCTTATTTAAATATTGTAAAGAATTAAAAAAATTTAAAAAATGATAAATTTTTTTAATAAATAGCAATTATATTTAGTTCATACTATTGCTAAAGTTAATAGACTAAATATCCTTTTAAATAATAACTTGTAAGAAACAAATAAAAATTATGATTATTGTTAATAGACTAATTTATTTTCATGTATAATTATTTATTAATCAGTGATTTTGTTTTTTGAATAGGTTTCTATGAATGAATTTCTTTTTTATTTTTTAATGGACAAAAGATTATTTGGATCTAAATAAAAATAAATAAAAAATATGCTTATAAATTATTTCAACTAAAGAAACCAATAGTTCATTATACATGCTTAGAAATTTAAGACTTTTGGAGATAACAAAAAAAAAATCAGCTCAAATACCAGTTATAATGCAAATCAAATTGAGATAAATTGACTTTATTTAGAGTTAAGAAGAATAAGAATATCATACAATAAAATTAAAAAGTTATTAAAGGATTGCTAGAAATGGCATAAAGTTTGAATTTGAATACTTCAAAGCAGAGTTATGTAATACCAGAGGATGTAATTACAGACACTTAGAGACTTGGTGTGATGAAAGGATATACTCACATGCAGTCAGATAACTAGATAGCCTTACAAGTTTTATACAAGTTTTAGAATTTTAATATCTATCCCTATACAAAAGTAGAAGAAGATACTTTATTAAGTGCCTTAGATAAAATGGTAAGGTTATATTTCATAAAAAAATTCTGAATAGCTAGCTCAGTTCGATTAAATAAATAAATTTTAGAAGATTTTTAAGCCATTTTAAAAATTTCAGAATACACAAAATAAATTTCTACTTTATTATTAAAATATAATAAATTAATACAAAAGGTAGGTGATTAATTTGACAGAGAAGTAGCCAGACAATTATTTGAACAATGTAATCCTGACTATAGAAATCGTATTCAAATAGAAGACTTCATTAGAGCTAGTTTTGATGCTCTTAAAATTTTACAAGAGAGAATTTTTAAATCTAAATAGGAAGTTGCAGAAAGAAATAAAGAACTCAAGCAAATAGAAAATCTAATATTGCAAAATGATGATTAATAAAATTTGAATTAATTTGGAATAGATAACAATAGTCATTTGAAGATAGATGTTATTGAAGCCTGCGATCTTTATCACTAAGGCAATCCTAATGAGCTGCCTTATGTAATGTTAAAGTGTGGAGGAAAAAACCATAAAACTACAGTGCCTTTCATAAAAGATTAAGTTAATCCAAAGTGGAATCAATAATTTGATTTGTAATATCTTTCTTAAGTTAATTATTAACTCCAAATTTTATTAATTTTTAATAACGAATGAATGCACTCATAAATTAATTAATTATACTGACTTTAAATTTTTAGTGTTTGTTTGGAAAATTAAATGATTTACTTATTTATTTATTAATAATGGAATTAAATAGTCCAATTTTTATGGGAAGTGAGGAGCTTTATGTTGAAATCTTAAGCTTTGATACAGTGTAAAACATAAATTATTTGATAGGTTAAGTAGTTATCCCGGTTAATGGTTTAAGAGATTAACTAAAATCTGATAAATGGCATCCAATTTACGATGTAAATAATATCCTCACAAGAGGAAGAATAAGGCTAACCTTACATTGGATTCATAATAAAGTAATGTTACTGCAACAATTAAATATAATTAGCTTATTATTTTTATTTATTAGCAATTATATTTAGAGAATATGGCTTAAAGTCTATAATCACACATAGATCAAGTGTAAGCTGAAATCATAGATTATGAGTATGATACAAAGGTTATATAATCATATTTAAATGGAAATCCTATAGTTTATAGTGGCCAAACATTTTAAAGGAGAGAAACTGTATAAAATATGGTAGCAAATGCTTCTACTCCATCATATCTTAAATAAACTCTCATACTTTCATTTGTTTTATTGTTCTGTGCTACTTTACAGTCTTTGAATAGACCTCCCTTTGTCGATGTAATTAATTAATAAATAAAATATTACTTTTAAAAAAATGTCTTAATTAATATTTTAAAGATTATGATTGGCTTATTTATTCTAATTGGATTCTTTATCAATTTCTTCGAAAGAGTTTACTTTTAAGTCGTCTTAGCCATCTTACTCTTCTCATTCTTATCTGATGTTGTGTGGCTTGGATACAACTTCGAAGTATGGATTATTTTTAAAATAATTATTTTATTTATTTAAAATTTATCTTAATTAGAGTTGGTGGAGTAATTAAGGACAGTAAGATGTTTATTCTGAATCTGCTCATGTTGTACTAAGATTTGCTTTAATATTCATTATTTTTACTCTTGGAGTCAAGGTAAATATTCATTTAATAGAAAAATAAAATTTAATTAATTTTAATTTAAAAAAATTAAGATTGCTCTTGGAATTTATTTATATCAAACTCTAGACTTATTCTTGCATATGAATTAACACTTTATTTTTTCATTTGGAGAGTATCAATTTGTAATACGTGGGCAACTAGAAACAGTTAAAAGTGCTCCTAACGAGAACCCATTCTTCGATCACATTAACACTATAGGCATGAAATAAAATACTACATACTTAAAAGGAAGGTTGAGCACAACTTAAAAGAACATAACTGAAACAAGAGTAAACAATTAACTTGTAAACTCATAGGCAAACTACTAAACTCAACCTGGTAAATTTTGAAACTTTTAATAGACCTGAATGAAAGGATATCAATAATATTTAGTAAATGTGCTAACTAATTTTTAACAATATATTACAAACGAATTATAAATTAACCAATTCGTTTAGAATTTAGTATCCTTTAATAGTTATTTTTATTTATTTCTTATAATCTAAAATAAAATGAATTTTATAACAAAGATAAATTAATTTTTGTGGTGTAAATTTTGTAAAATTGTTTATATTTATATTAAGTCTTACTTTGTTACTACAACTTAGAATATATTACTAATTTTAAATATCTTTTTTTAAACATAAAATATCTAAATTTTTCCTTATTAATTTAAATTTCTATTAATACATTTAAAATAAAAAAAATGAATGTATAATTTGACACTAATTTCATAGCATAAATTGAGCATAAGTTGCTTATTACTAATTTTAAAATTAAAAATTATTTAACTGCTAAATTGCAGATAAAAAAACAAACAAATATAATCATTTATTAATGAGAAACATGAATTTATGCATTTATATATACTATTATTATAAAATAATGATTATGTAGTTTTCAAGTAAAAAAATGAATAATTAAAAATAGTTATTTCATGAAATAAAATCTTTTAACAAGTAATTCAGTAATTTGTTTTTGAAAGCCAAACTTGTCATAAATTATATTTTGCTTAAGTTTGAGAGATAAATAAATAAATGAAAAAGAGTTATTTCTAATGTTATAAAATTAAATCTTTTAATTATTAAAAGAATCAAAACAGAAATAAAGATAAATAAAAAGTAAATGATGAAAGTAAATATTTTAATTAAAAACTTCATTCATTAAGTTATTTAGCTAAATTATTTATTTATTTCTTAGATTTATACTATTTCTACTAATAAAAACAAAGAAAGAGTAATTAAAAATAAAAAATATTAATGAAAATTCTTTGCATATTTTGATAAAGTTAAAAGAAAACTATTTTGAAGTATTTGTAATCTTAGTCAAATATTTTGAAAAAATTGTTTTTTATAATAAATTTTAAATCCAAAAGGCCTATTTAAATGAATGATTGTTGTTAATTTTTGAAAATAAATAATAATTGCTATACAATACAGAAAATAATTTAAGTTCGTAGAAATAGATAAATTTTTAATTTTTAAATTAAATATCATATTCTATCAAATTGATCTTAAAAGGAATAGAATGAATATTTGAATATATTTGGTATTTTTTTTCTGATTATAGATCTAATGTGAATTTGTATGATTAAATTATTAGGATATTTGCTTTATATTGACTTTTATTTGTATATAATATACCTTATTTTTTTTAGTGAGAAATCAATTATTTATTTATTATTGATATTATTAGAAAAGGAAAAAAGAAACAAAAATTATATTAAATTAGAAATAATATTTTCAAGAGCATTTAATTTATATAGCAAATGGATAAAGAAGTACTATTTATCAAACCCTTTTTAATCTATTCTTAAGAAGTTTAGCAAACCAATTTAGTTTTAGCTTATTACCTCAAGTTCTACGCTTATAAGAAAGCAGGTACTATATGCGCTAAGTATTAGGGATAAGCTGATACTTCATATGTTTAAGATATGATGAACGAATGGAATACTGACTTAGAATAGATGAAATAATAATTAGGTTCTACTCTCTAAAATACTCAATAAAATAAGTAATAAATAGTCGATTACACATTAAGAATATTTGCAAAGTGTGATCATGATGAAAGAAATGGATAATTCACTAAATAAACTTAGTAAGATTTTACTATGATTAGCAGATATCTTGAAATGTTAGCAGTTTTTGGTCCATTAGATAATGACTTAAATTAGAAAAGTAAAATTTTTTACAATTAGTTAAAAGAAACAATATTGTTATTATGAAAAATCACTAGGAATTTATGCAAAATCCAAAGCAGTAGAAATCAAGAAAAAATTAGACAATCCTTAATAATATCCTGCAAGCAACTAATAAAATAATTAAAGTCAAGCACCTTAATAATGTATTTAATTTGTTTATTTATTTAAAGAAATCTTATTTTTAATTTAATTAAAATAGATTAACCAAACAATAGCAGCAGCAATAATAATAATAATAATTACTTTGGAAATACAGGAAACTAAGATAATAATTAGAATAACAATATGGTGAGACAAAGTGTTTTTAATAATATTCCTTAAATTATTAACATGAACAACTTGAAGCAGACAGCAAATAATTTTAATGATATTAATATTGCAGCATAACCTTAAGCTCCTCCATAAAGCAGTAATAATTAAAATAAAGGAAATGGTATGTTTACTGCTCCCACAAAATACGTATAATTTGCTAATCCATATTTGAATTAGAGTGTAGGTTTTAATATTCCTATGCAAGAAGGATCAGCTAAAATCATAGACCTTTGCTAAAAAGCAATCTCTGAACTCGATTTTAATTAATTTAGTAATGCTAAAGAAGCTCTCAAGCTAGCACTTACTACAGCATAGAATATTAAAAATTGAAATTAAATTTTGATTTTAATTGTTGTTAAATATAAATTTATAACTTTAATAATCAAATAAATATTTTTCTTTAAATTAAATTTTAAATTCTTAATAAAAATAAATAACCAATTTCTTAAAAACTATCATTTTAAAAATTTCATCTTTAGTTAGAATTTTATGTAGTTGATAGTTATTTTCATTAAAATTTTCATAGTTTATTTGAATAAGTTTAAAAAATATTATTTTATAAATATAATTTTTAATCAAAATTGAAAATTGGAAAGATTAATGTTGAAATTAATTAAATGATTATTTATAAATACGAATAATTTAAATTATTAAAAGAGTTAAAAATAAGAATCATCAGTCAACTTAAAATTATACTATAATTCACTAGCTAAAATAATTTTGAAAAATATTATTCATCTGTTTATTTATATAAAATGATTCATATGTAAAATTGTGTTAGATATGTTCCAATTAATATTCTTACTATAATAATTTTTAAACAAAACCTAATTTTTTAGCATATTTAATGAAGATCTTAAGGTTTTTTTCAAAATTTTTTAATTAGATTACAGATATTTTATCAAATAATATCATTTAGAAGTTATTATAACTTTACTTATTTATCTTATCATAGCTGGAAATAATTTTTAGATGTTATTAAATTTAAAAGTGTTAATTTTGACCTTAATAGCTCGAACTGAAAAGAGTTTTTTTATCTGACTTATTTATGGTACTATTAATCGCTATTTTTAGTACTAGAGAGCAACTCAAAAATTTAAATAGGGATACTGTTATATTTAATAAGATTTAAAGATATAGTGGATTTCATGGTGTTGATGAAAGCTATTAAAATTTTAATTGAATATAACCAAAAATTTTATACATTAAAGTTACTAAAGTTTTATCATTCAAATAATTTACTTAGATTTACATTTAATCGTACAATATTTTAATTTATAAATTCAATCAATACCGATTAATTAATCACTTAATAATTTAATTTTTTGATAAGATTGCAAAAATTAATAACTAATTTAGTTCGAATTATAAATGAATTAAGTCAATTAAAATATGGATATTCAATTAAATCATTACAAGAAAGATCCAGAATTATAGGAAATACCAAACAAAAAAATTCATAATTTGCCTCAGTGTTAGGGCGAAGATAATAATGATTTTAATTATGAAGAATAACAAATTGAGGATGTTGAGAATGAAAGCCAATAAAAAATAGAAAAGGCTTATGAGGTAATTACTAAAATGAATAGTGTCATAGAAAATGAAGATATTTATAAAAACCCTGCGAAAGCTATTTAAAGCATTGATTGTTTAAATCAAGAACAATAGGATTATTTGATTTAAAGTATGTCTTTTTTTTTGGATAGAGTTCTTTATAAATTCTGTTTTTAGAAAAGGTTTTTTATATTTTCTATATCATTCATTATTTTAAAATATACTCAAAAGCTGTTAAGAATCTAGATGATATGATGATTGAGTTACATAATGCGATAATTAAATATGGAATGTAAGAAAATGTGGTGTCTTAGCTAAGAAAGAGTTTGCAAACAGGAAATGTTCTTTTGTATTAGCTAAGATCAATAATTTCTGCTTATTTGCAAAGACCAAATATATTAGAATAATAAGTTCCTGTTGAAAGATTAGGGGAAAAGCAGAATCTAGTTGAAAATGTAAATAAGCCAAATGAAGAAAATAAAGAAGAGTAAAAAGAAATAAATATAACTGAAAAATAAGAAGATAAAACAATTGATGATTAGTTTTTAGTCAATATTAAAAATAGAGATTAAATAAATATTATAACTTTATAAGTAGGGGCAAAGGTTTTAAACACATATTTTGAAGAGATAAAAAATATTTGCATCTCTATTTAAGCTCCTAAACTCAAAAAAAAATTGCAAAGCTATATTAATGACCATAAGATAGTTTAAGCCAAACTAAACACAATTACAGAATTCCTTCCGTATGCAGTTATTTTTGATAAAAATGATATTTTTGCTCTCGATTAAGAGAATCACTACATATGGAAAATATTAAAGTAGCACATTGAATATGTGTAACTTGCTCCATAGGAGGAATTACAAAAACAATTCAAAGCAATTGTGAAAGCAGTACTATTAGGAAATGCTATGGCAGCCAAGGGTGCAGAGAGAAAATCTAAACTAGGTTAATGGTTTTAAAGAAATCTAAGTGCTGTTTATTATCTTTGTTGTCCTTAAACTTCTTAGAGAAAGGCACACATCTTCTTCTCAAATCCTGATTAGTAAACAGCAATTAGTGTAAATCATTTTTATTTATTTAATTGAATTTTCATTAATTAAATATAGAAAAAAAAAATTAATACAACTTATATTGTAATTTATACAAACAATTTTTATAAATCATTTATATATGTTTTATTTGTATCTTTTAAAAGGTTTGGAATATGATGGAAAAGAGTGTAGTTTACTAAGCTTTAAAAATCGTCCTCCCTTCAATAAAATACAATAAAAAAATATACATTGAAAGAGATAACCTAAGATACACAAAAGAACTCATTTTAGAAGAAATGAAGAATCAAACTTTAAATTCCCTTTTTAATCCCTTTGCTGACAAAAAAATTGTAGATAGTTCATGCCAATAAAATTAGGACTCCTATTATGACTAGTTATTTAAAAAAGATTTAGTTAATAAAGTCAAAGTTAGAATTCTATCCTCCAAAAAGCTAGTTAGACCTCCACCAAAAGAAGATAAAAAATATAAAGATATAAAGTGGCACGAGAAACTAGTTATTCACATTCACGGAGGTGGTTTTGTGGCTATGGGAACTCGTTCTCATTAGATTTATTCAAGAAAATGGGTAAATTTTTTAGGTGTTCCTATTTTTTCTATTGATTATTCCAAAGTAATTTATTGTTTTTTAAAAATTTTATAAATACTTTTAAAAATAATTAATTAATTTCCAATAAATCCTTACAAATTTAAAATTTAATCTAAAAAATAATTATCAATCCATAAATGAATTTTATCTAAAATTTTTCTTTCTATATGGCCATCATTTAAAGTATTAATAATAATTTATGCTTAACTTAATTTGAAATTTAAGATTACATTTCAATGGATACAATTAAAAATCAAATTGAATTAAAAATAACAATTTAAATGATTATAATTTTTATTTGAGTATTTTTTTTTAATATTAAGGCTCCTGAACACCCTTATCCTGAAGGCTTAGATGACTGCTTTTAAGCTTATTAATGGATAGTAAATAACGTCTCTAAATATTTCAGTAAATTTAAAATTATTTTTCAAAAAATAAGTTTTCTTAAAATATAATAAAATATTAATAGACATCATTCCAAACAAAATAATTGTTGTTGGAGACTCAGCTGGTGGTAATCTGACAATAGGTAAATTAATATCAAATTATTTTTATAATAATTTATAAATAACAATATGTTTTTTTGTAGCTTATTTTAAAAATAAATTTAAAAAGAAAGTCCTAAATTTATTACAAAATTTTGAAAAATAAAAAAATTGGTTTTTAATTAAATTGATTAATTATTTAGCCTAATAAAATATAAATTTATTTACATTTATTTTAATAAATTGAAGCACTCACTTAACTATGTATTAAGTATAATGTAAGAATTCCAGATGGAATTGTTCCAATTTATCCAGCACTCAGCTTAAATTTAAAGAAGTTCACTCCAAGCTATTTGATTTCTTTGGATGATCAAATTCTTCCTCATATGTTCCTTAAAATGTGTTTACAAGCTTATGTCAATAAAGATGATGGATTTGATGCATCTACTGATCCTTTTCTATCTCCTACTTGTGTTTCTGACGAAGTACACAATTTTTTGATATAATTGTTTTTTCTTATTTGAATTGATAAAAATTCTATTAACTGAATTTAATTTTTAGATAATTAAAAAATTCCCACCAGTGAGATTGTAAATTGGAAACAAAGATCCTCTTCACGACGAAAGCTATAGATTTTTGCATAAATTAATGTAATTTTTATATTTTTAATTACACAATTGCACATTTGTATTTGTGAGGTACTATTTATTAATAATTATAAATTTAATAAAAGAAATAATGGAAAAGATGTAAAGATGATAGTTTATTTAGATATGCCTCATGGGTATTTGAATTATGATGCTCCCGGAGGTATGAAATATGCTAAAAAATGTGTAGACGACGCAGCTAATGCCTTAGAAGAGTTTTTGAAAAAATGAATAACCATAAAATAAAATAAAAAATTAATTTGTCAACAATAATATAATGTATTAAATAATTAGAGTTAATTAAAAAGTATTAATTTATTTATATTCTTTAAAAAATTATTTTTCTCATTTACAATTACATTTTACTTTATTGGATTTTAAATTATTTTCAGAGGAAAATAATTTTGTTACTTTATTTTGTTTGTAATATTTACAAAGTCTATTTAATTATTTATAGTACTATTTTAATGGTTGAAATAAGATTTACCAGCATGGAGAAAATAAATCAATTAATGGTTTATATTTGAGAAAATAAACAATAACTTCAATTTTTTTTTAATTAATTTAATCAAATCAAACAAAAAAAATCCAAGATTAAATGTAAACTAGTCTTTTTTAATATAACATCTAATTTATTGTAAATAAATTATTGTCATAGATTTCTCTATTTTTTTTTTGAAAACATGTTTTGATATCATTTTTTTTAAAAAATTCAAAAATTTTGTTTGGTAAAAAATACAAAATCTAAAGAGTAAATTAAATAAAATATTGAGGATTTAGTTACTAAATAAAAATAAATTAGGAAATGAAATTTACCCATCATAAATACTTATAGGGAAATCAATGTACTTATTTACATTTTAAAATTAATCTATTGAAGTTCCCTGCTTGAAAAAAAAGTAAGATCTACAAGTCATTTTTTGAAATAAGTAAATAGATTTTGCCTTAGAAAATAATATTTAAACAAATTTCTAATTATTACTGCTATATTTATAAAGTATAATTAGTCATATAAAAAGTTAGAGTAATAAAGATTATTGAAAATTAAAGAAATCATCTCTTTCTTTTTTTCATACTGAGTAATATGAGTGGTCAAGCTAAAGCGCAGAATGCTATGCAATTAGATGACGATGATTCAAACGAAAATAAATAAGTTAATATAAACGCAACATAGGTACCTGATTTCTATATGGATTTTAGTAGGTATTAAGGTACGAATTAAGATATCATCATTCTGCATCAACATTTTAATAAATTTTTATAATAAATAACTAACAGGCACAGTTAATCCAAAAACCGTCTAAAACTTAAAAAGATAATTTGAATTAGATCCTAATATTTGCCTCATTAAAACTTTAGCACCTTAAGACAAAAAAAATGATGACAGCTTTTCAAGTAAAGAAGAAAATGAGCTTCAAGACTTAACATAAACTACAATTAAAACACAATTTTTAATGAACCGGTTTAACGTAAAAGGTAAAAAAATAAGCTTTATATAAGCAAAAAAAATGTTTTCTCTGCAAGTACAATCAATAGGAGATTTGGATATTCTTGCATTTAACTCTTCTTAAATTATTGTAAATACAATTAATTATTTAAAATTATAATAAATAGATCAAAGTTATCTTGGAACCGCTATAACAAAGGACTCTCTTGATAGCTACTTCTACAATATGAATAAAAGAACAATAATTGCTAAACATTTTAAAGTAAAATAATTATACATAATATTTATTATAAATGTTACTTTATATGGCTGTTTTAAATTTCTAGAACAAGCAATGAAAAGAAAATTAATAATTTTAGAAAAAAAACAAACTACTTACTTATGGCCACAATTGATTTCTATTTAACCAATCATTTCCATTCATTTAAAAAAATAAATTATATTAATATAATTTAATTATAGGATTAATCAGATTCTTACTAAGTAGAAAAAGACTCTTTTGTTAATTGGAGCAAGTACAATTAAATCTTGAATCATTTAAATGAAGTCAAATAAGTAAAAAATTTTGATTTTAAAGAATTGAGCAAAAAGTACGAACCAAAAGAAGATTTAGAGGATGGTTACGTTTTGAATTCTGATGGTGAAAAAGTTTAAAAAGTACATAAGAAAAAGAGTTTATTACCTTGGTAAAAAGAAATAAACCTTTTGAATTAAACAGTTATAAATGATATGTACTAAAAACTAAGTAAAAAAGATGAGGAATAGATGGAGATAGAAGAAAAATTTAGATTAAACAAAACATTTGATTTTGGGAGAGATTAAATATATCAATAAAAAAAAAATAATGAAACTAACCAAGAAAAGTATTAAGAAGACATTTTTAGTAAATTGCCTTAAGACATTGATACTATACATTAGTATTTAGTTGAGTATATTGATTTAACTGGTGAAGCAAATAGATAACCTTAAAATTTAGTGGAATTAAAAGAAGAAATAAAATCACCTTTAGGATTATGTGATATTTAAAATAACACACAATATTTTAATATTGAGTTTGTAAATGCTATTTACAAAGATTACATCGAAACCTTTTCTACTGTCTTTGAAAGAGAAAACAAAATTTAAATTAGTCTTTCCAACTGTTAAAAAGAGATTTCTCCTATCTCCAGACAGATTATCTTATTAGAGTATTTTTTAAGATAAATTTATTTTTATTTATGTTAATTTATTTCAAATAGATAATAATTTACTTTAATTGAAGTTTTTCTTAGCCTTTTAATTAAATTTGTTTTGAATTCATAAATTATCTTACAAAATTGTTAATTATTTAAATGATATTCATCTTATTAATTTTAATAGGCAAAATGCGAGAATAGAAAATTAAGATTAAATAGAAATGATAAAAGATTTTGAAAATTAAATTAATTTAGAAGAAATAAGAGATGAAGATATTTTTAATATTGTTAGCGGTAGGGTAGATTAATAGGGACTCTTATAGTTGGTGTAATAGTTTGAATAATATTAAAGTAAATCATCTAAATATAAGTTAATCGAAGTGAACGAAAATGCTAAAATAGAAACAGAAAAAATGCTCAATTAAATAAGAGCCAAATTCATTAAGAAAGGAAAAGAAGATAAAGATTCATAAGCCTGTTTTTTCAACAAAGAAGAAAAAACCATTTAAATTTAGAAGGATAAGAGTGATCCTGATAGTGATAATGTATCAGTTTGCTCTTATTTAAATAAGTCTTAGAGGAGCCAAGATAAAAATTAGAAAGGTGGTTGTACTCCTAGTTCGAGCACAAGAGTAAGTATAGTTGGTTTTAACAGTAGAAAATAGTCAGCTTCTTTAACGCCTATAAAAAAGGCTGAATCTATTAGAAAATCTATAGTTCAAGGACTTAACCCAAGAAATTCTATCACAAATAGATCTTCGATTTCTCCTGGCTTTAATAATAGAAAAAGCTCAAGTTAGTTATCTAATTCTTAAAGTTTCTAGAACTAAACTCAAATTAGAAAGGATTCTCAAGCTTAAAAATTCGAAAGAGAAGAGTTAGCTTCTGTTTAATCTTTAGACTCTGAAATAAAAGAATAGTAAGAGGATACTGATGAAAATGCTTAATAAAATGAAGAGTACAACAAAATGATTAGTGAATTAGATGCTATTGAGACTGAGCATAACTAATTGCTCAAAGCTATTATTTCAGTTTAAATTTCTCCTAAAATAAATCCAATTTTGAAAGAAATTAAAGATCTAAGAGTTCTAAAAAAGTATATTCTAAATTCATAAGATATTAATGAGGCAATTTAACTGACAAAAGAGTTAAATTCATAGATCTGCTCAAAGTTGAAAGAAGTAATTACTGTACTTTTTGACGATTAGTCCGTTAGTTTTGAGTAAGGTTTAGAAAATTTAATGTAAAGCTTAAATAAAATCAATAAAAAAGAAAATACAATAGACTAGGCTAAGTTGAAGATTATTTTCTCTCTTTTGAATTAGTTTAGAATATCTTTAGAAGATAATAAATTTGATATTAACTCAATATAAAAACAGAATAATGATCCTGACTACCAATTTAAAAAAATTTAGGAAGCCTTGGACAAGTATTAAAATAAAAAAAACATGACTTAGTCAGAGAGAAGTAAGATAGAAAGCTAAAATAAGCTTCTCGACTTCTCAAAAATTAGTTTCTACAATTATAAGAAGAAAAAAACATTAAATAATTCCTCGATTTCTTCATCCTCCTCTTCATCTTAATTATCATCTGTTAACAACCTCACAAAGGATAACTCTAAAAAAGTACTTAAAAATAAAAAAGTTGAATCTAAAAAAGAATAAGTAAATAATAAAACTGATTAAACCGCTAAGGATAATATGAATTTTTCTTTTGAAAAATATATTAATTAGTGTACAGCTCCAAGAGTAAAAATAGGATTAGAAGCTACCAGTAGTTTAGCTTCTCTCAATACTGGAGCAAATACTCATAAAAGTAACTCTACTGCATCTAAAACGTTTTCTTTACTAAAAGTAAAGTCCTTTACATCTTTAGCTAAATCTCCCTCTAATTTTTCATAAATTTCTACTCTATCTCCTTTACCTTTAAATCAAGACAGTCCATTTTTAAAACCTGATTTAGAGCAAATACATGAACTTGATTTAAATGCAAAATAATCAGAAGTTACTGTATAAATTTAACAAAAATAACCCAATTCACCAAAAAAGAATTTGTGGAACTAAGCAAAAGCCAACATTCTAAAAAATTTAGAGGCTAGTTAATAAAACAATAATCCTGAAAAAAAGAAAAATGTAACTTTTACTTGGTAGTAGCTAATAAAAGAGCAAAAATTAAAGCAGTAGCAGTAGTAAGAATCCTAAGACAAAAATGAGATTAATTTATAAAATAAGAAATAAAAAGTCTTACAAGTAATATAAAACCATGAATAAATTATAACCGATACATTAAATTCTTCAAGGAATAACTCAAGCAGCAGAAAGGATCTTTCATATTAAAAAGAAATAAAGTCTGTGTCGAGTTTGGATTAGAGAAAATAGCATTCAAAGCCATTTTTATCAGCTAAAAAGCCTTTAGTAAATAATTTTTCACCTGTAGGAAGAGTAGTAAGTACTAACTAAAACGCAGCATTTTAAACTCCCCTCAGAAATAACACAATATTGAAAGAAGTTTAATCTGAATCTAAGTTACTAAACAAGTCATCTAGCATTTTTGAATATAAAGCAAAAGAAAATAGAAAAACTTTTATGGATATGACAAGAAAAGATTTATACACAAGATCTCAAAAATCAGTTGATAAAGTAGAAAAGTATTTTGAAAAATTCATTTCTAAATCAAAAGAGATAACTGCTTGAATAATAAAAAAATCTAAATGATAATTAAAGAGAAATCTTATTTTCAACGAAAAATCAGTTTTAAATTAATTTAACTAAAACATTAAATATAATTATTAAAAATGCACATAAATAAATATATTAAAATTAACACATTAATTAAATTTATATTAATTTTATTTAAATATAACTACTGTAATTAACTTCTTTGTAAATAAAATAATATATTCTTATTTCTAAACTCACTCACCTCACTCATTTATTGAAAATGTTTCTTTCTAACTTTTAATCCATAAATTTAACAAAAAAATAAAATAAATATTAATAAATTCGCATTAATTTTTAAAAAAAACACTTTAATTAAACTTAAATAAATTTTATTTAAATATACCTACTTTAATTAATTTCTTTATAAATAAATTAATACATTCTTATTTCTAAACTCACTCACCTCACTCATTTATTGAAAATGTTTCTTTCTAACTTTTAATCCATAAATTTAACAAAAAAATTAAATAAATATTAATAAATTCGCATTAATTTTTTAAAAAAACACATTAATTAAACTTAAATAAATTTTATTTAAATATACCTACTTTAATTAATTTCTTTATAAATAAATTAATACATTCTTTTTTATATATTTACTCATTTGTGGAAAATGTGTCTTTTAATTTTAATATTTTTTATATTTTTTTAAATTCATAAATTTAAGTAAATATTGAAATAAATATTAATAAATAAAAAACACAATGTTAATTAAATTTATTTATATTTTATTAAAATATAACTACTGTAATTAACTTCTTTTTATAAATGCAATTTTTTATCAACTCACCCATTTGTTTATTTTATTATTAATGAAATATTTTAATTTTTTTGATTTTTCTCAATAATTTAACTAAAATGCCAAAGAAATGTTAAAAAATTTAAATAAATATATTCAACATACTTATTAATAAAATAACTAAAACTGTAATTAATTTCTTGAAAAATAATTACATTTTTTTTGATAAAATGACTAACTCATTTGTTGAAAATGCGTCTTTCTTTCTTTTAATTAATTAACTAATTTAAAATATTTTTGATTTTATTAATACTCTGATATTTCTTACCATGTAATATATCAACTTATGTTTTTTATTAATTTAAATTAACTATTTCCCACAAAAATTTTGTTTTATTTATTTAGATTATTTTATTGAATACTTTTTTTCTAACTTTCCTTTTTACTTTAAAAATATTAAAATATTTTAAGGTTAACTAAATTTATTTATTTTCATTTTATTTTAATTATTTTTCAATATTTTATTTTATGAAAAAAAAAGTAAATAAATTTATATTCTACTTAGTTTCTATAGTTTTATTAGACAATATTAATCATCAAATAGAGACTACTTTCCACAAAATAACTGCTGTCTGCTTACAAATTTATTAATAAAATTTTAGAATTAGTATTTTCTATCAACAAAGGGTTTTTGTATGAAGTAAATTTTTTGTTAAATAACAAATTTAAAACCAAAATTTTGTTTGCCAAGAATTAGCTTTTTAATTAATTTAAAAAATAATATATTTACTCTCTTGATAAGAGATATATTAGCAAATGTCAAATAATATAAATCCCTAGAGTAATAAAAATAATGTTAGCAAGTAAGGATAAGTGGATTCTACTTCTAAAACTTAAATTCTTTAGCAAATTAAGTAGACTTAAATAAAAGTAATTTGATTTTAAAAATAGATCCCTCATAATTTATATTATGATTTAGGAAACTTAATAGTAGAATCTTCCTAATAAAGGTATATAGTAGATTAAGCCTAACTTATAGGAAAGCCTAAAAAATTAGAAAGGTTAAAAGCAAATAAATGAAATGGTATGATATTTTCAATTTATTTCATTAATCAAATTTATATATTACTTTTTGCAATTAAAGTAATTTAATGCATTTTAATTGTTTTAATCCTTTTAACAAATCTTAAAAAGCAAGCAAAGCAGAAAATACCAAAGAACGAAGATAAAAAAGAGAATCTCAAGTTAAAATAGGATTAATATTTAGAGAATTTATTATAGTAGATAGAGGATCATAAATCTATTCAAGTAAGATTACATTTCTTTTAAAATATAGATTGAGATAGAGACAAATATAAAATAATTAATTATAATTGCTATATAGCTATCCGAAAAAAAAGTAGATAAGAAGACTAATAAGATTTATACTCTGTTATAGTATGGAAGAATAAACTTAATTGTAGCATAATTTAATTTTAAAAAATTTATTTGTTTATTATTATCTTGTACTTATATATTAGGGGCAGAACCATAGGAAATTAAATATTGTTGAAGATGATATTATTGAAAAGAAGATAATGGATGCATATAAATTAAAAGAATAGCTTAGAAATTAGTTAAGTCATATAGACTAAAGGCTCGAGAACCTCTCAACTTAAAGAATCGATAATCCAAAAAGTATATATAGTCATCCAGTTTTGAAATAATATCTTGAAACGGATGAAGAAAGGAAGTAGTAGTAAGCTTCACGTTTTGTCAAAAAAATAAAATCGTAATAGGCTCATTTTGCTGAGTAATTAAAGTAGAAAGTCGAAGAGTTGGACTATAAAAAAAAACTAGAAGAAGCCTAAGTGCAGAGGTAGATTATTTAATAAAAGTAAAATAGCGAAAAAGAAAGAGAAGAACGTCTGAAACGATAGATTAAGCTAATTAAGGAGAGGAAAGATTTAAGAATTAAATAACTGAATGAGTTCGAAGAATTATATAAAAAAAAAATAAAAAAAGATTAATCTAAAAGACCTTTATACATCAGGTTAATTAAAAAGTTTAATATGAAAGAATAATTCTTTAAAGAAATAACGCTGAAAGAAAAATAGGAAAAGAGAAAGCAATACCTTTAGTTGGCTAAAATAGACTTTAAACAACATGAAAAAAATTATTTTGAAAATCTTCAGAAATTAGAATAAATCAAAAAAGAAAATCGCGAAAAGCAACTTTAATTATTGTAGTAAAAGTAACCTGAGCCAAACTTAATTTATGATTCTTCTAAGCTACTTAAAAATGAAATAGTCGACAATTAGTTTCATAAAAAATTAGAAACTGAGAGTATTTAAAGAGAAAATGCTTTAAAAATTGTAGAAGCTAGAAATAAGTTTAGCAATGCCTTGAAACAGCACCAACAAGTTAGTCCTTCTAAACAAAAGTAGCTAGAGATGGAGATAATAATTGATAAATCTGCAAACCCTCATAAATATATAACTCAAGTAAAAAAAAAGAATGAAAATGATAGATACTAAGAATATTTAGAAAGAGGTAAACTTGTGAGAAAAAAATCTGCTGATTTCTCAGTTCGTAAATCTACATCTACCATGTCTCTTCTAAATGCAAGATCATTTTAAACACCTCAAATGTAAATTTTTCATTTATTTATTAAAAAAATAAATAAAATAGAATGCAATTATTTCTATTAAAACAAGTTTGATTTTTATATTATATAAATTAAATTATTGAATTTTTATATTTATATCTTTAATTTATGTAGGGCTTCAAAAAATGCTTTAGTTTCATAGGACGATGAAATGATATTTAAATAGCAATAAAAGGTTGGATTTGTAAAATAAGAGCCAGGTAAAGAAAGAGAACTAGGAAATCTTTATTTAAAATCAATTAGAGAATCTAGCAGAAAGTATTAAGAGTATCTAAACCAAAGAAAGTAGCTAACAGAAAGTAGTGCTAATGAAAAGTTAATGATTGATATTGTTAACGATTCCTATCAAAAAGAAATAAAAGGACCATTTTCTCCTATAAATACAAGCTCATCTCATTAGTATACTCTTAAATCTACCTAAAATTCCAAGCTACCAATTATTAGTAATAAATAATTAAAGAATAAAGAGTTAGGTAGCAGTTTTAGTTAGTAAAATATAAATTCTTAAAGTGAGAATATAGCTAGAGGTTAAAGCTCTGATAAATATTCTAACATAAATCAAGACACAAAATCAAATTCAGAATAAAATGAGAAAAAAATATTTAAAAAATACAACTATATGAATGAAATTAGAGAAAAATATAATTTAGATTAAAGAAAGGAAAAATGGGAATAAATTATGGAATCTAAAAAATCTGTTCCTATCCTTGAGAAAAAAAAGCTATTAGAAGAGGCATATTATAAATATGATAAAGAGATCATGCTTAAGGAGTAGGTTGTTCGTTCTCATCGTCCATAAGAATTATCATTAAAAGAAGTAGAAGATCGCTAAATTCTTGATGATGCATATCTTAAATCTATTAAAGCCAAGATAGAAATGATGAAATTAACTATAGATAATGATGATTTTGTTAAAAAAGAATAACCAAAAGTAAGATAAATTTTCTAAAACCAAGAGTAGTATTATAATTAATATTGATTTATTTTCTAATGTTTTTAGACAAATTGAATCCATATTTACATATATAATAAATTTATATTTGAGATATATACAAGTATTAATGAATAAAGTAAAAATCCCAACTAAGAAGTATTTTTATGCAAATATAAATACGAAATAATATATTAACAAAAAGATTGATTATAAACTTAAAGTGAGTAAATTTGTATTTTATATAATGATAATTTGTGTAACTTGCATATTTTAGAAGGTAACTTTATACTTTAAAAATTTTAATAATAAACTTTCAATTATTGAAAAAGCTAATAGATGATATAATAGTTTTTATTTTAGCCTTTTAACATATGTCGTTAAATTAATAAAAATATTTATATTCTAAAATGTGTTTGAAATTAATTTCTTAATTTTAATAGTTATAATGTTAACTACTAACATTTTTAATTGTAAACCTTACCATAGTTTTGAAATACAATTAATCTTAGAAATAGTTGCTAATATGTAATATGATGATAATACCATATAATATTAAAGCTTTATTATTTGTGATCAAAAAGTAAACAAATTAAAAATTTTTTTGTTAGAATTAAAAGTAATTAAATTTCTTATATATATAATTTTGATAAATTGAATTCATAACAAATTAACTAACAAACTATATTTATTGAATTTTAAGATATTATTAGCATTTTATATTGAGGTGATAAATATTTCTCTAAATGGAAAATGAAATCCATGCTTTGAAGGAATAGCTCTCATAGTAGTAGATACAAATTAAAGAGTTTCAGACTAGTTTGAAAAAAAAAGAAGAGACTTTAGTTAATCTTACAAAGTAGAATGAAAGAATATCTTAAAACTAAGAGAAATTATAGAGGCAATTAGATATGTTTGAAGAATTGACTACAGATTAAAAAGGAAAAAAAATATAATACAGTGTCAAAGCTAATTTAAAAAATGAAATCATGTAAAATTTAGTTGAGGAAATTTGCTTTTAGCAGAGCATTGCAAAATTAGAACAAAAAATGTAAGAAATGAATTTTAATATAAATCAAAGGATCTCTCAAATTTAGACAGATTTATGCAATGTAGAAGTTTTTTGTAATAAAAATATGGCTAAAGTTTAAGAAACTGTAGAGGTTGTTAATGATTTCGAAAAAAACAAGAATATTAGCAAAGATTTTTTGCAAAAATACGATTCTTTAATGAACTTGTTGTAAAAAAATGAACTTATATAAGGCGAGGTTAAAAATAGATGTGAACTACTTGAAACCTAGATGGTACGCAAGGTTGATATAAATGATGTAGGAAAGCTTACTGAGTAAATTAAAGATGGATTTGTCTCAAATAAATTATTTACCACTTAGCTTGAAAACGTTAAACAATAACTTTACAATGAAATAAAAAGAAAAACTGACTAATCTTAATTTGATTAACATGTTTACTAAATAGAAGCTAAATTAGAGTACATTAAAAATACTTTAAGAAGCTAACCGAAAAATTAATAACCATCAACTGTTGTCAAGGTAGTTTAAAACTCAAAGTAAAAGGTTGAAAAAGAAGAGGAATAAGAAAGAGTACCTCAAATTGTTAAGTAAGAAATTTAGATGCAGCAAATTATAAAAGAGGTTCCTGTTATAAACACAGAAATAGTAAATGGTTTAGAAAAAAAAATAGAATAACTACAAGTTGCTATGAATAAGCATGCAGAGGACTTTAGTACATAAATCATAGACTATTAAAGTTAAATTATGAATATAAAATCAAACTTCGATACAAAATTTAAGATTTCTTAAGGTTTAGTGTAATCTGCTTAAACATCTGCAAGCGAAGCTGTAAAAAGAGGCAGAGAAGTTGAGCAATATGTCCTTGATAATATGTTAACAAAAGATTACATAAGCTAATTCTAAAAAAAAATCAATGATAAAATTGATAATTTTGATAAAGGGTATCAAGAAACAATAGAGAAACTGACTTAAATATCAAATAGAGCTACTGATTCATTAGGAGACTTAGCAATTAGATTAAGATTGATTCCAACCAGAGAAGAACTTATCGAAAGGCTTGAATTTGTCTAAGCTGTATCAACCGATAATATATAAATCAAAATGGATATTTAAAAAATTTTAGATTTGCTAAAAGAGCATGACGAATTTTTCTTATTAAAGGTAAATTTATTATAAAAATGTTGAATGAATATTATATTTAATAAAAAAATTGACAGATTTTAATCTTAATAAAGTAAAAAAAATTTGATTTAAAAAACCAAAAATTAAAATTTTTCAAAAAAATAAAATGATTAAATAATACAAAAGATCACTAAAGCTTCATTAAACTTCCCAAATAAGATCAGATAAATAGATATTAAAAGAAATTATTTTTACAAAATGTTAAATTTAAATTGATTTTAAAATTTAATTTTTTAGGCAAACAAAATTGATTTAAAGAGATTAGAAGATGAAATTGAAGTGATTAAAAAGAAAGAGCCTGATTTTATAGTTATGTAATGCGAAAAAGATGTTACTTAAATTAAAGATGAAGTCAAAGAATTCTAAAAAGAAATTATTGATTTTCGTGCAGAGATAATAAAAATGCTTAATTTTAGTATCTTTGAAGAAGGAGAATTAGAAACTTATTAAGAAAAGCAAAAATAAAAAGTAAGCTATAATAACTTTTCATCTAATAATAGGAATTCTTATTCACCAAATTTATCTAATAATTAAACATAAAAATAAATTAATCCTTAACCATTAAGGACACAACTATAGGCATAATAAAACAGAAAAACATCTATAATTAATTAATAATAAAAAAATAGCAAAAATAATTCAAAATAGTCTAGTGAGCGTGAATCAGCACTTTAGTTAGAAGAGCAAGAAACAGGTTTATTCTATTATGATAATAATAACAAATTTATATATTATTGTAAAAATAGGGAGATATATATTTCCTTGGGTTGACTAAATCAGAAATGGTATCTTTGACACTTATTCAGTTTATGATGTTTTGTACACAAAGGCTAATCACTCGTAAGTGTAGGAACTTTTTGACAAGAAAGCAAATAAAATGGTTGTGGGTAAATTAATGGATATTGTTAATAATATGAAGAAGCAGCTTGTTTATCTTGTTGTTGGATAGAATTAATTAATAAAAACTATAAGTAACACAAGCGAATAAGCTGGATAATCGCAAGGAACAAAGGAAGAAAATCGTCATAAGAGAGAAATAGAATTATAAAGTTTACTTAGATAAAATACAAAACTCTTAGTATGGATTTCTTCTTAAGATTTAGGGCAGGATTAATAATTTGTTAAGAAGTTAAAGGAAAAAAATGCAATTACAGTAGATTTCAATATGATGGAGCAAATGGTAGAAGAAGTATTTTCAAGATACCAACAATTACATAAGTTATATGTAAAATAGCCAAACATAAAATATACTCAAGAAGAAATTAAGCTGTTAGATAACTTTGTTAGGGATATAATTCCTAATAGATAATTATAGTTTGACGATATATATAGAGAAGATAATCAATTAGAAGTAGAATAAATTGAGTTCGATTAAAATGACTTTGTGGCTGAAACGATGTAATCATAGCATATCAAATCAAATAAAATCTTCAAAGAAAAATATGGCATGGTGTTAGGGACAAGCTAGTAATAATCATAATTATTGAATGAAAATTAAAATTATGGGATGACTGAACCTAATTAGGTCTTATAAAAATAATTGAGCAAACAAATATCTATCATTCCAACTAATAACAGTGATTTTACAAAATCTTAGCAATTAGAAGGTTCATCATTTACCTTTAAAAATAATAAAAGCAAGCTAAGAATCGATGCTTCAGATAAAAAAGATAAAACAAATAAATCAATTCATATTACTTAGCACACAAATTAATAAGAAGACGAAGATAATTTATTTTTACAATCTATTCAAAAAGACACGCAACTTCTAAAGGATTCTTTGAATACCTTAATTACTAAAGATGGTTACACTAAAATATTTATTTCACCAGAAGAGGCTGAATAAATAAAAAAAGATTCTAAATATCTGAAGTCCTCTTCTACTTTTATTTCTAAAAAAGCATCAACTGTTTCAACAACAAGGTTGATTGATTGATTATATTTATTTTCAATTGATTTTTATTCAAAGTTGACTATTTTTTTTTAAACTTTAAATTTTATTTCAATAGAGCACTTAAAAAGACAGCTTGTACAAACTAATTTGCCACTAATGATAGCTAGGAATCAATACAATATTTAGATTTATTAGCAAGTTAGAATTAAAAGGTTCAAGAATAAAGGTTACTGAATAACAATGTCATTACATAAAACATTAAAAAAAGAGATGCCTATAAAAAGTAAAAATAAAAATAAAATGTGAGTAAATTAAATTAAACCTAAGTAACTCAAGGTTAATATATGCTAAATAACTCAAATTCAGACCTAAATCAAACATATTCTTAAAATCTCACTCAACAATCAATTGATTTAAGTACAAGTATATCTAGACGAAATAAAAATTAAGCATCTTTCAGCCTAAGTAATAAAAAATAATTTTCCCATAGTGAAAATATTTCACCAAGAGAAGACCTGTTTAGTAAAACAAATTACAAATAAAAACATAAAAATAGTGAAACATCTTATGACATAACAGACTTTTGATATTATTAATTATTTACATTACTATTTACAATTATATAAAATAATATTTAATTATTTTATTTATTTATATAGAATTAAATTTCTAAATTAAAAAAAATATTAATGAATAATTAACAACACATAAAACATATATTTAACAAAAAAATGTTATATTATACTTATAATAATATATATCAATTCAAATTAACTAATTATTGTTTGATGAACATCAAATTGTCCAAAACATCAAATTCTATTTTTAATGTTTTATCAATTTTAAATTAATCAAATATTTATTAGAGTTTGCTAATTTACTCTTATAATTAAGATTTTAGTTGTTATTAAGCTATTAAATTTTCTTAAAAGTTTTTGAATTCTTCTAGCTTTAAAACTAATTTTTTTTCTTAATTTCCTAGAGCTTCAAGCTTTTCTAATGAGAGCATGAATTGTTCGCTTGAAACGATTTCATTTTAACTTATTTAGTTTAAAATTTACTTTCTTGATTTTTAGAAGATTTTTATAGCTTTTGTAATCAAATCCTTTAAAGTATTTTCTTTACAAATTAAATCACAGAGTTTTTATATTTGAGTTTCTTTATCTAGCTTTTAATGAATGTAACCAATAAAATCATATCTCTAATAAATTTTTTAATGGTTATAATTCAATTGATTGTTTTGATTTGAATAAATATTTAGATTTTTTAGTTCTTATGTAACTATTTATTTTTCTTCTCTTTTTTTTTGATAAAAATTATTCTCATTTTATGTGTCTTTTTCTAAATAGTTTACTTTTATTTAATATCTTTTACTCCTCAAAAAATATAAACTCTATAAATGGTGTTACTTAGTATTTTTTAAGAGTATTTGAAGACTTCTTAAATATTTATTGTCTAATAAGTAGATTAGTGTATTAAAATATCGACTCCTAAAAATATATAGTCTTTCTTGATAATTTTAAAATTGTGTTTCTATTTAATCATAAAAATAGAAACGTGATTTGTTTCTTTTTTTATCATAATTTATCATCTATTTTAGGAATTATGAAAAACCTTCCAAGAATTCATATGTAAAAGAAAAGTTATAATTTGAAAAGGCTAAGAGTGTTGCATAAACTATTATATTATTAATTTTAAACTTATTAAATGAATGAATTTCTATAATTTAAACACAATTAAAAACATTAACAAGATAATTCTAGCAAAGCATTTTATTAAAATAGTTAAGCTTTTCAGAATTTTTATTTTTATTTATAATAATTATTTGTTATTGAATATCAAAATATTCTACCTATTCCTCTAAAATATCAAGATATTCAAAATCTTCTATGGTAATATGTTTTATAAACTCACTTAAGCTGGTAAGTAATAAAAGATTCTTTATTTTTATTTAAAAGTGAATTAATTTAGGTAATTAAATTATTTAAAAATCTTACTGTTATTTTCTAGTCTCTACCTTTTATATGATGAATTATTTCTAAAGCATTTTTGCTATTATAAATCAATTAATTTTATTGTTTTGAATTAAAAAATTAAAAGATTGCTTTAGCCAAATCACAATTTAATTTCATTTACTATGGAATAAAATGAGTTAACTACCTTATATGCATCATCGAAAAAATGTACATATACCCTTCTAAGCATTCAACAAATAGATCTTTTTACTCCTTTTCTTACAATTTTTAATTAATTATAATTTAATCTTATAAATCTTCATCTTCATCTTCATCTTCATTTTATAAATCTTCTTCAAGAACCTCAATATTATCATTATCGTCATCACCAAAATTTTAACTACCAAGATTCTATTAACCCACCAAGTTCTCTTTATCTTTTAAATTCTATTACTACTATATTTCTGAGATATTGTCAGACATTAATTCTTATCCTATATTTTACAGCTCTTATTTTTAGTTAAACAAAATATTTAGTATATTAATTTTTTTTAATAAAATTTACCATTTTCACATTCAATTAAATTTCCTTGATTTTAACTTATTAATTTTTATTCCTAATTCTCTTCTTAAATGACTTATATAGAAATTTATTGATTATTACTTTATAATCCTAAATTATTCTATTATTATTAATAATTATTTAATTATAAGGAAAATTGTGTGTTAATTATTATAATTTTTTTACCTTATTTATATTAACTTCTTGTTGCTATTCAGTCTCTTCTTTCTCTTTTTAATTTAAATCCTACATTTTTTTAGAGATTACTATAAATTCTTGAACAAAAAATGTAACAAATTAATTTTATTCTCCATCATGAATTTTTGATTACAAATTTTTATTGAATTAAATAAATAGGCCATTTTTAATTATGATATATTTTAATCTAGTTAATTCATAACTATCAATTTAGAATAACTTTTTAAAATATATTTCAAAAGCTTCCTCAGCTTATTCATCATTCAACTAATTTTATTTTTTAATTAGTTCAATCTGCTTGCTAATTATGTAAGAAAATTAGGATTTCATAATAACCTTTAGTTCATTTTACAAGTACAAAATTTAAATTGACTAATTTAATTGAGTTTAATTTTCTTCATAGTTTTTTGTTTTGTAACTCTCCTTAATTTTATAAATTAGATATTAAGAATACCCGATAATAAAATCTTTCAGTACTTATGCCTTTTTAAATAAAAATAATTTACTTTGGGTTTTATTTAAATTAAGTAAAATTTTACAATTCTTTTTTTTGAAAGGAGTATAGCTTTTTATCTGTAAACAGCTTAAATATTATAATTGGAAATGATTGGGAAAAACGCAAAGAGGTTAATAACCTATTGATCTTATTCATAAAACTAAGATTTTGAATCGACAAAGTAGAAATCAGATACATTGTAGTCATCCCAAATATTTATTTAACTTTCAACTTGATTTTCAAATCTCGAACTATTAGGGCAAACATACCTGTAAATAAGTAAGTAAATACTAATTTTGAAATATGTTTTAAAATAAAGGAAACAAATATTTTACCCAAATATTGAACAAAGAGCATCTATAAATAATTTATTATCTTCCCCAAAGATTTTTTAGCTGCAGACTGAATTATTGTAGTTAATTATTAATGAAGCTAATCTAGTTATCTACTCTATTTGCTAGGTTTCAAAATCAATGAAGCAAGTTGTAAGAGATATTATTTTCATTCCATAGTAAAATTTAAATAATAATTTTTAATATTCAAAAAATCTCATAAATATTTATTTGCGTGGATATTTGTCATCTATTATTTTCATTAATTCTTGTACTGAACTCAAAAAAACATCAATGAAATTTTTTTATTCATATTTTTAGAAACATTTATACTTGATTTCTTTTATTCTTAATTTGGCAATATAACGTTGTTCTTTAATTTATTTAAATTATTACAAACCATAATTAAAATTAAATTAGTATTAAGGAATTTTTTGAACTTTTTTATCTGAATTTTGTCTAATTTTCATCAGATTTTGTTACATTAAAACATAATCATAGATTTCTTTATAACTCATATTTTCCGAATTTTATTCACAATCTTCAATTATTTCATATGAAGATTTTAATATTTCAAAATTTTTAAACTTTGACTTGGAAAATATTTAAAAATTGATTAAATGTTGATAAATTATATTCTTAAAACTTGATTTGCTCTATTTAAAGTAGTTCAAACTAAATAAGAAACGATCAGAATAGGGTTCAATTTTTCTTTCAATAAGCTTATCATATAAACCTAAAAATGTTAAATGCTTTAAGTTTAAATTTTATGAATGATATGAATTCTATTAAAAAATTTAATAATCAGTAATGATTTTATCTAAAAAATTATTGATTTTTCCACTGTTTTTATAGTTTTGAAAGGCAAAATTGGCTATGCTAAGCAATTGTAACTTTTAGTTATTAAAATACCTACTTAGCATTAACTAAATTTCATACTAATTAAAATGGCCATAAATTATAAATTGCATTAAAAATTATTAAGATGATATATTTAAGCTATAATTATTGATTAACTATTCAAATTCTATGGATAAATTTTCTATTTATTTTTTGCTCATTCTTGCAATAATTATTTGTTAAAATATATCTTAAAATGGTTCTATGAATTTTTTATGTTAGTTTGAGAAAAATTATGAATTTTCTTGCTTTTCAATAACTCTTTAAAGTTAATAAAATTTTTAATAAACACTTAATTCATTGTTAAGGAGAGAAGGATAATAATAGTTGATATTTTTTTTTAATTCCTTGTCATCAAAAGCAAAGGAAGTTTCAACCAGAGAATTATAGAGTTTATTGAAATCTTAAGCATTATTTTATACAAATAAAACAAGTTCAATATCAATCAATGGGAAACTTTCCAAAGTTATATCGAATTCTATGTAAACAGCTTTCTTTTTTTGTTATTAAATCTCATTTTGAGCTGATTTAAATTTTTCTTCTAGAATTAAAAGTAAATTGAGATAAAATATTTTAATTTCTCTGCTAATTTCTCTGATCATAATTTCTTTTTCCTCAAGTTAAATATCTTTATTTTATTTTATTTATTGAATCCTATTTTTACTTGCTTCGATTGCTAGCTCATACTCTCCAAGTGTATATTATATTTAAGAAATTGTTTTAAAATCTTCTATTTTTTCTAAAAAATATAAGCTATCCTAAAACATTTTTTTTACTTGCTTGTAAATTTGAATTTAGTTTTCACAAACAATTCTATTCATGAGATAAAGTTATTTTTCACTCTCAAACTTTTATTTATTTTGTACTATGAGCTTACTAGCATCGTCAGCTATTAGCTTTGCCTAACATCTAATTATTTTGTGATAATAAAAAATAATAGTTTGATTCAAAATTAATTACAGATGATAATTGCTCTAATCTCCAATTCTTTTAAAGAAATCTCCTGCATATTTATACTGCTTCTTTTCAAATAAAATCTGAGCTTGCTGTAAAAATTAATCAGGATTTATTTTAGGTTCATTATAAACAATATAAGATTTATGACATTCCTAATTGAAATGAAAAATATTTAAAAATGAATAAAGAGAAAAAATTTTTTATCACCATAATCAGCTTCTGCTATTCTTCAGTTAATAATTTTTCTTCAATCAAATGGTGCTTTTCGAAAAATATAGAAATTGGGTTCTTAAAGATTTTTTACTGCCCATCCAAATCTTCAAAAATAAAAACTCTTGAGCGAGCTCTACTAAAAGCTACATACAAATTTTTAATTTCTGGTATAAGTTTAGGAAACTCTTTACCATAGACTTTCTAAATATGAAATTCTAATTATTAGGTTTTCTCAACTATATTCATTTAAAATTTTTAAAAACAAAATATTAATTTTAATTAAATTACAATTTTCAGAGATATAATTAAGTACAGCCCAACAGCCTGTCGCTTTAAATGAACTACTGAGTAAATTATAGGTAATAACATCTTAAAACTCTAGTCCTTTTGACTCAAAGATAGTATATACTTAAAAAATTGACAGCTGCACATCTTAATCTAATATTTTTTATATTTTCTCTTTTTCTGTATCATTTTAAACTAAAAATGCTTATAAGCGATCACAAATTCCAAAATGTTTATCTAGATCACCTTTTTAATCATTTTCACTCAATTTAATGTCTTGAAATAAAAATTTTTTGAGATGATTAACATCATGGATAAGCAAAGGTTTAGGTCCCTATTTTTCTGAAATCTCTTGTTATAAGATATCAATAGAAGTTGGAAATAGAAGCTCTAATAGCCTTATTAAAGTGTTATTTATTGCTGTTATCTACTGATGGCATCTAAAATTTTTTAATAACTACTCTTCAACAAGCTACTGTTATAGTACTAAAGTAGAAGGAAAATCTTCTATCATAAATCTTTTCTGAAAGAAAGCTTTAAGCTCTGTGAATCTAAAAGCTATTTCTTAGCTTATAGTTTATGCAGTATCTCCTCCCATAAATATATTTTATTCAGTTATAATTGTAAGCAGGTAAATTATCAAGCAGTTCAGATCTTGAACCTCATCAATAAATATATAATGAAAGAATCCATCGTTTGAAAAGTATCTTTTCTAAATAAAAAATATTTTATAAGAGTGTATTAATATTATTTTTTTAGCTTACTTAAAAGATTTGTTTGAGAATGTAAATAACCTAATCATTTAGATCAAAGTACTTTTTGCTTATCTTCCATTTTTAGTACATCTGACAAATCTTATAAATATTGACTTTTTATTGATTATCTAAGTAATTTTTTGTCCTTCCAACTATATTAATATATTATTGGAGAGATATCATACCATCATGTGATAAAAAGCTCTTTAAATGCCCTAATTATGAATTTATTTTGATTAATTTATTAATTTTAGAATATAATAATTAAAAATTGAAATTAAAATTCTATTAAGTGATAGCTTTAATTTAAAAAAATATTCATTATTCATACTTAATTAAAATATTAAATTAAACAAATAAAAATAAGCTACTTAAATTTAATAAATAAATTTATGAATAATATTAGGCAAATATTTAATTCATTTTAATTTAAACTTAGAATTGATTTATTTTAAATTTTAATTATTTTTTGTTTCATAAAAAATCTCAAATTTAATAAAATAAAAGATGGGTGGATGAATCTGAAATTCTTTTAAAATAATTTTTTTAAAAGACAAGTTTTTTTAATTTTTAAATTTTGAGGTTAATGAAAAAAAATTATTTTTTAAAAAACATTTTCAAATTTTTAACAGTTTTTAAAATTTTAACGTAAAATAACTAATAGCAAATAATTAATGAAAAACTATGAAGTTTACCTGTAATATAAGAATTAATTTAAGAATAAGCAGTGAAGTAATCAACATTCAGTGTTTCTAACTATTATTTGTGCTCTTGCCAAAACTCATGTATGAACTATTAAATTCCTATTTCTTGATAAAACTCATCACCTCCTTTAATTTTTGATCTGATAAAGTTATTATTCTAGTAGCCTAAGTCATTAAGGATTCTTCCATTTGTATCTCTTTTTAAAAAAGGTATGGCTAGATTTCCGTCTATCATATTTATTAGATTTCTGACAGTTGTAAATAATGGCCATGTTTTAACATGCGAAAGAGAATGTGCTTCATAATTTTAAACATTTGAATTTGAATTTGTTATTGATCTAAAAGTTGTATGCACATCTTGTTTTAAGTAGTCAGAAATAGTGGTGAAGCATATCCTTAAATTTTTGATTGGCTGTACATCTTTTTCTTAGAATTTTTTAAAACTCATATCCATAGCTGATATTTTTAGCAAAGTGGATGTAGTTTTCCCAGTTCCTGATCTTCCTATAACAAGCGTATTCAATTTTGAGAGTAGAATTTTTTTTTCAGTTTCACTTAAATTGATCCCCTTAGGCTAGAGGAATTTTTTGTAAATATAGTTAAGACACACCTTTAGATTATGGTCTTGCTAAAACCATATTTGCTCAAATAAAGATTTGTTGCTATAGAAATTGTTATCAAATGAGCTGAATAAATCCTCTTAATTTTCCAAATCCATTAGCTTAAGAGCATTCTATTCTTCTTCTAGGTGCTTCTCGTATGCCTCAAGTATTTTTTGCTCTTCATTTTGCCTCAGCTTTTCAGCTTAATATTAAAAAATTTATTCAATATCAAACGAATTAGACATAAAATTACCTATTCTCTAGTTAAATTGTTGAGGTAATCTTTGTGTCTTCTTCTTCTTTTTAAATTAAAAAAGATTTACAAAGCCTTCATCATCATCCACATCTTCTTCTTCTTGTAAATTAATGTTTGTATCATAATACCTTAAACTATGTAAAGCTCTCTATCTCCTATTATCATCCATTTCTTAAATATATTTTTTTTTAATAAATTATTATAGAAATATTTATTGATAACAAAAAACTACTCTAATATTTAAATCATAAAATAAAGTATTATAATTATGACTATGACATCAGATAATTGTTTATAATCTACTTCTTAATATTTCATATTTATTGTAGTAGTTAGTTAAAATAGTAAACATGAAGAAATTTTTTCATGAAAATACCATAAAAATTAAAGAAAGCATCATTTTTACTAAGTATTTGTGAAATCACAATTAATTACTTTTAAAAGAACCAACATTTTTTACACCTAAATTTTGACCAATTTTATTTAATTATAAAAAACATTATTAAAAATAAAAAAATCTAAAGTCTTTTTTCATTATTATTGGCTTATTAAAGTATTTTTTAACCTACAGCTTGCTAAAAGGATAATAATAAGTTTTACTGCTAGAGATATTTTATAAGAAAAAATATATATGATAATTATGTATATTTAAAAATATCATAGTAATATATAGAAAATAAAAAGGATTAATATAGCAGTACTAATAATATCTATTTTATGTTAAATGTTTTCTTTTATAAATTTTTCAACATTTAAAACCAAAATAACTATATTTTATCTTATTTATAAAGTAATTGAGATAGAAAAAAGTAATATGATAAAGTTAGAAAGATAATTATAATGTTTATTAGCATTTATACAGTGATTTTATTGATATGAATTTGATTTTTTTTGAAATAATAAATATTTAAAATAATCAGGTATAGTACTCTGTCTAAGAATAAATATACAAGCACACAGAATTCAGCATCATTTATACATCCATTTAAAAAATATTTTTTTTTGCTTTTGAAAATATAGAAGAATTGTAGATTCGAAAGTAGTCTCATATTTAGGTAAAAATTTTTTTATTATTATATTACTTAAATTGGCTTTAATTTTCTTAATATTATAATTATGATTAAAATTATGGCTTTGACTTAATTTAATAAAAAATAATAACTTAATATTCTAATAAAAATAAAACCTTTTATTTGGCTCAAAGCTTTGATTTTAAGTGTGGTAATTAATTTAGTTTTAACTAAGATTATTTAAAAACATTTTTAGAATTATAAAATAAAAGAAAATGCTTAAGGGTTTAACTAAATAATTAATTATCAATAAAAATTTATTTTAAAAATACCACATTTATGTATAAAATAATTTAGCCAAAGCACATAAAAAATAAGAAAAAAAAAGTCATTAAATGGCAAAGAAACAGGAATATTCCTTTTACTAATATTTAATAAGAATAAAATGATATAACGCTTAATGATTTTAACTTATATTCATAAAATTTTTCAACAAAATTTTTTAATTTAATAAAAAAAATATAACAAATATTGCTCAAACAAAAGTAAAGATATCTATCTGGTCTTTTGTAAATTAAAAAGTAAACATAAGATTTATAAAATTAAGGTTGTAATAAATAAATTAGAAATTAAATTTTTAGAATAGCTTTAAGTTAAAAAGGTTGAAAAAAAATAAATTTTTAAGTTACAAATATATAATATATAATAACACACATACGAATAAGGTTTTTTATTTTATATTTAAATAATAAAATCAATAAAGAGAATTGATTTATTCTGATATAAATTTCTGTATATCCAATTTTTCTTTTTCTATAATATCCAATGGTTCTGATGTGTAATCTAAATAATTAGTATATACTTTTTCCATTTAATCAATGTAGTTTATTGAATGTTTCTCTACATCATTCTAAAATTCTTAAATATTCTCTATATTTTGCTGAGCTTAAATCATGTTCCTATAAAATTGCTTCTCATCTATCATTAAACTATTCAACTTTTAAATAATGTAGATATATTTTTCGCTTGATCTTTTTTTATTATTGGTTAGCTCCTATAAAAATATTTTACGGACTTTTTAAACTTAAATTATTGCTTTTAAGAATTTTTCTTCAAATAATTCCAATTATTATTAAGTTTCCTATTTAAATAGACATATAGTTGGTTGATTGTAATAAATTACCTAGCTTATAAACATAACAAAATCTTGTTTATAAAAGATATTTATGTAATTCTATTCTGTTAAATCCTCATTATTGTTTGCGTTTAAATTATTTCTAATTCTAATAATTTGAGATTTTATTTGGTTTTCTTCTTCTATAAGACTACTGCTTATCACTTCTTGTTATTTTTCTAATTTTTATATTTACAACTCACAAGAGATATTTTAAATATTCTTAAAGTTTATCAAAACATGTTATATTTCAGCATATCTAATTGATTAAATGAATTCAATAATATCATATTGTATTGTATTATTTTAATTGTCTTTCGTTTAAGAATTAGCAGCTTGCTCAGCCAGATGTAAAAATGTCTTATGGAATTTCAAGCTAAAAAGTTTATATAAATATTATTTTTAATTTAAATCATCTTCTTTATAAGCGTTGTAAGAAAAATCTGAATATTCTTCGGCATTTTTAAATGGTCTATACTTGTTATTTTTTAACTATCCAAATCTTTATGTGAAATAATTTAAGAATGAGTGAATTTTTTTAACAAAATCTTTTTAGTAAAGTATCTCAGTTTGTTTTTTTAAAAACAGAATCAAAATTTGTAAAATCATATTAAAAATTGAAATTTAACGATTTATTGCTAGTTAAAAAGTACCTACCAAGTCTAAAATTCCATTAATATATAAATATATCAATCTATAATCAATGTCAGTACTATAAGTTTTCACCTTTATATACATTTATGATAATGAATCTTTTTGCTGTTTAGTTTAAAAATCGAAGCTAAAACAATTTTCGAATCCAAAAGGGATAGAAACTTTTATTTTATCTACATTTTCAAGTGAGTTTAATAACAAATATACTTCAGCTAGTCCAATTTTAAAAATATTCATCTATTTTTTAAAAATAAACATTTTTAAAAATTAAAATAAATAAATGGTCTTAAAAAAAAGGTAAAAATCAATAAAAAAATTTACTTAAGTTAAGGTATTGATATTTTATCTAAACATTAAGATTAATTAATTTGATAATAAGCCTATATTAATTCTATCAAAGACATTTCTTGATTCGAAAAATTGTAAGCACATTTAAGTAAACTAATTTAATTGATTATTTTCATAGCCCTTGAAAAGATCTCTTAAAACTGATCTCTAATTATTCATATTCAGAATTGTGATTGCATATAATATATCGTCGCATGATTTGAGAATGCTTTCTGCTTCATTTTAAACTTCATCCTCTTTTTCATCTACTTCTTAATACTCTCCATCTTCTTTACTTTATTGTTATTACAATTTAGGCTCCATATCATCTAAATCACTTTACTCATTCTAATTTTGAGATTTTTTTTCAAAATATACTTAATTTTTTTGGCTATTCTATTTTCTTAAAGTTGAAAATTATTTTTCAAACTACTCTTTATATTTTTAATTTTAATCCTCTAATTACTTTTTCAAATTTTCAAAAGATTAATCTATTTCATTTTAATTATCTTATTTTTCAATTTTATTTAAGATAGAAGCAAGGGTATTTGATGCCTCATTTAATAAATATTGTTAAATTTCATCTCTTTCCACTTAATAGTTTTTGTTATATAAAAAGCTGTTAATTACTAAACCTTATTAAATGATATTATTTTTGCATTAATATATTTGAGAATCCTCTAACAACCTTATCTTTTTTAAAATCATTTTATTTTTTTAGTAATCTCTCTTTTAATTATTTATTTTTCTGTTAAATAATTATTTTAAATTTTCTAGTTTTTATTTATTTTGATTTATTTAATCGCTATTTTCAATTTAATCTATTAAATTTTTAATAGATTATATTTCATGCTCTCTTGTATGCTTTTTTGGAATATTTTATTCAAGAATACTAATTTGCAGATTAGTTTTTTCTATAAATTATTGTAAGCAGTCATTTAAATAAAGTATTTAGAATGGATATTTGATTTTGCTCTAAGGATCAAGCTACTTATAATATATTTCCTTCGTTTAACTGATTAAGAAAATAGAGTATCTATTCAAGAAATCAGTGCAATATTAACCCTTTTGATAAATAAAAATATATGTTACTTTAAATATTTTATAAAATCTTACAAATTATTTTTTAGAAAGCATAACAGCAGTTTTTTTTTCTATAATTTTTATTTTAGAGTAGGCTGATGAGATAATTGGTGAGATAAGTCTACTTTTTTCAACTATTGATTCATTTAAATAAGGATTATCTTCATTTACTAAGTAATAATCATTGTATCCTATGAGCTACCACAAATTTTTGAAATTATAATCGAATATTTCTTATCCAGGTAAATAAGGACTAATAAACCTAAATATTTTTAAATAAATTTATTTTTATTTTTAAATTTACTGAAATAATAATTTAAATAAATTCAGTAAAAGCTATTTAATACAATAATATTGTTTATCATATGAAAAAAATATTTACCCAAAGCATGAGCAGAATGCGTCCTAAAATATGCCATTAAGTTCACCAAATAAAGAACTTTCAAATAATAAATAATTAAAGTTAAAGAAAAATCTAATTAGATTTGTGAATTCTATGATTAAATCATTTTCTAATAGCTCCATATTGTAAGTTTTCAACTTTTTAAGGCAAAAAAAGAAACTTAATAATAAATCTTAACATTTAATAAACTTTTCTATCGGATTGTCTGAAATTATTTATTTTTTATTAATCAAATCAATAATGTCATTAATAATATTTTTTAAAATCTCATTTAATTATGTATTTTATAAAACATTAGTAACTTATCTATAGTAAGTAATATTCTTTATATGGTATTTATTTTTCTTCTTAAACAGCTAATTTTTAGCTATTGCTGATTAAACGTAGAAAATTTAATCATAAAATTTATCGAATTTTTTATACTAACCATAATTTCTAAGTTAAAATGTAAAGTTTTAATATTAATGAAAGTTTGAGGAGCAGGCAACTAGATTTCTATTTTTTAATTCGTCATACAAACCAAGATATGCATAATAATATTAGTAGACTTAACTAATTTATTTTTCTTTTCCAGATTACAGCCAGGTTAATTATTTCATTTCATCGAATTTATTTTAAATTTTTTATGGATAATCCTTATTTTGAAGTATTTAATCAACAAAAATTTAATGTGAAAGTTCTTATTACTACAATATGTCATTAAATTTCTTCTATTACTCTAAGCAATCGAATTAAATTAACATTAAATAGAATAACATAAGATTCTCACCATTGATGTATTATTATTATTCATCTAATTATTTGAGTTAATAAGTATTTGACAACTAATTAAAAAACTTCAATTATTCCTAAAAGAATTCCATGTTTTATCTACTTTTAGCTATTCTGATAAACTCTTACTTAAAAGGAATAATTAATTACTGAATTAATTCAATTAATACTTTTCCTAAAATTGTTTTAGAGTTATTTAACACCTTTTGTTATTTTCCATCTGTATCTATTTGCATAATCTACTGCAGCTTAATATCTAATATTTTAGGGTAATAATAATGCAATATGTGAATTAGGTCTTCCTTTTCTATAAGATTATTTTCTTTGAATTTAATTAAGTTATTAAATAGCTTTTCGTAATCATTTAGTCTAAATGATAAATAAAGTTGAACTTTTGTATCTTAAATTCCATCTTTTTCTAAAAAGTTCTCAAGCTCTTTGTAATTCTATTCCAAAGCATTTTAATTATTGATGTATTATTCTAGAAGGTTTGCCTTTAGGAAATAAATGTGTTTGATATTACGATCGACTTCTTTGATTTTGCTGTGATCTTAATTCAAATTAGAAGGATCCAATAACACATTTTTAAACTCTTTGTAATTTTAGAGCGCTTCATTGTACATTCCGAGTTTAAAATAAACTTAAGCTTTTAGTTCGAATTCTTATGACCCCTTTAAATTTTCAATAGCTTCAAGAAGATCATTTTTTATGCTTTAATAAAAAACTAAGTTTTTGATTTCTACTTATCCTTCAAGCATTTGTTTTTTTTCCTTTTCAAATTATTCCTTTTTATCTTCAATTTTTTTTTAAACTTCAAAAATTTTATTCTTTCCAATGCAGCTATAATTTAAAAAATAAAGTATTTTAAAATAAAAAAATATTTTATAAATTTACATTCTTTTATTTAATTCGTCTCCTACTGTATCATAATAATAAGCAGCATCTAAGAATTGTTTTCTTTCTTTAAGCATCTCAGCCATAGAAATGAATTATTATTTATTGTTTTTTATTGGCTCGTGTTTTTTTATGTAATCCAAATGTTTTTTCTATTTTTAAAAATTAAATTTCAAATTTAGAGTTTGTGAGTAAGTTATTTACTGTTTCTAAAATTTAAAATCTTATATTTCTAATCAAAAATCAAATAAATAATTTAATTTGTATTTAAAATAAAGATAGATCAATTTTCAAAAAACAAGAATATTTATTTTGTTTAGAAAAAAGCTTAATTAAAAATTCAATAAATTAATTAATTACCATTATTTTTTCTATTAATTCTTCATTTAATTCTTCTACTTCTATAATTCTTAGATCTTCTAAGAATTTAATTATTGGATTTTTGATTTACTTTCCAACAAAAATATTTTCTTCATATATAAATATTCTGGATCTTGCTCTACTAAATGTGACATAGATATTTTTTAACTCATTTATTAGTTTGCTAAAATCTTAAGCGTATTCTTTCTTGATTTAGGCATCAGTATTCTCTTATTTAGAAATGATTTTCATATTGACAAAATTAGATCCTTTAGTTCTACTAAATGTTGAACCTTCAAATTCCTCTTTCATTTAGCCTTTTTAATATTAAAATCATTAAATTTAATATAAAATCAATATTATTTACAATGATATTTCAATTTAAAATCTTCAATAGGTATTTTATCATCACTTATTTTCAATAAATTTAAGGCATTCCAACATTTGGTAGAATTGAAGGAAGAAGATAATAGTTTATAAACTATTACATCCTAAAATTCTAACCCTTTCGATTCAAGAACAGTGAATATCTATCCTTTTTTACCTTCTTTTTGCAATAATTACTTTAAGCTAGCTTTTTCTTCTTAGTTCTTCACTATATAAACTTATAGTCTACCAAAATAATCAACATTTTCATTTATATCAGAATCTTATGATAAAAAATTATATAGATGCTCTCTTTTATCTAGTAAAATTGGTTTTGGGCCCTTATTAAATGAAATTTCGGGGTTAAGAATATCCAAAGATGTAGGGAAAAATATCCTCAAAAGCTCCACAATCGCATTGTTTAACTCTATTATCTATCCATGTGATCTAAAATTTTGTATTAATTAAGTTTCATTTAATTCTGAAGTTAAAACTTAGTTTGCTTAATAATGATCATCCTTATTATTCTCAGAAAATATGGCCTTTAAATCAGCAAATTTAAAGGAATTCTCTTAACTTATAGTTTATGCTGTATCTCCGCCAAGGTAAACGTTTTATTCAGTCAATAAACAGAGCAAATACAAGCAGGCGCAATTGAGATCTTGAACTTCATCAACGAACAAGTAATGAAAATATCCATTTTCTGAATTATAATTACCCTATTATCAAATAAATTAATATAAAAGATGTATATTTTATTATATTAAAATTAAAATTTACTTCAAGAATATTTTTAATAATGTAATTTATGACATCATTTAAATCGAAATATTTTTTTGAATACTTCCATTTTTAATACTCTTTGCAGATTTGATATATGCCCATTTTTTATTCTTAGTCTAAGTCGGTTTTGTTTTTTCCTACTAAGTTTAAGTACTTCTCTTCAGGTATCATGTTGTCCTCATTTTAATAGCTTGCCTAATTTCCTTTTTAAATAAAAATTAAAATAAATTTCAAAATTGTAAAACAAACCAATAATTAATTTATTTTATTCTTAAGTAATTATAAAATTATTAAATTAATAAATTACCTGTAATGTAAGAGTTGATTTAAGAAAAAGCTACATAAGGATCTATTTTTCGTTAATCAAAACTTTTTTTATTAGATTACCAAAACTCTTCAACAAACTATCTAATACCAATTTCTGAATATAAATTATTATTTATCTCATCTTTCAATTTCACAATTAAACGATTTTCTAAATTAATCTCCATGTTTTATGCCTAAATTATTTTTCCAGTGTCGTCTCTCTATATAAATGGTACCGCTAAATTTCCGTCTATTTATAGAATTAATTCTTTTAAATTTGTAAAATGAGGCCATTTCCTAATTTAACAAAGCATATTTGGCTTTGAGAAGGCTCTGCGCTAAGGTTAGTTCATTATCCTTAGAAAAAAGTTTTCTACATCTAGAGTTAGGAAATTAGATATTGTTGTAAAGCAAATTCTAAGCTCTTCTGATTCTTATGAATCTTAATTACTTTACTATGCCTTCTCATAGCCCATTTGCATAGAAGTTAGCTTTACAACTGCTGTTGTTGTTTTACCAGTACCTGAACGCCCAATTATAAGTTGATTTTAGTTGCACAAGGTGATGCTAATTTCTTTTTCACTCAAGTTTACTTAAATTGGCTTCAAAATTTTTTCAGATATCATGTCTACTTGAGCCTTTAAATTATTTTCAGAATCTTCCCATAGAGTATTAAAATTACTATTATTATTGTAAAAAGATTCTTCTAATTTTGATAATAGCCTTTCATTTTTTTGAAATTATTCTTTTCTATTTTCAAAAAACTACTATTTCTCAGTAATTTGTTCTTTTTAATGTTTTTTCATTTCTTAGTTGGCTTCTAGCTTTTATCCTAAAAGTAAATTAACAAATATTTAGCAAAAGAATTAAATTATAAAATATTTTACCAATTTTTTGAGAAGGTATATTTTTTTTCTCAATAACATATTTCTTATTATAATCCCTTTTTTTCTATCTATCTTCTTATTCTTTTGCTAGCCTTAAATATTTTAAACTCTCTTCATGATAGTAGCTCTAGTCATCTTGATCAAATATCATATTTCCTACAATGTCTTACTTTAATTCCTACTCTTCTTACACTTTTTCATAGTTGCTAATACATCTTTTAATAAAATATTTTTAATATCATCAAGAGTTTAAAATTTTACTCTTAGAGGTTTTCAAATTTGATTGTTGTGCTTTTGTCTTGCTACTAATCTCGCTTTTCTAATAATAATTCGAAATTTAAAGAATTTAATAAGATAAATATAAATCTACTTTATTTTTATGATTTATTCTGGTATTAAACCTTTCCGTTTTAGACTTAATTTTTTGAATTAAACATGGTATCTTTTATTTTATATTTGATAAATTGTTATCATTATTAAATTAATTATATCTTTCATTACTATGCTTCAATTTATAAACAAAAAAGTTGATTAATTTCTGATAATGAAATAGAATCCACACATATGATAAAATAAAAGTATTTTATTTTTTAATGATATCATTTCTTTTCCCCCTTAAAATATAAAAAAATATAAAGATAAAAGATGTCAACAAAATTCATTTTATTTAAAAATATTAGCTATTGTGCTTATAAAATAATTTCGAGTATCTATGAACAAAATTTGTTTATCATATTTAATCAATCCATAATGATATATAAATAATAGTGCAAATATTATGTTCAGATTAGGTTATCTAAAAACTAAATTAGAAAGCTGCGCATTTATTTCCAAAGTATATATTTTTAAAATGCTGTCTGAATTTCGAACACTATCTATTTTACTACATTTAGTTAAATATTTTAAAGATTAAATTTATTTTAAATCTTAATAAATATATTTTATTTGTAGCATTTTTGTTGATGATTTGTTAAAAATCACTCTTCCTTTTTACATTTAAAAGATTTATTAATCGTATTTAGGTAAATAAGAAAAAATTAATCAATAACATTTAAGATAAAAAAATTACATTTAGTATTCATGGACGCTATTCAGCCGATAGTGACAATTAACAAATCATAAAGAAGAGAACACATTTTTTATCAATATAAAACATTTAATTCATATTTAGGTAAAATTTGCTATTTAACTAATCATATAAAATAAAAGAAAACTCTTTTATTCATATTTAGGTAAAAAATAGTACCTAAATAATAATACGTAAAATTAAAATAAAAGATATATGACGTATATTTAATTAAAGATTGATTTTTAAAGTGTATTATTTATAATTCATTTTTATGTAAAAATTAATAGTTGATTAATCATTTATTTATAAAACACAAAATTAAAATCAAGATTCGTATGGAAGTAAAAATTAATAATTAACAAAATTATAATTATTGCGTCTCTTATTAAATAAAAATATTTTTAAAACTATAATTAAAGAGAAAATTAGAAAATAAATCATCCTTTTTCTTCTTAATTAATAACCCACCCTAACAATTTTTTCTAAAACTTTCGATTAGATTTTTTTTCTAAAAATACTAGTAATAGGCCGAAAAAATAATTTAAGTATTTATGAACTATATTTGTTTTTCATATTTAATCTATCGATAATGAGATATAAATAATACTGCAAATATTATGTTCAGATTAGATTATTTAAAAACAGAAAGCTATGCATTTATTTATATCGAAAGAATAGATTATTAAAATGCTATCTGAATTTCCTTAAATATATATTTTACAACTTTTAGTTAAATATTTTGATGATTAAATTTATTTTAAATTTTAATAAATATATTTTATTTGTAGCATTTTTGTTGATAATTTGTTAAAAAATCACTCTTCATTTTTACATTTTGTACTTACTATAAAAGATTTATCAATCATTTTTCAGTAAATTAGATAAATTAATCAGTCACATTTTAGATAAAAAAATTAAAATTAGTATGCATGTACGCTATTAAGGTAATAATGATAACTAACAGATCATAAAGAAGACAACAAATTTATAATCAATATAAAACATTAAAGATCATATTTAAGTAAAATTTAATAATTAACTAATCATATTAAAATAAAATTATATTCTTTTATTTATGTAAATAGTTGTACCAAAATAATAATACATAAATTTAATATAAAAGATTTATGACGTATATTTAATTAAAGACTGATTTTTTTAATTGTATTAATTTTTATTGATTTTTATGTGAAAATTAAAGTTGATTTATCATAAAACACAAAATTAAAATTGTGATTCATGTTGAAGTAAAAATTAATAATTAACAAAATTTTAATTATTATGTCACTTTTATTTAATAAATATATTTTTAATATGATAATTAATGAGAGAAAATTAGAAAAATAAGTAATCTATTTTCTCCTTAATTAATAACCCACAAAACAAGTTTTTCCAAAACTTTCGATTATTAAAAAATTTTAATTTTTTTTGTTTATTCATGTAGGTCCGAAACATATTTCAAAATATTTATTGTACTATTAAATATATATTTCATTGTTAAAAAGGTTGAAAAAAAATAAATATTTAAGATAAAAATATGTAATGTTGAATAATATACGAATAAGGCTTTTTATTTTGTATTTAAATAATAAAATCAATAAATAGAATTGATTTATTCTTATATAAATTTGTGTATATCCAATCTTTCTTTTTCTATTTTTTCAAATGGTTCTGTTATGTAATCCAAATAATTAGAATATACTTTTTCCATTTAATTAATGTAGTCTATTGAAAGTTTCTATACATAATTCTTAAATTCTTAACTTTTGTCTATTTTTTCCTCAGCTAAAATCATTTACCTATAAAATTCCTGCTCTTTTATCATTAAATTATTCAATTTTTAAATAATGTAGATATATTTTTCGCTTGAGCTGAATTTATTTAAACTTAGCTCCTATAAAAATATTTTACGGACTTTTTAAACTTAAATTATTGCTTTTAAGTATATTTCTTCAAATAGTTGTAACTATTATTAAAATTCCTATTTAAATAGATGTTAAGTTTTTTTATTATAAAAGATTACTTGGCTTATAAAAATAACAAAATCTTGTTTATAAAATATATTTATGTAATCCTATTCTGTTAAATCCTCGTTATTGCTTGAGTTTAAATCATTTCTAATTCTAATAATGTGTGATCTTATTTCATTTTCTTCATCTATTAGATTACTGCTTATTACTTCCTCTTATTTTTCTAATATTTCTATTTACAACTCACATTAGATACTTTAATAATTTTCAAAGATAATCAAAATGAATTATATTTCACTATATCTAATTGAATTAATGAAGCCAATTAAGTCATATGGCTTTTTATTATTTTAATCATTTTTAGTTTAAGGATTAGCAGCTTGCTCAGCTAGATATAAAAATGTTTTATGGAATTTCTAGCTAAAAAGGAAATATGAATGTTGTTTTTTTAATTAATTTTCTTCTTTGTAAGCTTAATTAGAATGCTGTGAATATTATTCCGAATTTTCAAATGGTTACTAATCGTTATTTTTTAATAACTTAATATTTTAAGAGAAATAATTTAAGAATGTGTAAATTTTTTTAGCAAACTCTTTTTAGTAAATTATCTCAGTTTTTTTTTTTAAAAAGAAAATCAAAATTTGTAAAATCATATTAAAAAATGAAATTTAATCATTTATTGTTAGTTTTAAAGTACCTACCAAGTCTAAAATGGCATTAATATATGAATATACCAATTTATAATCAATATCAGTGCTATAAGTTTTCACTTTTATATAAATTATATTTTTATTTTTATCATGTTTTTCTTGTTAATTTTTAAATTATTCTTGAGTTTAACTATGATAACTAAAACAGTTTTCGAATCCATAGGGGATAGAAACATTTATTTTACCTGGAATTTCAGTTATATTTAATAACAAATATACTTCAGCTAGTCCAATCTTAAAAATATTAATCTATATTTTAAAAATAAGTATTTTAAATAAATTAAAAATTGGTATTTTTTGCAAAAAGATAAAAATCATAAAAAATATTTACTTAAGTTAAGGTATTAATATTTTATTTAAACATTAAGAGTAATTAATTAGATAATAATCCAATATTAATTCTATCATAGACATTTCTTGATTGAAAAAATTATAAGCACATTTAAGTAAATTAGCTTAACTAATTATTTTCATAACCCTTGAAAAGATCTCTTAAAACTGATCTCTAATTACACATATTAAGTATAGTGATTGCATATAATATATCATCGCATGATTTGAGAATACTTTCTGATTCATTTTAAATTTCTTCCTATGTTTCATTTAAACCTTAATACTCTCCTTCTTCTTTACTTTATTGTTACTACAATTTAATTTCTTTATCATCAAAATTATTTTCCAAATTTTTAGATTAAATGTCTTTATCATCTTATTTTTCTTTGATATTCTCTTTTTTTTCAATTAAAAATTATTTATCAAACTACTCTTTATATTTTTAATTCTAATCCGCTATTTACTTTTTCAAATTTTCGAATAATTAATCTATTTCATTTTAATTATCTTATTTTTCAATTTTATTTAAGATAGAAGCAAGGGTATTTGATGCCTCATTTAATAAATATTGTTAAATTTCATCTCTTTTCACTTAAAAGTTTTTGTTATATAAAAAGCTGTTAATTACTAAACCTTATTAAATGATATTATTTTTGCATTAATATATTTGAGAATCCTCTAACAATCTTATCTTTTTTAAAATCATTTTATTTTTTTAGTTATCTCTATATTAACTCTCTATTTTATTGTTAAATAATCTTTTTAAGTTTAACAGTTTTTATTCATTTTGGTTTATTTAATTACTTTTTTCAATTTAATCTATTAAGTTTTTAATAGATTGTATTTCATGCTCTCTAGCATGTTTTTTTGGAATATTTTATTCAAGAATACTAATTTGTTGATTAATTTTTTCTATAAATTATTGTAAACAATCATTTAAATAAAGTATTTAGAATGGATATTTGATTTTGTTCTTAGGATTAAGCTACTAATAATATTTTTCATATGTTTACTTCATTAAGAAATCAGAGTATCTTTTCAAGAATTCAGTGCAATATTAACCCTTTTGATAAAAAAAAATTATTTATTTCTTTAAATATTTTATAAAATCTTACAAAGTATTTTTTAGACAGCATAACAGCAGTTTTTTTTTCTATAATTTTTAATTTAGAGAATATTGGTGATATAATTGGTGAAATAAGTCTATCTTTTTCAACTATTGATTCATCTAAATAAGGATTATCTTCATTTACTAAATAATAATCATTATATCCTATGAGCTACCATAAATGTTTAAAATCTTCATTGGATATTACTTATCCAGGTAAATAGGGACTAATAAACCTAAATAATTTGAAATAAATTTTTTTTTTAAATTTAACTGAAGAAATAGTTTGTTTGAATTAATTTCTTAAAAACTATGAATTATTTATTATAATAATTAGAGTTTATTATTTTATTTGTGATAAAAATATTTACCCAAAGCATGAGCAGAATGCGTCCTAAAATATGCCATTAAGTTCACCAAATAAAGAACTTTCAAATAATAAATAATTAAAGTTAAAGAAAAATCTAATCAGATTTGTGAATTCTATGATAAAATCATTTTCTAATAGTTACATTTTTGAATTTTTCAACTTTTTAAGGCAAAAAAAGAAACTTAAGAATAAATCTTAACATTTAATAAACTTTTCTATTGGATTGTTTGAAATTATATTTTTTTTTTTAATCAAATCAAATATATCTTTGAAAATATTTTTTAGAATCTTATTTAATTCTGGATTTTATAAAACTCTATTAACATTTTTATAGTTAGTCATATTAATAGTATGTTATTTATTTTTCTTCTTAAACAACTATCCTTTAGAAATTTCTGACTAAACATAGAAAATTTAATCATATAAGTTATTGAATTTTTTATACTAATCCTACCTTCTTAGTTAAATTAGTTAGAACGTAAAGTTTTAATATTAATGAAAGTTTGAGGAGCAGGTAACTAGATTTCTATTTTTTAATTCGTCATACAAACCTAGATATGCATAATAATATTAGTAAGATATACTAATTTCTTTTTATTTTCCAGATAAAAGCCAGGTTAATTATTTCATTTCATCGAATTTATTTTATATTATTTTTTATTAATCCTTATTTTGAAGAATTTAATCAACAAAAATTTAATGTGAAAGTTCTTATTACTACAATATGTCATTAAATTTCTTCTATTACTCTAAGCAATCGAATTAAATTAGCATTATGTAGAATAACATAAGATTCTCACCATTGATGTAAAACTTATCTTTATCTAAATTTATGAGTTATTCAGTTTAAGACAACTAATTAAAAAGCTTCAATTATTCCTAAAAGAATTCCATGTTTTATCTGCTTTTAGCTATTCTAACAAACTCTTCTTTAAAAGGAATAATTAATTACTGAATTAATTTAATTAATACTTTTCCTAAAATTGTTTTAGAGTTATATATATCCTTTTTTTATTTTCCGTCTGTATCTATTTGCATAATCTACAGCAGCTTAATATCTAATATTTTAGGGTAATAATAGTGCAATATGTGAATTAGGTCTTCCTTTTCTATAAGATTATTTTCTTTGAATTTAATTAAGTTATTAAATAGCTTTTCGTAATCATTTAGTCTAAATGATAAATAGAGTTGAACTTTAGTATCTTAAATACCATCTTTTTCTAAAAAATTCTCTAGTTCTTTATAATTCTATTCTAAAGCATTTTAATTATTAATGTAAGCTTCTAGAAGATCTGCCTTTAGGAAATAAATGTGCTTAATGTTATCATCAACTTCTTTAATTTTGCTATGATCTTAATTCTAATTAGAAGACTCCAACAACAAAATTTTAAACTCTTTATAATTTTAAAGCGCTTCATTATACATTCCAAGTTTAAAATAAACTTAAGCTTTTAGTTCGAATTCTTATAACCCCTTTAAATTTTCAATAGCTTCAAGAAGATCATTTTTTATGCTTTGATAAAACACTGAGTTTTTGATATCTGCTTATCCTTGAAGCATTAGTTTTTTTTCCTTTTCAAATTAATCCTTTTTGTCTTCAATTTTTTTTTAAACTTCAAAAATTTTATTCTTTCCAATACAGCTGTAATTTAAAAATAAATTTTTTTAAAATAAAAAAAATATTTTATCAATTTACATTCTTTTATTTAATTCGTCTCCTACTGTATCATAATAATAAGCAGCATCTAAGAATTGTTTTCTTTCTATAAGCATCTCAGCCATAGAAATAAATTATTATTTATTGTTTTTTATTGGCTCATGTTTTTTTATGTAATCTAAATGGTCTTTCTATTTTTTATAATTAAAATTCAGTTAGATAGTGATCAGTAGTTTTTAGTTTCTAAAATTTAAATTTTATATTTCTGATCAAAAATCAAATAAATAGTTAAACTTTTATTTAAAATTGAATAAGTTAATTACCATAATTTTTTCTATTAATTGTTCATTTAATTCTTCTACTTTTATAACGCTTAGATCTTCTAAGAATTTAATTATAGGATTTTTGATTTACTTTCCAACAAAAATATTTTCTTCATATATAAATATTCTGGATCTTGCTCTACTAAATGTGACATAGATATTTTTTAGCTCATTTATTAGTTTGCTAAAATCTTAGGCATATTTTTTCTTGATTTAGGCTTCAGTATTTTCTTATTTAGAAATAATTTTCATCTTGACAAAATTAGATCCTTTAGTTCTACTAAAAGTTGAACCTTCAAATTCCTCTTACATTTAGCCTTTTTATTATGGAAATTGTTTAAATTTAATAGAAAATCAATGTAATTTACAATGATATTTCAATTTAAAATCTTCAATAGGTATTTCTTCTTCACTTATTTTCAGTAAATTTAAGACATTCCAACATTTGCAAAAGTAGAAGGAAGAAGATAATAGTTTATAAGCTATTACATCCTAAAATTCTAATCCCTTCGATTCAAGCACAGTGAATATCTATCCTTTTTTACCTTCTTTTTGCAATAATTACTTTAAACTAGCTTTTTCTTCTTAGTTCTTCACTATATAAACTTATAGTCTACCAAAATAATCAACATTTTCATTTATATCAGAATCTTATGATAAAAAATTATATAGATGCTCTCTTTTATTTAGTAAAATTGGCTTTGGGCCCTTATTAAATGAAATTTCGGGGTTAAGAATATCCAAAGATGTAGGGAAAAATATCCTCAAAAGCTCCACAATCGCATTGTTTAACTCTATTATCTATCCATGTGATCTAAAATTTTGTATTAATTAAGTTTCATTTAATTCTGAAGTTAAAACTTAGTTTGCTTAATAATGATCATCCTTATTATTCTCAGAAAATATGGCCTTTAAATCTGCAAATTTAAAACAATTTTCTTAACTAATAGTTTATGCTGTATCGCCGCCAAGATAAACGTTTTATTCAGTCAATAAACAGAGCAAATACAAGCTGGCGCAGTTGAGATCTTGAACTTCATCAACAAACAAATAATGGAAATATCCGTTTACTGAATCATAATTACCCTATTATAAAATACATTAAAATAAAAGATGAATATTTTATCAAGTTAAAATTTACTCCAATAATATTTTTGATAATGTAATTTATCACATCATTAAAATCGAAATATTTTTTTGAATACTTCCATTATTAATATTCTTTGCAGATCTGATATATGATCATTTTTTATTCTTATTCTAAATCGGTTTTGCTTTTTCCTACTAAGTTTAAGTACTTCTCTTCAGATATCATGTTGTCCTCATTTTAATGGCTTGCCTAATTTCCTTTTTTAAATAAAAATTAAAATAAATTTCAATATTTGAACTAATAAACAATTCATCTTATTCTTAAGTAAATATAAAATTATTAAATCAATAAATTACCAGTTATATATGAGTTGATTTATGAAAAAGCTACATAAGGATCTACTTTTCCTTAATCAAAACTTTTTTTATTTGATTACCAAAACTCATCAACAAACTATCTAACACCAATTTCTGAATATAAATTATTATCTATCTCATCTTTCAATTTTACAATTAAACGATTTTCTAAATTAATCTCCATATTTTATGCTTAAATTATTTTTCCAATATCGTCTCTCTATATAAATGGTACTGCTAAATTTCCATCTATTTATAGAATTAGTTCTTTTAAGTTTGTAAAATGAGGCCATTTCTTAATTTGAGAAAGCGTATTTGGTTTTGAGAAGCTTATGAGCTTAGATTTGTTCATTATCCTTAGAAAAAAATTTTCTACATCTAGAGTTAGGAAATTAGATATTGTTGTAAAGCAAATTCTGAGCTCTTCTGATTTTTATGAATTTTTATTACTTTACTATGCCTTGTCATAGCCCATTTGCATAGAAGTTAGCTTTACAACTGCTGTTGTTGTTTTACCAGTACCTGAACGCCCGATGATAAGCTGATTTTAGTTACACAAGGTAATACTAATTTCTTTTTAACTCAAGTTTACTTAAATTGGCTTCAAAATGTTTTCAGATATCATATCTACTTGAGCCTTTAAATTATTTTCAGAATTTTCCCAGAGAGTATTAAAGTTACTTTTATTATTCTAAAAAGAATCTTCTAATTTTGATAATAGACTTTCATTTTTTTGAAATTATTCTTTTCTCTTTTCAAAAAACCTCTATTTCTCAGTAATTTATTATTTTTATTGTTTTTTTACTTCTTGATTGGCTTCTAGCTTTTTTCCTAAAAGTAAATTAATTAATACTTTACAAAAGCATTAAATTATAAAATATTTTACCAATTTTTTTAGAAAGTATAACTTTTTACTCAATAACATATTTCTTATTGCAATCCTTTTTTTTCTGTCTATCTTCTTATATTTTTGCATACATTAAATATTTTAAAGTTTCTTCCTGTAAGTGGTTCTAGTCATCTTGACCAAACATCATATTTTCTTAAATATTTTGCTTAAATTCTTCATTTTCATATCTTTTTCCAGAGTTGATAATATATCTTTTAATAAAATATTTTTAATATCATCAAGAGTTTAAAATTTTACTCTTAGAGGTTTTCAAATTTAATTGTTGTGCTTTTGTCTTGCTACTAATCTCGCTTTTCTAATAATAATTCGAAATTTATAAAATTTAATAAGATAAAAATAAATCTACTTTCTTTTTATGATTTACTTTGTTATTAAACCTTTCTTTAATTTTACATTGTATTTTCCATTTTATAAATTGCTTTTTTAATTAAATTAATTATATCTTTCCTTATTATGTCTGTATTCTTAAATAAAAAGTTGATTAATTTCTGATAATTAAATAAAATCAACAAATACTACAAAATAAAAGTATTTTATTTATGAATTACGTCATATTTCTTTTCCTTAAAATATAAAGATAAAAGATATCAACAAAATTTATTTTATTTAAAAATATTAACTACTGTGCTTATAAAATGATTTCGAGTATCTATGAGCTATATTTGTATTTCAATATATAATCAATCCATGATGTGATATAAATAATACTGTAAATATTATCTTCAGATTAGATTATCTAGCTAACTAAATCAGAAAGCTACACATTTATATCCCAAAAAAAGTTTTATTAAAATACTGTCTGAATTTCATAAACTACTTATTTTTTCTACTTTAAGTTAAATATTTTAAAAATAAAATATCTTTGAAATCTTAGTAACTATATTTTATTTGTAGTATTTTTGTTAATGTATTGTTAAAAAATCATTCTTCATTTTTACATTTTTTTAGTATAAAAGATTTATGAATCTTATTTATGTAAATAAGAAAAAAATTAATTGATCACCTATCAGACAATAAAATTTCGATTAGTATTTATGGTCACTATTTAGGTAAAGTGTTAATTAATAAATCATAAAGAAGACAACAAATTTATAGTAAATATAAAACATTAAATTTCATATTTGGGTAAAATTTAATAATTAACTAATCACAAAGTAGAATTGTTAAGAGCTGTTTACACAGGTAATAGTAATCTTTTGAAAAAATTAGTTTAGTCAAAAGCAAAGAGAGAAAATTAGAAAAATAAATAATCTTATTTCTCCTTAATTAATAACCCACCTAACAAATTTTTCCACTTTTTATTATTAATTTGACTCAAATATTTTAAAAAATGTTTGAGTATTAATATTAATATAAAAGAAATACAACAATAAATTGTAAATTTTTTATTTATTTTATAAATTATAATATATGCATTTAAATAAAAATATTTTGAATTTTAAGTACAAACAACTAAATTAGTTTTCTTAACATAATAATGAATATGATATTGATTATTAAGGTATAATCTTTAATAATATTAGTTCAGAGACAATCTATTATTTTATATATATTCATTTATATTTACATTTTTATTTAATTAAAACTCTTTTTGAAAAAATATTTTTCACAATAATTATCCGATAATAGCTATATGTTTTACCCCATTATAATCTCATAAATTATATAAAATTAAGGTAAATTTTTGAACCAATTAATATAATGATATAATTTATTAGATCATTAATTTTTTACAAATATTTTTTAATAAATAAATAAATATTTTTCACTTTTTTTATCAAATTTTTAATTTGTATTTGATATTTAATCAATCCATAATGAGATATAAATAATACTGCAAATATTATGTTCAGATTAGATTTTTAAAAACATCAGAAAGCTATGATTTATATCCAAATAATAGATTATTAAAATGCTGTCTGAATTACATTTACTTTCTATTTTACTACTTTTAGTTAAATATTTAGATGATTAAATTTATTTTAAATTTTAATAAATATATTTTATTTGTAGCATTTTTGTTGATAATTTGTTAAAAAATAACTCTTCATTTTTACATTTTGTACTTACTATAAAAGATTTATCAATTGTATTTTGGAAAGTAATAAAAAATTAATCAATCACATTTAAGATAAAAAAATTAAAATTAGTATGTATTTACACTATTAAGGTAAGTAAGTTAACTAACCAACTAACAGATCATAAACAAGACAAATAATATAAAAATAAAATTATATTCTTTTAATAATATTTATGTATAGATGTACCAAAACAATAATACGTAAATTTAATATACAAGATTTATGAAGTAAATTTAATTAAAAATTGATTATTTTAATAGTATTATTTATAATTGATTTTTAAGTGAAAATTAAAAGTTGATTAATCATAAAACTCAAAATTAAAATAGTGATTAATATTGAAGTAAAAATTAATAATTAACAAATTTATAATTATTATGTCACTCTTATTTAATTAAAATATTTTTAATATGATAATTAAAGAGAGAAAATTCGAAAAATAAGTCATCTATTTTCTCCTTAATTAATAACCCACAAAACAAGTATTTCCAAAACTTTCTACTTTTAATCGGTATGTTTATCCTACTATTTTATTAGTTCTTATAAAAAGTTAACCTATTATTACAGTAGATATTTATCTTTAAAAAAGAGTAATATTTTTTACCTTGAAATAAATTTTTAACTTGCTTCTATTTCTTTTAAAAAAAATAGATTATGGAATATCTTTTCTCTATTCTTACTATCTCATAAATGTGTTTTACCCCATTAGAGCATTTTATTAAATTCTTTTTTTCTAATTTAAAAATTTAAGTATTACAATATAGTACATTTGAGAATAAAAACGAATTTGATTTGAATTATAGACTGTTTATCTATTTTTTATTTACTTATTTTTTCTTCTAAATCATTAACATTTTAATTTAAATTTTCTTATTATATATTCTTCCATTTTTTAGTAACCTTTGTGATAGATAATACACAAGATTTGTTTTGAATTCAGCAAATAAAAAGGAAGAATAATTTATTTTTATTATTTCTATTAATCGAAAGTATTAATATTAATAAGCTGTCCTTCTTCAATCTATTTTATCAACATATTTTTATAGTCCTTAAGCATAATATTTTACATTTTTCTCAATATTCTCAGGTTTACTTTTAGATTTTAAATATTCATTAGATGTAATTTTTCTTCTATTATCTGATGTTTTAGTAATATTATAATCAGAATATATATTCTTTTTCTCTTTTACTGCTTAATAGTTACAAATTTACTTTTTATCTAAATTTATACAATATTAAATAGATTTTTTTTAAAAATTATATTTATTTTGGATAAATTAGAATGATTTTCTTAATTTTAAAATTATTCCAACAAACTAACCTAAACTAAAATTTTCTTCACTCTTCATAATTTCTATCCTATTTACTTAAGAAGACATATTTTTTAATTTAACTTCAACATCAATATTTACACACAAATAGTAGAATAGATATTATTTCTAATGTTACTTTAATAATTAGAATTCTTAAATATTTTTCTTTTCTTAATCTAATACTCTTTCTTATTTTTTTTCTAAATTAATTGATATAATCCTTCCATTTTTGATTTATTGAAGTAAATTGTGTTATCATTTTAACATTCATTTTATAAGAATAGAAACTAACTCATAAATTATTTAAAATTAGAGTAGATTTTTGAATCAATAAGTATAGTGATGTAATTTCTTAGATTATTATTTTTTTACAAATATTTTTTAATTAACAAAATATTTTTCATATTTTTCGTCAAATTTTTGATCTTTTTATTTATTTTTTAAAAATATATTAAAACGTATGTCGCTTGTTTTAAATTTTATCTTTTTCACAAAATATTTCTGAGCAATTTTTTCTTCTTATAATTTTTATAATTTCCATTATTTAATAAATAAAATTTTTAATTTTAAACTTCTAATTTTTCGCAAATAAATTCTATTTAATAATAGCTTAATCTATCAAAGTAAAGATTTTAGAAAATTAGAAAAGATATCCATTTTTTTTATTTTTGTGTTTATTTTTTAAATTAACCTATATCATTTTAAAGAACTTTCTTAGTTCATTTGTGAGAAAAACCTTTATATTACACAGAGGAATAGATAGATAGATAAATAATGAAATATGTAGAATTAAATCATGAGGTTTCCTTAAGGATGATTTCTGAAAATAAAGATTCAATCCACATAATCTCCATATTACTACTATAGACAACTTATTGAAAAGAGAAGAAATTGAAAATAAGCCTAAACTTAGAACATTTAAAGTCACTGAAGAGTAAATTCAAAAAAGATATCACTATATATGCTAAAGAGAGAACTAAAAATATAAAATTTTGAAACTGTATGGTTAAGAGATGAAATTAAATTTCGCGTAAAGAGTAAAGGAAAAGATACTATTTGGTTGGATTCATAAACATTCTAAGAAAAATGAAAAAAAATATCTTAAAGAAGAATTTAAATGGATTAATGGATTAGAAGTATAGGTATTTGGAGCAATTTCACTTCATCGTCCTTGGATAAATTGAGTGGTATGAACAACTTTTAAATGCAGAAAAATATTAATCTTTTATAGATTAAGCAATTATATATATCAAAAATACCAATTTTAACAACTAAGAAGATAGGTTGATACAAGGTTATGCAAGTATACATAATTGCAAATCTACCTAAATATTTTTAGTGGAAAATAAAGTCACTTTAATTGGTTGACCAACCAAAGGAGCTGACCTCAACTTAGTCAAGAAGATTTAGGTATAAATAAAGAATATACTTTACTATAAGAGAGGTACCTATTAAACAACTAAGGAAGAAATTTGAAATCTCCACCAGAGTTTTTCTTCAGCGAAAAAGTAATAAAAATCATAAAAAAAATTTTTCTACTAAAAATGAAAAAATTAAATAACTAAAAGATATTAAATGAGAAAGATTATTTCTTTAGTAATTAATATGAATTGAACATACGCTCTTTTATTTTATATACTATAAATGCTCGTTAATTTAGGCATATTTTAATTAAGGCATTTTTTTCTTATATTTTTTTCTAGAATATTATCCAAAATGTGTAAAATAAATTTTTTTAGGTTCAAAATTCGAGAAAAAGTATTAAATATTATCAAAAACATATTAAAAACAGAATGAAAGAAATAATTAAAATATAGACTGAACAAAATTAGATAAATAACATCAAAATTGAATGAAATATCAACATCTGAACTTACTCAGTTAATAATATTTTAATTTTAGGATTAGCTATACTCTATGTTGAAACCCTATCTTTAATTAAATTGACAAATTAAAATATAATTTTAAAATCATACTAGTAAATATAAAAGCTGTAAAATAACTTTCTTTTTTAGTAAAATGCGTAAATGAATAATTCAAAGTAAAAGAAAAGTATGTAAAATATAAAAAAATTCTTTAATATCAAATTTTGTAAAAAAATATTATCTTTAATATATTTTGTTAATTTAATTTATTGGTTGGTATTCAAAATGTTTGTTTTCTTTTTAAAAATAAGATTTTATAAAAATCAATATGATATTTAGAATAACTAAATAAGCTCTATCAATTATCATTTTTAAGAAGAAAAAAAGTTAATAATTCATTCTTACCACTGTTTTTATTATGGTAATTTGTGGATATTAAATAAACAAATCTAAATTAATAAAATTAATCAACATAATTTATTTTTCAAGATTAGCTTACTAAATAATGTAAGGATAAAATTTATGATTATCATAATCAAAAAATACAAAAAAGATATTACTATTAGTTATCTTAATTAAAGCTTGAAAAGCAAGTATATTCCCTTTTATAAAAACTAAATCAAAAGAACAAAAACAACTTTTTAATTAGCTCTTTGATAATATAATAAATCTTTATTATTTATTTAGAATAACACTTCTTTTCTTTTAAATAAAAATATAAATAACAAATAAATTAATTCTATTTTCGTACTAAGATATTTAAACAAAATAACTTTTTACTAATTAAAATTCTTTAAATTCTTATGAACATTATTAAAAATATATATGCTTTGTTATTTATTTTTTTGATTAAAACAGCAGGGAAGTAATATTTAGTTTACTATAATTTCCCTCAAAATCCCTTTCATTTACTTTATAAAAGAAATATATTGAAAAGAATATAAAAAATGGCGATGATATAAAGCTTAAATTACTATTAAATATGATATTTATTTGACCAAAATAAATGTAAAAATAAATTAATAATTTTATCTCAAAATAAAATATTTCAATAATATTTTAGTATAATTTAAAAATTATACTTACAATTTTCATGAATTAAGATGCGGCTTTAATTAGGCTCTTACCATTAAAAAACCTTTTAAATTTATAATATTTAATTAATTACTGTTGATTTATTAATTTAACTGAATGAAATTTAAAATACCTTATTATCTCAATAATGGTTAATATAACATTTCTAATTAATCTTTTGGCGAATATATTAAATATTCCAGAGAATTTTTACTCTCAGATCATTGATATCTTAAATTAACAAAATTATGGTACCTGCTTTTATAATAAATTATTAAAAATCAAATTTAAAAGAAGATAAAAATGTCAAAATTACTTCTTATCATTACTTAATTTTATTTAATATCTCTTTTATTGAATTCATCAATAGCATAGTAATCTAATAACTGCTCACTTGGCTGTATTTAGTGCTAAGCTTCTCCTTTTACACCTTTATAGTCATAATGTACTTTATGTGATGATGGATTCACTCAAAATAATAATCAATGCTAGTTTTAGAAATGCCCTTCCAATACATATTTGTAAAGGTATTCTGTACAGAAAAATGGCCAATACTAAAATTTAGATTCTTGCTAAGCTATTTGCGATTTTTCATATAATGAAAATACAGCATAAAATACTTGTGATTAATTACAAAAATGTACTGTTTCATACTAAAGTAATTAAAGTGTCATAAGTCTAGGTAATATTCAATCAATCTATCAAATAAATGAAAAGTTAACTATGATTGTTTACCCTAATTTTTTAAGGTTAATAAATGCAATATCAGGATAATATTTATCGGATATATAAGATATTTCTATTCTTAATGCCCTTTACTTTCAGAATCTTCTTTTGATACTTTCAAATTCTAATCAAGTAATAAGATGGGATTTTGACTTTAATTTCAAAACAACGATTGCTTAAATTTAATAAGGAAATCTATCTAAAAAATCATAGCTATTTGATTTGGGCAATCACATCTTTGCAATTTCAAGCTATGATGATATTTCCAAAATTATTTACTTTACCAAAATCTCTTTGGTAAATTAATTGATTGCATCAGATGATTCAATCCCCGCTTTTATGTATACTAATTGTTCTTTAAAATTGGTGAATTCTTTAATTTTATGTTTTGGATAAGAAAATAAATTAATTACTAAAAGATTAACTGCTATTTAATAATAAATAGTAATATAAGACATTCCTTAGAATGATAACTGTAAAAGCTTTATTTTTGTATAAAACACAATTCTTCAATCTATCTTTTTAGATTTTACAGAATCTTCTGAAATAATAATCATATAGTAACAGACTTAATAGCTGATTCAACTTTCTTATAATAAGATAAGCTAATCATTTAATTGTAAATTTACTAGCTTGATTGACCAACCTAATAAAATTAGATTAGTTGATTTACAAAATTAAAATTATATTTTGGCTATTAATTTGAGTTCTTAATTAATTTTTTTTGATTAAAACATGAATCAAATACACTCTATTATTTTTCCTTTAAATTTAGTTACTGATATAGCTTTTACTAAGGACTAAAACAATCAATTTATGACATATTACAAATTATATGTAATACAAGATTTAATTTAATAAGTGTAAATTTATTAGATAAACATTTCCACCTAATATACTGGATCAATCAAAACACTTCCTATACTAATAGGATAAACTACTTAATTTTTGACCTAATAAAGCAAAACTATATTTTCTGATGAAATAAATACTATTTTAGATCAAAGTTAATTATTTGTAATAAATAGTAACCTTTAAACTATAAATATTAACATAGATGAAATTTAATATACTGTTATCCCATTTAACTAGAAAAATATATCTCATACAAATAAAATAAGCAGTATGGCCTATTCTGAAGACTCTCTTTACCTATTAACTTGTTCTTAAGATGGCTATATAATGGCATGGTACACATTAACAAGTTTAAATCCTTCCTTCCTCTATATGATTAAATAAAATAATGAATACTGCAGAAAAATCTTAATCCATTAGAATAATTGGGCAGTTGCTCTATTCTCTCGTTCTATTATCATTTTCTAAATTAGAAATTATAATATCCGCTACACTTACCCATTTACTAATCCACCCACAGACTTATCTCAATTTATTGCTCAATCCTATAATCATATTTTTTTATTTTATGACAGCAAATTTGTATTAATAAATGCAAATGATATTAGTTAAATTACTATCGCAAATTATTTAGACAGTTAAATAGTTCAAATTTTTCCAGTTTCTGACACAAAATTAATAATTTAAAATATTAATAACCAGCTTTAATTATACCAATTTGATGAAAGTTAATAATACTTATTTTAGTAAGTTTAAAATATGTATTATTAGAGTACATATGGTAGCTTCACTTATGTTGAAATAGATATGATATCTAATAATGACTTTGAAATAATGGTTGGTTGTTTCAACAATGCATTTATTATACTCAATAGTTAATTTTAGCCATAACTAATTCACATATTATAAAATGGATATCCTTTTGAAATAAAAAAATTTTCTGACAATAACATATATATAATATTTGGATTTAATGCTATTGCAACTACTAAATATTTTCACTACGCTGTTTTTAGATCCTCAAATAAAGGTATTTTGTATAGTACGAGTTTTAATCTGCTTTATAATCTAGGACTTCACGAATTTATTGATTATTAAAAAAACACAAATATTCAATATCTATGTACTCTACCAGTTTCAACATTTACAATAATTATAAGAGGTATGTTTCTCCCTTAATCTTTATCTTTAAGCTATTATTATTTTACTTATGCATTTGGAAAACCTATTTCAAGCTATTAAATTAAAGATAATGGGAATATTCAATATTATGGTAGCCAAGATGGAAACCTAAGCTATGACTCAGTTAATTATCTTGTTTATAACTAATTGAAACTTAATCCATAAGTTATTCTAGGATCTGTTAGCTCTGTTTAGTCCAGTCCTTCATTAGAATTAATATTTGTTGTTCATTATCAAGTCGATCTTCACAGTATTTATACCTATTAGTACGAAAGTCAAATAACATTTAGTAGTTAATATGACAAAGAAAAGGTAATCTAGCTACTTTACTCAGACAAAAATAAAATAGTTATTGCCTATAAAAGCAAACAATTGATATTAAAAAATTTACAAACCAAATAATCATAGAGCTTGAATTAAATTTAACAAATTTCAGGAGTCTACATTGATGAGAATGATAAAATCTTCTATCTCTATGGAAGTACTCTAAGAATTTACAATTTTGATTTATCTTAAATAGTAGAGGTTACAAAGGAAGGCTCCAAAAGTTATTAGCAGTGCATAATTACAATTAATTTGATTATTTGTAAAAGCAACTTTAACAGTCTGTCTATTTACAATAAAAAGACATACTCATAAATAGCTAACACATTAATAATCAATTAAGATTAAACTTTCAAAGTATTTGTAGATGAAACAAATAGTTTAATATTTTTATGTACAACATTTGTGCAAGTGTTTAACTTTATAGGCAATCAAATTAGTCAAATATAATCGATTAACTATAATATTATTGATTTATAATTTTGGGGAAATACTATTGCGATCTTAACTAAATAGAGTAAGTTTTTAATTAAATTAATTTTAATATTAATAATTCTAAATATATTTTAAAAATAGTTATATTCTTTTATCAAAGGTAGACTCTCTCCTTAATTTCTACTGCTTAACCTATTGGAGGAGGGAATATACTTGGATATTATTACATACCTGACTTTAATACAGTTGTTTATTATGCAGATGAAATAAGGTATGGCCAATTATTTTATTATAATTTAAACACATACTAAGATGATGGTTTTAGTATCAGCTCTTACACTGAGCTAGGTTTGGGTTATGTAGTAGATTTGTTTTACGATAGCTATAACTCCCGTTTAAATTATTTAGATAGTGTGGGTTTGTTTTATAGTATTCTTTTAATAGGTCAAAGAAGGTATTATAATGCAATGAAATTTTTAGAATTTTCATCTTTAGGGGTTCCTTCAAAAATATTAATTGTACATGCTAATAATAATTTATTTATCTACAATTCGAATGTAATTCTTTACTTTAATTTCAATGATAATTAAAAATCAACAATTTCTTAAAGAGCAAAATCAGTTTAGTTCTTCTTTAAATACTAAACTCCTTCCTCAAACGATTTGTCTCAAATGTTGTATTATGTTTTCGATAGCAACAACATTCTATACTTATATAAAGATTATAATCAAGTCTATATAACATATTTTACTGAACCAGTAAGAGATGTTAAGTAGATAGACGAGTATCAGATAGTTACTTTAATTTTTGATCAAAAAATATTAATTTATTCTCAAGAATAAATTTCAAAGTAATAGATCTCTTCTTCAAACTACATTGCAGTCATAAATGATCATAAAATTAGGAGATTTTTAACTAATTCCCTCATACTTACTTACGATTATCGAATAATACATATAAATTATCTATTCTACTTAGATGGAACTAACAATTGGATAAAATACGCAACAGAGTATAGTTAAAATTAAGAATATTTTAGAAACTATATTACTTATGGTTTAATCACTTAATAAAAAACAATATACTCCTTAGGTTCAGGAAGATTAATGATATATGATGAGTCTAATTAAACCTTAAAATAAGCTTTACCTGCTTGGTAGTCTTAACAAAATGTTGAAACAAATTATGTGAAATACTTTTCATTAACCAGCAATTATATTGTCTTAGGATATTAAAAAAATTTTATAACAATAATTTCTAGATCAGGCTTTTCTATCATTAAGCAGTAAGATGTTAGTGCTTTAACCTAATAAATTCTAAGCGAATTGAGCGTTTTATTTGTAGATGAATAAAACAATAGAGTATTTGCTTCTTACATGTATTAAAAGTTAATATATGTGCTGGATCTATAATCGCTGTCTTTCTTAAAATACTTAAATTTCCCTAATAATTAATACAATAGGATCGCTAACAATAATAACTTAATTTTTCTCTATTCAAATTCTCAAGTTAATATTCACGAAAGAGTAAGTCTACAGTATTTAAATTTTATTAAAAAAAATAACCAACTTAACTAGATTTTGAATTTTTTAATAGTTGATGAAAACAAAATAATATTACCTATGAATACTTAAATTGAAATATATTTAATAGACAAATAAAGTAGTACTAGTATAATAGACTCTTCTCTTTATTTAAATTCTGAAATAATGAGTGCTTATATGTAGCCAAATGAAAGTAATATTTTAAAAATTATTGGAGTTTCGAAAAATGGAATTTTCGAAAAGAGAATTAATATCATGATTACAAGCTAGTAAAGTTCATATTCCACTACATCTAACTAACAAAGGTACTCTTGCTATTCATAAATTAGTATGATTAATAGAATTGATGGCTTAAAATAGTTTTATTTATCTTATAATCAAAATATTTAAAATATGGATTACAGAATAATTACAACTTTTGGGAATGATATTAAATAAATAGAATTTATCTAAGATCCCAACATTGAAGTGGTAATTGCTCCAGATATTTAAAATTTAAATTAAACTTTAAACCTTAACTTAAACACTTTTTAAACTATTCAAAGAGCTTAAGTTTATATCCAAAATTTCTCTTTTATCTTTAATAGTAACAATTAGCAATATCTGTTTTCAAATTCTACAAAATCAGTAAAATGGTAAAATATTGTAATAAAAGACTAAAACCTTTAAAATAATCAGATTTTATTTAGAAATCTTTCTGATGTATCTATAACTAATTTAACAGTAGAAAATGTAATATTTAACTAAAATTATAATGAAAGTGATTAGTTGAGTACATGGAATGAAACATTACTTCTATTTTCTGACTGTAATAATATCTATCTTAATAATTTAACAATTTAAAATATAAATTTATGGCAGAGATCTCTCTTATTTGGATTTTTGAGAGTAAACTAAATATAAATAAATAATTTGACAATCATAAATAGCAATTTCTATTAAATCATGGCATTTTTAAATGGATAAAACATTAAAATTAATTCAATTAAAATGGTAAATAATACAAATTCTCAAAGATTACCTTATGGAGCTGAAGCTCAAAATAGCTATGACTAAATATAGGATGGAAGTGAACATTTTGCTGTAAGTATTGTTGGATACTAAAGTACGCTACTATAAGGAATAAAATTCATATAAAATTAAAATATTCTATTTCTAAAATATACTAATACCTTCAAAAGCGAAAGAGAATAAATTACTTTGTTTGATGATTAAATTTAAATCTAAAATTTTGTAATGTTGTAAACTAATACTTCTTTGGATAATTCAATAACCACCTCAAAATAAATAAACCAAGCTTTAATTAGTATTTAATCTACATAAATTAGCTTTACTAATTTAAACTATAGCTAAAATTAAGGAAACATCCTTATATAAAATTCAGATGTAATAAATATATAAAATTCTGTCTTTTAAAATAATACATCTCTTGACGGAGGAGCTCTATAATTTAATTATGCAAATTAAATAGCAATTAATAATTGCTTATTTAATTACAATATTGCGAAAGGTTCAGGCGGAGCTATATTCTTAAGAGAAGTCAAAAAACTGAATTTCGATAATAAATCAAATGTTTCTTTAAATTTTGCTGAAATAGGTGGAGGAATAAGAGTCATATCCTAATAATTTGACCCAAAATAAACCATTATAAATTAATCTAGAGTTAGCTAAAATACTGCACTCATTTATGGAAAGGATATAGGATTATTCCCATTTAAAATTACTTTAAATTCATAATATCAGAAATTGAGATAATTGCAATAAGAAGAAAATCAAAAAGAAAGAAAAAACTTCGTGTTTAACAATAAATATTTTGAAAAAAAATTTTCAGATAGAATTTTAGGTTAAGAAAATCTATTTATTGAGTCATTCAGAAGTGGTAATTTTTTACCATTAAGTATTCAATTCGTAGACTAATATGACTAATTAGTTTAATTTTCTGTTTAAAAGTTAAAAGATGAGCTTTATCCTTCTAGTGTATAACAGGAATTAAACTCTTTTCAGATTGAAATTACTGCCGATGATTTAATTCATTCACAGGCTATTGGTTAAACTTTTGTCAATTACAATTAGTATAATGAAGACGAAAAAATATTTAAATTTACTTCTCTATAATTAAATGCACATCCTTTATCTACTTAATCATTTTTAATTAAGGTTATAACTAATTCGTTTTTACAATCAGCTTAAATTAATTTAAAGCTAAACATCAAATTTCGTTAATGTTAGAGAGGTGAGATTTTTAAAGTAATAAATGAAAATATTTAAATATGTGAAGTATGTTAAAGTGGATTTTATTCTTTAATAGATCCTTAGTAAAGTTAAAATTAAACTTTTTCTTGTATAAAATGTCCATCTTAAGCTACTTCTTGTTAAGCTGATGCAATAATTCTTAAAGATGGTTATTGGAGATTGAACGATAACTCTGATGAAATATTGGAATGTGATGATTTTACTTCAACTATAACATGTAGAGAAAATAACTCTGAGAGTATTTAAGGTTGTATTAAAGGGTATATAGGTCCTTTATGCTAAGAATGTGATTATGAAGGTAAAGTATGGAATACTAGATATAGTTAATCTTCATTAAATTAGTCTTGCAAAGAATGTACTAAAGTCTAACTTATCTACTTTTTATTAATCTTATTCAGTAATTTTTTTTTTTATTATTAAATTTTTTCCAAATTAAAAATAATTATTTTTTATGGTAAATAATAACTTCAATTTTAATTGATATTTTATTTTATAAAAAATAGCAATATTGTTAATAATGTATTTAGTAATCAGCATTACAATGTTTGTGTAAAATTTTAGCTTTCACTCTACTAGTACTTATTTGCGTTACATGAAATTTCTACCACTTTCTGCGAGCTGTGTAAATGATCAATCAACCTACTATATAAAATCCATAACAAACTATATTTAAATATCATCTATAATTTTTTAAAGTGAAGAATCTTCAAATTTTACTACTTTAACCAATGTATTGAATTATTTTGGAATTCCCTCAACTCAAATATTTTCTGAAATTCACTGCCTATATCCTGACTATTATTTTAGTAAATTCGGAGTAACTTAGATAAAAATTCTGATAAAATCTATATATCCAATAATTTTACTAGCTTTCTTTATTTTAATTTTTTATGTTTTAAGAAAACTAAACAAATTTCAGATAAAGTTACATCACAATTATGCTATTATGACAGTAATTTTCTTTTTGTTTTAGCCTGAACTGATAACTGTATTATCAAGCTCTTTATCTTGTCGTAAAATAGGTCAGATTGAATATGTATCTATCAATTTATTATTACAGTGCTCTGATACTTAATATAAATTATTTACTTACGTTTATATCATACCGTACTTACTAATGATATTATTACTTCCTCTTTTTGCTATGAAGAAACTTTACAACCATAGAACTAACTTAGAATATTGCACTACTAAATATAAATTTGGGTATTTCTATCTAGACTATAAACCTAATTTCTACTTTTGGGAATTTATACGTATTTACTTTAAAACTTTCATAGCCATTTTCTTCATCTTAACTATATAGTATAGTAATAGCTTGACATATTTAATAGTTTGTCTAATTTTGTCATTATAATTAATACTGAATTATATTTATTAGCCTTATATTCAAAAGAAAGTTCTTAAATTAGATTGCATATCAATTCTAATACTAATAATTAATATTGTTCTTTAACAAATCAGATATATAAATGATGCTTAAGGGATATTAGTCCTTACACAAATGATACATTTCTTTTTTACTTTTTTTGTTATAATTATTATTGTTCGTCTAAAAATAAATAATTAGCGCTCAAAAAAAATAATAATAGTAAAAAATTTCTTTTAAAAGTATTTACCAAAAAGAGTATTTGACATTATATTTATCAAAGAATAAGACCATTAAAGAGCCTTAAAACGATGGATTAATATAAAAAAGAACATAACTTTTTTAATAAAATAATAAGCTAAATAAATTTAACTTAATTGCGACCTTATAATTAGCAAATAAGTATCTAAAATATAAAGTAAAAATAAAAAATTCCATAAATATATATTAAATTATTTATTTATTATTTTATTTATAAATAGAAAGTCCATCTGATATGAAGCAAATTTTTAATAAACAATAGACTGAAGATTTTACTCCTTTAAATTAACTCTAGCTAATTTAATTTTCAAGTAAATAAATTACCTTTATAAAAAAATAAATTAAACCAACTATTTTTAATTTTAAAATAGGTCCTAGAGCTTCTTATATTTCAAATACTTACAGAAACAAGTTTTTTAACTTAAATATAGAGAAAAAAGAGTCTGAATAATAAAACAATGAATAATAGGATAATGATTTATAATCTTAATTAAGCAGTTAAGATATTTAAAATAGTTAGTAATATAAAGAATAGCCAAATGACTAAATATAAAAAAATTAAATAATAAGTATGGATGACATTAAATAAAATAACTGTATCAAAAAATGATTTCGTTATAATTATTAATTTAATATGTAATTTATTTAAAAACTATTAATTTTGTTGAATACCAGCTTTTTTATGAAACAATAACCTTCTTTATTTAAAAAATTTTGTTTTTGAATATAATGTTTTTATTTAATCAATACTCTTTTTCAAAAATAATTTTTCACAAAAATATAGTATAAATTACATTACACTTATTTTTTAAATATTTTGGGTATTTGTTTAAGATAGTCTTAATTGTAGTTGGAAAATCTAAAGAAAAGTAATTTGAATTAGATTAGATTAGATTAGATTAGATTAGATTAGAAGACTTTGATGAAAAAAATGATTATTTTTAAAACCTTCGCATCAAATACTTTCTTTACACAATTTTACTATTTTTCTATAAAAATTATTAAAAAAAGGATTCTAACATTTTTTTTTACTTTAATCATCAAAACATTTGAAATTGATCACCAAAATTAACTTGAAAAGATGAAATTTAAATAGATTTCCACCACCACTCTTAATGAAAAAACTAAATTTATAAATTAGTAAACTTAAAAAAATTTTTAAATTTGAATATGCATATCTGAAAATAAATTCAATAATTTTTTATAACCATTATTCTACTAAAGATTTGTTTATCCTACTATTTTAATTTGTTCTTATAAAAAATTAACCTATTACTATAGTAGATATTTATTCTTTAAAAAACAGTAATATTTTTTACTTTCAAACAAATTTTAACATGCTTCTATTTATTTAAAAAAAAATATTATGGAATATCTTTTCTCTATTCTAACTAACTCATAAATGTGATTTATCCCTTTAGAGCATTTTATATTTTCTACTTACATATTCTTCCCTTTTTTAGTTACCTCTGTGATAATACATAAAATGTTTTGAATTCATCAAACAAACAAAGAAGAATAATTTATTATTTCTATTAATGAAAGCGTTAATAAACTATCCTTCTTCTATCTATTTTTTCAACATTTTTTATTTAAAGTTCTTAAGCATAATATTTTACATTTTTCTCATCATTCTAAGATTTACTTTTAGATTTTAAATGCTCATTAGATGTAATTTTTCTTCTATTTTCTGATATTTGATTTAGTAGTATTATAATCAGAAAAAATTCTTTTTCTTTGTTACTGCTGATAGTTACTAATTTATTTTTTAGCTAAATTTATACAAAATTAGATAGATTCTTTTTAAAATTATATTTATTTTGATAAATTAGAATGTTTTTGATATTTTTAAGATTATTCCTACAAACTAATCTTAGCTATAATATTTTCCTCACTCTTCATACCTTTTATCCTATTTGCTTAAGAAGATATATTTTTTAATTTAACTTCAACGCCAATATTTATACAATAGTAGAATAGATATTATTTCTAATGTTACTTTAATAATTGGAATTCTTAAATATTTTACTTTTCTTTATCTAAAATTCTTTATTATTTTTTATCTAAATTAATTGATATAATCCTTCTCATTTTTGATTTATTGAAATAAATTTTATAATTATTTTAATATTATTATAATAAGAATTGATTAACTCATAAATTATATTAAATTAATGTAAATTTTTGAATCTCTAAGTATAATGATATAATTTCTTAGATTATTATTTTTTCCAAAAAGGTATTAAATATTATCAAAAATTTATTAAAAATTGAATGGTAAAAACAATGAAAATATAGAGTGAACAAAATTAGATTAATGACATAAAAATTAAATGAAATATAGTCATCTTTATCTACACATTTGACAATATTTTAATTTCAGGATTAACTATACTTTATGTTGAAACCCTATTTTTAAAGTAAAATGACAAATTAAAATATTTTTAAAAAAATCATAATCATAAATAGAAAAGTTGAAAAATAATTTTATTTTTTAGTAAAATGCCAATCACTCAAAATGAAAGTAGAGTTTGTAAAATATAAAAAATATATATTAATGCCAAATTTTGTAATAGAGTATTATTTTTAATATATTTTGTTAATTTAATTTATTTGTTGGTATTAAAAACGTTTTCTCTCTCAAAATAAGAATTTATAAAAAATAAATTTTAGAATAGCTAAATAAGTCTAATATATCATCTTTAAGAAGAAATTAGTTATAATAATACATTCTTATCACCACTTTTCTTAATGATTATTTGTGGCGATTAAGTTAATAAACATAATTAATGTAATTTAAATTTATTTACTGCTTTTGATTACATTTTTCAAAATAAGCTTTTTAAATGCTATAAATAAATAACGTATGGATAAAATTTATGATTATCATAATTAAAAAAACAAAAAAGATATTGCCACTAGTTTTCTTAATAAAAGCTTGAAAAGCAAGTATATTATCTTTTATTAAAACTATACCAATACTAATAGATAAATAACTTTTTAACTAGCTCTTAGATACTTTAATAAGTCTTTATTATTTATTTAGAATAGCACCTCCTTTCTTTTAAATAAAAATATAACTATTACATAAATTAATTCTATTCCCATGCTAAGATATTGTGACAAAATAAGTTTTTACTAATTAAGATTCATTAAATTCTTATGAAAATTATAAAAATATAAACTTATTTATTTATTTTTTGATTAGAGCAGCTGCGAACTAAGATTTAGCTATTAATACTTCCCTAAAGTTTTTTTCATTTACTTTTATAAATCAAGATATTTAAAATGATACACTAACATTTTAATATAAAAATGACAATCAAAGATATAAAGTTTAAATTACTAATAAATATGATATTTGAAAAAAATGTAAAAATTTAAATAATTTTATCTCAATATAAAATATTTTAATAATTTGTTAGTGGCAATTTAAAAACTATGATTAAACTTTTCATGAATGAAGATATGGCTTTAATTAAGTACTAACCAATAAGTATCTTTTTAAATTAGCAATGTTTATTAAATTAGTGTCAGCTTATTTACAGAATGAAACTTAAAATGCTCATAATATCCCCAATTTAATTACCTTATAATTTCAATTATCGTTAATATAACAATTCTTAGGAATTATTAGATGAATTTACTAAATATTCTAAAGAATTAATACTCTCTACTCATTTATATACTTAAATTAGCAAAATTAAGGTACCTGCTTTTATAATAAATTAATAAAAATCAAATTTAAAGAAAATAAAAATGTCAAAACTGCTTCTTGTGATTACTTAAATTTATTTAATATCACTTCTATTGAATTCATCAATAGCATAGTAATCTAATAGCTGTTCATTTGGTTGTATTTAGTGTTAAAATTCTCCTTTTACACCTCAATAGCCATAATGTACTTTATGTGACGATGGATTCATTATAAATAATAACCAATGCTAGTTTTAGAAATGTTCTTCTAATACATATTTATAAAGGTATTCTGTACAGTAAAATGGTCAATAATAGAATTTAGATTCTTGCTAAGCGATTTGCGATTTTTCATATAATGAAAATATAGCATAAAATACTTGCGACTAATTACAAAAATGCTCTGTTTCATACTTAAGTAATTAAAGTATCATAAGTCTAGGTAATATTCAATCGATCTATCAGATAAATGAAAAGTTAACTATGATTGTTTACCCTAATTTTTTAAGGCTAATAAATGCTAATTCTGGATAATATTTATCGGATATATAAGAAACTTCTATCATTAATGCTCTTTACTTTCAGAATCTTCTTTTCATACTTTCAAATTCTAATCAAGTAATAAGATGGGATTTTGACTTTAATTTCAAAACAACGATTGCTTAAATTTAATAAGGAAATCTATCTAAAAAATCATAGCTATTTGATTTAAGTAATGGATTATTTGCAATTTCAAGTTATGATGATATTTCTAAAATTATTTACTTTACCAAAATTTCATTGGTAAATTAAATGATTGCATCAGATGATTCAATCCCCGCTTTTACGTATACTAATTGCTCTTTAAAATTGGTGAGTTCTTTAATTTTGTGTTTTGGATAGGAAAATAAATTAATTACTAAAAGATTAACTGCTATTTAATAATAACTAGTAATATAAGACATTCCTTAGAATGATAACTGTAAAAGCTTTATTTTTGTATAAAACACAATTCTTCAATCTATCTTTTTAGATTTTACAGAATCTTCTGAAATAATAATCATATAGTAACAAGTTTAATAGCTGATTCAACTTTCTTATAACAAGATAAGCTAATCGTTCTATTGTAAATTTAATAGCTTGATTGATCAACCTAATAAAATTAGATTAGTAGATTTACAAAATTAAAATTATATTTTGGCTATTAATTTAGATTCATAATTAATCTTCTTAAATTAAAACATGAAATAAATTCACGCTATTAGTTTTCCTTTAAATTAAGTTACTGATATAGCGTTTACTAAGGACTAAAACAGTCAATTTATGAAAAATTACAAATTATATGTAATACAAGATTTAATTTAATAAGTATAAATTTATTAGATAAACATTTCCACCTAATATACTGGATCAATCAAAACACTTCCTATACTAATAGGATAAACTACTTAATTTTTGACCTAATAAAGCAAAACTTTATTTTCTGATGAAATAAATACTATTTTAGATCAAAGTTAATTATTTGTAATAAATAGTAACCTTTAAACTATAAATATTAACATAGATGAAATTTAATATACTGTTATCCCATTTAACTAAAAAAATATATCTCATACAAATAAAATAAGTAGTATGGCCTATTCTGAAGACTCTCTTTACCTATTAACTTGTTCTGAAGATGGCTATATAATGGCATGGTACACATTAACAAGTTTAAATCCTTCCTTCCTCTATATGATTAAATAAAATAATGAATACTGCAGAAAAATCTTAATCCATTAGAATAATTGGGCAGTTGCTCTATTCTCTCGTTCTATTATCATTTTCTAAATTAGAAATTATAATATCCGCTACACTTACCCATTTACTAATCCACCCACAGACTTATCTCAATTTATTGCTCAATCTTCTAATCATATTTTTTTATTTTATAACAGCAAATTTGTACTAATAGATGGGAATACTATTAGTTAAATTACTATCGCAAGTTATTTAGACAGTTAAATAGTTCAAATTTTTCCAGTTTCTGACACAAAATTAATAATTTAAAATATTAATAACCAGCTTTAATTATACCAATTTGATGAAAGTTAATAATACCTATTTTAATAAGTTTAAAATATGTATTACTAGAGTACATATGGTAGCTTCACATATATTTAAATAGATATGATATCTGCTAATGATTTTGAAATAATGATTGGTTGTTTAAACAGCGCATTCATTATACTTAATAGTTAATTTTAGCCATAACTAATTCATATAATGTAAAATGGTTATCCTTTTGAAATAAAAAAATTTACTGACAATAACATATATATAATATTTGGATTTAATGCTATTGCAGCTTCTAAATATTTTCACTACGCAGTTTTTAGATCCTCAAACAAAGGTATTTTGTATGGTGCAAGTTTTAATCTACTTTATAATCTAGGGCTTCACGAATTTATTGATTATTAAAAAAACACAAATATTCAATATCTATGTACTTTACCAGTTTCAACACTTACAATAATAATAAGAGGTATGTTTCTCCCTTAATCTTTATCTTTAAGCTATTATTATTTTACTTATGCATTTGGAAAACCTATTTCAAGCTATTAAATTAAAGATAATGGTAATATTCAATATTATGGTAATCAAGATGGAAACCTAAGCTATGACTCAGTTAACTATAAAATATATAACTAATTGAAATTCAATCCATCGGTTATTCCAGGATCTGTTAGCTCAGTTTAGTCCAGTCCTTCATTAGAATTAATATTTGTTGTTCACTATCAAGTAGATCTTCACAGTATTTATACCTATTAGTATGAAAGTCAAATAACGTTCAATAGCTAATATAGCACAGAAAAGGTAATCTAGTTACTTTATTCAGACAAAAATAAAATAGTTATAGCCTATAAAAGCAAACAATTGATATTAAAGAATTTACAAACTAAATAATCATAGAGTTTGAATTAAATTTAACAAATTTCAGGAGTCTATATTGATGAGAATGATAAAATCTTCTATCTATATGGAAGTACTCTAAGAATTTACAATTTTGATTTATCTTAAATAGTAGAGGTTACAAAGGAAGGCTCCAAAAGTTATTAGCAGTGCATAATTACAATGAATTTGATTATTTGTAAAAGTAACTTTAACAGTCTGTCTATTTACAATAAAAAAACATACTCATAAATAGCAAACATATTAATAATAAATTAAGATCTTACATTCAAAATATTTGTTGATGAAGCAAATAGTTTAATATTTTTATGCACAACATTTGTGTAAATATTTAACTTTATAGGCAATCAAATTAGTCAAATATAATCGATTAATTATAATATTATTGATTTGTAATTTTGGGGAAATAATATTGCAATCTTAACATAATATCGTAAGTTTTTATTTAAATTAAATTTAATTTAATATTAATAATTCTAAATTTATTTTACAAATAGTTATCTTCTTTTATCAAAGGTAGACTCTCTCACTAATGTCGACTGTTAGGCCCTTTGGAGGAGGAAATATACTTGGATATTATTACATATCTGATTTTAATACAGCTGTTTTTTATACAGATGAAATAAGATATGGTCAACTATTTTATTATAATTTAAACACCTACTAAGATGATGGCTTTAGTATCAGCTCTTACACTGAGCTAGGTTTGGGTTATGTTGTGGATTTGTTTTATGATAGCTATAACTCCCGTTTAAATTATTTAGATAGTGTGGGTTTGTTTTATAGTGTTACTTTCGTAGGTCAAAGAAGGTATAATAATGTAATGAAGTTTTTAGAATTTTCATCTTTAGGGGTTCCTGCAAAAATTGTAATTGAACATGCTAATAATAATTTATTTATCTACAATTCGAATGTAATTCTTTACTTTAATTTCAATGATAATTAAAAATCAACTGTTTCTCAAAGCGCAAAATCAGTTTAGTTTTTCTTTAAATACTAAGCTCCTTCTTAAAACGATTCGTCTCTAATTTTGTATTACGTTTTCGATAGCAACAACATTCTATACTTATACAAAGATTTTAATCAAGTCTATCTAACATATTTTACTGAACCGGTAAGGGATGTTAAGTAGATAAATGAGTATCAAATAGTTGCTCTAATTTTTGACCAAAAAATATTAATTTATTCATAAGAATAAATTTCAAAGCAATAGATCTCTTCTTCAAACTACATTGCAGTCATAAATGATCATAAAATTAGAAGATTTTTAACTAATTCCCTCATACTTACTTACGATTATCGAATAATACATATAAATTATCTATTTTACTTAGACGGAACTAATAATTGGATAAAATACGCAACAGATTATAGTTAAAATTAAGAATATTTTAGAAACTATATTACTTATGGTTTAATCACTTAATAAAAAACAATATACTCCTTAGGTTCAGGAAGATTAATGTTATATGATGAGTCTACTTAAACCTTAAAATAAGCTTTACCAGCTTGGTAGTCTTAACAAAATGTTGAAACAAATTATGTGAAATACTTTTCATTAACCAGCAATTCTATTGTCTTAGGATATTAAAAAAATTTTATAACAATAATTTCTCGATCAGACTTTTCTATCATTAAGCAGTAAGATGTTAGTGCTTTAACCTAATAAATTCTAAGTGAATTGAGCGTTTTATATGTAGATGAATAAAACAATAGAGTATTTGCTTCTTACATGTATTAAAAGTTAATATATGTGCTGGATCTATAATCGCTGTCTTTCTTAAAATACTTAAATTTCCCTAATAATTAATACAATAGGATCGCTAACAATAATAACTTAATTTTTCTCTATTCAAATTCTCAAGTTAATATTCACGAAAGAGTAAGCTTACAGTATATAAATTTTATTAAAAAAAATAACCAACTTAACTAGATTCTGAATTTTTTAATAGTAGATGAAAATAAAATAATATTACCTATGAATACTTAAATAGAAATTTATTTAATAGACAAGTAAAGTGACATCAATATAATAGACTCATCCCTTTATCTAAATTCTGAAATAATGAGTGCTTACATGTAGCCAAAAGAGAGTAATATTTTAAAAATTATTGGAGTTTCCAAAAATGGAATTTTTGAAAAGAGAATAAACATCATGGTTATAAGCTAATAAAATTCATATACTACTGCATCTAACTAACAAAGGTACTCTTGTTATTCATAAATTAGTATGATTAATAGAATTGATGGCTTAAAATAGTTTTATTTATCTTATAATCAAAATACTTAAAATGTGGACTACCGGATAATTACTACTTTTGGGGATGAGATTAAATAAATAGAATTTATCTAAGATCCAAAAATAAAAGTTGTAGTTGCTCCAGATATTTAAAATTTAAATTAAACTTTAAAACTTTACTAAAATACTTTTTAAACTATTCAAAGAGCTTAAGTTTATATCCAAAATTTCTCTTTTATCTTTAATAGTAACAATTAGCAATATCTTTTTTCAAATTCTACAAAATCAGTAAAATGGTAAAATATTGTAATAAAAGACTAAAACCTTTAAAATAATCAGATTTTATTTAGAAATCTTTCTGATGTATCTATAACTAATTTAAGAGTAGAAAATGTTTTAATTAACTAAAATCATAATGAGAGTGATTAGTTAAGTAATTGGAATGAAACATTACTTCTATTTACTGACTGTAATAATATCTATCTTAATAACTTAACAATTTAAAATACACAATTATGGTAGAGATCTCTCTTATTTGGATTTTTGAGAGTAAACTAAATATAAATAAATAATTTGACAATCATAAATAGCAATTTCTATTAAATCATGGCATTTTTAAATGGATAAAATATTAAAATTAATTCAATTAACATGATAAATAATACAAATTCTCAAAGATTACCTTATGGAGCTGAAGCTCAAAAAAGCTATGATTATTTATAGGATGGAAGTGAAAAATTTGCTCTTAGTATTGTTGGATACTAAAGTACTCTGCTTTAAGGAATAAAATTCATATAAAATTAAAATATTCTATTTCTGAAATATACTAATAGCTTCAAAAGTGAAAGAGAATAAATTACATTATTTGATGATACAATTTAAATTTAAAATTTTATTATGTTGTAAACTAATACTTCTTTGGATAATTCAATAACCACTTCAAAATAAATAAACCAAGCTTTAATTAGTATTTAATCTACATAAATTAGTTTTACTAATTTAAATTATAAATATAATTAAGGAAATATCCTAATATAAAATTCAGATGAAATCAATATATAAAATTCAGTCTTTTAAAATAATACATCTCTTGATGGAGGAGCTCTTTAATTTAATAATGCAAATTAAATAGCAATTAGTAATTGCTCTTTCAATTACAATATAGCAAAAGGTTCAGGTGGAGCTATATTCTTAAAAGAAGCTAAAAAACTGATTTTTGATAATAAATCAAATGTTTCTTTAAATTTTGCTGAAATAGGTGGAGGAGTAAGAGTCTTATCCTAATAATTTGACCCTAAATAAACCATTATAAATGAAGATAGAGTTATTTAAAATACTGCTCTCATTTATGGAAAGGATATAGGAATATTCCCATATAAAATTACTTTAAATTCATAACATCAGAAATTGAGATAATTAAAAAAAGATGAAAATGGAATTGAAAGAAAAAACTTCGTATTTAGCAATAAATACTTTTAAAAAAATATTTCAAATAGAATTTTAGGTTAAGAAAATCTATTTATTGAGTCATTCAGAAGTGGCAACTTTTTACCATTAAATATACAATTCGTTGACTAATATGATTAGTTAGTTTAATTTTCTGTTTAAAAGTTAAAAGATGAGCTTTATCCTTCTAGTGTATAACAGGAATTAAATTCTTTTCAGATTGAAATTACAGCCGATGATTTAATTCATTCACAGGCTATCGGTTAAACTTTTGTCAATTACAATTAGTATAATGAAGACTAAAAAATATTTAAATTTACTTCTCTCTAAATAAATGCACATCCTTTATCTATTTAATCATTTTTAATTAAGGCTATAACTAATTCGTTTTTCCAATCAGCTTAAATTAATTTAAAACTAAATATCCAATTCCGTTAATGTTAGAAAGGTGAGATTTTTAAAGAAATAAATTAAAATATTTAAATATGTGAAGTATGTCAAAGTGGATTTTATTCTTTAATAGACCCTTAGTAAACTTAAAACTAAATGTTTTCTTGTATAAAATGCCCAGCTCAAGCTACTTCTTGTTTAGCTGATAAAATAGTTCTTAAAGATGGTTATTGGAGATTGAACGATAACTCTGATGAAATATTGCAATGTGATGAATTTACTTCAACTGTAACTTGCAGAGAAAATAACGCTTATAGTAAATAAGGTTGCATTAAAGGGTATATAGGTCCTTTATGCTAAGAATGTGATTATGAAGGTAAAATATGGAATACTAGATATAGTTAATCTTCATTAAATTAATCTTGCTAAGAATGTGCTAAAGCCTAGCTTATCTACTTTTTATTGATCTTATTCAGTAATTTTTTTTATTAGCATTAGTTTTAATTAATTTAAAATTTTTTCCAAATTAAAAATAATTATTTTTTATGGTAAATAATAACTTCAATTTTAATTGATATTTTATTTTATAAAAAATAGCAATATTGTTAATAATGTATTTAGTAATCAGCATTACAATGTTTGTGTAAAATTTTAGTTTTCACTCTACTAGTACTTATTTGCGTTACATGAAATTTCTACCACTTTCTGCGAGTTGTGTAAATGATCAATCAACCTACTATATAAAATCCTTAACAAACTATATTTAAATATCATCTATAATATTTTAAAGTGAAGAATCTTCAAATTTTACTACTTTAACAAATGTATTGAGTTATTTTGGAATTCCCTCAACTCAAATATTTTCTGAAATTCACTGCCTATATCCTGACTATTATTTTAGCAAATATGGAGTGACTTAGATAAAAATTCTAATAAAATCTATATATCCAATAATTTTACTAGCTTTCATTATTTTAATTTTTTATGTTTTAAGAAAACTAAAGAAATTTTAGATAAAGTTACATCACAATTATGCTATTCTTACAGTAATTTTCTTTTTGTTTTAGCCTGAATTGATAACTGTATTAGCAAGCTCTTTATCTTGTCGTAAAATAGGTCAGATTGAATATGTGTCTATTAATTTATTATTAAACTGCTCTGATACTTAATATAAATTATTTACTTACGTTTATATCATACCGTACTTACTAATGATATTATTACTTCCTCTTTTTGCTATGAAGAAACTTTATAATCATAGAAGAAACTTAGATTATTGTACTGCTAAATATAAATTTGGGTATTTCTATCTAGATTATAAACCTAATTTCTACTTTTGGGAATTTATACGTATTTACTTTAAAACTTTCATAGCCATTTTCTTCATCTTAACTATATAGTATAGCAATAGCTTGACATATTTAATAGTTAGTTTTATTTTGTCATTATAATTAATACTGAATTATATTTATTAGCCTTATCTTTAAAAGAAAGTTCTTAAATTAGACTGTACTTCAATTCTAATACTAATAATTAACATTATTCTTTAACAAATGAGATCAATAAGCAATGCTTATGAGATATTAGTCTTTACACAGATGATACATTTCTTTTTTATTTTTTTTGTTATACTAATTATTGTTCGTCTAAAAATTAATAATTAACGCTCAAAAAAAATAGTATAAATAAAAAATTTCTTTTAAAAGTATTTACCAAAAGGAATATTTAACATTATATTTATCAAAGAATAAGACCATTAAAGAGCCTTAAAAAGATGGATTAATTTAAAAAAGAATATCACTTTTTTAACAAAATAAAAAGCTGAATCAATTAAATATAACTGTGATCTTATAATTAGTAAATAAGTATCTAAAATATAAAGTAAAAATAAAAAATTACTTAACTATAAATTATTTATTTATTTATTTATTTACTTATAAATAGAAAGTCCATCGGATATGAAGCAGATTTTTAATAAGCAATAGACTGAAGATTTTACTTCTTTAAATTAACTCTAGCTAATTTAATTTTCAAGTAAATAAATTCCTTTTATAAATAATAAATAAATTAAGTCAACTATTTTTTAATTTTAAAATAGGTCCTAGAGCTTCTTATATTTCAAACACTAACAGAAGCAAGTTTTTTAACTTGAATATAGAGAAAAAAGAGTCTGAATAATAAAACAATAAATAATATGATTAGGATTTATAATCTTAACTGAGCAGTTAAGATATTTAAAATAGCTGGTAATATAATGAATAGCCAAAGGACTAAAAATAAAAAAATTAAATAATAAATATGGATGGTATGAAATAAAATAACTTTATCAAAAAATGATTTCATAATAATTATTATTTTTATTTTGGACTTTATTTGTGATTTATTGAAAACAATTAACTGTATTGAATTCCTGATTTTTTATGAAACAATAACTTTCTTTCTTTAAATTATTTTTTATAAATAAAACTAAATATTTTTAATTCTTATTTGAAAGTAAATTATTATTTCCTTTATTAATAAATAAATTTAAGTATTTTATCATGTTAAAAGAAAAGAAAAAATAAATTAAGGTGTAAAGCAAATTTTAAAATTTTAGATAAACTAAAATATCTAATCATAAACGTTAAGAATTATATAAAAAATTAGACAGATTTAAAATCTAATAAATAGAAGATATTTTAAAAATTATATTTAAATAATTGAAGATTGTGTTTTATTTGACTTAAAAAATTAATAAGCCCTTTTAAAAATATCAATATTTTTAGGAATATTATTTGAAGGTCTCATCTTATTTTAAGAATGATTTACCATTCAAAAAAGAACAAGTTATGCTATATGAATAAACATAAATTAATTTCATAGTCATTCACATTGAAGTTATATTTGATAGCGGTACTATATTATGAAATTTATTATATAAAGTAGCTCAATTAAAACATATTTTAGAATTTTATTAAAATTAATTTAACATAACTAAAACCAAAGGACTCTAGTTATGGACTATTAACATTTTTTATCATCTTTCAAAAAATTTATTAAACTTAGTATGAAATAAATTTAGAGGTAACTATATATGTGGTATTTATGTATTTTTTATTATTATATTCTATTTCGTCAAGTTACAAAATTATCTATCTAAAGAAGCTCTCTTACTATTAATAGTATTTTTATAATATCTTTTTAATTGATGAATTTTAATTTTAATTTTAATAAGTTATACATGCTAAATATTTATAAATATTATCAAGATAAGCTATAAAAATGTTTCAATAAACTTGTTACTTAACTTCTTATACTGATACAGTACTTTTTTGAATTAAATTATTTTACATTTTAATAACTAATTAATTTTTATGATTTTATTGATAAACTCTAATTAAATTAACAATCACAAAAAATGAGATGAATTTTAGTTTACAATCATAACAATCAAATAATAAAACTGAGAAACAAATAAAATTTTATTTTTTAAAAAGATTTCCTGCTTTATTATATAAGAAAATATATTTCAATTTAGAATAGTTAATTAAAATAAATGTATAAAATTTGATATTTTAGTTGATAAATTTAATCTGAGAATATTTAAAAACTACTTCAAAATAATTTATTTTTTAAATTAAATATTGCATAGAAAAGAAATATATTAAGATGAATTAAAATAAAATATTATTTTAGTAAATTTAATAAAATTAAAATGCAAAAATATTTTTATTTTAAGATTCCATATTATGTTTTATACATCTTATTTAATAAGATTTATAAAGTTTCTTTAACAGTTTAATTATTAAGTGTGCTAAATTTACAGTATTTCCTCCAAAAACGATCAGTGATGCAGGAGAATACTAAGAATTATAAATCATCAAAATAATTGTATTTAATAAACAAATAAGGTCTAATAATATCAATTTTAAAATAATAATAAATAATACGCTCAAATCACACTTATTATTATTTGTGGAGATTAAATTAACAAAAATAAATTAATTAAACTAGTTAATCTTATTTAAATGTACTTACTTATTTTTATTTTATTTTTCAAAACTAACTTTTTTATTACTGTTAATAGTTTATGAATAAAATTTATGTTTATTGTAATTAATAAAGACTCATTTCTATTTGTATTGTATTCATAAATTTCAGTGCACTTTTGCGCATCAATAAAAGAAAAATCAAAGCAAAAACTTTAGTACATGTTTAAATTAGCAAAATTATGGTTAATATTTAAATAATAAATTATTAAAAATAAAATCCAAAAGAAAATAAAAATGCCAAATTTACTTCTAATCATTACTTAAATTAATTTAATATCTATTTTATTGAATACCTCAATAGCATAGTAATCTAATAGCTGCTCATTTGGTTGTATTTAGTGTTAAACTTCTCCTATTACGCCTCTATAGCCATAATGTACTTTATGTGATGATGGATTCACTATAAATAATAACAAATGCTAATTTTAGAACTGTCCTTCTAATACATATTTATAAAGGTATTCTTTACAGTAAAATGGCCAATACTAGAATTTAGATTTTTGCTAAGCGATTTGCGATTTTTCATATAATGAAAATACAGCATAAAATACTTGCGATTAACTACAAAAATGCTCTGTTTCATACTTAAGTAATTAAAGTATCATAAGTCTAGGTAATATTCAATCAATCTATCAAATAAATGAAAAGTTAACTATGATTGTTTACCCTAATTTTTTAAGGTTAATAAATGCAATTTCTGGATAATATTTATCTGATATATAAGAAGCTTCTACCATTAATGCTCTTTACTTTCAGAATCTTCTTTTCATACTTTCAAATTCTAATAAAGTAATAAGATGGGATTTTGACTTTAATTTCAAGACAACGATTGCTTAAATTTAATAAGGAAATCTATCTAAAAAATCATAGCTATTTGATTTGAGCAATGATGTTTTTGCAATTTCAAGCTATGATGATATTTCTAAAATTATTTATTTTACTAAAATTTCTTTGGTAAATTAATTGATTGGATCAGATTAATCATTCACCGCTTTTACATATACGAATTGCTCTTTAAAATTGGTGAATTCTTTAATTTTATGTTTTGGATAAGAAAATAAATTAATTACTAAAAGATTAACTGTTATTTAATAATAATTAGCAATATAAGACATTCCTTAGAATGTTAACTGTAAAAACTTTATTTTTGTATAAAACACAATACTTCAATCTATCTTTTTAGATTTCACTGAATCTTCTGAAATAATAATCATATAGTAACAAGTTTAATAGCTGATTCAACTTTCTTATAACAAGATAAGCTAATCGTTCGATTGTAAATTTACTAACTTGATTGATCAACCTAATAAAATTAGATTAGTTGATTTACAAAATAAAAATTATATTTTGGCTATTAATTTGAATTCATAATTAATCTTCTTTGATTAAAACATGAAATAAATACACGCTATTAGTTTTCCTTTAAATTAAGTTACTGATATAGCGTTTACTAAGGACTAAAACAGTTAATTTATGACTTATTACAAATTATATGTAATACTAGATTTAATTTAATAAGTGTAAATTTATAAGATAAACTTAGCAACTTAGTTTACTGGATCAATCTAAACACTTCCCATTCTTGTAGGATAAGCTAGCTAATTTTTGACCTAACAAAGCAAAACTTTATTTTCTGATGAAACAAATACTATTTTAGATAAAAGTTCATTATTTTTGGTAAACAATAACCTATAAGCTATAAATATTGAGATAGATGAAATTTAATATATTGTCATCCCATTTAATTAGAAAAATATATCTCATACAAATAAAATGAGCAGTATGGCTTATTCTGAAGACTCTCTTTACCTTTTAACTTGTTCTGAAGATGGCTATATAATGGCATGGTACACATTAACAAGTTTAAATCCAACCTTCCTCTATATGATGAAATAAAATAATGAATACTGCAGAAAAATCTTAATCCATTAGAATAATTGGGTAGTTGCTCTATTCTCTCGTTCTATTATCATTTTCTAAATTAAAAATTAATATATCCGCTACACTTACCCGTTTAATAATCCATCCACAGACTTATCTCAATTTATTACTCAATCTTCTATTTATATTTTTTTATTTTACGATAGCAAATTTGTATTAATAGATGGGAATAATATTAATCAAATTACTATTGCAAATTATTTAGACAGTTAAATAGTTTAAATTTTTTCAGTTTCTGACACAAAATTAATAATTCAAAATATTAATAACCAGCTTTAATTATACCAATTTGATGAAAGTTAATAATACCTATTTTAATAAGTTTAAAATATGTATTTCTAGAGTACATATGGTAGCTTCACATATGTTTAAATAGATATGATATCAACTAATGATTTTGAAATAATAGTTGGTTGTTTAAACAGCGCATTCATTATACTTAATAGTTAATTTTAGCCATAACTAATTCATATAATGTAAAATGGTTATCCTTTTGAAATAAAAAAATTTTCTGACAATAACATATATATAATATTTGGATTTAATGTTAATGGAGCTTCTAAATATTTTCACTACGCAGTTTTTAGATCCTCAAATAAAGGTATTTTGTATGGTGCGAGTTTTAATCTGCTTTTTAATCTAGGGCTTCACGAATTTATTGATTATTAAAAAAATACAAATGTTCAATATCTATGTACTTTACCAGTTTCAACACTTACAATAATTATAAGAGGTATGTTTCTCCCTTAATCTTTATCTTTAAGCTATTATTATTTTACTTATGCATTTGGAAAACCTATTTCAAGCTATTAAACTAAAGATAATGGGAATATTCAATATTATGGTAACTAAGATGGGAACCTAAGCTATGACTCAGTTGACTATAAAATTTATAACTAATTGAAATTCAATCCATCGGTTATTCCCGGATCTGTTAGCTCAGTTTAGTCCAGTCCTTCATTAGAATTAATATTTGTTGTTCATTATCAAGTAGATCTTCACAGTATTTATACCTATTAGTATGAAAGTCAAATAAAATTTAGTAGCTAATATGACACAGAAAAGGTAATCTAGTTACTTTATTCAGACAAAAATAAAATAGTTATAGCCTATAAAAGCAAACAATTGATATTAAAGAATTTACAAACTAAATAATCATAGAGTTTGAATTAAATTTAACAAATTTCAGGAGTCTATATTGATGAGAATGATAAAATCTTCTATCTCTATGGAAGTACTCTAAGAATTTACAATTTTGATTTATCTTAAATAGTAGAGGTTACAAAGGAAGGCTCCAAAAGTTATTAGCAGTGCATAATTACAATGAATTTGATTATTTGTAAAAGTAACTTTAACAGTCTGTCTATTTACAATAAAAAAACATACTCATAAATAGCTAACATATTAATAATAAATTAAGATGTTTCTTTTAAAATATTTGTTGATGAAGCAAATAGTTTAATATTTTTATGTACAACATTTGTGCAAATATTTAACTTTATAGGCAATCAAATTAGTCAAATATAATCGATTAATTATAATATAATTGATTTGTAATTTTGGGGAAAT